ATATGAAGATAAATCGTATGAAAAATTTTTATTCTTTGATTCCTCAAATTTTTCGTGATATTTTTTTATGTCAAAATCGTTATAAAGTTTTTCTACATTGTCAATTATGATAAGTGTATCATCAATTCTCATGTCAGGAAGCCATGTCTGAATAACAAAATAAATGTTTTCTTCTAAATATTTATCTGTTTTTTTATCAATCATATATAGCTTCTTTATGACTTCATTTTTTTCCTCTTCATCCATATCTGCGTTGAAATCATTTTTTTGTTTTGCTTCCTCCTTCGTTTTTTGTTTTCCTTTAGTACTACTGATGGAAGAATCAGTCGTAGAGGGGTTAATAATATTTCCTTTCATATCAATAATTTCGTCCTTTTCTTGGAACCTTTTAATATCTTCTCTCACTTTTTCTATCACCTTTTTGTTTATAAGCCTTTCTTTATCGTCTATACTTTTTATGTCCTTTAACAATTGTACATTCACTTCATTTATGTTTTCAAAAATTTGTTCTAGTTTTTTCTCATCTGCTCGGTACCTCCTTTCGTACACATCTACTTTCGGTGAATTTCCCACCTGAGATATGTAATCCCTTTCGATGTTTATGTACTTGAATACGTTTTGTTCACTTTGGTTTTGTCCACTTTGCATCTCTCCATTTGGATTTTCCCTCATTTGGGTGTGCGCAGCTTTTCCTCCTTGAGCACCCTTCGTGTTTTCCCATTCCTCCGAGGATGTTTTAATTTCGTCTACCTTTCTCCCATCGCTTTGCATCAAAACTGGTTCTGTGATTTGCAAAGCGTTCCCTTCACCTCCTTCACATGTTGTGACCTCACTTTTGGAATTGACATGCATCTTCATACTTTTATTTTCCAAATTCTCCTCATCTAATTCTTCAATTTCTTCAGAGTGCACTTCATTCGGCACTAAATTATTTTTATCTCGATCGTAAATACTCTCCCTCACATAGTACACATTCGTGTTTCCAAACATGGCTACATCTTGTGGGATATTTATTCCGTTCCTTTCGAAATAAATTCTTTTTTCTTTTTTTCTTGTCATTCCTTCCAAGTTCTTTTTTTCTTTTAGCCTTTCTTTCCACTCTTCTAATATTATTTTTTTTGGGGAAAGATTTTTCCATTGGTTTCGGCTTGGAAAAAACAGAAACAAAGGTTTTTTATTTTCCCATTTTAATTTATTTCCTTTTTGTTTTCCTCCACTTGTCCTCAAATCTGTGGAAAAATCGGGGTTATAGTTTCTTGCATCTACGTTTTTAATACCATTTTGATTGTTGCTAAGTAGGACTATAAGAATGCACACCAAGACTAGTTGCAAATGTTGCAAATGTTGCGAGTGTTGCGAATGTTGCGAGTGTTGGGAGTGTTGCGAGTGTTGTGAATGTTGCGAATGTTGCGAGTGCTGCAAATGAGGCAAGTAATGCAAATGTATCATTTTTTCAAACGTATGAAAAAATGGGTTTTGGCATTAGCACCCAATTGAAGCATGCTTCTTTGGAAGTTTGAACAGGGGTTCCCTTTTTTGCATCGAACATGCATTGCATGGATGCGGACGTATTGCATTCGATTTATTCGCACGTGTGGAAGAGATCCAATTGTATGATAGGTTCTTTTCTCCTGCATGTTCATTTACTCGTTTGCGTAGTGTCAACATAGGCAAGCATTTCTACAAGAGGCCAACGAATTAACAAAAAACAAGACGAAAATTATTCCATTACTATAAAAACAAAAAAAAAAAAAAAAAACTTCAAAATGGCTTCTCTATTTTTTGTACCATTAAGAATATAGGAACTTATTCAATTTGATGAAAAAAAAAAAAAAAAAAAGTTTCAATTGTATAATCACAACTTCGACAGAATAATCTACTATAGCTGTAAGTCTTTCATATAGATATTTTTGTTTGTATTTCCCCATTTTTGATTCACTTGAATGTCACAAGTATCCGTGTGGTAAAGCATTGCAATGGAGTAAACAATAAAGCAGAATAAAAAATGCAAAGCTACAAATAGAGGCAAAGTATAAATTGCAAAGATTGCAAAATAGCTAAAAACCAATTTGCCGGAACGAGGAGAGAGTAAGGGCTTGCACATATAGCAAAAGAAAGAAAAAAAAAAAAAAAAAAAAAAAAAAAAAAAAAAAAAAAAAAAGGGGGTAAAAGAAAGAAACTTTCTTGTGTATGTTTTTTTTTTTTATTATTACACAAAATATTGTCAGAAATTGGGAACTCGTAAAATCCCTTTTTGAAGGGCTAATTCAAAATGTGCAACCGAATCAGGTAAAAACTTCAGCTCTTGCTGAACCGAACCATGCGGAGAGGAAAATAATGTTGTGTTATAATGTATGCATGTGTGTACACACAACTTCGTATCAGCGAAAGCGCGACAAAAGGTGCTTAATGTGAATCTCTGCTTTCAGAACGTCAGCATCAGTTATGGATATTTGGTGTAGATTTTTCTTCTCCTGATTCTGTTTGATGCAACGGTTCAAGTGGTCGTGCAGGGACGAAGAATCATTTAAGAGATCATGTTGGTCTTGTTGATTTTTCGCACTTGTGAGAACAAGAGAAAGGGAATGGTAAAGTAAAAAAAACGGTTTATAATTATTTACTTTCAACCTTTCGCAAACGTTTATAAAATAATGAATATCAGCTTGTAACTGATGGATTATATCTTCATTTAAATGAGTAATGACATATATTGAAGAAATGTATATTTCTGCGAACTGTGTAAGTAACTTTTCTGTGATATACTCACTGTTATCATGTTCATGAAATATATTAATATACAAAAATAGGGTATCTACAATAAAGCAAATATTTTCTTCAGGATCGAAAATTTCGCTATTGCAATGAATCTTTTTAAGGTTCATAAATTTGTTTATATATTTATTTAAATAATCATACAATGGAATTAATGCAAAATCTATGATATTTTTCAAAATTGTATTTTTAATTTCGTTTAATTTGCTTAGGGATGACTTTAGTAAGTATTTTCCACATTCTTCTGTGTCCAACTCCTCGCCCCCTTCCATATGGGATTCATCATTTGCATTTGACACAGTTTTGTCTACTCCACTTTCATTTATTGTGCGAAAATTTTCACTTATTGTGGGAAGTAGAACCGCTTCTACTTTTCTTCCAAGATGTTTATCTAGTTGGCTTACACTAATATTTTCACTGCTTACATGACTTGGAGAAAGGTCTGTTGTGGTAATATCCCGTTTCATTGGGAAATTGTCATCTTGAAAATAAGTATGTATGTGAGAAATGTTAGAGTAAATTGGAGGTGGGTGCTTACTCTGATTTCGAAAGTAACTTTTTGAAATTGAATTGAAGAGAATATTGCTTTTAAAATGGTAATATGTTTTTTCGAAAAGGAATGAACCAAATGTTTGGTAATTCTTGGTAATGTTAGAAAATATTTTAAGTATTTTAATAAAAGTTGTAATTATGCTGTTCACATATTGAATAACTTGATTAGCCGAATCAAAATCTTGTTTTGTGTATAAAGATTCATCATCTATGCTTGTAATATTTATATATTTTTTTTTTTTTTTTTCATTTTCATCTTTTTTTCTACGTATTTGATCTTTTATATTGTATATAATTTCGTACACAAAATTGTAAACATTTATAAAAAGTAGCAAAAATTCTGTATCGTGATTAAAAATAAATGAAAAATATGGAATAAAATTAAAAAAATGACAATTAAATATGTCCTTGTTAATCATTTCGTTTTTCTTTTTTTCAATTATATTTGTAATGCCTCCTTCTAAATGAGTAAAAAAATCGAATAATTTATTTTCAATCATTATGTCATTTTTATCGAATACATTTACTCTTATATTAATCTCTTCAAAACATTTCATTTCAAAGTGAGACACATCACTAATGTTGGTTATATATTCTTCTGCAATTTCTTTATTTATAAAAATACCCTCATTCAGAATCTTATGTAATACATTTTTTTTACCAATAAGCATGGGTGAATTTGATAGGATATTAATGCTTACACTTAGTGCATCCATAATTTTGGAAATCACATTTTTTCTCATCACGGACCCAGATGTATCCTCTCTTTTCCCTTTCGTTTCACTTTTAGAAAGCACTTTACTTTGTTCTTGTAGGTATGTGCAAACTACATGAATGCTTTCTCTGTACAATTCCACGAAGAAGTTTTCCGTATATGCTTCTCTTTTCTGTTCATTCGAGAAGTTGCTGTCGTGGTTGTTGCTATCGTGGCCGTTGCTGTCGTGGCCGTTGCTGATGTCTTTACCACCCCAATAGTCACTCGCTCCATGTTTGGCTCCCATTTGAACATTCGAAATGAGCTGGAGAATGAGGAGCTCTATGGGGCCCTTCCTCTCTTCAATGAATGCTGTGAAGTATTCATAGTAATTGATAATGGCATTGTATATGAATGGACTTGACTCAGATTGGGCAAATTTTAAAAAAGTATTGCTAAATTTGTGCACGATAAACTGAATTATATTTTTAAAAATTTGATTAATGAAGTACTCATTTGTGTACATATAGATGTGTATTGATTTCAAATAAATTCTAAAAGTATGTACATAAATGTGTATTGTTTTTTTCATGTCCAAATAAGGAATCTTATCTATTAGATAAAATGAAAATATATCATTTATCAGATCAAAGAACTTTTCGAAAAATTCAGACGAATATATACATATGTCAATGGATGGTAAATATATTTTAAAATACGAAATAATTTCTTCATGTTCATTCATGTATAATAAATTGTTGTATAATACATTTGCCTTTTTTACTTTATCATTTACATCCAGTTGTGTGTTTTTAACAGTTAAAAATAGTTCATTCATGTTTTTTTTCAATGTAGGGAAGCTTTTCAGGAACAATAATCCTCTTTTTATATTTTCCAATCTATTTTTTGCCTCGATGCTCTTTCTCAGCAAATTTTCGAATTCGTTCCTTTCCCTCCCAAGTTTTTCACTCGGTTTGTACACTTTCATTTCTGAATCATTTGTTTTTCCCGACTCTCCACTGCTTCGACTGTGCAGATTATTCAAGTGGTGGTTATTTCCCAGGTTGCTAGAACTGCTGGAACTGTCACTACCTCCACACTCATCGAACTCGCCGCTACTCAAATTGTTGTCACTCACACTGTTGTCACCCAAATGGCCTCTATCAATATTAGGAGCGACATTTGCACAATTTGCTGTGTCCACATTTTCGTCTATTTCCATGGTCTGAGTTCCCAATTGTGTTTTCATAGTCTCATCCGTTTTGCTTACTCTAGAGCACTTCTGGACATGCATATTTGGAGAACCCATGTTTCTCATTCCACATCTGATAGACTCTGCATAAGTTTTGGTTTCAGCTGCAATCCCCATGTAACTTTCAGCCTCTTCGTTTATTTTGGCATCTACATATGCCTTTTCCACTTTTACTAATTCCATCAATACTTTGACTGTTTTCCCTAATTCATCCGATTCATTTTTGGAATTCTTATCTTCACCTTCTTCTCTTTCATGCTTTTCTCCTTCATGTTCTAAAAGTACACCAAAGTGCTGCTCAAAGAATTCCCTGTGATTATATTCTGTTTTTCTTATTTCTTTCAAGATGAGATGATCAACCATTTTCATGGCCAAGGGGTCTAAGAGGAGAGGGTAAAAATAAAACACACGGGAGATCTAGTTACAGCTGTGATATGGCAATCAACCCTGGGATATAAATAAATAAATATATATACATATATACATACATATATACATACATATATACATACATATATGCATACATATATGCATACATATATATGCTTTTTTCAAGAGTGAGAGGGAAAATAATTTACACAACTGTATATTTAGGAAAAAACTTTTTCCCTTGAGAAGAGGGTGATAAGGGTGTTGCCATTTTTAACTGCACGGACATGTACCTCCTTTCATTTGATTAATTGGCTATATTATATCACAAAATTTGCGTCGGTAAAAATAGAGTGATAATTGGCAATACTCCCAGTAAATTGGGAATGTTTTTAAAAATGCACAACAGTGAAATAATTTGAAACGTTTAAAAAAATAGAGGAAACTTTATCTCATTACTTTTTCACATTTGCTGAGGGATTTATTAAAAAATTTTGCTCCATTTTTTTTTTTTTTTTTTTTTTTTTTTTTTTTTAAAAAAAAATCCCGGTCTTTCTGAAGAACACACCACATCCTTATGAAATGGGGTCTCTTCGAGGGAGGCCTACTATAGTCGAGTGCCCTCCCCTCATTTTGAGACCAGCTTTGTTTATAGTTTCATTCGCCTCATTTTGAGAGCAGCCTTATTTATAGCTTTGGGCATATTTATGTTCATACCCCCGACTCCATGTTATTCGGATATCACTCTTTTACAACACCCATATGCTTGTATTTTTCCTTGTGCCCAGCGCTAACGGAAAATTAGATCCACCCTTCCTGCTGTGCACGAGCTGATTCGTGGAGAGCGTGCCAATAGTACTAGCTTGTTTAAGCATGGTAGTAGCAGTAACTTGTTTAAGCATCCAAATAGTACTAATTTGACTAAGCATGTGCAATTCGCCATTTTTTTTTTTTCCTTTTATTTTCCTTTTTTTTTTTTATTTTTTTTTCTTTTTCCCTTTTTTCTTCTTTTTTCCAATTCATCTCCCCTGTTTTGACGACATGTAAACCTTTTCCCCTAATGTAACCATAACGATAAGTGGCATCTTTACAATTATCAAGTGATAAAAGAAGAACACTCACTCCGCACATCTTCTTTGTGATATATACGCAACGCAGTTATTATTCTCATTTGAAGACGGTAAAAGAGTGAAAAAAAAAAAAAAAAAAAAGAAAAAAGGGAAGGTGGCAGAAAAAAAGAAAGAAAAAGAAGTTAAACGAGAATCAGGGGAAAACAATTAAGCACTTGAGTTGAAGTATCAGACAAACAGGTGGGGACACACCGATTAGTGCAAGAAGGGATAGGTGCATGAAACGATAGATGCATGAAGGGGTAGATGCACTAACCTATTGATGCATGAAGGGGTAGATGCACTAACCTATTGATGCATGAAGGGATAGATGCACTAACCTATTGATGCATGAAGGGATAGATGCACTAACCTATTGATGCATGAAGGGATAGATGCACTAACCTATTGATGCATGAAACGATAGATGCACTAACCTATTGATGCAGGAACCGACTGATAAACGGTCTTAAAATGAAGTGCATGCGTTCGTGTGTGTGTGTGTGTGCGTGTTTGTGTGCGTGGGGAGAGAACCGTAGAAGCACACCCTTGCACACGTACTGAAAGAAAAAAAAAAAAAATACTAAAAGGTGTGAATAATGGTGCTAAACCTTTTTTGTATTGTTATAATATTCCAGTTGTATGTGACATGCTTCACGATAAGGAAAACAAATGTAGTTATTGGTAAATATGGAAGGATAGCTAACGGAGGGGAAAAGGTTAAGTCCAATGTATTGGGAGTGAGGAAACAATTTTTTACATACAAAAGATTTCAAGTTCATTTATCAGATGATGACAAATTGAAAAAGAAGCAAGAACTAAATGAAGGAAGAGGAAATCTGGAGAGCTTTTACCATAAGAATTGTAACTTATTCAAGAAAGCATTTGGATTTATGAAAAGTGGTCTAACTTATGTGCAGGAGAATATATTAACAAATTCGTTAAAAAGCCAGTTAACCATTTCTATATCATTTTTTCTTTTACATTTTTATACAATATCACGGCATTTCCTCATTTTATTTCCATATCAGCTAATTCCAAATCATTCAAATATCCTTATGAGTCTAGATTTGAACAATACACTTTTTTTCTTAACGACCATATGTTTTTTAAAACGTTTGAAAAAGCATTTCCACAGCTTTAAAAAGAGGTTACAGGTAAACGGGTTTACCATCAAACTGCAGGAAAACAAGAAGAAAAACATCCTTTCTGTAGCATTCCTTTTGATCGCTTCCTATGTCTTGTCAGGTATGTCTAACGTTTTTGTGTTTGATTTAGGGAGGAGAGATACTAGATGACCAGAGGAGGTTGCAAGCACACCATCTCTAAAATATGTTGACAATGTCATAAAATCGATGAACTTTTTTACCATGATGCGTAATGAAGCGACATTGTAAATTTTTCACTTCACTTACAAGTGAAACTTCTTCCTGGACGGATTCACATCTATCCATTTTGTTATATCTACTCTCCAAAATTACAGCCACACCAATTGATTTCTATTAATTCTTCCCCTTTTTTTTTTTTTTTTTCAACATGTAGGATATGTATCCATATACACGGAGCGAATTTTGAGCCTTTGGAAAATTTTCGTTCATCCCGTATCAGAGAACATGGTGAAATCGATACAGGTTTGAATTCGTTTCATATTTCGATGTGACAAATGTAAATAGACAGTGTGCTTTAAAAAAAACATGCACAGTTGGGAAAAAGTGTCGAATTGCTGGATTGGACACACATGTATTTTTTTTTTTTTTTTTTTTTTTTTTTTGTGGATCCTGCAGTTTGTGAACCCCATATCCTACTGCTACATCTGCATATGTGTAATACATTTTTTGTGTACATTTTTATACATGCCTCGTAAGCACTCTTCTACTACCACTGCATCTACGATAATTCTCTCTCCTACGTCGCGCAGATCTTGACAGGACATTTCATTTGGGTAGCATGCAGCATCGTTGTGTTCAAAAGATTTCTCTACCCATATTTTGTGAACAATGAAAGCAATTTAAATTTTCGCTATAAGGACAGTTGGTGTTTCGATGTTGTGTATGGATACCTATTTTCTCATTTTGTATTTAGTATTGTTGATGTTCTGAACAATTTGGTCATAAATCACTTTATGACAGAAGTAGAAGATGATATATACATGGATAATAGCATAGATGACATTGTCAACGGAAGAGAATTTGTTTCAACATTGTTATGTATAATAAGTCCCTGTTTTAGTGCACCTTTTTTTGAGGAATTTATTTATCGTTTTTTCGTGTTGAAGAGTTTGAATTTGTTCATGCATATACACTATGCTGTTATGTTCTCTTCTTTGTTTTTTGCCATTCACCATTTGAATATTTTTAATTTAATGCCCTTATTTTTTTTATCCTTCTTATGGTCCTATATATATATATACACTGATAACGTTTTAGTCACTATGCTCATTCATTCCTTTTGGAACATATATGTTTTTCTGACGTCTTTATATAACTAGCTATACATTCTGTGCATTCAGCTTCGTTTATGTATTCGTATATATATATATATACTAGTATATGTGTATTCGTATATATATACTCGTATATGTATTTCCTTTTTTTTTTTTTTTTTTTTTTTTTTTTTTTTTTTTTCTCTTTTTTTTTTTTTTTTTTTTTTTTTTTTTTTTTTTTTTTTTTTTTTTTTTTTTTTTTTTTTTTTTTTTTTTTTTTTTTTTTTTTTTTTTTTTTTTTTTTTTTTTTTTACGCTTCTCATTATGTAAAAGTAAAGAAATGATAACTCTTATGCGCAACATGATAAGAACTAGTTGTTCTTTGTTTTTAGGCTGTAGCATTTTGTTCAGTTTTTCTACATTACTGCGTCCTTTTGGCTCAATTTCGCCACATTTTTGCCTTATTTGATTATTTATTTTTATATTTTTTAGCTTCAAACATCTCTACCATTTTTCATGATGGTATCCATTAGGTGTAAAGTACGACGTCACCAATTGTCTGATGGGTTATACCTGTCATAGATTTCTTATAAGTGTAAATATCATCTTGGGTTTTTTTTTTTTTTTTTTTTCTGTCTCATCTTGTGAGGTTCAGGATGTGATGAATGAAAAATCTGACAAAATAAAAGGCTTTGTCACAGTTGTAGTTTCATATTAACGGTGTATACATATGTAAGATGTAAAATGAAGAATAAAATGAAATGGGGGTTATTCCGTTTCCCATATTTTTTTTTACTTTTTTATTTTATTTTTTTTTTTTTTTGATATATTACGTAGGTAATTACAACAACGAAGGAATTTAGTCCATTTTGTTTAAGAGACATTAACCACATGGGATGGGTTAAACTGGAAGAAAGAATATATGTTCGGAAGTGGGGAAGGGAGAAAAAAAAAAAAAAAAAATATAATATAAAATAAAACGCAGCTTTCCTTGCAATAATAACAGTTTTAATTTTTAATTTTTATGACATTTCAAGCATAGGAAATAAGGCCACGTGTATGTGCATATTCTTGAGAACGCTTACGAATTTTCTTTTTCCCACCATTCTACATTTTTCCTTTTATCATGATTTTTTTTCTGTTTACAACATTAGCCACAAATTATATGTCAAGGCGGAAAAACGTCTTTTCGAAATGCGTTAAAATATAATTATAAAAAAATGATATGAACGGTTCAGGTGAAACATTTCAGACTTTTGTTAGTTTTTTTTTTTTTTTTTTTTTTTTTTTCTTTTCTAGTTTGTATAGTTTTAACTTTGCTTTTTTTTCACGCGCCACCTCTTATTAAATGTAAAACGTGGAAAAAAACGTGGAAAAAAACGTGGAATAAAAACGTACATTCCTAATGAACAAGGATCAGCATTAATCACTTTGAGGGGCCGAGCCATAGAGCAAAATCTTACATATCCCCATTTATGCATACCCATTCGTGTATGCCCATTAGAGTGCACCTATTCGTCCACACATACATTACGAGGTCTCACAATGCAGAGGAATCAGATTAAAAATCATCTGCTGGGTAAGGCATGTTTACTAGATATCACAAATTTTTACAAAATAAAAAGGCACGTATCTGTGTTAGCGAACGAATTAAGGAGTGGTAATATATTTCTTCACAATGACAAGTATTGTGAAGTAACTGAACAGAGGCAGGTTAAACAGGGTCGACTGGCCACAACAAACATGGTAAAGCTGAGAGAAGGAAAATGAGTTACAAAGTGAGTTAAAAAATTAGTTAGAGTATACGTTAAGAGAATGCACCCACAATTCTTAGTATAGTTCTGCTTTTCTTAGAACGTTATACATTTTATGCGAATATGTTATTTGCATATATAAATGTAAATTGATAAATGGATGTATATATGTTTTGACAATGTATTTGTAATATGCCAATTGACTCTTTGTTCATGTCTTTACGACGTGCAAGAATAGTTTGCACCACGTGTTCTGTACCAAGAGCTGTTTTTTTTTTTTTTTTTTTTTTTTTTTTTTCCATTATTCCCATTTTTTCCACTCGTTTAGATCTCCTTTATCGACCTTAGCACATTGAAGAGCTCCTCAACCAAATTTGCATGTCAGGCAAAAGTGGAAAAAATTGAACCAGTCAAAACAAACGTGCAAATACAATACACAGACAAGCAGAAAAACATAGTTGTGTGTTTAGATGAAAATTATGAAGATATGGAAATTCCATTAAATATATTTGGAATTTCAGAGGAGTACTTAAAACCTGGTTTACAAATAACAGTCTTCAAGCATGAGGACAAAATTGTTAAGGTTAATTTGCCCTCATCCCTACTGATGACACTGCGGAAGAAATAAAAAAAAAAAAAAAAAATCATTTCACGGGGCCATTTTGTGTGTCTCATTTTGTGGGTAGATTTTTTTTTTTTTTTTTTTTTTGAGTACTTTTCAGTTTAATATGCTGGGCTCTTGCATTTTCGGTACTTTTCATTGTAAGTGGAATCGAAACTAATTTTTTTTTATTACGTGCTTATTTTTTATTCTATCATTTATTTTAATTTTTTTTTTTTTTTTTGCATGTGCACATGTGCACATTTGCACAATTCCAGAATCTGTAAAGTCTGCACAGTTTGCCCAATCTGCATAATCTGCACAATCATCACACAGTATCTACATTTCTTAATGAAAAAATGTAAACATGTTCCAAACAGAAGTGACAGCATGGACGACACTGACAGATATATGGTAATGTGGCTTCTTCCCTGTGTGTAAAAATAAAAGGGATGTTAAATGAATATATACTATCCTACGCACCTGTGATATGAATTCAGGGAAACTGATGAGATGAGTGATGAAATCGACCAAAGGGAATTCATCTTACAGACACCTCCCTCTTTTTCCCATCTACCTACGGGGACCCACTTATACACCACAGGGATTTCTCATATAGAGCATATATATGCACACACAAATTAGTGTTCCATAAAAAAGGAGTTCACATTTATTCACTTTTCACATGGGATATACAGTAAAAAAGAAAAAAAAAAAAAAAAAAAAAACGTTCGAAATTCCCAATCATATGAGGTATGGATCTATGCTGATGTGTCAATGAATGTATGTCGTGTAGAGTCAGTTGAAGGAATTTCCCTTGGTAGTGCTTGAAAAACTCAGTCTTGTCTGTATTATGTTACACGTATAAGTATATGCATCCGTGTGTGTCAATGGAGAATGTGCAAACAAGTTAAGTACAATCTGTGCATAACAATTTTGTCCCAATTCAAGTTCAGGTAAAGGGGGAAAGGGTGATTTATTATTATTTTTTTTTTTTTTTGTTATTATATATATGCAGGGAGGGAAAATTTAAAAAAATAGAAGGAAAAAAAGAGGGAATAAAAAAAAAAAAAAAAATATATATATATATATATATATATATTAACCAGCTGATATATTTATTAATATATGGAGCAGAAAACTTCTTATCATATTCTGAACATTCCCCTGATGGGGGAAAAAACGTTTTTGTAAAAAACAAAAAAAAAAAAAAAAAAAAAAGGTCAATCTGTTGGCTATAAAATAAGCGCAAAAAGGAACTTTCTATTCATTTGTGAATATATACTTCTTCCTCCATTGCACGGTAATCATCCTTCTCAAAGGCTACTTTAAGTAATGTTGAGAAAACACAAAAAAAAAATTATCATCCTCCCCTAGACACAGAAAAAAGGTATACTTATTATCCCCCTGAACACAGGGTTTCCTGAGGATCTCCACATTGAAGTCCAAAAAAAAAAAAAAAAAAAAAAAAAAAATTAGCAGACTTTCAATATGACAACTTAAAAAAACTGAGGAATATACAATACCACATAAAAAGCACAAATAAGAGATTAGACTATGGTTAAAGGAAAGTAACAAAATTTGTAGAAGCATATATAGGAGGAAATAAGAAAAAAAAAAAAAAAAAAAAAAAAAAAACGAATGAATGAATGGTGTGTTGGCAATAAGGATAAACTGAGCGAACTGAGTTCATAAAATTAAGCTAAGCTTTTATGTAACCCTTCCTCTAATAATAATAATAAAAAAGGAAAAAATAAAAAAAAATAAAAAAAAAAAAAAAACATTTTTGTGATCTAATACACGCATATAAATACTCCAACGAAAGATCTAACTTTTTTCAACCAAGGAGGATGGGGGAAAAGGGAAGTATTTTTTTTTATTTTTTTTTTTTTTTTCCTCTACGAATATAGATAATAATTGAATATTGAATGCATAATTTGAGTAGGTATTTAGTGGGATGAATTAAGATGAATTAGGGCGAATTAGGGTGAATTAAGATGAATTAGGATGAATTAGGACGAATTAGGACGAATTAGAACTAATTAAGACGAGTCAGTAGAAGAATAATCAAATGTATTCATGTGAGTGATTCTAAATAATCAATATCAGAGGTAGCCAAATTGAGTTATAGGTTATTACTCTATACCAGAGAGCACCAAAAGGAAAAAAAATATATATATATATATATAAAGAATACAAAGAAATAAAGAGTATAAAGAACATAAGAAATATAAAGAAATAAGGAATATAAAGAGTTATGCGTTAAAATTATGCAATGTCCTATACACAAGCATATAAGGATTCTCAATATATTTAAAACAGACAAGCGTATCACAGAGTGGAAGAAGAAAATAACTACCACCCCTGTCATGAATTATAAAAAAATGTCCCTATGTAGCTTTTCCTTTGGAGATGATAAATTTAAGGATCATTCAGATAGTGGAAGCATTGAAAAGGATTGGCAAAAGGGTAACTGCAGGAGGAACAATGAAGAAAAAAATAGCACTGAAAATAGTGTGAAAAAAGCTACTGGAAATATCATAGAAGAATATACACCCATTGACGAGTTACATGCTACATGTAATGAAGCACCAAAGGAAGTTATTTTAAAAAAATACAATAGGATTTTATTAATTGAAAAATACACAAAGTATGATAGTCTGAAGAAGCAAGGCTACAAGGATGATTACATTTTACGTAATCATTTTTCTGCTTATATTTCACATTTTACACATACTCTCATAGTAAACAACGTAATTAATATCTTGAGGACTAAATACAAATCCCATGTTTCAACACTCAAGGCCCACAAGCGGAACATTGAAAATATAAGTATCAGCAGTTCCAGTATTTTTTCACCTGATGCCATTTTTAGTGTGGGTAAGTAAGGGTTGCCCATCCTTGTTGCTCCACTGCACAGATCTCGTATAGATGCACCTGCCTCTTATAGAGGAATAAACGTCGTGTAAATTACTCATCTCGTCTGGATTCCCATCAAATCCATCACACATAAACATATATACGTAGACACATACATGCGCATACACACATGCGCACACATACACATGCACACACCTATACATACACACACATACACTTCTTATCCACGTTGCTTAGGAGGAGACGGAACTTACCTGGAGTCTGCCCACATAATCGCTAACAAATACATTGTAGATGAAAAAACAAGTCAACGGAACAAACACATAGAGCTAGTTGGGATCAACAGTGATCCCAGAGGGTCAGAAGGAAAGCTGTGTCTCGAATATTTCCATTTAGGAATAGAAAACGAATGCAACTATTCATATGCATCATTTAAAGAGTTCGAAAAAGTTTACCAAAAAAAAAAAAAAAAAAAAAAATTTATTTTCACTGATGTATCAAATTTGATAAAAAATCTCAAGGAACGTGAAAAAAAAGTAGAAATGATGTTACATAAAAAACATGACAAAGAAAAAATAGAAGAAATGGATTTTAAACATGCGAACACCATTGAGCGAATTTTTCAGAATAACAGTTTGTCTTATGGTGAAATATCCTTTGAATCTTTGACGTCACAAGCGAAAGATGAAAATTGTCATAATTCCAATTTTAAGAATGTCCAAGAAAATGAGAAATGTTTGAAACCTAATCAGAGTGATACAATGGAAATGTTAGAACAGGCAGAAATAGATATACCAAATGAAATGTGCGAAAAGAAAAGAGTACATGACAACAATTCCTTTTCTAATTTATTAACAATATCTTCTCCAGCGACAGTAGAAGGGAATATACACTCAGAGAACCTCATTATAAGCGCAAAGGAATATGCAAAAAGTACGTTAAGGTGTTTTTTCGAAACAGATAAACATAAAAAAATCCATAGGAATTATATTACTGTTCATATAAAAAAGTCGAACGAAGATGAAGGGAAGATGTATAGGAGCATTAATGAAGTTTACATTTACGAAGCAGTAAAAAATAATATATGTACATACATAAATGTTGATAATAAATTTGTTAAAAAATTAAAAAGTACAGCATTGTTAATAACTAGTGGAACTGGTTCAACCGCTTGGGCATACAATGTAAACAAAATTGATAAAAAAAAAATGAAAAATATAATTAACGAATTCTTAAGTATACAAAATGATGTCGTTAAACAAAATATAAAACCAATAAATTATGACATTTTTTCGGAATATATTAATAATTCTATTTGTTTTCACCCAAATAGCAAATATATGAAATGTATTGTCAAAGAGCCAGTGGAAAATAGTGTGTACAATTCAACTGACCATATATATAACTGTAAATATATGAACATAATGACTTGTACTAGCAACACAATTGTGTATATAGATGGTATATACAACATTAAAATACAACCTAATGACTCTGTCATTCTGAATATCAAGGATGACGATTTTATCGTCAGTTATAAATAGTCTGTTCCATGTGATTCACATTGCGAGGTAATATACTACGGTGAGATGTATTTCCGAGCATTGCAGCTTTTTTTTTTTTTTTTTTTTTTTTTTTTTTTTTCTATATTTATTTTTTTTTTTTTTTTTTTTTTTTTTTGATTTTAAAAACCACGTTTAAATTAATTTCCCCCATTTATGTACCATTGTCTGCACACACCGTCAAAATTGCATAAGTATCGGACCAAAAAATGTTTTTTTTTTTTTTTTTAATCATTTCAATAAAATAAATATATGTGCCATCGAAGTAGAGATTCTCTCATGTCAACCTCTTCCCCATGTAGGAATAGAAGAATGGATATATAAACTCGCTATTTTTTATATCTACATTACTCAGCTGTGTTCAATTTATATCCCGTTTAATAATTTTTCTTCATCTACATTTTATTTGTTTCAAAATATGTTAACTATAGAATTGGATGGAACTGGGATGGCTTTATAAATATGGTACTTATGTTTTTATTTCTTATTTTTTTTTTTTTTTTTTATTTTGCAAACTGTTTGCAGTTATGCATCCATGTATGAAACCCTATGGTTTAAACCTTTTTCATAACCATTTAAAAATAATATTGATAGCAAAACGTAAGAAAAATAACATATGTGTGCAAATTTTCAGATCTCTATCATTTCTCCCTTATGCACACATTTTAAAAATATTGCACATTAAAACTTTTCATATTGTTTCATTCATGTTGATTTAAGGGGCACAGAGTATAAAGGAAGTTAAAAAGCTGCAAATTTGTTTTGTTTTTTCATCGCCAAAAAAAAAAAAAAAAAAAAAAATTGCGCAATTAAGAAGGTACATATATTTTTTTTTATTTCAGCCATGGGCCACGTTCAACGATATAAATAAAAGTTCGTCATATGAACAAGTGAAAGGTGTGCTTTCTCACTGCATGTCTCATTGCATGTAAGCTTTGTATGTATGTCAACGGGTAGGGGTGGGGGTAGTGATGCAGTCAATCGAAATATATATACAAACATAATGTACATACTTGTTTGTTTGTTTGTTTGTTTGTTTGTTTGTTTGTTTGTTTGTTTGTTTGTTTGTTTGTTTGTTTGTTTGTTTGTTTGTTTGTTTGTTTGTTTGTTTGTTTGTTTGTTTGTTTGTTTGTTTGTTTGTTTGTTTGTTTGTTTGTTTGTTTGTTTGTTTGTTTGTTTGTTTGTTTGTTTGTTTGTTTGTTTGTTTGTTTGTTTGTCTGTCTGTCTGTCTGTCTGTCTGTCTGTTTGCTTGCTTCTTTGCTTGCTTGTTTTTTTTTTTTTTCTTTTTTTGCAGCATTCACAATTTGTTAAAGGTAACAATCTCAGCGGACTGAACCAAAAAGTCGAGATCGTCTTCGACATCTTCATAATTCACGTGTGTCTGATTTTGCTCATCATTATCGTCCTCTTCATCTTTATCCCCGTCTTCTTCTTCATCAAGACCTAGAATTAATTTCCTCTTTATTTTATCTTCCTCATTATCCAAGTCCACATTTTCAATTTTCTCTATTAATTCATTCGTATTGACAAAATCGTCATAAATAATACAAGACATTTGAAGTTTGTATAAACCAAAAGCTACAGGTAATTTTTTTACTTCTTCTCCCCATTTAATATTTTCATCAACAATTTTCTGTTTCACAAGTTTGGGTATTTTAGCAATGTCTGTGTCAATTGATTTGGGTTTAATTTCTATAATTAATATGGACCTATTTTTTTCTTTTTCCTTTTGTTTTTTTTTCTTCAATTCTTCTTCTTTCTGTTTCTTCTTATCTAACAAAATATTTTTATCATCATTATTATTACTATCCCCGAATAGATCAATATCATTATCAACATCATCATCTTGTGATGTTTTTTTTTCTGAAGCATTATTTCCTTGTTGACTTTTTTTCCCTTTTTCACTTGGATCCTTAAACTGATCTATTACATAACTTGGTAGAGAACTTATATGTTTATACCAACGATACAAGTGAGGATAAGTATCTTGGTTTATTACACATTTTATTTGATTATAAATCTTTAAATCCATTGCACTTAGCATATGGTTTTGATAATACGAGTGTTCTGAGAAAAAGGTGTTTAGCTTGCCATAGTCCCCTTCACTTTTCACGTTTAGTAAATTTGCATTGTTCGCCATGTTAGAAAAAAAAAAAAAAAAAGGGGGAGAAGGGAACAAAGGAGAGCAGAAGCTAATGCTGAAGATTGAATGGAAGTGCGTTCTTCACAGTATGTATTTCTTATACCTTGGTGTACAAGTACAAATCTTAAAAATTTAAAGGCACAAATTATTCTAATCTTGCAAAGAAAAACAATTAAAAGGGTTTTTCTGTTTTTGTATAAATATGTTTATTCACAATTCTTTTATTCTTGTATTGTAAAAGAAAAGTTGGGTGGAAGGAGAAAATCCTGTATTTTTCTCTATAAATTACGAGTTCACAATTTTTTTTTTTTTTAAATTGCGCATGAATAGGAGAGATACAAAATTTTCACATTTTATTATGCTTTGTTCAGGTAATTTAGCTATTTTAGCTGATACTTTTTTTTTGTGTTTTTTTTTTTTTTTTTTTTTTTTTGCACTTAAAAACTATTTAATATGGGCCAAAAATGGAAGAGGAGAAAATGAGGAATACAAATATCAGCATCTCTGAAGAGGGTAAACTAGTAATGTGCTTAATTTGTATTTTCTTTTTTTGTGGTGGAAGCGGGAAAATCTCTCAAAGTTAGCAGGTCCAGCGTTATTATGAACGTTCAGGCGTATGCACGCTCTAATAATCTAGGAAAGTACATGTATAAATTATGTGCATTTTTTCGCCACTACTAAACTTACGAAGGGTGATTTTTTATCAAGTTGCACCTTATCTCGAAACGAGTGGATGGGTGCACCTTATAGTTTTGCTCTATATGAGCTTTGAGTTTCACTTTAGAATATCTTAACTTTTTCCCAGTACCCTGTATATATATATATCACGATCTTCTTCCACCTATGTAAGGGAAAAAGGAGTTAAAGGGGGAATGTGTTGAACGAGGGAAAAGTTGTGTTTTTATTATATTTTACTGATTTGTTATTTTACTGCTTTTTTGTTTTACTGATTTGTTATTTTACTGCTTTGCTGTTTTACTGCTTTGCTGTTTTACTGCTTTGCTATTTTACTGATTTTTCACTTTACTGCCGTACTATTTTACTGCTCTATTATTTCATCTTTCCAACGTCACATGTGTGCACAAAAAGGATATTGAAAGTTCTTTCTTTTATTAAGAAACGAGATTTCATATCTAATGTTCCAAAAGGACAAGAAAGGGCAGAATTACGTGTGCCCAAAAAAAATAAAAAAAAAAATAAATAGGGGTATAGCTTACCCCGATTTCCAATATTTAACAATTATCAATGTATAAAGAGTTTTTCAACAAGTTCGCATAGGAAACCAATATATATATACCACGACAACTTAGCAAAAGCTAAGTATATTAAAATAGGTTGAGAGTTTTATATTTATAGAACTATATACATATTACACATTATTTCGTAGCATTTTTTTTTTTTTCGTGAGGGGGAGGGGGCTCCGTTTCTGAATTCGAGAAAAATACGTCCAATTTTTTTTTTTTTTTACGCTAAAAATGGATCTATCGAAAAAGGATCTTTGAAAAAATTTCTTAATTTTTTGTGAAAGAGGGAAATTGTCACAAGGATTACAATTTTCTCTTTTCTAGTAAAATCAGAACTCCAATTTTTAGAAAGTAACAAATAAGAAAATAAAGTTCGTTTCATATATTCTCACTAGAGGGTATTACATTGCATTAAGAGATTGTCCACATTAATTGTTGACATGTATAAATATGCACATGTGCATACAGCATAGAAAACAATTTTGTCATTTTTTTTGACACCACACGTTTGTGCTCATTTCGTATAACTCCCTTCCCGCAGCCCTATGTGTAACTTTTTATTCACAACTCTAGATAAACTTAGGGATGATAATTTATAAACAATAAAAAAAAAAAAAAAGAAAAAAAAAAAAAAAAACGACCAAATTGAGTTGATACGTTATATACCCAACAGTATACACACCGTACATACATAATACACACATGTATTATCACCCTATATAGATAATATAAAAAAAAAAAATGAAGAGAAGAACAGACTTTAAAAGTATATGTATGGCAACTATTATTGGGGTTTGCAGTGGGTATTACATATTCAATCCAATTGTTGATAAAATGAAAGATAATGTCATTAATGCAAATGCAAAAAATGAAAAATCCGTAAAATGATGTTCTCTACATTTGGTTATTTCTCAATAAACTGTTTTTTTTTTTTTTTTTTTTTTTTTTTTCGAATCTTCTCACCCCTAAAATTCTGCTATAATAAATTGCACATTTTTATAAAGTATATCCAAATTCCAACAGTACATCATAAGTACAAAAAGAAGAAAGATATGAATTAAGGAGACATATTAAAGTGTTAGTGATACACCGACCAATATGGCACTTTTTTTTTTTTTTTTTTTAGTGTATGTTAGACATTGGTACAGGAATGCCACTGCTAAATCGGGAGTAGCAAATCCTCCTACTAGGGTCATACATTAAAGAGAGCGGGAAAAAAAAAAAAAAAAAATCATATAAATAAGAAGAGCAGAACAGAACATAACAAAGCAAAGAGCAGGAACGACAAGAAGAACCATGCTCCTCAACCTTCTCGTGAAGTCGCGAAAACTTCGCATGATCCACGTGAAATACTTAAGTGTGGGCAGAAAAAATGACCCCCACCACCTCATAAGAGACAATAATAAGAATCCCTCGGGAGAAAATGACCACTGTGTAAATTACAACTTAAGTGAGGAGAATACTGAAATGTGGTCAATTAAATTAGGGGAAAAAGAAAAAATAAGAATAAATGAAACGTCCATTAATGAAACGACCCCGAATGAAATGACCCCTAGTGAAAGGACCCCCAATGAAACAACCCCGAATGAAACGACCCCGAATGAAACGACCCCTAGTGAAACTTCCCCGAATGAAACCTCCTTTTTTTTACCAGGAAACAAGATTAGTGCAAATGAATGGAGACACAATTTTCAGCATGACAAGGAAAATTCAAGAAAAGGAAAAGAAACGACCAATGTGTGTTTACAAAATAATGAAAACACTACCTTTGGAAGGAGAAATAAGAAATTAAGCAAATTAAGGGAATTCAAAATAGCTACTCATGGAGGATGGAAACATCGCCTTAGGAACGTTATAAATGTAGAATTTACTGATTCAGATATCACGACTAATTACAAAACTGACAAAGGTGAAGGGAAATATGAAAACGTAGAGAAAATATATGTCTCTAGAGGAGTAAAAGAAGAAAGGAATGATATAATTGTGTCCAATGTGGAAAGAATGAAGTCCGAGTGCAAAAATGCAAAAGGGGAATCAGTTGAAGGGAGTACATATACATCTTACACATATTGTGATAATTCTAACACATCAACTGCACCTCGTAGTAGCGATAAAGAATATGCTTCACACATGCTTTTAAACACTCTGTATGAGCTTATCGAAAGAAAAATAGACATAAATGAAAATACAGCAGAAGAACTAAACGAACAAATGAATAATATCATCGAGGGAGAGAAGGATCTGAAAATGATATTTTTACTTTTACACACTATGAACAGATTAGTCTGCATACATAAATATGTTAAGAAGTTATCTCCAAAGATATACAAAGTACAAGATAGTGAATTACTTTCTATAATATTACGAATAACTGTGAATTCACATTATAAGGATAATGAATTATTTCACTTTATTTTGACCAAGTTAAAAGAACACATTAAATTAGGTACGTGCACAACGCTAGCTATAAGTAATTCATTATACAGCTATGCAAATATGTATAAAAGAAATTTAATTCAGATGCAAGACAATATACCAATAGATGAAATTATTCAAATAATTATGAATTATTACAATTCTTTTTCGTTTGTACAACTTCTTGAAATTATTGATGCATGTTCATACTTTTCCTCTTCCAAAGAAGAATTATTAAATGAAAAAACAAAAAACATAGGTAAGGATCGTTTACAAAAAAGTTTAGCAAAACTGTTGACAAAAATAGGGAACTATTTTATATCCATGAATATTGGTAAAACGGTTCCTTTTAAGAATATTAAAGAGGTAGTTTATTCATATGCAAAATGTAAAATATATCATGAGAAACTACTTTTGCATCTGTATCCCCCAATATTGAAAAGTATAAAGGGATACAATCTAGACATTAGTAGAAGACATGAATTGTGTAATAAATACATGGAAAGAAATATTACATTAGAGGAAGACCATGAAAGAGATATTATAGTGAATGGTATGCATACGAATGGGGAGAAACTTAAGCAGACGGAAAGAGTTGATGATCAGAAAGTAATACATGAAGCTGTAAAAGATGTAACAACCATTTTATATGCATACAGTAAATTTTACATGTACATAGATGAATTGTATAATGAAATATTATTGCTTTTACAACATGTGTACAAATATATGAACTGTTCAGAATTATCACAATGCTTAATATCGTTATCTAAATTGCATTGTAATATTAGAATACTTTTATCAAAAGTTCATATGGAACGATTTAATATTCAGGGAAATTTGTATAGAAATTTTTTTGCTTGTTGTACCCCTTTCGATTTAATGAATTTTCTTTTAAGTTTTAGCAAAAATTTATATTTTGAAAAGGGTGTATATGATGTTATTGCTGATCTGCTTATAAGAGAAAAAAAAATTTATTCATTAGAAGCTGATGATTTGATAAATATCATACATGCGTATAGCAAAGTTTATTATTTGGATAGTAAAGTATTTTCCATGGTAGATAAAATTTTGTGTGAAAGAATTGATAATAATTCCAATTATTTATCACCCGAACAAGCAATCAAATATTTAAATTCTTGTGCAAAATTGTTATATAAAAATGAAAACATTATTTATAAAATTATCGAAATTATACACAAAAAGAATTTTATCAATATACAAATTTTTGATTTGTTTAAAATTCTCAAGAGTGCCAAAAGGCTCAACTTGTCATTCCAACGCTTGGAAACACACATCAGAATGCTTGTCCCAAATCTTACCTTCGATTTCAGCACGTATAGAAATCACTACTACAGAGACCCCAAAGATCTTCACATGCGGAAAAAGAAGTGGGTATGGTAGGAGCACTATAAGCAAATCTTGTAGTATAGCAATATCTTTTTTTAAAAATTATTCTAGTCCTTCGAAATGGCTACTATATATTCAAAGACTAAGAGTGTAAAGTGTGTAGGGGTATGAGACTATAAAAAGAGAAGAAAATTTTCAATTTTTTTTTTTTTTTTTGTTCTCTACTTTTATTTTTCCCTGTTTATCTTAACATATATATATATATATATATATATATATATAACACCATCCCATCGGAACATTTTTACTTCCATTTTGACAAGAATATGGGGAAAAAGTAAATTTAGTATTCCAAACAATGTAAATATGTTCTGCGTCACCCTTTCAAATATATCACATTTTTTTTTTTCTTCATTTTCCCGCAAAAAAAAATCCATACAGAAATAAACGGAATGAAAAAAAAAAAAAATGTAATATATTTGAAAGGGTGACGCAGAACATATTTTGGGTAGATAAAAAAGTAAGATATAAAATGATGAAAAAAACGTTAGAAAGAAAAATAAAATAAAACCGCAATTATACATATTTTAAGACTTTTCTCTTCACTGCGTGTAATTTTTTGCACTAGTTAAAATGTAGAACAAAACACAGAGGTGAATCCTAACCTCAATAATGGGAAAAAAAAAAAAAAATATATATATATACATATATATATAAACTATTTTTCTTATCATTTTTCACATTTACTTTTTGTATAGAAATTCCCGCAATGGTTTCTACATTTTTTTTTATGTTACACCTAGGCTTTCTTTAGTTCTTCGCATCATATTGACAGAATGAAAAATTCCCTTGAGAATTGTTGCCACGCCCATAGATTTTGCTCTGCGAAATTTTTTTTACGAGGCTTTTTTTTTTCCCCACCCCAATTAAATTTTTATCCTATTTTTTTTTTATAATTAATAACGTAAAATAAAAAAAAATCTGACCCATTAAATCGTAAAAAAAAAAAAAAAAAAAAAAAAAAAAAAAAAAAAACTGACCCGTTCTATGGGAAAAAAAAAGAAAAAAAAAATTCAAACAAAAATGTATTTATTATGAATACACGATGAACAGCATTTTATTCTTTATCTTACCTTTTTTTAATTTTCTTTTTTAATATTTCAGTATTACTTCACTCGAGGAACTTTCTTCGCCCATCGTTTTTTTATTTTTTAAAATATATCCTTATTACTGTGCAATAATATATATATACACGTATTGTTTGTATTCCTACCAAGCTGCCTTTTTTTTTTTTTTTTTTTTTTCTTCTCCTGGAAAGTTGTATGTATCTTCTCCCTTTTTTCTCTATCACATCCTTAGGAAGAATTAAAAAATTTTAAAGATACTTTCTTTCTTATGCTTCTTTGCATTTTTAGTGGAATTTAAGGAGAATATTTTTTTTCTTTAAAGTTCTCTCCTTTTTTTTTTTTTTTTTTTTTTTTTTTTTTTTTTTGCTGTTCATTTTGCTTTATTCTATATTTTAAGTCAAAAAAGGGGAAGAAGCAAAAATGGCCAAGGGATTGCGCTCAAAGGTTAAAAGAAGATTTAGAACTATAAAAAGGATCCATATAAATGGTATGTGTGGTGATGCATAATGAATGTAAAACTTGTGAATGTTGAATAATGCTCACTTACGGTTCATGCTCCCCTGTTTGCCCATATTCAGACACGTATATGTGCTTGTTCAGTGAGTAGACATACCAATGTAGCATTTCCAGTTAATGAGTTTTTTTTTTTTTTTTTTTTCATCATTACAATCGACATGATTCATTATGACAATTAACATTATAACCACCATTAAAATGGCTATCACTATTGCCACGGTTAAAATGGTTGTTAATATCATTGTCATTTTTTTTTTTTTTTTTTTTTTTCCCCGTATCCCAACCCCTTCTCAAAAAATAAATAATTACAGAGATTATAGAAAAACCAAATATAATAAAACTACATAAAAGAATAAAACAAATGAAAAAGAACAGTAAGGATGGAAAAAAAAAGAAAAAACGCATGTCTTGACAACATAAATGCTATACATATTTGCAATACATATATATGTATATATATTTTTAAATCATCTTTGATTATTCCTATTTTTGTAGAAAATGCACAAGACGATTTGATTAGACCACCCAACAAGTTCCTGTATCCAGGTAGATAAATCGATTTTTTATTTTATTTTATCTACATTTTTATTTTAAATTTATAGAAAAAGTACTATACTTGAATGTGCCAGAAGAGATGGTGTGTGTATATTTACAAGTATATATACAAGATTCTTAATTTGTCTTCTTATACATATTCACTTTTCATTTTTAGATAATGAAAAAGCGGTGATACCACAGCACAAAAGTGCTAAAGTAATCGATTTTAGATCTGAAGCTTTACCACTGTCAGGTAATTTCTCTATCTCGAATTGGTCATACCCAAATGAATTTGTTTTTTCTTTTTCTGTTCATTTGTCTTATTCCATTTGTAAAGAGAAACCAATTGGGAAAAGGCAACTTATTATATTTCTTTGAATCTGTGATCTCTCAGCATAATCAGGAGAGATAATATATAGATAAAATAACGTCCGGGTTATTTGCACTCGTCATGAGTGTGATATTATTTCGCGGTTTCACACCTAACTCATAACGGTATATAATAAACCCCATGCATATTTTCACATGCATATTTTCACATTGTAGGATTTGCAACCGTTGGAAACAGGAGAAAGTATAACATAAGTGAACAAATTGAGATAAAAAACCAGTATGGTAACACCCCTAGCTTTTTTGACAATATAGAATTGAGTAAGTTAATTGATGACATGCATAAACGTTCAGTTGAAGTTATGAAAACAATTTCGAAAAATAATGATGCTGACATGGGATAAACACATTCGACCTTATAGAAGTAGAAAAGTATAAAAATATATAAGCTTTTAAAATTTTTGTTAAAATTTTTTTTTTTTTTTTTTTTTTTCCCTATGGCTTTGCTATATTGGCAATCACATTCATTATTTTCTTTTTTCATGTACTCGTTAATCCACTTAAGTAAACTCACGGAGCATATATGTTCACTCATGTATTGGGTATCATAAGAACATATACACACACATATGTTAATATGCACATTAATACACAGATAGATACACATATACATATATTATAACACATATGTGTGAGCTGTAAATACGTGTGCATGGCTTAGCCCCCCCCCCCCCCATTACATAATCGTTTATATATACATCCCCCAATTGGATATATCGGCATTTAAGTTTAATCTTATGTTAAACATTTTTTGGTTTATTTTTATTTTTTTTTAAAAAAAAAAGTTTTATAATATTTAAAAAAAAAAAAAAAAAAAAAAGAGAAAGCGTGTGTTGTGGAGGGAAAAAATGTTAAAAGTAAAATTAAAATGCACATTTTTCAAATGTACACTTTTTTTCTTTTTTTTTTTCTTTTTCATTTAACGTTATAAGAGACTGCATTCCCCTTTTACAACTCTTGATACAAAAAAAAAAAAAAAAAAAAAAAAAAAAAATGTTAATTTTGATTGGACGAGGATTCATTTTTATCCTTTAGGAGGGTAAGCAATTTATTTTTTAATTATTTTTTAGTTTATAGTTATTTTTTAACAGCATTTTCGATATTTTATTATTTTCTCTGTAGTATAATTTTATGCGTACTCCAGTTCACGGGTATGCTACAGAGAAAACAAAACAGTTTCATACTGGGGCGTGCTTGCAAGTGTGTCATGGTGGCATAGTAGCATAGTGGACGATGGGGATTTTCCTGTTTCCTGTTTCCTGTTTCGTGTTTCCTGTTTCGTGTTTCGTGAATTTTGGGAGATAAATTTTTACACTAATTTTTTTTTCCTTGATTTATCTTTGTCCTTGTCTTTATCTACTTCTTTGTCTTTTTCCATATTATCGTCTTCCGTTTCCTTGGAGGCGTCCAAAAGTTTCTTTTTCTCTGCGTTTAATTTATTTTCTATTTTGTTGTTTATCAAATTGTGTAGTGCAATAACAGATCTTGTTATACTTCCGATGAATACGTTCAACATTATGTCATTATTTTTTATCATAAATGCTTCAACTAATTCTGGGTTCTCAGTATCTGGTAAGAGACTAAATACGTTTTGCAAGTTGTAGAGAATTTTTATATTCATTTCTATATTTCCGTTCAGTATATCATTTAAATATGTTGATATTGCATGCAGTTTTGAAATCAGGCTTTTAAGGGAAGATAGTTTATCGCCAACTTTTGTTGCTAATGTGGATGTAGATACGCTCTTCAATTCTTTCAGAAGAAACTCCACTCCAACATCTTCGGCCTCAAACGCACCTATGCAGGAGGGTTAAAAGGGGGAAGAGCAAGAAAAAAAAAAAAAAAAATGTACACTTGAACAATGTGCATTTTAATTTTACTTTTAACACGTTTTCCCTCAAACACTCTCACTCTCACTCTCACTCCCTATCTCTGTCTCTTTCTCTTTTTTTTTTTTTTTTCTTTTTTTCCATTTCTGCACAATGAACGAGGTGATGATTTTTTACCTATGGTGACTGGAATATGGATAAAGGTTTTCCTAAATTTATTGTCACAAATAGCCTTTTCAATTGCCACGTAAGCATTGACAGGAAATATGCTTTGATCTGTATGCACATTAACTAAGAGAAAAATGGGTGCATGGTGATATTTGTAAAAAATTTCATTTATAAAAATATCATTAGGTTTAATATTTGAACCCGTTGTATACCATCCCACAATTTTTTCTCTTGTATTAATTTTACGTATCATATTGAAAAGATTTTCATTGTAGTTATCGTCAACAAAAAATATGTTTATATCTTTTATGTCTTCTTCAAATGGCACTGCATAACTATTTGTTAAGTGAACAACTCCATCTATTTTTTCTCCTAATACTGTTCCTAAAACCCTTTTCTTTGTATTACTCGCTATACGATTGTAATGATCCACAACAGATAGAAGGACTATTGGATGTACTACTACATGCTTGTTCAGGTAAATTCTTTCTAGTTCATTTTTGTTTTTCTCAAATATGTCATTTTCCATTTTTTCCCCTTACACCTTCCCTCTTGCTCCACCTAGGGGTGTGCTATGCATGTAAATGTGTTTCTGATTTTTCAGGGCGAGTAACTTCCTTCTGGATGTGGCACGTCTGGATTTGTCTAAAATGAGCCTCTACTCTGAACACCTATCACACAAAAGAGTGTTTCATCCAAGAGTGCATCATTCAGTTGGTGTGCTTTTCCTGCAGTAGCAGCACGAACCACTGTTCAAGTGCTCTTCTCTACCTACGTCTCTTTGTTAGTAGTACGTGCATGCATATATATGTATATATAAAAGTGTACTTCTGTGTGCATTTATGTGTGTATTCGAAATACATGCAACTACTCGGGAAAATGGTGGAAGTGACAAGTGCCTTTATTTTGTTGGGCTCCCTTTTTAAGTAGGAGAGAAAAAGGTGCACAGCTAGCTAAATTGGGGTTACATTTGCACACAAAGGTGGGTATGTATATATATACATACATGAATACATACATACATGCACATATGCATATATACACATATGCATGCCTATATATCTGCGCTGGCGATTAGCCCAAAGTGTTGCTAAACAAGTGCGTGATAAGCTATGGAGAATTTAGTCTCTTTTGCGTTTACTCCATTCTCATTTTTCATACATACACCCATTCAAAAATGGCCCTTTGAATTTAAAAAGATATTGCTGGTCAGGCGAAATGGGGCAGTGCAAACGAGTCGTGAGCAAAAGGGAAAAAGAGAACAAACAGGCGAAAGGGTTTGCTGGTTGAGATGAAAATAAACTACAAAATGGAATATTCACACGGATTGTTAAGTGAAAATAAAAAAAAAAAAAAAAAAAAAAACTGCTTCGAAAAATGTTCCCTTTCACAAAATAAAAATTAGAAAAATGGAGTGCCTTATTTTTCGTGCTTTGCCTTTTTAGTTTATTTATTTTACTTTTTTCTTTTATATATCTTGTGATTGTCACCTCACTGACCCGTAGCTCTATTATCCTCATCTATGCGCCTTTTTTTTAAAAAAAAAAAAAAAAAAAAAAAGAAAAAAAAGCCATTTGGGTTGTAGGTTACTTTTCATTATTTCGGTTATTCTCTCATTATTGCAGTACGGTTGTTTACATTTATTGCCAAGTTAAGAGAACATAAAGCAAGGGGCGTGGGAAAGAAAGAAAGAAAAAAAAAAAAAAAAAAAAAAAAAACAGGAAATCATTAGGAAATAATATAAACTATGCTTTTATAAAACAATTTGCAAACCGTTTTAAAGATTATTGAGTAGTTAAGCACATGTATTTTCCACTCTGAATTCACACATATGGAAACCCAATATTTGAACAGGTTCAATGTGACACACCATTTTGAAGTATAGGAGAAAGAAAGTTATTCTATTTAACCTTTCTTTTGCGTAAGGTAGTATGTTGCACCTTTAAGTTATACCCAAGTGTGTATAATTTAACCGCGCGTACTAATGTATGGTTATATATGCAAAATCATCTTCAATTGCAGCATAATGAGAAAAGTACTGATAACTACATTTAGTACCAAACTAGACTATGCATAACTGGTATCAGAAAGAAAAAAAAAAAAAGGACAGTTATTATGGATATATTATACCCATCCTAGTAAAGGAAAAAAAAAAAAAATTCTCCTAACAGATTGCCAATGTAGGAGAAAAATAAAAAAACAAAAGTCATTTGATTAATTTCCCCGTATTTTTTCCTCGTGCTCCTTACGTCATATCTCGCTCCCAAACGTATGATCCTCCTCCCAGGTATAAGCCTTATGGGTGCCATCATAACATTATCTCAGATTTAAATATTAAGAGACACGAATCAAAATGAAAATTCGAAAGCACGACTTTGTCCTTATTGATGACGAATTGAAGTGTAAACTGCACAAAGTAGTGGATATGAAAATAAAAATAAAAAAGAATTATCTCAATCTGATGTTTCTTGTGAATAAAAAATATGGATCTACATACACTTACATAAAGAACAAATGGGTTCGAAGCAAAAAAAATAAGAACAAATTAGACATTGATTTTAATGAAGATATTAAGGGAACAAATAAGGATATATTTAAAGATAACAATTCACAAAAATTAACAGAAGAAAATATAGCACAATTAAAAGAAAATAATTCTGAAAATCCTTATGAAGTTATTCAAAAACTTATTGACAATTCTGTTACGTATAAAGAAAAAACATTAATTTCAAAATTTAAGTATGTAGAAAAAAAATTAAAAAGACACTTGTGTCAATTTACTGTATACGAATGTAATATTCTAAATTTAATGAACTTTTATTATAAGTACTTCCCTGAAAAAATATCTTACCTACGGGTTGATTACTTATCTAATTTATTGTTTCATTTAAATCGAGATGTTCTTCTTAAAGGAGAGGACAAAATCACCATGGGAGATACAGACTCAAGCAAAAATCAAAATCCGCTAAGTAAGGAACACATGGAGGAGAAAAAACAATTTCAAAATATAGAGTCGCAAATGTTGCAACAAAATGGAAATTCCACTTCAGAACATTTAACAGAGGAATATATTGACACGAACTTATCGCTAAACCCGAATGTACTCATTTATGATGATTCATTTGGTTTATTAACGAGTGTCTTAAACATTATTTATTATGAACATGTGAATATCTTTTCTTTAATTCATAAAAATGCTTCTAACTCCATTATCCCCTCTTTTGGAGTACGCAAAAATAACAACATTGTTAAGATCAGCATCCTGAACGCCCATCCCTCGCCAAAGATGTGCAGAAATAACTGGCACACCTTGAACCAGAACTATGAGTTCGTCTGTTCGTTTGGAGCGATGGAAGAAGTAGCAGAACCTGTGGAGGAGGTAGCCGAACCTGTGGAGGAGGTAGCCGAACCTGTGGAGGAATCATCCGCTGAAAACGAAAAAATGGGAATGCACGAGGGTCGACACGAGGTGATGAAGAGGAAAATAGAACAGACATATGATTCAGCTGATTTTGGTGACAATCGAAAAGGCGAATCGGTCAGTATGCCATCCCAAAACGACCTGACCTGCCCAAGCAACAAGAGAATGAAGAATAATCATCCAGAGGAAAATGTGAGAAGTGCATCTGAAAAAAAAAGCGCACAATTACAACGAATTTTGATGGATGATATAAAAAGTAGAAAAGCCGAATCATTTGTCATAATAATTTCAAGCGAATTTATATATAGCACCAATACAGATGTGTATTTGCTTATAGATACATTAATAAAGATTTCTTTGAAATTTTTAAAAAATGATAGTAAAATTATTATGCATACAGACGACTTAAACATTTCTAATATGTTTTTGAAATGTCTAATCGATACCAATTCGTTCATAAATATAAAATTAAATGAGTACATCCTCCGAGAGCAGCAGGTTGTGAAACGCAGAACACATCCAGTAATAAAAAATGCCAAGCTAGCAGATGGGTTCTTGTTAACTGCACTCAAGGTCGAAGGGGGACCGTAGGTTCCATCGGTTAATACTGTATATATGTACGTATGCACATCCATATATGCATATATATATACATCATCTTAGCGAATTGATAAAAATAAGTACACAGAAATGGCCATATCTATATTTCTATGAATTGGTGCAAAGCCCATTCGTTCCACATGAACACTTGTAGCTCTCCCGCACGCTTCTAATATTTTGTGATATATCAATATTTATGCATCATTTCGAAGGAATTAAACAAAGACTATGCTTCCAAAGTAAAATTTTTTTTTTTTTTTTTTTTTTTTCCTTTCCATTTTTCACGAATAAGTCTCTTCTCCTCCGTTGGTTCTACTTCTATGAACCTACAATAACTTAAAACACGTTGTGCTGTCCCTTGGAAGACTTGAATTTATTTTTCCTTTCTCTTGAAATTTGAACCTTATCCATTTTTTTTTTTTTTTCTTCTAACTTTTTTTTTCTTAATTCCATTTGTTCTAATTTTTTCTCATACAAACCTTTTAAACTCTCTGGTAATTTTGATACACTGAAATGTTTTCTCACATCTGCTTTAGTACATATGGTTCCATTGTTTGTCATTAGGAATTTCATCACTGTTTTTGCAAGTTGCGAATTTGGTCCCATTTTAAATGCGTAACTATTTGTGCAAGGGGAACAGAACACACATATGTGCACATGTCGAATTTATGTGATTGCTTTGGCAAGGACTTTTTTGAAGCCTTTTTTTTTTTTTTTTTTTTTTTTTTTTGTCTTATGTATACTTTTTAACTAAAATATAATGAAGTAGAATGTAAAAAGGTATTCTAACTAAAAAAATTGCAAATTAAAGAAGTTTTAAAAAAAAAAATTGTTGTAAAAATATCAGTGGGGAGGGGAGGGAGTGAGAATTTCCCTTTTAATTTCTGCATTTGTGTTAGTAAATTTTTCTCTTCTCTCTTCTTCATATATAGTGAAAGTTATGAGCATATGCGTTCACATTCATGTACGTACATGTGCCTCTGTAAATGTGCCTCTGTAAATCTGCTCCTGTAAATCTGCTCCTGTAAATGTGCCTCTGTAAATGTGCCTCTGTAAATCTGCTCCTGTAAATCTGCTCCAGTAAATCTGCTCCTGTAAATCTGCTTCTGTAAATGTGCCTCTGTAAATGTTTTCCCTTCCACTCATAACTCATCACGCATAATTCTGTGCATATGCACGTGTGCTCGGAATAAAATGTATATACCACCACCTCTTCTCCTCTTCTTCAATCTTTTCTTTATTTTAACATAACATTTTTGCAAAAAAAAAAAAAAAAAAAAAAAATTCAGCAAAAGTGTTGCTTCCTCCACGTGGAACGCACTTTTTACATTCGGCTTTTTTAAATCCGAAATTTCATCACATGAAATTATTTACATGTTACATGGTTCCTTTTCACGGAACTTTTTATTGTTCGGGGTGCCCACAATGGGGCGACAAAAAGGGCATGTTATATACAGGACAGTGCTATGAGGTAACACTTGTGAACGCATTTATAGGGAAAAGAAGCGGAAGAAAAAGTGGAAAAGGTATACGTACAGGAGTAGGAAAAAGTTATTCAATGGTGGATAAAGAAAGGCATGAAAAAAGAAGAAACAACAAGAAAAAAAGGTTTCAAAATGAGTAGCCCCAAAATGAGCAGCTCCAATTGGGGAGAAATCCAAAAGTTTAGAAAAAAAAAAAAAAATCCAACCTCCATTTGACAAACTTAAAAGTTACATTACCTTTACCTAAATTTCTGCTTCTCTATATCACCCACGTGCACGGGGTTGACGTTTTTTTGATAAATCCACACTATTGTTTAGGTCACTTAGACTCAACCCGTTTTGCTTATTATGTTCCCCCGGTGGGTTTAGAGGATCGTGCTCATGTTCGTCCTTATTTGTCTCATTTTTCCTGCAGTTCATAGTTATCTGCTTAAACTCCTTAAAAAATAATCTGCACCGTTTGTCATTCACATCTTCATCACTAGAGTCACCCATTTTGGTAGCATCCACAGTCACATCTGTTAAGAAGTTTGAATCTCCAATCAGACAACCTAACTTGTTCATAACGTCTGAAATTTGTGACATTTTTACATTTACTTCAGATAAATTAGTAAAATAATCATTAAACTTAGCAGGAGTATGGTCGCTTGAGTTCATGTTTTGCTTAAAGTTCCCAGATTCGTAACATTCCCTTTTGAAATGCATATAAGTTTCACTCTTGTTATGACTATGTTTGTATTTTACTGAACTAGGTATCACTGTAGAATTATCAATGGCGTGTTCATAAAAAGAGAAATTAATTTTATTTTTATATGTATCATTTTTAAGCCCATTTTGAATATGTGGGATATGTGTAGCAGTGAAAAATCTGTCAAGTAAGGTAGAACTTCTCACATCCTCATTATAATAAACATTTTCAGGAAAATTATGAATAGTACTAGTAGAACTAGGTTTCTTGGAAAAGTACTTCATTTTTGACATTTTTAAAAAATCTAGCAATGCATCAGATTTAGATCTTAAAAGACATTTTTGAAATATTTCATCTTTTTCTTTTAGTATTTTTTTATTGAAAAACATAGCAAAGTCATCTGTCCGGAATATTTTAGGTTTGCCAAAACATGGGTTTTCATGGCTTCTTCTAGATGCATACTTTTGCTTTCTTTCGCTTATCTGGAGTTGCTGTCGGTCATTTTTTGCACCATTTTTTGCATCATTTTTTGCACCATTTTTTGCACCATTTTTTGCACCATTTTTTGCACCATTTTTTGCATCATTTTGTGCACCATTTTGTGCACCATTTGGAATACGCTTAGTACTATTCCACTCTTTCATAATGTCACCTGAGATGCTGCCATAATTCATCAGATGAAGGCTAAATCCTTCATGTTCTTTTTTCTCCAATTTACATTTCACCTTTGCATTTTTTACAAGGGATACACGAGTCAGTGCTTTTTTTTTTGCGTTTCGTTCTAATGCGCCTTCAAGTATACATAGGGCATAAATTCTCGTGTTAATAAATTTTTTTATGGCTCTTTTTTCCTCCTATGATGTAAGAAAGAGAAAGAAAATGTATGCGATAAAAATAAAGGTGTCTGGTTCGATGGTTTGTAGTAAAACCTTTTGCACATGCATTTGTGCCAAAATGTTTTCACGTTATTTTGCCCCATAGAACAAGGGACAACGCGTGACCTATGTAGAAGTGTTATGTAATCATAGCTACACTGGTTTTACCGTTACCTCGGGTTTTCTCATTACCCGGGTTTTCTCATTACCCGGGTTTTCTCATTACCCGGGTTTTCTCATTACCCGGGTTTTCTCATTACCCGGGTTTTCTCATTACCCGGGTTTTCTCATTACCCGGGTTTTCTCATTACCGGGGTTTTCTCATTACCCGGGTTTTCTCATTACCCGGGTTTTCTCATTACCCGGATTTTCTCATTACACCGGTTCTGTCATTACGCCACTTCCCCCATTTTGTTGGTCATTCGTTTTGTATAGACATCAATTGAGACTCACCTGCCGCTGCCTCAAGGACCCGATCAGGGAAAAGAATCTACACAAATGTCTAAGCATATGCTTCTTCAAAAATAGACACAGCAGAATGGTAAAAAACTTCAAGCATGTTTTCTTCCTCCTGTGGTCATTTATGTCTACATCAACGAAGTTATCAATTAAAGTGTTTGTTAGCACTTTCTGTTGAAATTTTTTTTTAAGAATTTTTGAATTATGTTGCAAGTTTTTTTCTTTTGAATGGGTCATATCTTTGTTACAGTCTATATTTCCGCGTAATGATACATTCGTTTGATTGTTCGTTTGTGTATTTATTTCATTGCCCGTTTGGTTGCCCATTTGGTTGCCCCTTTTATTGCCCCCACGATTGCCCGTTTGTGTGTTTATTTCATTCTCATCGTTCTTTTTCAAAATTCGGAAATGTTTACATTCAGCATGTGCTCTTGTTAAGGCATTATATTTGGTATCCCAATTTTCAGTGTACTGGGAGCCCTTCAAGATATTTTGCGAAGATGATGTAGGATTAATGTTCTCCTTCGATGCAATTGTTTGATATTTATTATTTCTTTCCATTGCTGAAAGTAAATTGCTTTTCTCATCTTTAAATTGTTTTTTTTCTTTGTATACAATTTTTGCATATTCTTTATACACAGGACGAGAATTTTTGACCTTGGGATATTTTTTCAAAAGGGATAAATAATAACAGATTTGTTTTCTAAAAATGTTATTGAATGTGTTTACTGATAATATAACATTTTTCTTTATTATTTTATGAAACTTTTGATATTCCTTTTGTGCATTTGTTCTTTTGAGAAAATTTTCATTACTACTGTCATCATAAGTTGTTCTAGTATAATCACTATTAGAGATACATTCAAATGATCGAAGGTTATTTCTCCCTTTTTCAAATTTATCTTGGATACACCATCCATGGACATCCATATGGCTACTATTATTGCTGGCACTATGAGGACGCTCCTTATATTCTTTGAAAATCTTTAACATTTTTCTCTCTTTACCATTGCACGAACCATTTCGATTCAATCTGTGAAAATATATTTTCTGTTCTGTGTCTAAAACTATCCTTTGTGGATCTACACAATTCCATTCCTTGATATTTTTATATCCTTCTTTTTTATTTATATCTTTACATGTATTATACTCGTTATTTATTATATTATTCTCTTGTTTAGAATTCTCACTTTTGTCATAACCACATTGGAAAATAGCAGTTTCAGATTCATGCTGGAAGTTCTCTCCTGTGTGATTATCATCATAGAGGTGGCAGGGAATGTCATAGGGGGAAGTTTTACTTTTTTCACGATTAGTATGATTTTCTACAAAATGATTTGTTTCCTCATTTGTGTTCTTCAGCTTGGGTAAAGCAGAAGTAACAACAGTAGCAACAGTAGCAATAGTAGCAGCAGTAGCAGCAGTAGCAGCAGTAGCAGCAGTAGCAGCAGTAGCAGCAGTAGCAGCAGTAGCAGTATCACCACCACTTTGCTGTTCTTCTTCTTGGTGGTGGTGATGATGATGATAATCTTCCCTTGGGTCACCATAACGGAAATTCCTTTCATCATCTACCTTGTTGTAAATGCATGGAATCCTCCGCTGGGTAACACATTTCTTTACATAAATGGCTGGGAAATCACTGAAGCGGTTATTTTCTCGGTAGTTTTTTTCATTAATAGACGTTTGAATAAACCTCCTTTGATTGTCATCTTGGAAATAAGGCCAAGTAGGGTTAACTTCATAAAAGGTTTTAATATCATCCTTCTTAGTCTTATCCCATTTTGTGTTTTCATTTTGTTTACTCCACTGAATGTTGAAATCGAGGTTCATGTTCATGCGCTGCCGTCTCTGCAACGACGTGGGTATATCCTCCTCCTGCCTCTCCTCCTGCTGCTGCAGTGGATTTTCATCTCCCTCCTGTAATCTGATTTTTTCTCTCTTGTTCATTTCTCTACCCTTGGTAATATTCTCATTGAGAGAAGAGCCTCGAGTGAAGCAGCTCTTGCACCCTCTGTGACGAACATATTGTTCTGTTACTTTTCCAAAATGTTTTGAACAAGCCCCTTTGGTCGTTCCTTTTTCGCCTGAACAGCAATAATTTTTCGTTTCTAAATTTATTTTTCCATTTGCTTTTTTTATACAAAAATTGGTCCTTATGTTGTTTTCACATAGTCCATTTTGCGGCTTAATTTCTGCTACTTTCTTATTGTAAAATGTTATAAATTTTTTTTTTCCTGTCTTTTTTCTTAAACTTGTGTATGTATCATCATAACAACTTTGTGTATTACTTTCATACTTACTTTTTTTTGCAGCATCATTCAGATATCTCTCTTTAATTTCATTCAAAGATATCACTCGCTTTTCGGAGTTCTTCCCTTTCCTATGCATCCACCTGATGTTGGACATTGGTCAAATACACAGGAAGTTTGAAAGGTAAAAATTTATGAAGAATCCAAGTGAAAACATAATATTTATCATATAAAAACACACTTTACTTTTTTTATATAATTCATATAGAATATTTCCACTGATTTTTTTGTTTAGACTATTTCTGAAAATAATCGAAGGATCTAAAGTAAATATATACCTAATATTACGAGAGATCTCTATTATTTTAAGACTGCATATAAGGCATATGTGTATTTCAACTCGATCCCAAACTCGCTTTTTATATATATCATCCTACATACATGTTCATGAAGAACATCCTTTATTTTGTGATGCGATGATTGGAGTTAAGGTATTTTTGCACTGTATTATATTAGCAGCTGAGGATTGTATTCCATCATTCATTTGTTTTTTCTCCCTCAATCTCTCTCTTTCTCTTTCTCTTACTTTTTTTTTTTTTTTTTTTTTTTTTTTCCCTTTTTTTTTTCACCTTTTGGTAAATCACTTTTGCACAATGCATGGGTGTGTGTCTTTTTTTCAATGGGTAAATAAAAGTCTACATTCATTTTTAAAACAAACGTAAGATTTTTTTTTTTTAAAAAAGATAAAAAAAAAAAAAAGGTGGGAATAATATATGTTCGTCTGTGAATTTGTTAAAGGTAAAGAAATGGCACAAATTGTTACAAAAAAAGGGTAAAAAAATGGTAAAATGGTGTAAAAACGCGTAAAAACTTCTAAAAACATGTAAAAAAAAAAAAAGGGCACTATAGGAAATACACCCCGAATGAGAGTAATTAAAAGAAAAAAAACTCTTTCATATGCAGACGTTATAAAATGGACATATATCCATTTGGTGATGGATGCATTAAAAGGTTCATGGTAAAAATAATTGCGATAAAAATGTGTTATATACCACACATTGTCATGTTCAGCTGATGCAAAACGTAAAGTGTGGAAATATATGTAAAAACTATTGAAAAGGCAGGACGTACCAAAATTTGTACTCAAAAAAAAAAAAAAAAAAAAAAAAATGGGATAAAAAAATGGCACAGAAAAAAAAAGGTGCACACACTAAAAGCTAGCTAATGGCAATTAATTCATGGAGAGAAATATAAGCGTCTACATAATATTTTTAAATCAATAAGATTTTCAATTTTAAAACTTTAATTCCGCAAGCACAAATGTATTTCTACACATGTTTTAACTCATATAACGAGACGGATGTGTATTAATAACAATGAATACTACTTCTCTCGTTCTTAAGATTTTTACTTCTTCACAAGGAAGAAAAATGAATATACAAAATATGTAATTTCTCATAGAAAAACTACGTCCCCTACACACCATCATTACAATCACCTCTCGCGACCTTTCAAAAAGAAACAGTTATTGTGTCATTCCAAATCTTAGAGCCCTTGCTTTCAATTTATCACTCTATAAACGGAAAAGAAATAATTGCATGCAGTTAACATGTATGTACATATACATGTGTGCACGTGTGTACGTAATATTGAACTTATGACTATTCATTAGCACCACTGTACAAAGATATAGTATGTTTGCATAAGTAATATCTCCCCGTTCATTCGATGTTACATGAACATTATATGGAAACGTTCACTAAGTCTTGTTTGCATGAACTCAAAAAAAATGTAAGAAAAAAATTCAGATACAATGAGTATGTAACATATATGCATAACACATCAGAACGTACCTCGTTGACTAAGCCAAACCTTTCGGCTCTCTTCTTTTTCATTTCAAAATCGTTAAGCTTTCCCTGTATAATGGGGTTGGGGATGGGAAACATAAAATATATACACAGAATATAAATATGATTACACAAAAATGGCCTGCGTATATATATTCGTGTGTGCGTGGTGGTATGAAAAATATTATGAACAGTTAATCAGCTAACCTTATTCAGACCAAAGCGCTCAGCTCTCTTCTTTTTGTTTTCCTCTTCCATTTTTTGGGTCACAATGCAAAATCTGCAAAAATGGAATAAAAAAAAAAAAAAAAAAAAAAAAAATCAATGAGTCAATGAAAGAGAGATGAGGTGAATGACAGCAAAATGGAATCCATTGTCGTGAAACCAGATGCTTGGATACAAAATTAGTTGTAAGGTTAACGCCATTTTTGTGACAAATAATTCAGGCATTTCCAAATATTCAATGCCTTTTGGGACGTTGCAAAGTATGTCAAAATATCTAGATAAAACTAGTGTGTAGTGTCATTTTTAATTCCTTTTATTCATAATTTTATTATTTACCTCTTAGCTCTAGATTCAAGTGCATCATCCGTAGAAACGACACCTAAGCATAGAATGGGGAGACGATAATAAAATGAGGACAGATGTGAAGGGGGAAGGAAAAAAAAAAAAAAAATGTTCACGTATGAAATAAGATCTGCGGGGTACATAATGGATAGGTAAACATCATTAATGGTGAATAAATAACTGCTCTTCGCAATCTCAATTTTGTATTTTTACCAAATCTTTTTTTTCGTAATTCTCTCTTTTTCTCCTCAGTTAGGTAAAGATTATCTTCTGGAGTGAGAGAGAGAGAGAGAGAGAGTGAGAGAAAGAAAAATATAATAAAATAAATAATTCACAATATCAAAATGCGTAAGGTGCTGTAACCTACATAAAAAAAAAAAAAAAAAAAAAAAAAAAAAAAAAAAAAAAAAAAAAAAAAAAAAAAAAAAAAAACTGCCACAGAACAAAGTGAGCAGACTGCATATATTGGCCATGTTGCTCATATTGCATGTGAAAATATTTGCAATAGTGCCAACAATATATCATATAAATACACGTATGAACATGTGTGGAAAATGTTTTATAAAAGGGAAAGTTTCATGCGTATTGTCTTTAGTCAAACCTGGAGGAGAAATAATATTTTTTTCTAGAATATTCTTTGTGGACAGCGACGTTTCAGAAAAAGTTATTTTTGGAATGACAATTTTAGTTTTCTTTTCTTCATCATTGTTCAGGTTTAAATTTTTATTAGCATATGTTTTATCGTCACTTTTTGAATTGTCGTTTCCGTAGTATTTGGACTCTTCCACATTAACATTGGAAGTTAGGATATTTTTAAAATAATTTTTCATTTTTCCTATATCAGGTTTATTATATTCTTTTTCTCTTGTATTTACTGATAAAATTTTTTTTTTTTTTTGGGACCCTATATATGATGGGGAAGAGGGTGGCATGTAATTATTATTTTCTTCTTCTATGTTTCCCTCTTCTATATTTTCTTTTTCGAATGGTTCAACAACATTTATTTCTGAGTTATTTTGATTTCCTACTAATACATCCGTTGATGATGACGCTTCTAGATATGATATTCCTTGTTCAGAATTTCCCTTATTACTATCCAATATGTATTGATTTATAGAATTAGGGTTATCTTTTTCATGATTTATGAGCCTTTCTAAAAGTTCGTTCTACGTTTTTATTTCAATTTGTTTATTTTATTTTATTATTTTTTTTTTTGGGGTTCATACGAAAAAATTGGGAAAAAAAAAAAAAGTACGTGTGAGCAAATAGGTTCAATTTTTTTTTTTTTTTAATCTAGAGGTGATTATTTTATAATGGTGGTTGCAGCGATGGTGGTGATATATATCTAATGTACGTACCATATGTATAATATGTATATATATTTGTATAAGTCTGTGTATAAAATTTACATGTATATATTTATATGTTTACATGCATATATTTATACGTTTGGGCATATCTAATTAATTATTGTCAAACTGATCTATGGACTATATTTTTTCCTTAAAATATAGCTCATGCTAATAGTTTTTACCAAGAGGAGTAAGCGAATGTTTTATATATATATATATATATATATATATATATATATGTATATAAATGCATACAAGTAGTTAAAAACATGTTCGCAATTGAAGATATGCACGCCGGCGTAAGGTACATATATATATTTATGCATCTATATAGCATATGTAATTTTTTTTTTTTTTTTTTTTTTAATATAATTATGCTTGTGCATATTATAGTCCTATCGCACTGTATATTATTTATACGTATAGATAATAAATATATTTACCACCCTGTCGCTCACTGCTGTTAAATATATATCTTATAATATTACCTTCTTGCCATGTGATGGTAGCCCCCTTTTGGCTAACAAATCCTTTAATTCCGAACATTTCAGGTTTTGGTAGCTCATATTTTATTTTTTATTTTTTTTTAACTGACTACTGATGAGAGATGGATTGGTCCAACTTGTTGGTTCAAAGGGGTTTGTTTCTTCTTATTATTATTCTTAATCTTAATCTTATTCTTAATCTTATTCTTATTCTTAATCTTATTCTTATTCTTAATCTTATTCTTATTCTTAATATTAATCTTATTCTTAATCTTATTTTTAATCTTATTCTTAATCTTATTTTTAATCTTATTCTTAATCTTATTTTTAATCTTATTCTTAATCTTTTTTTATTTTTTTTATTCTTTTGAAGGCAAGAAATATATACAAAAAAATGGTTCGTAATTAAATATTAAAGAGAAAACATATAGTATAGTATCAACTGTTACAATTGCTAATTGATGATTTCAATTATTCAATCCCTTAATTTTTGCTATGCCCCCTTCGCTGTTTGCAGGTTAAAGTATGCCAGCTCCTATATTTTTGTACATAAATGAAACATATATATGAAAACCCACCAAATATTTAATAATATTGATATATTACTTGCATACACAAGCGCACATACAAATATATACATATATAAAAATAATCAAATCATATTCAAATTTTCGATCTTCTATGTAATACAAAGTAAATACGGGTGCATGGGCAGATGGGACAAATAAGAAAAAAAAAAAAAAATTTAAGTTAAAAAAAATTGATCTGTGAGTGTAATAATTTAAAAAGTTTATGTGAACACATTACATACTTGAATATATAATTTTTTTTTTTTTTTTTTTTTTACTGCGACCGTTTTTCTTTTTTTTTAACAGCGCCCTTTTTTTTTTTTTTTTTTTTTTTTTAACACTTTTTTTTTTTTTTTTTTTTTTTTATATTTTTTTTTTTTTTTTTTTTTTTTCCCCTTTTTTTTTTTTTTTTTTTTTTTTTTTTTTTTTTTTTTTTTTTTTTTTTTTTAATTTTTTTTTTTTTTTTTTTTTTTTATAAGCTACTTTTTTTTTTTTTTTTTTTTACCCCTATTATCTGGTTGCAATTTAATTTTACCTTTTTATTTCTGTATTTCTTTAATTCTTTGTCGTTTATCCTCTTCGTCTTTGAAAATGCGTTAGAACAGGAGCCACGACAGAAGATTTCCACACATGCAAAATTATTTATCCAACCTATGGGATACACACGTTAGAATACTTTTCAAGGCATTAATTCTACGCCATCTTAAAATTGTTTATCACGTTGTGACTATTATATCATAGGAAGGTGTGTATACATAGAGTTCATGTAATGTGCATTTAATTAAATCATCGGAATGCAGAATGCATATTCTTTTAAAATGATTATATACATATTCAGGCATATATACACCGACAAAATCGATGTTGTGTTACATGTATTTATGTGCACACGCATTCAAACAGATGTGACAAAATTAACCAATTGTTCTCATTGCTACTACAGATAATAAGAACATTTGTGTATACATGCACTAAGCACGTATGCAAGTGTGATCTTACCCAAGCACACACTTGTACAAGTGTACTCTTTATAACCCTTCGAACATTTTTTTGTAACCTCAATAGAACAGGAAATATTAACATTCATGCTTGACCTTTTTGCCGAACCATGAATGTATTCATAAAAAACACAAAGGTTAAAACCACCCGCTAATCACACACATAAGCCAAATCAAAGCTAAAAAGAAAAAATAAATAAATAAAAAATAAAAAAAAAATAAATCAAAATCAAAAATGAATAAATTTTTTTTTTTTTTTAAGCTTATAGTGAGGGAAGTGCACGCAGACTGTCAATACCTTACTACGTGTGTTTATGAATAAATTACATAATACCCATGCTTGGCAAAAATTGTACATTTTCCTAAACCTTTAAAAAAAAATAAAATAAAATCGTCTTCATTTGGATAACCTTTTTGCAAAGAGTACATAAATAGGATACGAACTGGAAAAAAATAATTCACCATTTTCCAGTTTCCGCAAAAAAAAAAAAAAAAAAAAAAAAAAGTTAAGCTCTCGTTTATACACACATACATACATAATCATCTCTGTCTGTATGCATACACGTCAAACCCCCCCAAGGTTACAATTAAAAAAGGAAGAAATTATGTTGAGAAAACTCCAACACAAAAAAAAAAAAAAAAAAAAGCCTCCTCCATGTAGTATTTGGCATCACTCATGAGCACAGAGTTCACAAGTGGTATCAGTCATATTTGTAAAAAATAAAAATAAAAATTATCCAGTTTAAGTACTAATATATGATAGCATTCCTCTTTTCTTAATTTTTTTTTCTTTTTTTTTGATCCATTTTATAATATCATATTATCTTTCCCTCGCTGCTTGGCACAGAATGATTAATTTTGTCATTTCTATTTTGCGATTACAAATGGGATAAAGCCATGCCAAACGGAAAATAGAAATTCGCCATACGGTTAAAACGTTCGTTCGTTTGTATATATATATGTGTACATGTGTAAATCGGCTTGATCCAAAGGTGCCAGAATGATGTTCTTTACACGTTTCATTGCAAGTTTGTCAACTCGATGAGCTATATTTCCTGCTGGTATTACATGAAGGCACAAAAGAATAGAACATTTTTTTCCCCCCCTAATATGCAAGTTCATAAAGGAGGAAAGTAACACCGCCGTATTTCGCTTGCTGTGTCAATTTTATCATTTTTTAAACACGGTATTTGTTTTTATATTTCCTTATTTACCACTTGTTAACTTTATTGGCCATATGAAAATCTAATAAAATTGTTTCAAAATTTTATTCCCCCATTTTTTCTATGTCTTGATATATCCACATTTCCTAGGGGCCGTACACTGAAATAATTTTTTTTTTCTTTTTTTTTACGGAATTTGTTGGCAATTTTTTAGCATATGTTTGGCAATTTTTTAGGCAATATGTTTGGCAATTTTTTAGGCAATATGTTTGGCAATTCTTTAGGCAATATGTTTGGCAATTTTTAGGCAATTTTTAGGCAATATGTTTGGCAATTTTTAGGCAATTTTTAGGCAATTTTTAGGCAATTTTTAGGCAATTTTTAGGCAATTCTTAGGCAATTTTTAGGCAATTTTTAGGCAATTTTTAGGCAATTCTTAGGTTTATAAGCCATTTTTTAAGCCATTTTAAGCCATTTTTTAAGCCATTTTAAGCCATTTTTTAAGCCATTTTAAGCCATTTTTTAAGCCATTTTAAGCCATTTTTTAAGCCATTTTAAGCCATTTTTTAAGCCATTTTAAGCCATTTTTTAAACCATTTTAAGCCATTTTTTAAACCATTTTAAGCCATTTTTTAAACCATTTTAAGCCATTTTTTAAACGACTTTTCTTTATTCATCCAGTCGCACTACATTTTCTTTTTCTTTTTTTAATTAGAACATTCGGATAAATTTTTACATTTCCACACATTTACCCATTGCACTTTTCCTTCGCATACTCTTTAACGTGCTTACATCTTGTGACCATTCAATTTAAAAGTTTTGCACAATATGTCAATAAATTTTTTGTGCGAATATTATACTTACACATTCATATGTCACTCAACAGTTGGTTACACACCTTGAAGTGTTATTTTTAATTTTGCACTTTTGCTATATTTAACGCAAAGTTCCTTTTTCTTTTTTTTTTTTTTTTTCTTTCTTTTTTCAAGCTTTTATTAGGCATTACACACTATACATTAATTCCCAACCACACACACCATCTTCTGCTCCTTTCTTCCCTTTTTCAAAGCTAACCTAATTATTTGCCTTATCAATCTTGAATTACGAAAATACAAATATATAGTACCAAATGTGCACATCCCCGTTATTTATATTCGATTTTGTACATTAAGTGTAAGAACAAGCATGTGGATGCCAAAAGCCACATTTGATGTGAGATAATTTTGCCCATTGCCCCTTGGCTTTTTCAATAAATGAGCAACCCCCCGTGAGCCTTCAATGCACGCTTATATTTCAGCGCTTGTGTATGTTTCAATACATGTGTATGTTTCAGCGCTTGTGTATGTTTCAATACGTGTGTATGTTTCAATACGTGTGCATTTCATATTATATACACCCACCTGAATGTGTATGCCGTCGTACATACATAACAACATTTTCGTACACGTATTTATAATGTCTGCACGATATTCCAAATTTTCCCAATTTGCAAAGCAAAAAATATATCACATCATTTCAAAATCGCACAAAGGATAATAGTTCTCTTTTAATTATCTCATTTCTGATACATTTAGAACTTGGGCATTTCTTTATTTTTAGCGGATCCGAATTTACTCTTTAATCATTATCTCCCTGTATAGCATTACTGTGTTAGTGATTATTTTATTTTACTTTATTTTACATTATTTTATTTTTTTTGAATTCGTCTCGATTTTCACGTTTCTGTTGCTACACAGAAAGAATCATTTTTTTTTTTTTTTTTTTTTTTTTTCTCGACGGACGCACGTCGCACCTATACTAGTTGTTAGTTTTAGATTATCCTTTTGAAGAATGAAAAATTGTGTAAATTTATTTTTTTTGTTTTACGCTTTTTTCAAACATGTGAGTTGCCAAGCAGATCAAATAATTAACGAAAAGTTAACCAATTTCGTTTTTATGAGTTGTAATTACCAAAAGGGTAAGGCAAATGAGACGTTAATAAAATCAGTAGAAAAGAGGAGACCACAACTTATGCTCTGGGTTGGTGATTATTTTTATTCAGAATGTAAAGATTTAAAATGTTTAGATGAAGTTTATGAATATATTAAGAAAGACCCATTTTATATACAATTAAAAAAAAAATTTGTAATTGATGGTATATATGATGATCATGATTATAATAAAAATAATGGAGATCGATTATATGAACATAAAAAGGAAAGCAAAACGCGATTTTTAAATTATTTAAATGTTCCAAAAAATGACGTAAGATACAAAAGAAATGGTGCATATATATCTAAATTATATATTGACCCAGAAAATGAAAAAAACCAAGTTAAAATTATTATTTTAGACACAAGATATAACAAGGATCCATATCCTTTTTACGCCCCTGACTCATATCATGATAGTTTGACTCATATGTTCACTTCATTTATTGTTCGTTTTCATGCTGCTTTGTTCGGTTTATATTGCGATAGCAAAAATGACATTTTGGGAAATGAACAGTGGACATGGCTAGAAAAGGAGCTAACCAATTCCAGTGCTCGTGCTCATATTATTGTTTCTTCTACACAGGTAAATTAGCTAGCAAAAAAAAAAAAAAAAAAAAAAAAAAAATCCACTTTTTCCTGAACGGGTCATTATTTTTTCCCTGTTACTTTATGTGAACGCTAGTGTGCCCATTTGTCACGTACCTCATTGTCGAATTTGTTACTTCTCCCATCACTCAGATTTTTTCAAACCACATTGTAAACGAGAACTGGGGATTAATGCCATTTGCACAGAAACGATTGAAAGATTTGATGAATAAAACAAAACCAAAAGGCCTTCTCTTCCTAAGTGGTGATGTACATTTTGGAAGCATACTTGGAAATGAAGAAAATATTATCGAGGTCACAAGTAGTAGCGTAAATCAGGAAAATATACTTAGTTCTATCAACAAATACATTATATATTTGTCAACACATTTGTTAAATAAGAAGAGCCCCTTTGAGTTAAATAATATATATTCTTTTAACAATTTTGGATCTGTTAGTATAACATACACAAATGATAATGAAATAAGTGTTAAATCAGCCATTCATGATTCCCATGGCAATGAAATATTAGTGGCTAACCAAGTTTTTAATAATAAAAAAAATATATATCAAAAAACGCAGAACTTACACTTAATGCATGATGATCTGGCAACATTCTCTTGTAAAAGCAATGCAAAGGTAAGTATGCACATTGTCATTTACGTATTGTTTGTATTATGGTTCTTGCAAATTCTTTTCATTATTTATAAGCTCCTCGGGTTTGGAAAACGAAGCAAGATCACAGACAAAACGAAAGGTGAATAATTATGGTGCAAAATATATATATATATATATATATGTATGTGTGTACGTTAGGACATTGCCTTCTATTGTTTACATTTAAGTAGCTTATGATTTTGCCTTTTTTTTTTTTTTTTTTTTTTGCCTGCATCATTTTATCCGTTCTCAATTTTGTTACACATTTCTTAGTCTATTTTTATCCACAGCTCATTCGTCTACTTTAATATAGCCACCATCTGCTTTAATCTACTATTACATTTTCCAAGTATACCCCCAACTTTTTCTTTTTTTTTTTTTTTTTTTTTAAAGACCATTAATCAATTCTCCAACGCACGAAAAACCTTTTCTTACGCATCTTTAATAAATGACAAACCTTATGATACTTCATGGTTATTTGAAGTATTGCTTGAGTAGACTTTTTTGATTTTTTTAGATGGGAATAACATGGGTTGTCATGCCCTATCGAAAGTTGGTAAAAAAATATTTATACATTTGTTATATGTATGGAAATAATTGTGCAGTGTTCTGAGGGGTCTTCATTATCATGATTCATATGAACGTTAGTCTGCTTCATTCGTGCGTTACACGTATGCAGACACAGACACACACATACACATGCATATATATGTACAAGCATATATGGGTGTTCGATTCACAGCGTGGTTAGGAGAAGGAAATTATATAACATTATAAAAATAAGCCTAAATAGAAAAGGCATAGGAATCCCTTTTGTGTGACTACGTCCGAGGTAGTACAATATCACTATACCTCTAAAGCTGCATCGTCCAAGTTATATCGTCAAGGTTATATCGTGACATGCCCTCTCGCCCCTATGGATATGCCAATGTAACGTGAACAAGGTTAAATGAAATGACTCAAAAGATCATCACCCAGGGGAACGAAATATGAGCCAATATTCACACATACGGGAAGGATTAAAAACTACTTATACTAACAAGAAGAACAATCGTTTTATTTTTATTATTAGAAGTTGATAGATCCATATATTTTATTTTCCCTGAAATTGGAAATGTAAAGGATTCACCAGTGTAGAAGAAAAGAGAGTGTTCGGGGATTAATGTTACTTCTCCGAAATAGGCTACAAAGAGGTGAAAAGCGGACAGAAAAAAAAAAAAAAAAAAAAAAATAATCTTCGCTTAAATGAGAAACTTTTTTTTTTTTTTTTTTTTTTTCTATACCGTAAAACTGGAAAATAAAATATATGTATATGTACACACGTATGTAACATCAATTTTTGAGCATGCAGGGAGAGGGATAATTAAAGTTCTACATATATTTCCCACTTGTGTTCACAAAATTTGAATGCTCCAATATGTACATTTTTTTTTTTTTTTTCATATTTTCATTTAATGTCTCATACTATTTTATTTTGTTTTTTCCACCTTGCTGTCAACTTGTATGCATAATTTACATTTTTGCAATTCTTTTCCCTTTTTTTTTTTTTTTTTGTTTTTGTTCTCCTGAACTGTGTATTTGTGCTTGTGCGCTTAGTTGCTTTGATTGTAATTAGCAACTTTTTTTTTAAAACGTGTGCATATAAATATATATACATATATAGATACATTCATATACATATACACGTATACATATATACATTTTGTATTTTTTCGCTATACCATTTTTGTTTATCGCAGGAGACAAAATGACTAGATTATGTTCGCTCGAAACAGTAGTAATAACTTGTCTTATACTTTTACTTAATAAGATAAGTTCAGTGTTGAACCTCGAGGATGTGTTTTTCAACGGAAACTTCAGTGTCAATTTATCAAATATTTTTAGCGAGAATCATGTGAAAATAAATGACTTGAAAATAAGTACGGCCTACCTTTTTGATCTTCCACCTCCCCTAGATTTAGACTTAGCGCTATCAGCCCTGAAAGGCGTACGAAGTATCGGGGTGAGAAATAGCAATGTTGAAAGCAAAACTAGAGGGAGTGATAGGGGGAGGGATGACGGTTTTATGGAAGATGAGATAACCATAGAAGTAGAAAATTCTTATGTAGGAGAACACATCCAATGGAACAAGGTATCTAAACAAAATTTCTTTAAAATGGAGATGCAGAAAGAGGATGTGATGAAAGGTATGCCGATGCCGTATGAAATAAACAACATTGCAGATGCAATTAAAGAAATAAATTTTTATTTTAATCAGAGGCGTAATGGAATATACGAAGAAATTGTATATAATGGAACGCACATACCTGATATATATACAAATGTATTTATAATTATTGTAATATCATTTATGTATTTGTTCTGCTTTAAAACAATATGTGAAGGATACACGAGGGGGAAAAATGCAGCAAAAAATTATATACCTAAAGCATCAACTTTGTTCTTCTTTTTTTTAATATTAAAAAATGTACTAAGTTATTTTCCAGCTATATTGTCTTCTATTGTTTGTTTAATCATAACGTTTTATTTTTATTCAATATCAATGAATCCATGTGAACAAATATATTTTTTGAAAAATTCTACCATAAAAAAAGAACCCATAGGATGGGTTCTAATTGTATTTGCAGAATCTATAATAATTGGAAATATCCTCTATCATTTTTTCTGTACCCCCCATATGTTACTAATATTATTAAGGTACATACCAAGTGAACTGTTGGTAAGATTTATATGTTTTCTAATACTATTACTCATAGGATATACTATATTCTTACTAATGATAAGTAATTTAATTTCAGCGAAGAAAGCACAGAATTTTGTATTCTCATTCACATCTTCTTATTTAATTGTGTCAAGCTGTACTTATTTTTATAATCTCTTAGTACTGAGGGTGTTAAAGTATACCAATATATTTCAAATAGAACCAATAATGTTTTTTTCTTACGCTCCAAAATTTGTTTTTAACATTCAGAATTATATTGCCCTACTTACGATATTTATACTCACGGCTTTGTCTATCTACATACCCAAATTCATAAAAATCAAGAAAGATGGCCTTCGCCATGAAAAAAGAAACAAAGAAGATTCAAGCACGGGAGGGCACAACAGGTATGATATTATTCTTAGTTCTTTCTCTTAATTAAACTGAGCAGAGAAGCAGGGATAGACCAAAAACAGGAATCAGTATTACACTAGATACCTGGAACCACAAAGCTAAGGAGTGTAACTTTCCATACCATCATTTAGTAAGGATATACGTAAAAAACAACATATAAGCCCATATGGATCCCCATATGTCAAGGCACATCCGTTTCGATTGTTTTTACAACTGATGTGGTATTATGAAGCATGATACAACATGGCACCCACCCCTGTTAGAATTTGTTCACCTCGTATGAGGTTTATATTTTCAGTTTCGAAGATTTTGTGATATTTTTTTTTTTTGTGCATAATTTTTAATGCCTAAAATCATATAGTGGTGAAAAGGGAACTTCCATGCATTTTTACATAATTTTTTTTTTTTACAAAGGAGAACTGAGTAAACAAATTGTAAGAGAGAGCAGTTTTTTTTTTTTTTTCTTTTTTCTCCCCCACGATTTCCCTATTTGTGATATTGTGATTTTTTTTTTCTTTCTTTCTTTATTTATTTAATTTTTTTTTTTTTTTTTTGTTAATGCAACATCCCTCCCTACGAAAGCTTGTTTTAACACATCAATGTTTACTAAAATGTCAACATGTTCTTTTATTTTTTTCCCCCCGCTGCTTGCCAATTTGTGGACTCTTTTTTTCCCGCTATTTTTTTGCCATTTTTGCGCTACATTTCTGCTAACTTTTCCGCTATTTTCTTTTTTTTTTTTTATTTTAACTCTTCCAAACATGGTACAACATTCCCTAAAACTTCCCATATGATATCATCATAAACTGTAAGTGGAAAAAAAGCAGTTGTAGGCATTGCTCAAGAGAGGACGAAAAAAAAAAAAAAAAAAAAAAAAATTAAGAAATAAAATTTCCAAAAGAACGTCCATGTATTTATTATAAGAGAATATGTCCGTATTTTTGCACACCTGCATGTTAATCTATCTCTTTCCTGGAATCATCATTAATTAGTAAAATCAGAACATGGGGGTAAAAAAAAAAAAGTAGAAAAAAAAAAGTAGAAAAAAAAAATAGAAAAAAAAAAGTAGAAAAAAAAAAGTAGAAAAAAAAAAGTAGAAAAAAAAAAGTGGGAAAAAAAAAGTAGAAAAAAAAAAATAGAAAAAAAAACGTAGAAAAAAAAATGTAGAAAAAAAAACGTAGAAAAAAGAAATGTAGAAAGAAAAACGTAGATTTCATCATGTTCTGTACATAGTGGTATGTTTTTCTGTGAGAACAGAATATATAACATTAAACATGCACGATTTTATTCCGTTCAAATTTTGTTGCTGACGTTGGTAGAGATGACAAAATATAAGAAGAGGTAGTCTGAAATAATTTTTATGTGATTATACACGTTTGGAAAAAAAAAAAAAACAAAGTGCGTTATAGTACACTTTACATTATTTTTTTTATATTTTTTATAAACCATCTTGATTAGTAAAAACACGTGAACAGAGTTTTTTTTTTTTTTTTTTTTTTTTGCATTAATCTCGAGATACACATTGCAACAGGATATATGTTTCCCTCTAAGCATTTGTCACAATTGAACTATTCCCAACACACAGAACATGCATATCTCTTCAAGTATCGCTAAAAAAAAAAAAAAAAAAAGGGCACAAAGAATTAAAACTCTTGCAATCAATTGGACCAATATGAAGAGGAACCAATGCATGTTCTCACATACGCACATGTATGTACATAAATACATATATATATATAAAAGGGAGAAAGAGGGATGTTTGATTCTATGCTAAGGCCAACTTAAATGTAGAAGAACTGCAGTGTCCCCTCATTCCCCCTAAACTATTTTTTTTTTTTTTTTCGTGGGTTAATGTGCCAATAAATTGCTAACGTGAAACAAAATTTCCATGTTATAGAGATTTTCCCTTAAATAAGTAGATTAAAAGAAAGAAAAAAAAAACTGCAACAACGATAACAAGAACGATAACAACAAGAACGATAACAGCAAGAACGATAACAACAAGAACGATAACAAAATTAGCCGAATAAACAGAGTAAAATAATGAGGAAAACGTGTCAAGTGTGCAAACGTAAATTGTACCAATATGTGTGTCCTTCGTGCGAAATTGTTTACTGCAGTCTTGAGTGTTATAAAAGACATAATGATAAATGTGTGAACATTTTTCTGGACAACCAAGTTAAGCAGAGTATTAAAAATAATCAGTTAACAGATTTAGAGAAAAAGGAATTTAAATTCAAGTTAAAAAAGCTTTACGACAAAAATGTGGACACACTCAATTCGGACATAGGTGAAGCATGGGATGAACCCGAGGTTGAGTCGGATGAGAGAGAAGGCGACAAAAAGGGAGATGATGAAGACGAGGTTGAATTAGACGAGAGAGAAGGTAATGAAGAGGAAGACGAGGAAGAGGTGGGCGAGAATGAATCTGAACGTGTGGCAGATGAAGATGGACCCAAAGGGAAGAACCAGAATCACTTAAAAAAGTGGTGCATAAGCAACAGAAGGTATAAGGTTCTGACTGAACTAGCCAAAAGTGACCAACTGAAACTAGAAAGTCTTACGAAAACTGAACAGAAGCAATTCTTTTCATTCTTAAAAAGTAATGATATGAATTTATATTTCGCAAAGTTTGAACCTTGGTGGTTAAATTGTGTAATAAAAAAAATGAAAACACCCGAACACATATGTTGTGGTAAGAATGTCAGCGAAAATGTTATATATATAATTATCGAGATTTTATATACCTATTGTTATTTATTACGTATTTTTAATAAAAGTATGGACAATAAAGAATTATGTCATTGTTTTCTTTATTTATCTAGTTCGTTAAACAGATTTAATCTTCCAGAATCCAATGTATACAACACTATTCACAATTTATTTCAAAGGATACTAGAAAATGATGAATTGGCAAGAGAGAAAAAAATTCTATACAATGTTATAACGGACATAACAACTATTTTAAATTTAAAAGATCTATTTCTTAGATGTTTATATGAAACAAAGAAATTTTTTAAAAAAGAAATTAAAAAAATGAATTCCAAAAAAGAGAAAATGGATGACAATTCCAAGAGTATTAAAAAACATATTGCACTTTTACAGGAACAAAAAAACTTCAAATATGTAAATAAAAAAATAACCTTTCTCTACAGTTATGCCAATTATCATTATGACAATTTTGTACCTATTATGAAACAGCTTTCTCGATTCTACAATGAACACACAAAAGAGAAGAATTCTCTTGTTTCTAATGAGAAGAGGGAAATTGTGTTCTCAAAGGAGAACCTCTAAAAAAAAAAAAAAAAAAATCTCTTATCGAAATTGCACGAACAAGTAGACAATGCTTATTCTGTATCTCTAGTCTAAAGGTAAGTTTGGAAAAAGAGGGCCAAAAGAAAATGGGGTAAATCATAAGGGGAACTAAGTTAAAAGTACCAAGAGGTATAGTAGTAGTGGTCACTTGTAGCAGTATAGTGACCAGTTATAGCAAGAGGTTCTTCCGGAGTTCACATGTCGAAAGTATTCTGAGCAGAGGGAATTTACCACTATTTTACATGCACATGAGCGTCAACGTGAATCGATAGAGTTGATTTCTTTTTCCAATTTATGTACCCAATTTATGTACCCAATTTATGTACCCAATTTATGTACCCAATTTATGTACCCAATTTATGTACCCAATTTATGTACCCAATTTATGTACCCAACTTATGTACCCAATTTATGCACCCAATTTATGCACCCAATTTATTATTCGAAGTTTTGGGAGTGTTCATCAGTTTTGAACTGTTTTCAATTTTGAACCACTTTAAGTTTGATACTGCCTTGGGTTTGAATTTTTTTTTCTTTTTTTTTGGGAGGGATGGGCTTTTGCGCGTACTCTATGAATACTTCATGGGCTGTAAATTTTCTACATATGTTTGTTCATTAGATGAGGGATGTACATATATAAAAACCCTTATCAATATGTGTATATACCTGTACCATATCTATACTTGCATAATGTAACGCACGAATACACACTTTGATATCAAGTAATTCTTCTTATGAAGAGCCTCAGAAATTGAACACGTTCGATACATTAAAAAAAAAAGAATTAAACTTGCGTAAAATTTTAATCATACTTGAATTGTGTTTTGTTTCAAAGGTCAAGTAGAGAAGAATACACCACTTTAGCAAGGGTTTCAATAAAAAAAAAAAAAAAAAAAAAAAAAAAGTTTTATTTTTATTTTATTATTTTTTTTTTTTTTTTTTAGTCCACAAAATGTTTTGCATACATTACATGTATGTATAACGTTAACACCACAAGAGAAACAAAATTGTGCAATGGAAAGATATCTAGTGTAGTGTTGTTAATAGGGCACATATATAAACATATACACAAACATATACATATATATTTCGTGCCTTTTTGTGCACACGGGAAGAACCCATTCAGCAACACGGAACACAGCTACTTAAATGATGTGCAAATGTGTGTGTGTGTGTGTACACGAAAGGGTAGGTTCAGAAATAGGAAAGCAACTTTTTATCTTTTTCGCAGCTTTATCCCCCCGGTGCAGTGTTTTTGTCACAACTGCGGTAGTTACTACTACTATTATTTTTTTTTTTTTTTTTCAATCTCAATCCATCTTCCTACTGCAGCAGTTATTATTACTACTTTTTTTTTTCCTTTTTTTTTTTTCAAAATTATTCCAGCTTTGAACCGAAGATTCGTATGTTTCCCTTCCGCTCGCATTAAACTTGAACAAATTTCGTGACCCAATTATGTACACCAGTTGGTGGATACCTCTTTACAGTTGGGCTATTCATTTGTTCATACCATCATCCATTTCTCGCCAATTTCGTGTTCACTTCGCGTCAATTTCGTGCCCATTTCGCGTCAATTTCGTGCCCATTTCGCGTCAATTTCGTGCCCATTTCGCGTCAATTTCGTGCCCATTTCGCGTCAATTTCGTGCCCATTTCGCGTCAATTTCGTGCCCATTTCGAGCCCATTTCGCGCCCATTTCGAGCCCATTTCGAGCCCATTTCGCGCCCATTTCATTGCCCCTTTTTTTTTTTTTTTTTTGGAAGGGGTTATAAGGTGTGACTGAATTGAGGAATCAAAATGTTGGGAAGCGAAAGTGGGGATAAGGAAACTATCCAAGTGACATCGAGCTGTTGGCTAAGCAAACGAAAAATAAACAACATTAACAAAAAACAAGACAATTCAAATGAAGGAAATGCAATAACAATTCCCAATTTTAACATATGTCTGACGTCAATAGCCTTACCAATTATAAAATTGAAAAATGATTTAGATCGTATAAGTGAAAATAAGCAAATAAACAGACTAAGAGAAAAAAGCATAATGCAGAAGAAAAGAATACGTGATGTGAATTATCCCAAAAAAGATGAAACAAAACAGAATGAATATGTGACAAATGATGATGAAATATGTTCCATGCTGCTGAGAAGCAAAGCTTTTAATGAAACCTGGAAACTTGTAAACACTTATATGAACTGCTTTATATATAATTATGTTAACGAAATGATAGATAAGCAAATAAATTTTCTGAATAAAAATCTTTGTCTCCTTGATGATAAGCTATCCCTGCTTATCGTACGAACGCAAACATGTCCCTTCCTACATTTGATGCAATATAGGCTCATTACACAAAAAGTTAAGCTTCTCAACAATATCACAAGCGGGACATGTAAAGAGAATAATGAGGACTATTCACACACCTTTACACGGAAAACATTAGACAATCGAAGAGTCACATATATGCTTCTTCAAAAGAAAAGGGAGATAGGATCTTGCATCATCAATGTACACACACAAGATAATGTAGAAAATATAATTATGAGAATTATAAAAAGAATGAATCGAAAATATTTTATGAAAATTGATAAGAACAATATTAACGAATTATTTCAAAAAATTGTAAAAAAGAAGAGAGGAGTACTTATTATATTTTTGAAAAATTATATAAAATTAAAAACATCCGTATTTAGTGCTCTTTTACTTTATTTGCTACATTTGAAAGAAATTAACTCCATAAATATAAGTGTCATTATTACTAGCAATTGTATACTCTCAGCATTAACTAATTTGGATTATTTTGTAAAACAAAATGTGCATGTAAATATATGCAATTTGTATGTAAATTATTACAACTTGATTGAAAATATTATTTTCAATCCACTTTTTAACAATGTCTTGTTTAAATTAAAAGAGTATTATTCAATTGTTGATCAGCTCTTTTATTTAAACCATGATATTAGTTTCCTCAAAATCAAGTACTTTTTTTACATGTTCCTACGAGATTTTTATGATAAAAAAATACTTTCATTTCTCAATGTGCCTTTAACCTATTTCTGTGAAATCCGTTATGAGGGGAAAATTCAAGACCAGCAATGTCCAGAGGGAGGGACGAAATACACCATGCCTTTTACCACATTTAAGAAAGAACTACTTGATTGTTTAAATTTGATCAATGTACACGACATTCGAAACAAATTTATTTTACTTCTCTATGGAAGTAATTTTTATGATTCACATATTGATCATTTGAAATCCAAAGGAAAGCATCATACAATCTATCATATTAGTGATTTTCCTATGGGAGGACGCTGTGTCCGTGGGAAATCCACAGAGAGGGGGAAAAATATCCCTGTACAGGTGATTGATACTAAGACAAACAAAGAAAGAAACACATCCCTTTCACATGAGCAAAGTAAAACTAAATATGGAAATCGAAATAACGAGGAAATTAATCCACAGCTCGATGGCAAAAATGCTATCCAACAAGTTGACATGATGAAAAGAAAGAACGAAAGACCGCGGAATAACGAGCAAAATGATCAGATTAAGGTAAATATCCATTCAGAAGAAAAGGAGAAAATTTCAAAAAAAAGAAAAAGAAAAAATGAATTTTTTTACAATTGTATAAGGTACCTTAATTTTGCGAAAAATGAAGAGAAGAAAATGTGCTTCATGGAAGAAGAAAACTACACTTCGAGCAATCTAATTGGAAGTGGTGAAGAAAACGATACGTGTGTGCAGAATTATCAAGACACTTGTGTAGATCATGAAAATTGCAAAAGTGATTTACCAAATGATGTGATGAGGGAAACATTCATGCATGAACTAATTCATTTGATGCAAAAAGACACGATAAGGAAAAGACTAAAATCAAGCGAAAATTTCAGAAATTTTTATTTTCAAAATTATACATTACACAACTTGACGGAAGGTTTATCACCAATGAACAGAACAATGAACAGAAATTTCACAGAAGATTGCAATTGCTTAAAGCAATACATTATAAACTACCTGATCGATCATATAAAATTGGAACATAATTTTGATACCTTAAAGGTACTTAGGAATGAATGGAAAAATAACGAATTTGTGAAAATATACAAATATGAAAATATGTTGTCAAAAATGGAAAAAATAATTATTAACAGCAAGGTGGAAAAAAAAAATAAAAAAAAAGAAAGCACAGCAAAATGTGGAAACACGGATAAAATTTCTGGCAGAAATTCAGGAAGAATAATGAAAAATGAAGAAAGAGAAGGAGAAGAAAAAAAAAAAAAAAAACACCAAAAAATCGCAATGCTCTATTTGCACAAATGCTTAGTAAAGTCAATCAGCAAAAGAATGATTACTCTCTTGTTTAAAAAAAAAAAATATAACATATGTCTTTTAATTATTAACATGATTTTAAAAAGCATACCAGCATATTCATCACTAAGAAAAAGGATGCAAATTTTAAAAGAATTTTTTAAAAAATATGAACAGAAATTTTTTGTGTACAATGTTAAGGATCTTATAAAAGCAAATGACGAAATAGAAAAAGAATTTAAAGAAATGATAAACGCTATTTGTGACATTTTGATAAATCTTTACATGAACAAAATTAATGTGTTAAAAAAAATTTTAAATGATATCTCTACTTTTTTGAAAAGCATCACTTATATACTTAAATTCGAAAAATACTTAAATGAAAAAGAATTTTATGCATTGAATTTTTCAACATTTGTACACAAACTAAACATTTTAATCCGTCTTTTCGATCTTTTTAACAATTTAAAAAAAAAAAAATGTAATGATGCAATCCATGCACAAGAGCACAGAAATTGCAATGAAAATTTGGTTCATAAAAACGTTTCCAATAAAGACAGGGACTCTTCAAATATGACAACTAATTCGTGTTCACGTTCTATCACTCATGATGGCAAATTTAGCAAAATGTTGACTCCTTTGTGGTGTAACAAGGTTCATGGAAAAGAACACATTGACCAGTCTTTAGAAATGAATAAAGCAAATGAGGTGATAAACACGCTTCACTGCAGTGGTACCAGTACTGTAGAACCAAATGAAAATAAAATGAATAATACATACGTCATCACTGATATAGGAGAGAACGATAATTCAAGCAATTTCATTCAAAACAAAGTTAAGAATAACGAGATGGTTAACTTGTTCAGAAGAATGGACGACACAGATATTGATCTAACCCTCATTGAATTTATTCTAATCTTTTTTTGCGAATTTTTTTATTTCCTCCTAATGCCCTGTATATATTTACTTCCCTTGATCAATACATGTATAGCACATGATCATTCAGCTGATGCGTGTGATGTACTGAACAAGAACTTACAAATTAAATTGTTGCATGTGCTTTATTACAACAAGTTAGAACTAAAAGATTTGTATAGCCTCCCCCATACATTTGCCTCATCAAAGGTGAGGCCCCATAATGAAATACCAAAAAATAAGGGTATACAAGAAAAAAGTGAAGATTTTGTGGATAAAACTGAACTGGATATTCATCTATCCAAAAAAAAAACGATAACAAGTTTTGAATCCGCCTATGAGTTGCACAACATATGTCAAATGGAGGACATGGTAATTATATTCCACATTATTCAGAGATTTAACGCAAAATATATTAACATATGCAGCATGTTTATTGAGTATATCCATGCAAAGCTGAATCTAAGTCATCAGGGAGGTGGCAGAAAAGGGGACGCGGCGAGTCCCAATCGGGATCGAGAAAATAGAAACAGAGAAAGGGAAAGAAAAAGTGAAAGAGAAAGGGAAAGAGAAAATCGTCAACCGGACGGAATGGCATTGTACGAGTGGTCTAACCTCGACTGTGAATCGTTTCAAGGATTGTTCTACAATTTCATTATTGCAATAATGTCTCTTTATAATTATTTGAGAATCATACATATACCATCTTCCTTTTTGAGGGGAAAAGGCGAAGTAGAATTATCAACATCTATCAATTACAATGAGAAAAGTGTCAGTGATGATGAAGAAAATCACGTAATCAGCACAAATGAAAATGGGAATATACAAAATTTACAACATGATTCAAAAAAGCTAACTGTATTGTGCACACCTGGAGGACGACGACATGATGTTCTTGAGAAGGAGGCACAACTACTCAATCATAAAGAAGTAGTAATTTCTTCCCATGCATATGTAAATCAGAATATGGATCAAAAATACAAAAATTACATACTGGACATATTGGGTAACATTAATATAAGAAAGATAATATTTGGAAGGAGTTACATCACGTGAGAGGGTTGTGGTGGTGAGATGGTATTAATAAATGCATAGCTGTCTTTGCACAATTTTTTTTTTTTTTTTCCATCACCTCATTATTACGGATTCACAAAGTGAAATGCATGTATTGAATTTTAAAAAACATTGGACACCATTACACATCTTAATTGAGAAGCTTTTTGCATGTGCAAATTTTTCAGACAAAGTAGTGTCAGACGGAATTTTTTTTTTTTAGCAACATTTGTATGAACTAATTTTTTGTCCAATTAGGAAAAAAAAAAAAAAAAAAAAATGAGCACATTGAAGTGAGGGAAAATTTTGCGCCCAAAGAAAATACCATATATTGGAAATACATACACATATATACACGTACACACATACATATACATATGTTGAAAATAGGAATATAAAAATGTGATTGTTTACACAAACGTGCGAGCCAGCGAATGTTCTCCCATATGATCTTACCAAGTGCACATAACAAATTTTATTTATGGAAAGGAATGTCTAACTTATCCCCTCCTCCTATTCTTATTTTATTTTGCTCATTTTTCATTTAACCATTTATAAAGTACATAAAAAAAAATAATGTTGTAATTGTAAAGGGATAGGGGGAGACATGTATTTTTTGTAGAATTTTCTATAATTATTTAATTAAATCATTCCTTGTATATAAAACCACCAAAAAAAAAAAAAAAAAAAAAAAAGGACATAATAGTTGGTCTCTAAATAGTATAAAAGTTGACACCATATTTTTTTTTTTTTTTTTTCCTTCGTTTTTATTTTTTCATCCATCTTAACAATAAATAACTAATAAACTTGTGGTCCGTCAATTTTTCACCCTTTAAAATTTTGTTTAAAAAAAAAAAAAAATATAAATATGCTTTTACTGGTGATAACACATACACCACAAAAGTTATGCATGCTTTGTAACAATAAGCTTGCTTCTTTGTCGTATACTTAAGTGTAAATGTGAATATAAATGTAGTATATGGTATTATATATACATAAGTAAATATATAAATATATATATATATATATATATAAATGACATGCACATGCTTATTTATTTTACCATCCCATTCTCCGTCAACTGTAAGTCACTCTTTTTTAACGTATAACTAAGCAGTAAAATAATTTTTGAGGCTGACAATTTTTTATAATCATTTTTTGAAAGTGCCCTTAAATGCATGCAGGCTTTTTATTTTTTTTTTTTTTCCCTTGTTGCCCTTGTCCTTTTGATGGCATTTTAAAACAAAAAGTAATATAAAGGCGAAAATTATTACATTTTTACATGTAATATAATTAATACATATGAAAATTATTTGTACTATAATTGTATATATTTGCTATTAGCCTTTCTTATTTGTTTGAATTATTTTTTTATTATATAAATAAAAAAAAAGAAAAATTGTAAACTCATTGAAGTACAAATTACAAATCCTTGTTTTTTTTTTTTTTTTTTTATCCTTTTTGCTTCCCTTTTTTTTTTTTTTTTTCTTTTTTTTTTCCCTTTTTTTTTTTTTTTATCCTTTTTTCGTCCCCTTTTTTTTTTTTTTATCCTTTTTTCGTCCCCTTTTTTTTTAATCCCTTTTTTTTAACCTTTTTTTTTATTTTTTCTAATTCACTCACACTCCTATTTTTCATAACGTTTATATAATTACGTACAGTGTATACTTTTAAATATTTTGTATACATGTACATATTTATATAAAATATACACAACTATTTAATTTATTCATGTTTAACATACGACGTCAACCCCCATTGGGCCCAACGCAAACCCCATATTTGAATTAACAAAAATAAAATATAAAAAATAAAATTTTTAGTTTTTCAGCATGAAACCTTCAAGCCTCCTTTTTTTCATCGTAAGTTCATCCATTGCTCACCTATCGACGTGTTCAGGTAAAAACACAAACAAAAAAATTTTTTGAGATAATACAATTCATTAAAAGCTCACCCATACGGCATGCACACGGTCAGCTTTTCGCACATAAAAATTCTCCAGCACATTTTGAACATTTGTGTTGTTATTATACATATATATTTCATGTACACATACGTATTCATATACATACATATTTCCCCATGTATGCTTATATATAATTTATCCACTTTTATTTGTGAATTTTTTCATCTTCGTTCAACAATATTCACATAAACTCTGAAGGGAAGTTGACATGCATAAGGCTCAACGTAGCAGTACAACACGTCCCATATTATACTGAGTTTTTTTTTTTTTTTCCAACACATCTTTGTGAAAGTATCCAACAGGGGCCAAACGCTCCCCATTGGAGTTCCTCGATGTTTGATTACAAACTGTTCATAATTACACAACAGAATCTTCACAACGCCGCCACAACTTCGTAACAACTTTGTAACAACTTCTTACCACCGCGCAGACGAAAACACGTACTCCTTTGACATAATCAACAAGAACAGTTGGTACAGCATTGCAAAGAAAATATTTCAAGGAAGGACCCCATGCAATTTCACCGTTATCCCATCGAGTTATGTGAACAACTCAGATGCAGTAGATGGTTCGGGTGATTCCGTTTTACTGATAAGAAAAAAGCTTAAGGATACAGAGCAAGTGAACAGCAAAAATAGCGATAGTAATAGTGACACCTCGGGTGTATCATCCCATTCGGATAATAAATCCTGTTGTAATAAAGGAAAAAAGTTGGAAGAAGAGGAAGAATTAAATTTCAACAAAAAGTACGAGGGAAAAGAGTACGAACAATTTAGGAAAAATTTGTCATTTATAGAATCATCTCTACATAACGAACCCACATCAGAAACAAATTCAAAGATGGATAATAGCTATACGGGATCTCTAAATCATGAAGAGAAAAATGATTTTAGCATTCCAGATGAATACAAGCCACAAAACATTTCAGATATTCTAATAGGTGCATCAGAAGAGGATCGTACATATGAATTGAAAGGGGATGAACCATGTGATGCTAATATGACGTTAGGGGAAATTATAAATAGAACAAATGAACAAACTGTTAATTATACCATTGATGTGAACAAAATATTATGCGTTCATTTAGAATCCATTGGTGGAAATGGTTACCTATGGGCCCTATTAGGAGTTTACAAACAAAAACCAATAATCAATCCTGAACAATTCCCAAAGAAAAAAATTACCAAATCTTTTTTTTCAAATGAAATTTCTGTGACACAACCAAAATCTGTAGAAAAAAAAAAGACAGACAATCCAAATTCATCCTCGTTAAACTCACAACAAGGGAGTGGAAATCCACATATAATTAAGCCCTTAGGAGGATTAGTTGGTGGCTCATCAATGCTACAAAGTAAAGTAAAGGCACACAAGCCTGGAACCTATTACATCGTATATGCATATTATAGACCCTTTGATCCAACTGTTCATGCAAATACAAAGATTTTACAATTGACTGTGTCATAAGAAGTGGTTGTTTTATAGTACGAGAGATGAGGGGAGGAAAAAAAAAAAAAAAAAAAAAAAAAAAGAACTTATTGATTGGGGATATTTTTTTTTTTTCTTATCCTTCCCTGTATTTTTCCCAATGTAAAGAAAGAGGGACATATCGTCCCGTTAATTATTTCTCTCCGGTATAATTGATTTTTTTTTTTTTTTTTTTTCTCCCAATTTATTTCTTATTTTTTTCTTCTTTTATCTTTAACACATTTAGTCTTACGCAAAAAGATATGAAAAAAAAACTTTGTCCCAAAATCTATATTTATTCAATTATGAAATATTTCCTCGTGTTTTTACATTATTATTTTCATTCACTTTTTTTCGCAACGAGATAAGTAATTGCCATATGTTTTCTATATTCATTATGGTACGTTGTGTAGAAAGAGGGATAAACGTGGTCTGATATATACACATATATATATTCTTCATTTAAAATAGCTAATATGTGTGCAACAAATGGAAGAAAAAAAAAAAAGAAAAAAAGAAAATACACAAAACAATGAATTTAGCAAATATTACAAACGCGTTCTACTTATGGCACAAAATCCGCTATAACAAAAAGTGCTTCCATAATGTTGTGCTATTAATGTAACTTTTTACCACTTTTGTTCCTTTTATTTTTTTGTGCAACATTTTGAAATTTCGTTACTTTTTCGAGGAAGCGTAAATGTGTGTGTTAATGGGAAACATCAAAATGGAAAAAGGAAATTTTCAAGCTTTACTCCAAGGGTTGGAGTGAAGCATAGTCCAAATGAAAAAAAAAAAAAAAAAAAAAAAAAAAAAGGGATATAGATAGAGATATAGAAGTATAGAGGGAGAGAAAATATTTGAAGAGAAATAATTCGAACTGTGACGGGGGGATACTTCCATGGAGCGCGGTGCTGAACATCCAAGATTGGTGAGAAAAAAAAAAAAAAAAAAAAAAAAAAAAATCAAAATTCCCAAGTTCCATACACAAGGTAGTAAAAAAAAAAAAAAAAAAATTAAAATATTAAGTAAACGTGTACAAATATACTAATAAGTTTACATTGGGGAAAAGGTAAAAGTTGAAAAAATGAAAACCACAAACTCATTATTAGTGGTCCCTATAACTAATAGTCCTATGTTGACTACGACGTGAAAACAGATGGATGCAATAAAAACATTCATGCCGGTTGTTGTTGGCTCGTTTGGACTAACACTAAGTTCTTACTTATTTTACAAAGATAAAAAAAAAGAAAAATGGAAACATATCGATGGATATGTAGATGATGTTGTATTGAAATATGGAAGTAATTTACTTCAAGGGACATTTTACCTTAACATAAGGTACTTTTTTTATATAAATAATGAAAAAATTGAAGACAGTAAAGAATACAAAATTTATGTTCATCTTATTAAGAACAAGAATAAGAAAAATATAGAGACAAATGAATACACACAAAATATTTTTCAACAAGTTAGTAAAGAAAAATATATTAAAATTTGTTACAATCCCTATGATGTTAAACAGTCGGAGCCTTTAATTTATATTCACGAAAATGAAATTATTTCAAGGGAAAAGCTAATCAACAAAATGAAAAATAAATTTAATCGTATAAAAATTGGTGCAGCTAAAATGGTTAACCTAGATAAAGTCATGGGGAATTATTCTGCACATGATAAAAGTGCACAAAGCATAGATGAGAAGAAATCTGCCAATATAAGCGAAGATATCTCATCTGATAAAACAAATGAAAAAAAAAAAAAAAAAAAAAAAAGTTCAAGCAATCCAACAGATATACAAAATGAGCTTCATGCAACAAATAATAAGGAACCTTCACAGAGTACTAACAAAAAAACAATAAGCGAATACGACATAAATAATATATTTCCATTCTATATGTTTTCGTGTAGTCTTTTCTTATTTATGTCTTTTTTTTTAAAAAAAAGAATTCACTTTGTAAGAAAATCCATATTAGAACAAAAAAGAAATATAACAAAATGCTAGCGCATTTTTTTTTTTTTTTTCCTTTTTTGGATAAACCTTTTTTAAAACGGAGCATAATAAACAGTGCGTTACACACACACCCCATTACCTACGATGGCTTGTGTATACAGGCAGAGACAAAAGAGAAGATTATTTTATGCTTACATAACACTGTTTTGCTCATCATTGCCACCCATTATGATCCCTTTTTTTTTTTTTTTTTTTTTTTTTTTTTTTTTTTTTTTGCACCACATCATCTCATCATTGTGCTTTCAAATCGAACAACTTGGTGAAGATGTTAGGTGGCAAGTTTACCCTTCCTATGCTAAACATTTTTTTTTTTCCTGCATTTTGCTTTTCAATTAATTTTTTGCGTCTTGTAATATCCCCCCCGTAGCATTTGGCTGTGACATTTTTTTTTAGTGGTTTTATTTTTTCTGATACGAAAATTTTGGAGCCAATACCTGCTTGAATGACAATAAGGAATTGATGAGGTTTGATCAATTCTTTTAATTTTAAAACAATTTTTTTACACTTTTCATAGTAGTTGAGTTTGTGTGCTATGAATGCTAAAGAATCAATGCTCTTATTATTTATGTATATGTTAATTTTAAATAAATCACTTTCTTTGTATATAACATAATTTTCATAACTCATGGATCCATATCCTTTTGTGCATGATTTAATTTCATCTAAAAAATTTATCAATATTTCAGATAAGGGCATCTCAAAAAAAAAAAATATATGATCATTCATAATATCTTTCTTAATAAATATACCTCTTCTTTTAAAACATTCTGCCATAATATATTTTTGGAATTCCGCAGGTGTGGTAATATTTGTTTTGACATATGGTTCATAAATTCCAAGGATATAATTCTTCTGTGGGATATCATTTACATTGCTTGTCATGTAATACAATCCGTTATTCTTGACAGTTGTTTTCATATCTCCATTCTGATGATTGTTCATATGTTCTACGCTATTGTTACTGTTTTGTTTATCTATGATAATATTACTTATGTCGAAATTGTTATCAATTAATTTTTCCTTCAATTTTTTGTCTATATATTTTTCATTCAGTTTCACAAGATAATTAACAGATGGTGCAGTTACAATCGTTTCGACATTATACTCCCTTTTAATTCGTTCCTGAATTATATTTAAATGTAGTAAACCATTGAACCCACATTTGAAACCTTTCCCTAAATTTTCGCAGATGTCTGCTTTGAATGAAAAAGATGCATCATTTAATTTTAATTTATTTAATGCTGTCTCTAATTCGTTTGATTGCTTATCATTAACGCTGTATATATTACAGAACACCACAGGGTATGACACATCTACCTTAGTCACAGCCATGTTTTTTAAATGCATTTCATTTCCTCCTTCCGACAGGTTGTTGTTTTTCTCCATCTGGTTGGAAATTCTCTCCATTTTTTTTTTGTTTATGCTTTTCACATTGTGATTTTTCTTTTGATCGATTTCTTCAGTGTTCGAATGTTCCTTATGGTGCTTTTCAAATATGTTATCTTTGTCGGTGTAATTTCTAAAAATATACATTGAAGAGGATCTACCCAGAAGGTCGACTTCATTTTTACTAAGCTGATGATTTAGTAAGGTGCTACTACTACTACTACTACTACCCTTGCAGTTATTATGTTCCATCCTGTCTGCAATAAGTTTATCAGTATCGATTACAAGTCTCTTTTGTGTGTTCATTTTAACTATTTCTTTACTAACTATAGTCTCACTTATCTGTATTTCATCACAGTTTCTTATATTGGAAGAAACGTAAGCTATATCTCCTTGCTTTATAATATCTGTGGGTTTCATTTCAGGGGTGAGATAACCAACTTCCTGAATAATATACGTTTTTTCACTTTGAATGAAAAATATTTCTGTTTTTTTTTTTAAAACTCCATTTATAACTTTAATAATTAATATTACCCCTTTGTACTGATCATAAAATGAATCAAAAATTATGGCCCTAAAAAATGCATTCGATTTTATAGTAGGGAATGGAATATCCTGAACAATTTTTTGAAACAAGTTTTCTATTCCTTTTCCATACTTTGCAGAAATGTGTAAAATTTCTTCATTTTTAAAATGAAATTTATTTATTAAATCATTTTTTATTTTATCCAAAATGCAAGTGTTCATGTCTATTTTATTTATCACAGGAATGATTTTTAAATCAGTTTTTTGTAATTCTAAAAAAATATTCAGAGTTTGAGACTGTATCCCTTTACATCCATCAATTAGTAATATTGCCCCTTCGCACACACATAATGACCTTTTAACTTCATGATAAAAATCAAAATGACCAGGTGTGTCTATTAAATTGAAAATATAATTTTTGTAATTCATTCGAACTGCTTTCAACTTAATTGTAATTCCTTTTTCTCTTTCTAACGACATCATATCTAAAAATTGATCCTGCATTTTTGTTTTTTTAATTGTTTTAGTTAATTCTAGGAATCGATCAGCTAGTGTTGATTTACCGCTATCGATATGTGCTAATATGCAAAAGTTACGAATAATTTCTTGATAGTTATTTTCATATTTTTCTGTGTTATTGCTACTACTATGGTTTTCTTCCCTAGAGAAACAATCTCCCTTATATTCATCTTTATCTATCGTATCTCTTTGGTCCTTCATTTGTTTTTTCCATTTCTCAGATGGTAAATCAACATTGTTCGGTGAGATGAAATCTAAGCTGTTTATATGTTTCCTAAAAGCAGAGTTACATTTATTAATATTTCTTTTCTCCCTTTTCCATTCGTATAATAAGAATAAAAGTGGAAAATATTTATAATAGTATAGCAAAGGAGAACCTCTTCTGCTTAACCCTTCTGTTATGTCATTCCTAAGTGTTGTGTAATTCTTCCTTCTACAATTTTTCCCTCTGTTCTTCTGAATGTTAAAAAATACTTTTTTTCGATCCCACTTTTTTTCATATGCACGAGTCCTCTTATATGTGACATATACTCCATTTTTTGCTCCAAAATAAAATTTACACACATACTTAAATTTTAGAACAGAAACAATAAGGATGAAAATGCTTAGTGCCTTCTTAATTACCCTTGTGTGTGTCATGAAACAGAGGAGATTCGTATCTTTGACCGTGGACTCAATAGATGTTGCTGCACATGTGTGTGTGTGGAAGGGAAATCAGGACAAAATTCAATCCCTTTTAAAACATTTCTCTTACACGAAGAAGAGCATTTATTATCACTTCTTCCTTCTCTTCCATTCGGTACTCAGCACAATTATACTTTTGCCAAACCAGACAAACTTCCAATCTTGTAAAAATCGCTTTCGTGTTTACATGTGCATGGGTACGTTCTTCTTACCTTTTTTTTCAAAATACTGGACTTATCAAAAGCTGCAATTAACTACACACATTGTTACTCATAACACGACACATAAAATATACATTTCCCTAAACACATATGAGAATTAACACATGTCCGAATTAACGCATATCCGAATTAACGCATATCCGAATTAACACACATCCGAATTAACACATACCCGAATGAACACGTATAAGTTATTTCTTCCTTTCTTGAATGCCTCTTAAGAAAAAGGCACAAAAATATACATTAAACAAGGTTACAATGTTGTAAAAATGACAGGGATTATTAAGAAGAGGAAATGTTCTTATTTTGGAGATGTGTACTACTAAGAAACATACTTAATCATAGGGTAAAAATTATTTTTGTATTTTTAAAGAAAATGAAAAAAAAGTATATCATACTTGGAGGGCATTCATAAAGTTCAATTTTGTGTAGGTATTTTTTTTTTTTTTTTTCTTGTACAGCTGGGAGAGATTTTTCAAATTTAAGAACTTGGAAAGTTCTTGTAAACCTAGTGATTCCTCAGATCATTAAAAAAGAGGAAGGAAAAAAAAAAAAAATAAAATAAAATAACAATAAATAAAATAAAATAAAAACACTTATATATATAAGCAGCAGATAAACAGATGAGCAGATATGGAAATATCTAGGTGGATAGATCGATAAACTCGCGAAGTTAACACTGCATCATATATATATGCACGCACAGCTCAGCAAAAATATTACCCAGCTATAGTCTCACATCCCAAAAAATAACTTTCTCTTTACTTTTCGTTTCCCCCCTCCTGCCTCCATGTCAGCTCAGAGCCGCTTGCAAGTTGATTGACAAATTATGATGAAGAGATGATTGGTAACTACCTAAATCACCTACTTTTTGATTTAATATAAGGGAATAAATATCTTCCCAAACTTTTTTGTGCTTTTTTTTCTTCTTTTGAAGATGTTGCAAATTGTTAACTTGTGCTTTTTTGAATTTGTTTTTATTTGCCCAATATTGTTTCATAGCTTTGGATATTTTTTCTCTCGTTTTCTCTGAAATGGCACTTAATTTCTTGTTCTTATATCGTCTCATGAAATATTTCCGTTGTCCTTCCAATGTTTTTTGTTTATAATTCAAGTCATTTTTCCACTTGTTTTTCACAGCCTCGGATATTTTCTGATTATGCTCAATACCTCTCTTTTTAAAAGATTTCAACATTTTTTTTCGAAATTCTGGATCTTTCCATTTTTTACGCATAAGGTTTCGAAGTTTTAACTTCATGCTCCTTTTAGACTCTTCAGAAAAAAACCGTTTTTTTTCTCTCACCCCCTTTCCTCTTTTTATTGCAATTTCGACACTACTTCCAACAGCATTGTCAGAGGAATCTCCACCTATTACTTTACGTCGACATTCCGTTGTACTGTTACAATGTCTATAAATGCTAACTGGGGAATGTCCAATTTTTTCTTCTTTTCTTCGTTTTTTCAATCCACAGTGTGTGTAGGAAATTCCTTGATCATTGAGAAAAACACCAGGGGCAGAGTTTCGATCTGCTGTAGAGTCCATGTGGGTGACAGGGGTTATTATTGCATTTCGACCATTTGACAAAGCTAACAAAGAAAAACTACTTCTTCTGACATTTCCTTGTACACAATTCTTTTTTCCTAAATATATTACACATTTATATCTTTTCAGGTGATCTAATATTGACCCCTTTTTTTCCACCGTTACAAAATTTACAAATTTGGATGTATAAAACTTGTGGGCACTATTCATCCTTTGTGCAGAATTTATATACAACCCTCTGTGAGCGCTAAACAAAAATGTGTATCTACAGTTTTTCTGTTTCGTGTAATTTGTACTAATTCCACTTGTGTTATTTGATGGAGTGAAAAAATATTTTGAATCATCATCATTATCATCTTCTTTCTCTGCACCCCGAGAAAAAAGACCATCACAAAATTGTGTTTGTGAATGAAGTCTCTCATTGTTCCTATAATTTCTTTTTTTATCTTTTTGAAAATTAATAAATTTAAAAGATCTCCTTTGCTTTTTCAATTTACAGTTACATACATCATGATGTTTGTTGTTCATACTGCTCTTCGTCCAATTTTCTCTTCCTCCTCTTCTTATATAATCACCAAGCATTCGGTTATTTTTGCTCATTTCAATGTTCAAAATTATAATTATTAACAGAACATAGAATGTTAGTTTCTTGTTTCTTTTCATGTGCATGTAAACAGGGAGGGAAGGGCAAACAGAATGGGCATATTACCGGGTAGAATTACATTTAGCACAAGTGGGACGCGTGTGTGATTCAATTTTTTAGTGATTATATATTTTGGGACCTCAAAATGGGAATAGACAAAAACGGGACAAAAAATGAGGAGCAAAAAATGAGCAGAAAAAAAAAAAAAGGACGGAAAAAATTGTTAGAAAATAAAATGCAACTCTGGTAAGGCACGTAATTTGAATATCTAATTATGTCACAATTTTGTGGTTGCATAAACCCGAAATACTCGCATGATGTATCACGTTCTTATCTCTAATATGCAAAAATGAATAAAATTCCACTTCCATTTCTACTTCCCCTCAAGTTATTCTTAATTTGATATGTAGCCCCTATCCCTCTTGTATTTATCTATTCGCTTGTAGTTTTTTTTTTTTTTTTTTTTCTCTTCTATTTTTACGATTTCTGTTTCTATTTGGTTTTGTCATCGCATTGTTTTTCTTTCACTTTCTCACATCACAAGTCCTTTCGGCCAAATATACTTATCCACCCCGTGTTTTCAGATAAGTACATAAGTTAACCCCTAAACTAATTAGCGTATATATGTGCATGAACAATGTGTTCATACGTTCATACATATCAATATATTTACACACAATTAAATGTATAACAGAATGAAAGTCCTATTCCTACCTACCCCCTTTATGTGTGTGTGTCAATTTTGAGTTGCATCATCCACTCATGTATTCACAGGTCATAAACACAAATGCCCCCTTTTTCCAAATATGGATATACGAAAGAAATGAACATGTAAAAGGGGTATATATATGTGTGATCATACATGCGTTCATGAGTGTATAACTACGTGCACATACATGTGGATTACCCAAGAAGTACTTTGAGGTTGGAGGTGTGCCGAATTACAAAAATTTTTGATGTGTGTGTATCCTCTCACTCATGCAAAAATTAACAACCTAAGGCTTTGCCTCTCTATTAACAACTTTATACGTTAAATGTGCAGTTCGTGCAAAATTTTTCGCATAAAAAAAAAAAAAATTATGAGATACATATTATTCACATATGAAACTTTGCCAAGCAGGGAGTAAAATAAAATTGCCTCATCATTTTTTTTTTTTTTCCTAAACAAAGGTATCACATAAAAATTTGGCTCATATAGGTATCCTCCCCTCCCTAATTTGTTTCTGTTTGACTGAATAGTTCTCAGTTTTTTCTTATTTTTTGTTCAGTTATATGGAATAGGAATAAAATTAGGAGAAACGTAGGCTGGCAACTATGAAATCTTATTTATGTAAATATGTTGCGCATGTACAAATTTATGTGCTTCCCCGTGCAGTGATAGTGTTAAGTGTGTTGAAATGTGGTGATGGTTAGGTGTACTAAAACAAAAGGGATAATTTTGATTAGTCATTTCGGGTAGTAGTATTTGCCCCAATTTGATCATTTTTTTTTTTTTTTTTTTTTATTTTTTTTTTTAATATATTATTTACACCAAGTAATATATTCTTAACATTCCTTTTACGATTTTACAGAAAACGGTTGATTATTGAGTCATTTTGGAAAATACTTTTTCCTGAACCTTTTTTTTCCCATGTATCAATTTTAAGGTTATAAGCTTTTTTTTAGCAACTATAATGATATAAGCCACCTACCTTTGAACATTTCTTCTTGGATTGTAATTTATGAAAAAGGTTATATATGATGTTGAAAATTGTATCATTTCATGAAATTTTATTATGGTATAACACGGATACCATTTCTCTATTTTGTTTGTTTTATTTTTACTTTATTTATATCTTCTTATTCTCCCAAGAAAACACTGTTGTAATGTTTTGTGTAATCTTCTTCTACTTACACCTCCCCCGAATTGTCCTGAAAAAAAAAAAAAAAAAAAAAAAAAAAAAAAAAAAAAAAAAAAAAAAAATAAAAATAAAAAAAAAAAAAAAAAAAAATAAAAAAAAAAAAAAAAAAAAAAAATTTACGCAAAAAAAAAAAAAAAAAAAAAAAAAAAAAAAAACTCGTTGCTAGCTCAAAAAAAAAAAAGTAAGCCAATCACACCGGGAAACAGCAAATCTTGGAAGTTGATATTAGCACGAATTTCCAATTTTACTAAATAAACCCTGAACAAATAAGGAAGAATAAACTAAAATAACAACTTTGTATACTACACACAAAAAAGGTTTTACGCTCCTATTTCTATCCCTCCATTAATCTAATGTTTGCCTAAAAGGGGAACGAGTTCACTGACTTTGCTAAGGTTATACAGGAAATTTTGTCACCGTTGTTTCAAAGAATTGTCCACGTTTGCGTCTAACAACAAAAATGTGTATATATATGCACACATACATACGAAGGCATACACACACTAACACATGTGTTAACAATCTCAGACAGACATACATATAACAACTCCGTTGTAACAAGCAAATAAAAGCGAGATTTTATTTGCCTTCTCTCAATTTTCAATTTGTTGTGCAATTTTCTCCTCAGCTGTACGATTGCATACACGTTCATTTCATCTTTGCACACATGCATGAGTATCATGCTTCGTTGTTCACTTAGAAAATTTTCCGTTACTAACAACAATAAAAAGAAGAGAATAATTGGACGTAAACATACAAAACAGTAAACAACGGGCAAGCAATCTCAAATTTTCTGCAAAATGGAAGACGGGGTATCGTCTAATTTGAACATAGAAAAACGATTTGATCATCTGAAAGCTTTTTCTAGTAACATTGCAGGGTTGGTCTCAGAGTTGAAAGACTTGATAAAAGTTCACGAAATTTTAATATATAAAGAAAAATTGAACACCACCAAAAAGGAAAAATTGTTGAAGCAGCAACATGATCTCACCATACTCAAGCATGGTATGATATGTGTCCATATGAACGTGACATGTATTTACAATATGAATAGCCGTCATTTCCCCCACACACAAGTGTTTACAATACACTCAACTTGAAAAAAAAGAGAAGAAAGAGCAGAAAGAGCAAAAAGAGCAAACAGAACAAAAAGAGCAAGAAGAGCAGAAAGAGCAAAAAGAGCAAAAAGAACAAAAAGAACAAAAAACATAACCAAAAAAAGAAATATGACATATTTTGAACTTCCAAAAAATAAAATAAAATAATAAAACTAATGAATAAATGTTTTATGATGGTGTACATGTCACAGATTAGCACCTGTGTACGCTTTTGTTACATTTTTTTCTTTTTATTTACATTGGAGTTATGCGTAATTGCCGAATTTTTCCCAGTATTATATTATGCCCTAAAATAGACCACTTTTATTGTATCAAACCTTGCTTTTGAGGGAAGAAATTCAGGGATTTGTGCTTTTTGATGTGCATCACCTTCTACACACATATGCATGTACACATATGAAATTGTTGAGAATACTAACGTTTGCTCATTTTACTAATTTTGCTTTACTCACGCGTACATGCACACATGGATCCTTTTATAGACCTCGAACTCATAAAGAAGGAAAATGAAAAAATGGATGAACAGTTGAAATTCTACAAAAAAATTGATGATTCGATAAACTGTGAAATTCTTAATGTTTCTCAAAATATACAAAAAGTGAAGATAAACATGAATATACAACAAAAAAAGTAGAACACTTTTATGTATAATCGTCATATAGCATGCATGTCTCACTTGGGTGTACATTAACATGTATGGCATGCATTTGTGCAAATATATGCATATGTATCTGTTATGACTATGTATATTTTTTTTTTTTTTTTTTTTTTACCTGCAAGGAAAATAGAGATAAAAAAAAACATCAGTGAAATGAAAAACGTAAGACACAAACAATGAACGGTGTGTATGTATATGTACGCATGTGTTTGTACATGAACTAACATGAATACAACTTCCTTTATGTAATTCAAGCACTCATGCTTGAAACATCCAACATATACTTGGCATATATATATACATATGCGAAACCTTCTTTATACACATCTTACACATACACACACATTTGACACCCTGAAAAAGAAATATTGCAAATCCATAAAGCAGAAACAAAATTTAGATCACAACCTTTTGCAAATAACAAAGAACAAAAAAAACAACCAAGAGAATATATCTAAAGAAAGTGCAAATAACATGACGGAGAAAATAATAAAAGTAGAAAATGTAAATGTAAAAGAGGTAATTGATAATCCTGAAAAGAAGTCCATTAATGAACCATCCAGAGAACTGCGAGACAAAACCAAGAGCGAAGTAATAGAAAAAAAAAAAAAAAAAAAAAAAAAAAAAAAAAAAAAAAAAAAAGACAAAAACAAAAAAAGTAACAAGAAAAAAAACAACAAAAAAACAGAGAAAAAACAAAAAGAGAAATAAAAAAAAAAAAAAAAAAAAAAAAAAAAAAAAAAAAAAAAGGAGTACAAATGCGTAAGCATACGAAGGCATTACTATTTTTTTATATACCATATATCTAACACAAAGACATATTTTCTATTTTAGACAAAAATTTGTTAAAAGGATTCGACATTAAAACAGAAGGAGCTAAACCCCCATGGTCGAGGTGAGTGTTGAGAAGAAAAAAGTTGGACCCCTATTTTTGCGTCCTTTTTTTTTTGCTTTTTCCTCTTTTTCCAATTTTTAAATCATTCCCATTTAAAAGGTTACCAACAGGGGGAAATTTAATTAGTTGAGGTAAAAAAAATGCCAATTGAAGAGACATATAGTTTGTAAGATTAAAACGCATAAAAATGGTAAAGAAAATACAAAATAGCATGATGCAGAGTCTTGTGAACTACATAATTACTATTTTTCATAGTTTTCACTTGTTTGAATTTGCACTAGATCAGTGTGTGTAGGTGAGGGGGGAGAAAGAAATTTCTATTTTGAAAAAAAAATTTCACTTCATCCATAATGCTATAAAAGTGGCGATGTTTTTTTTTTATTTATTTTTTTATTTATTTTTTTTTATTATTTTTTTTTTCTGTTGTTATTTGAACTTTTTAATCTCTTGATATATGATGTGTGAATGGAAAATTAGCCACAATATTGTTTCATTATGCCGTTACACTGCTAGGTCATTGTGTGACTGAACCAACAGGTGGCTCCTACAGTATGTGGCCATTCTTCCTAAGCCCTTAAAAACAGCGGAAGAGGAGTTAAATCCTATATCAATGCTGCTGCACACTTTTGTAAAATTGCATTATGAGTAGTACTCAAAAAACTGAAAGTTCTGCTTTTTCTATACACATGTACGACTATTCTGAGGAGAAGATATCTTAGTGAAAATACAGAGTTCTCAAACCATGTAAAAATGTGGAATATGGAACTAGGAAGAAATCACAAATGGGGGAAAAAAAATAGAAGATAGTTAAAATAGAGTAAAATAAAATGGCATATAAAATGCTTGAATACGCATAAAAAGGTCAGTTGTGCGGGGTGATACTACTCCATCTATAACTTCAAAAGATTAAAAAAAGGATAGTAAGTAAAAAAATATATAATAAGTAAAAAAATATATAATAAGTAAAAAAATATATAATAAGTAAAAAAATATATAGTACGTAAAAAAAAATATAGTAATTAAAAAAAAAAAAAAAAAAACGCTGGGCACTATCAACCTTAGGTACTATTTACACGTTTTACAGATTTATCAAAGTGTAGCAAAGTGTATCTATCTCTATGAAAAAAGCAGAATAAAAAAAATAAAATATATTTGAAGTAAAATAAAATAATTTTTTTGTTACCTTCCTTTTCTCATTGTTTTATTCTATGTCAAAAATGAACATCACTCTGCATCTACACTTTTTCAGACGCTTAGGAATGTGATGTAGAAGTGAAATTGTGAGTTTTTGTACTTTCTCATTATATTCCGATTGTCGTGGCAAGCCAAAACTCATTAGAAGAAAAATAAATAAAAATAAAGTACCACCTTTTTTATGTTCCCCTCATAAATGTATTATGAGGAATAATTTTTTTTTTTTTTGAATAAAGCACTACCAAAAGTGAAAGTTCTTTTTGCGTCTCTGTATTTTGACACCTCAACAGATTTTATGCATAAGGACATATCTGCATGCACATGTTCGTAGGAACATATCCGCATGAAAATAACTGCAAGAAAATAACCGTATGAACGTATCCGTATGCCAACTGGGAGGGGCTTCTTTGTTTAGTCTTGTCATTCCATTGGACGATTACAACACTGTACATGCGACATGAAGACTCAGGAGGAATACCTCAATATATCTGACCTTCTCCATATGAATGTAAAAGGTATCTCATCAACCATTATACATTTTCTCCGGGGAATTTTCTGGGGTTGACTTTTGTTGATTTATCCTGGACATATCTCATTTTGTGTCACGTTCCATGGTTATTCCTAACGAACATATAAATGCACACGTGTAAACGTGTACATGTGCACATACATGAGAACACACGAACATACACACACATCCTTGTTTGTCACCTTTGTCAGAGTTGAACGATGAAGACGAAATCAGAGTGCGAGACTTTTCCTATGAAAAGTACATATGTTCCCTTGAAATGGGAGATAAAAAATTAGATGTAGGAATAAAGCCAGAAAAAAGAATTAACATAAAGGAATGTGAAGATAAAAAATACATAACACAAGATATAAATCTTCATGATATGATCATAATTATGGATAATTTATTGCTTCAGCAAGTTAAATTACTTCTTGGGAATCATCCTTTTTTAACTGTTTTGAGTTGTTATTTTATTCATAACTCGAAAGTAATTAATTGTGATGAGAACCCATACTTCTTTGAAAAAATATTTTACAAATGGATAAAATCATTTTGCTCAGATAGCACATACATGAACATTTTCGAGAATGACAACAAGGAGTTTATGAAATTTGTGAAGGCGAATGACCTCGAGGGAAATGTCGAAACATCGGCAAAGAGGCACATCCTTGACATGGAGAATGGAAACATCACTACCTCCACACATGGAAACACTAATGACTTGATGGAGGATACTTATATATCACATCAGATTAATACAGCAAAAGTGAGCAACCATTGTGACAAGTTGAATGAAAAAGATGTGATGTTCGATGACGAATTCTTAAACAAAAATATGTTTTCCTTCTTCCAGTTGTTTTTAATCTTTTACTCATCTACATCTGAAGTGATAGATCATGTCGTTACAAGTAATAGCTTGCTGCATAGGGACGATTACAAGTGCGGGCTGCTAAAAATAAAGGATTCTCTGATACATCATTGCAGGGAGAGAAGGAGATATGTTTTGAAGAACCTTTTTCTCGTAAAGAGATATTTTTTGAAATTTCTCAAAAAATATGAGTTCACCCATGTCAAAGGGAAAGAAAGGAAAAGTATGAATAAGGATACGAGTCAAAGTGTAGACCAAGTTGGAGGAAAGATTGGAGGCAATAGTGGAAAATTGATCAGCTACGTTTTTAAGAGAATCAAATTTGTTATATATTTAAACTCAATAATAAATGAAGTGATTTTCGAAAGCCGGGAGATGAACCCTGCCTCAGTTATAGATAATTGTAAGGAACTTCTCCAGTGCATTTTGAATATAAAGAAAGAAGTTGATTCAGAATGTGTGAAGCGTGACAAAGTAATAATGAAGAAATATTTCAACAAATATTTGTTAATGCACAAACTTAATAATGTGTCTAAACATATCACCAAAATGAGTATACATGAATGTTATTCCTTTTATCAAAATATAACTTTAGATATAGAATACATAGCAAAATATTTTCAACTGATAAATGCCAAATCGAGCTTTATTGACATTAAGAATATGTTGCATTATATAAAATATTATTCAGCTAGCCGTAATGTTTTAATAAAAAGTATTTCTAGAGTGTATTTACAGCAGATACTGGAGAATGCAAAAGAGAATTTTATTAATTTAGAAAAGGAGTTACTATTTATGGAACAAACCAAAGTTAAATATTTCATTCAAAATTATGAAATAAATACGCACCAAGATAGTTGTCATAACAGTTGTAACGGTTCTCTACATGGTGCACACACAACAGGTTCCTCTAATGAAAATGGGGGAAAAAATGAACCTTTTGAAAAGAGAGAAAATCCTCTATACGATAGCATAATCAGCAATAGTGCTACAAAGGATGAACTCATGAATAGTGCACTCGTGGATGGTGAACTATCGGATTGCCAATGGGGTGATTATGATGAACATCCAAACGTCGGCCATTACTACTCTATGTTTTTAAATACGTACAGAAAGGAAGAGACATGTGAAGTAGCTTCTGATGTAGCTTCTGGTGTAGTTTCAATTAAAATTTTAAATAAAGAATTCCTTAAAAATGTGAGGAAAAATGTATTTATTACTTTCTTCCTACATTTATTTTTTAACGAATCATATGTAATATTAGAAGATGTGTACAAGGAAAATACAACGTTTTATGTAAAGTCTATAATTTTCAATGACCTACGATATTTTGGATTTTCTACCCCCTTAATAATTCTACTTCGAAACTTTTTCCTTATTCCAGATACCTTTTTTATTGCAATGGAGCATATATATCATCTGGACAAAGGATTGAATTTCCAAAATGAGGAAGAATATAAAAACATTTTAGAAAATACCTTTCCTCCATGGGTTCTTAAAAAACTAGCATGTGAATTACGTCTAAGTTTTCCATGTCTGATAAATTATTTGGAAAAGGAAAATTCTCTTGGGAAGCTGTTCACCGAATTGGAGCAATTTATCGCCAACTGGGGGGGGAAAAAAGGGTATGTAGAAATTGCCCAAGGAGGATTTCCTCTCTTAGATAATAGCAATCATTTGGATTCTAGGAACCGTCAACGGTCTAGCAATGGAAGTGTTGATGTGCACGGCAGTGAGAAAGCCGGCAGTGGTGATGAACAGATTGAACAAAGCAGCCCTGAGTACGTAACAAAAAGACGAATGAATCTTCTAATTCTGTGCAAAGTATTTCATCTATTCATTGAATATCTGGAGATAGTCCTAAAAAAAATCCTAAAATTTTCCTTTTTATTGGCACCGAGAGAACACTCAAAATTAAGCACATTCCACATGGACATGTGTGTGTTATATACTCTTATGAAAATTTTGACATATTATTTTAGGTTATATAACATGAACAAAGAAATAGAGAGTGTAGAAAATTATTTCAATTGCATTTTGCACACAGTTCTAATTGATTACAACTGTTTAAGCTTGTATACAAATATGCAAACGGATCAAGAGTATGCCTTTACGTATTATGCCATGTCATTGTGTTGTAAGGAATTATCAGCGATATTACAGAGGGGCATAAAATTAAGTTGTGATAAAAATAGGAATAAACTAATTTATTCCTTATTTTATTATATTTTATATCTTTATTCCGATTTTTTGATGATATATTTTATTTATATTTCTTATACGAATATAAATTCTGAATGCTTGGAAGAGGATTCATTTGATATGAAGTACAAGGTATGGAACTTTTGTTATCCAGATGTTTCAAAAATTGACTTTTACAATTTTCAGAAAAATAAGGCAATACTTATTAATCTTCTTCTCACGAAAAATTTAAAAATTAGCCTTTCCGAAAATGGTAAAATTAACATAGGAGTTAAAAAAAAAATAAAAAATATATCTCAAGTAAAAGACAACTTTTTCAATTCAAAAAAACTCATAGATAAATATTCCAATTTGTTAAATGATAAAAATTATATAAATCATAGTTTTCGTATTTTTGGCAAAACAACTTCTGATCTAGACATCAACACATATTTAAAAAGTTGTATAAATGAAATTGCTAAACTTATAAAAGATGCCTTTTCCTACAAGCAAGAAAACATTGGTTTACTTTGCATTTTCCTAAAATCGTATGAACATAATTTACTCAGATCGTACAAGAATATTCCCCCCTTTTGTGTGGAAAACATTTCCATTTTTTTAAACCCTGATTACCAGGTCGTCAATGGTCACTCCTATTTTTTAAGTGTAGAAGAAAAAAAAAAAAAAAAAAAAACCTAAGCGGAGTGAGGGCCAAAACATGGCAGAAATGTTGACCGCGCCATTGTTGCGTAATTAGCTAGGCACATATATACATGTGTGTATAGATATGCATATACATATGTGTGTATTTTTTTTTTTTTTTTTTCCTTGCATGCGCCATTTACCTGATTTTTTCTACTCATGCAAAGCAACACATAATGCTCCACCCCCTAGATAAAAAAATGTCGTTAAAATGATGAAGTGGCATGTGAACAATTAGTGTAAAAAAGTTTAACTGCAATGAGTAACTTTTGATGTATTGTAAGTAGTCTGTCGAATTGCTCTATATAGGAGAGTAAAATAAGAAGATGAACAAAAAAAACAAAAAAAAAAAAAAATGCACACAATAAAAAAACCATGCGTTGACATTTTTGGACAAAGTAAAAAGAAAACTAAAAATGAATAAATTCAAAGGAATAAGTTTAAAGGTATAAATTTAAAGGGAAAATGAAAATGTTTTTCTACATAAATAAAAGGAGTAATAAAGTTAAAATTTTTTTTTTACATTCATGAAAATGTTGGAGGAGTAGCAAAGAAAGGTTAGTAAAAAAAAAAAAAAAAATTGTTCCACTAGGGTAAAATCGCCCCACTAGGGTAAAATCGGCCCATTAGGTCAGAATTGCACCAATTCGTCAATTGATCAGTATGATATACCACACTTAATATGTTCCATTTTTGCCTAACCCATATTCCTCTTTTTCGTCTTGGTCACTTGGTCGCCCCGATTGATCAAACCCCATAGAATGGAGAATGTCCTCCATGGAAGACCCACTGGAAAGAGAAATCTCATTATCATCCAAATTGGCAACTGTATATTCTTTGGATGAACACTTTTCTAAATCGTTCTTACTTAAGTTAATATATTTCTCTTTTAATTGAATCATCATTTTACACAAATCTTTATACTCTTTATATAGTAAGGCTGTTTTTTCCTTTAATTGATTCCTTTCTAAATTTTGTGAAGTCGATTTCACTTTTCCCTTGTCTCTAACTCTTTGACATTCCTTCAGTTTTCTATTTAACTTTCTCAATTCTTGTCTTTCCTTTTGTTTTTCCAATTTTTTATATAACATGAACATGTAAAAATAGGAAGGCAAGTTTTTGCAATATTTCAATTTCAGTTCTATAAGTATAAAATAAAATTCTGACAAGTTAATTTTCCTGTTAAGCAGATCATCACTGAAAAACGTGAACAGTTTTTCTCTTTCTTTCTTGGAAACTAGGAAAATGGAAAGTGGGAAAAGAGGCAGTGAAGTGGTGAAGTGATAAGGCGGTTATGACACGTGCAATGGCACGCAGGTAACATGGGAAAAGCACATTCATGATGTAAAAGGCAACAAAATATACACTATAATGAGGATAAATAATAACAAAGAGGAAAAAAAAAAAAAAATAATGGCAAACGAGAAACATGCACATGGGTTCATACATTACCTTGAATTTTTGGACTTTTTCCGCTTAGGTTGGATTTTTTAAAAATTTCATCAGATGGATCGCCGTGCCCTTGCGCCATCATGTTCCAAATATTTTGATTTGATCCTATTCCTTCTTCTTCCTCACAAATGGAGGAAGAAATATTCAACGATTCTACATCTAAATCAAGCAAGGTATTATCATATTTGCAATTTTTAAAATTACATATTTTGCTTTTTTCTAATTTTTTATTTTCGTTATATTTTTCCTTCCTTTCGAGAGACCACTGAATGATATTGTTAAAGTTCTGTTCTTGATCCATGGACACAAACATTTGATCCTTTTGATCCAGGTTGTCTATTAAATTCCCTATGTTTATTGTAATTTTAAATATGAATTCAAAAAATACATAAGAAATGTGTGTTAAAGTAACATTTGTCATGAATATATCTAACAATTCTTCATATATTTCTATTGCAAACATTCTATATTCCTTATTAATGCTTGTGCACGTAGACTCATTATTGCTTTTCAGAAAAAAGCAGAAATTCATTTTTTGACTTTTCATAAAATTTTCGCCGCAAAAATTCTTATCACCATCACGCATGTCACCATCACTCATGTCACCATCACTCATGTCACCATCACGCATGTCATCATCACGCATGTCATCATCACGCATGTCATCATCACGCATGTCATCATCACGCATGTCATCATCACGCATGTCATCATCACATATGTTACCATCACCAATGTTATCTTTTTTTTTTTTTTTTTTTTTTTTTTGTACATTCAGGAAATAATATTGCATGTCATTTTTAACCCTACATGCGGGTCTTCTCTTTGTCACATGTCTCCGTGTGACCCCTTGCTTTTTTCCGTTCGCATCGTCATTTGAGTCGTCTCCTTGGGTTGACTTGACTTGAGCATACGCCCCATTGTAGCTCCTACTATGGCTTTGATCACTCATTTCGTCCTTCCTTTCTTCCCTCCCTTTGTGATGATACCTATCATACTTGTTACCTTTTTGTCCCCTTTTCTTCTTCAAACATCTGAGGAAGTGCTTAAAAATACGCTTAATTGAATGAGCAAAATGCTGACTTTTTTTTTTTTTTTTAATAACGGAATCAGGTAACATTATGGAAATTTGTCTATCAGTTTTGTCATAATAAATTAATGGCTCTTGTATCTTCCTTCTCTGCACAAGTTCGATCAGGTTTTTTGTAAAATTGCTAATAACAGGGACATGGTAGAATGCCTTTTTTCTTCTCATATTATCGACGCATTCATAGAATAAGCAAAACAACAATTTGACTGAAAACATTACATGAAGAAGAATCAAAGAAGATAAAATTATGAAATTAAGAAAATCATTCAGATTTATGGATAACAAAATAGATATAACAACGATGGTAGAAACCCATATATACAAACTCATGTTCTCGAGTTTGTTTAACATAAAAAAATTCCTCTTATCAAAAGGTTGGAAAATGAAATGCACACATAAGGAAAATATTGCCACGAATGTTATCAGCAATAATTTTGATGTATTGGTCTCTTCTGAGGGAAATAATACAACAGTGGTGATAAAAAGAAAGAATATTTTTCGGACAAAGACTATAATTTCCCAATACCACCTATTTGGTAAGTATCCATTATGTAAAAATCCATATTTTATTAAAATTTTTTCTTGAAATAAATTGCATCTATTTATGTACAGAACGAAAAAAGAGAGTAAGGGGATTCCTAAAGACCATACAATCGTCCCGGATAACCCTAGTATAAAAAATTTCAAATAATCTGTCTTGAGCTCACATTCGACACTGCTAACTCTACTTAGGATATATTTTCCAAAATGTTTTGTGTACTTAATATATGAACAATCAAATAATTGAAACATTCTAACAGACGTTTTGCCATGTATCATAAATAAAAAAGTAACATATACAGGAATCATGTCTTCAAAAAATATTAATGTTCTATCTATCCATGTATAGTGTTGCAATTTGATATATCTTAATATCATAATAAATCTTTCTTTTGAATAAGATTTTTCTAAAGAACTCGTCAAAAAATGTATTTTTTCCCTTCTAGCTATACTTAACAAATCTAGCTTATTCGCAATTGCTGTTTTCCGTATAAAGGTGTAAACTTTCAATATAACAAAAAGTATAATAGTCAAGGTTGTCATTAGAAGTATAGGAATAAAAAAAAATAATAAACTTGAATAGAAGAAAGAATCAGCATAACTTAAATTAAAATAATATCTCAACAAGCAATCGATACTGATTATTTTTCTGCTTTCTCCTATGTTTATTAATCTAGTAATGCAATTATACAACTGGTGCACAAATTGGGGTAATAATAAATTTTTCTCTTCTAATATGTTAACAAGTAACATACTTGAAATATAATTGACAGATATTTTGATGACAATCGAATGTATAGATCTTCTGTAAAAGCCAGAGGAGATATTTAAATAAGAAATTAAAATAATAATAAAACAAAAAATAATATATATACATAGTAAGATGATTATATTTATTGCATTATTTGGACATTTTACACACAGGGACTTCTTAAAATCATTCGTATACCCCTTTGCACATTCCACACACAGGTAATTATTCATACTATAATGACATTTATTCCTTTCTAGACAAGCACCATGTATTGGACATTTAATAAATTTCCACTCTCTTACATCTACATATCTTGTCATACTTTCATCCAAGTAGTATCCTTTTATAGATTCTGGTTTTACATGATCTTCTTCAGTTATGTGAATATTTTCTAACCCTAAATGGATTGTACTCATTACATTTTTACGTAAACCACCGTTGCATCTAGCACCTTCTAAACAAGCCAAACAATTTGCCATACTATAGAAAAAACCTTCTTTACAAAAGCAATGATTTGGATATATAGATCCTTCTAGACTTGTCGATTTTGGTGGACATGATACACAAGATGTTTCATCCCCCACAAAGTTTTTAAAAGTTCCTTCTTTGCAAGGATTGCATATTTTAATTGATTTTTTAACATCTTCAAACTCTAAGTAGTGACCCTTTGCACATTTGCAATCCTTGTAGTCACGTGCAGAATCAACTCCCAGAGGAATTACTGTGTTCTTTTGGCATTTCACAAATTGCTGATATTTTACATAGGAGACATTCTCGCTATCTGTGTAAAAAAAGTTTTTCAAAAGCTTATTTATTAATTTGTCTTTTGCATTTACATTTTTGTTTTTTTTCTTTTTCTTGCCCATATTCCTGTTCACATTATTGTTCATATTTCTATTATTTATTTTTCCATTTTCCAGACCACGTGCTTCATACCTTTGTAGGAAAAACGTGCCAGATTTATCACCTATCTTGCTCATGCTACTAAATAACATCACAGGAGGGAGAACATGTCCGAAATAACTCTTCACTGGTAGTCTCCTTCTTTTTTTTTTTTTTCCAAGTCCTTTTTTTTCTTGTTCTTCTTCCATTTCATCCTCTTGTTTAGTATCCACTACAAGAACCTCGCCTCCATTCTGTGTTTTGGTTCGTCTTTCATCCCCCTGTGCTGGAGGTAGAAATCTCATACTGTGGTTGTAGATAACAGAGTTGATAAAATGTTTCCTGTAAGGTATGGCAAAGGACCAGACATACCTTTTAATAATACCAAGCATCTCATCATACAATTCTTGAGATACTTGAAATATCTTTTCTCCTTGACAATATAACTTGTTAAAGGAACAAGGTTTGCATATTTGTTCATCTAGGTAATATCCCTCATTACACTGACAAAAGTAAATGTTGGAATTATTAAATTTTCTTAATGTAGTGGAATGTTTTGGACATTCAAAACAAGCTTCATTTGCTATGGACGACTTGTAAGTTGAAATTGGACATTTGGTGCATAGTAATAATGGATTTCCTTTTTTTTTATTTGTTTTACTTTGTTGAATTCGTTCTTGTACATGGTTAATTGGATTTTTTGAAAACATATAAATAAAGGAATTACACTTAGTCGTATCCATATTTTCGAAATGTACAAATGAGGAGTATGTACCACTAGAGTTAATATTATTCTTGTTGCTCTTTTTATTTCTAACTGAAAATTGATCATTTCTAGATTTACTCATTAGCATATTGGGTGTATAACCAAAATTACATTGACAATTAGTTATATCATAAGATCCTCTTTTTACACTTGATGAATTTCTCGGACATTTTATAGGCATCCTAAATTTGTTTTTCATATTTTTTTGTGGACAGTAATATCCGGTTGGGCATTCCTTACAACCTCCAATTTTTTTACTGTAATAAAACCCTTTTTTGCAAATACATTCATGAATAGATTTGGCTCCCTTTTCTAATGTAATACTATTAGGGGGGCAAGGAATTCCTAAATTGTTAGATATGGTATCTTTATAAAAATTTAGAGGTGCCAATTTACAATGCTCATTTAAATTGTAAGATTCTTGAGAATGTTTCACATACCCTTGCACACATAAGCATTTGTCATAAGAATCATTATGTTCATATGGTTCTTTAGTTATGGAATTATTTGGACATACTACAGCATCTCCAATATATTGGGACAATTCACCTGGTGGAAAACTACCAACGCAAAAGTGATTCGCTAAACATATAGAACAGTCTTTATTGACATCTTTATAAAATCCACTATAACATGAATTACAACTTTCTACAGTAATATTCCCAAATGTTTTATTCATAGATTTGTATGGGCATTTTTTACAACTTTCTGATGATACAGAATCTTTATAATATCCTATATTACATTCCATACATATATGTTTAGGGTCTATTTTATTTGGTGCATAAGAATAAGTGTTGAAAAAAAGATTATAGTAATGTTCATCTCGGCTTCCTTTTTGTTTTACTTTTTCAATACTAATAGGTTCATACCCCTTTTTACAGAAACAGCTATCCATGGTGATAAATTCTGCTTTATCATTTCTTAATGTTTCATTATGTTTTGGACACATTTGTATATTCAATAGATTCCCTGGACAGTAGTGATCATGTAAACATTTCTTACAAATACTAGATCCATTCGAATCGAAAGATAAAAAATATCCTGCATTACAACTGCAAATACTTTCTGCCTCACTTTTAGCACCCAATACATGAGATCGTGAATGTGGAATGCAACCATTTCCTTTGCACAATTCGTTCGATATTGTATCTTTATATTCTCCAAATTTACAAGGGGAGCAAATAAATTCATGGGGATTCTTGGGGTTTTTTATATACTCATGCCCTATGTCACAAATGCAATGTTCTTTACTTTTGGATGAATTAACCAATGTTGTCTTATTTTTTTCGCAAGGAATACAAGAAGTAAACATTTCTGGATTTCCTTTAATTTCATCAACATTGTTATAGGTTCCTTTGGGGCACGGAAAACATTTTTTTTTAGAATAGAAATATCCACTCGCACACAATATATATATCAAAATACTTGATTCAGTTGCATGAAATAACCCATGCATTATAACTTTCAACGTAACTGATGTCTTTTCAATTTTATTTAGTTTCATGCTTATCACTCCTGTTTTTTTATTAATAACTATATATTGACCATTTAGTGATTTATCCAAAACTGATAAGGTAAAATATTTTATTTGTCTCTTATCTCCTTCAATTATAGGAGCAATTTGGATAAGCTTCTGTAATACATATGATATTTTCTTTTTATATATAATTTTTGTTAAACTAAGTTTTTCATGCATAAAGGAAAAAATGGCGTACTTTAATTCGTTCGCCTTAACCATAAAAGAATTTATAAAATTCATATCACCATATGAGTAAGCAAAAATGGAATTTATTCTATAATTAGACATATGTTCATTTCTTACATATTTGTAGTATACAATTGTATTTTCTGTAACATCCGTTGAATATACACGTAATTTATTGGACTCTATGGATGAAATATAAATGACATATTCACTAAGTTTACTTATTACTACCATATCTTTTGATATCGACGATATTATGCCTAAGTCTTTTTCTATATATGCATATTTGTACATTATGTAGACACTTATTTTCTTCGATTTTAAATTACTAACTTCAAATATCTGTTTATTCATAGGAATGTTTGAATCTCTTATAACCTGTTTATACATCTTTGTATTTAATTCAGTTTCCTTTAAGTCTATACTTTTTTGGGAATATGCACTACTGGAAGGGTCGACATTTATTGCCATAGTACCACCATCTGTCGAAAATTTTGGAATACTACTACTATCGTCAAATTCGATAGAGAACCATAAAATCTGATGAAATTCATACAGAATAAAGCAAGTTATTATTTCTTTGGTTAAACACTGAATTTTAATTGGTTTCATTGCTATATATATGTTCATATCGGCATTGTGAACAAGCACTTCTTTTATATTGCCATCCAGTAAGTAAATAAAATTTTTTCCATGAAGTAACACAAAAAAAACTTGCTCTCTATGGGTAAATTTTTCTACACTCACAACTCCTTCAAAAATTTTATTTTTTACATGAATGTTCAGTACAAAACTGTTGAAATCGCGGGTTATATATTTTTTCATACTTGAATTTTTAGTGCTGAATATGTAGAAGTTAGCATATGAGTAAATGTTACTTGATGGACGTGTCGAATTTTGAAAATTTCTCGAATTGGTAGGGTTTATGTCACTCTTTTTTAAAGTATCTGTAGAAGTACTTCTATCTGAGGGGCCTACATTGGTATTTGTTATTATATGCATGAATTCTATGAAGGAAAACCTTGGTGCGTGGAAATTATATTTTATTAAAAAAAATGGAATTAAATGTGTGGAGGTTTCAAACCAAAGGGACAAATAATTTTCTTCCTCGTGAGACCATATAGACAATATCTTCATATTAATATGGTGATCATTTTCTATGCCTTTCATTTGAAAATGTCTACTCAGGAAATAATATGATTCATCGTTTAGGTAGATGTTGTGTGTATAAGTTGGCATAGTGAACACATGAAAATAATGTGCAAATTCTTCGTATGGAGAAAATAAAAAATCGGAAAAATTAACTAAAGTTAAGGTGCGAAGAGTATTTAATTTTTCATCCCTTTCGCAAAGATAGTTTAGGGGTTTAATAACATTTGATATTTTACGTATAGAAAAATAATATAAGGAATTTTTTTTTTCTTCTTCTTCTTCTTCAAATTCATGATTCTGAACACCTTTTTTGAAAGAACTTTTAGTATACTTATAATAAAAGGTGTTTGAATAGTTTGTTAATCTGTTCATATTTTTTTCTTTGAAAATTTGTAGGGAACTTTCTGCTATAGGCACAATTGTTGTAAAGGGGCAGCTGATCTTACTGAGAGAGAACAAATGGTTGTTAGGATTAAACTTTGAAATATCCTTTAGGTAGACAAAATTTTCAAAAATGTTTTCTCCTCTTTTTAAAATGTATTTAATATTGGACGTGCTGTAGTCATTATATGTTATTTTCCCCATATAGCTGAATGGCATAAAATTTGAGGATAAATCTCTTACACAAATTAGATTAGATCCATTTTTTAAATTGTAAATTTTTTGAATCGAAATTTTATCTAATATTTTTTTTGTCGAATTTTCAAATTTTACATTAATGAAGGAGTTCTCTCCCATTACATTTTTAGTAGTGTCTATGTTTAGATCGATTTCTGAAAATGCAAAATCTTTATTTCGATGAAACATTGTGTATACATCAAAAATTTTATCAGAGTAGGCATATAGAATGATATAAGCTATGTCTGTGTTTAAACTTGGTTTAATTCTCTGGATAGACCTACTAATATCTACGGTTAATAATTTGTAAAAATCGTTTTGAGGAAAATGTTCCAAAAAGTTCAAGTTGTTACATTGATAGGAGTATTTTGCATTGATTATAAACATCTCCATATTTTTTACATATTCATTATTTATATATATGTAGAGACCTTCCTTGTCATTTACACTAAAAGTGTTTTTTTTTTCATTAAAAACTGCTCTTTTTATTGAAAAAGTTCCCAATTTCGTTTTGTAGTTATCATTTGAACAAGCATTTGTGTCACTTTTCTCGTAATAATATTTGTAACATGCACAGATAGAGAACTCTAAGTTTTTATAAAAATCTACAACCAAGTTTTTAAATGTAATAGTTAAAGCTACTTCTCCATCTACATCATGATAAGTATAATTATTCATCTCATATGAAATATTCTTAATTGGATCGTGATAAAGATATGGTGTGTCTTCACAATTGCCTCTAGAAAGTCTTAGGCGAAAATCAGAAGCATTTTTCATTGTTATATCAAAATCGAATTTCGTTGTGTTCAAATAGGTAATGTTATTGATAATTATAGGATTTTTTATTTCACAATATTCTCGAAATACAAATCCGTTCATATTAACAAAACAATATATTGTTTTTAAGTTTTCTGGATTTCGACAATAATTATGTTTATAACTTGTTCCTAATATTTCCTTTATATTTAGAGAATTCCAAGGCAAGCAATTTTTTCCTGATATCGACACATTCTGACATCCAATGTAATGCTCTCCAATCCCTTCTAAATCTTCGTTGCATGAATTATATAGAGTAAAAAAAATAGAATTACTAAATTCAAATTCGTAAACATTTTTATTATCATCAAAAAAAAAACCTGCACAAGGGATCACTTTTGCCTTATCACTATAACAGTAATTTCCAATTTTATCCATGTTTAACAAATTGTGAGGAATACAATATTTGGTACTACCATAAATACGTAACAATTTATTTTCTCCGCACAGCATGTCTAATTTTCTTTGCTTACTCGAAACGACACAGGTTTTCACCCTTAGACTGTTTACAACTCCTAGTGGTATTGGATTTTTTGTATTATTAAATAAGGGTCCAGAACACCTAATCATATCACCACAGTTATTAACACAATTATTTCCTTCTATATAATGTCTTAATCTCCATATATCTTGACAGAAGCACTTGCTCACAGTCCCTGCACATCTAGATACACCTGGATGGCAATATTGGTTCATCAAAACTTGTAAGGCGCTGTACATTCTTATATCAGCATAAATCTGTTTTAATCTATACTGTGTGAAGGATAATGCGTGAGGGGTATCTCTAATTGCTTTTTCAACCTTATCGTGATGCTCACTTTTTTCATACGCGTCATTTGCCTCGTCTGCTACATCTGCTCCGTTTGACCCTTCTGCATACTCCGTAGCACTTTCTCGAGTTGTTAAATTTTCACTGCTGCTGATTGCTCCGATTTTCTTCCATCTTTTGTGTTTATTCCATTTTGGACTCATAGATGAACTATCACGGAATTCTAATTTTTTATCTCCTATTGTCTTCCATTTCCCACTTTCTAAAATATACTCGTTTTTCCAGCCCTCCTCTTCTTCTGAGTTTCTGTCGAAAACCCTTGCTTCCTTTTTTTCACTCTTCCATCTTGATGAATATAAAGACAAAATGATAATAATTATACACACGCGATTTACAATCATTTTTCTACTACTTACAAATGGTGAGAAGACTTATGTTCATCTGAAGGCTGTCTCTCTCATCTAAGTTGACTGTGCAGGATGGGTAATACACTTTAAGTATCTGAACCACGTTTGCACCTTTTGCTACCTGCATAGCTTGCTCCCTCTCGTTTTTCCTTTCTGCGTCAGTTGTCTTTATTACATATAAATATACATGTCTACATGTGTGTACATATCCACGAGAAGGATAACACATACGAGAACTTAGTGTTACAGCAACGATGGAAGCAAAGGAAAAAAAAAAAAAAAAATTATACATATATATAATATATATATATATATATATGTATATATCATGCACATATTTGTATAAAGTGGGTTTCTTCTTGTTTGAAAAAAAAAAAAAAAAAAAAAAGTAAGCAAGTACATGTCTACTGTTCAGAAAGTTAACATACACATTTTAATGACAAAAAAATTGAGCACCAGCCCTTTATACATTATGTTATCATAAATGATTAGAAAAATACATATATTTTTATTTGTGTCTCTTTTATCTTAACATGTTTTCCCAACTAATACAAGAACCTTTATGTACAATGTGTACAACGACGTAAGAAATGTTCTGGGGGATTAATCCAAGGTGAGCCTTTTTTTTTTTTTTTTTTTTTTTTTAAAATCAAACGGGTTGCATGAAGTAGTAAGTTTGAGCACCTCATTTTTTTTACCTTATTTTATTCGGACTTAATCTGACTTTTTTTTTTTTACGCGATTTAATACGCTAAAATTCGAATTAAGAATATAATTATGTACACAAATAAGAAAAGATGCACATGTCCATAAGTGTATATTTAAAAAGCGGATGCCAATTTTTTACGCTTTTATGGGGCTTAAAACTGTGTTCTGCTGTCTGTAGGGTAATTTCTCTTACCTTAACGAAAATAAAATTTTTAAAAATGTCTTAAATTCTCCAAAACAAGAGAAGAAGAAATGAAATGAGAAAAAAAGAAAAAAAAAATTATGTTTTACATAAAAATAAAATAAAAAAAAAATTTTTTAATTGGAGCATTTTTTCTTTCGAACCACGTTCGACAGAACAGAGGTAATTTTTGCCTCTTATAAAACATTTTCGATGTCACGTTCAAATTTCTAAGAAAAAAAATGTGAACGTGATGAATAAATATATATATTTGGGGGATATCTTTAAAAAAAAAAAAAAAAAAAAAAAAAAGGACAAAGGTAGGTCAAAAAATAAAATCAAAAAAGAAAAAAAAAAAAAAAAAAATGGGAAAAAAATTTATGATTAATACGATTTCGCAAGAAAGCAAAATTGGTTATATTTCCTTTTTGTCTTTTATCCCATACACTCGAGGAGTCCCTTTTAATTAATATAGTTTTTATCCGCGCATTCATTTAGGATCATATTTTGGTTTATGATTTGGTTCAAATTTCCATCCCCTTTTTGTTCCCCATTATAGATGTCATCTTCAACTCGGTTTGTCCTCTCGTTATCGTCTCCGGACACCTGAGTGTTCTTGTGTTCATCTCCCTCCCCCTTGCACACACTTAACAAATTGTTAACAAATTTAGACGAAAGAGAAGAATAGTTTTGTGGCTTTTGCAAAACCAGTTCACTGTTATTTTTCGTGATGACAATATTTTTGCTGCATATGTGAAAAATTTTCTGAATGTTCTTATTTTGTTTATCTAGAGAACTCGTTATATCCTCCACATATGCATACGCCTTATTCTCTTCATGAATAACATTGTTAAATAGTTGTATATATTTTTCTATTTCTTTTATATATTCTTTTATATCCGTTAAGGTTTCAATAAGGACTACATTTGGCTTTGCCGATCTAAGATGTACAATATCTTTTATTTTTTGTAGTCTGTCATTTATGTTATTGCATAATTCATCGCATTTTGCGGAGCAGTTTATGGACATGCTATTGTTAAAACTTCCATTTTGCTTTTGTTTATACCCGTTTTCATTTCCTGGGGTCTCATGACATAACGTTTTAATGTTTTCATTGATCAGTTTGTGACATATTTTATTTGTCATGCTGTTTATCCAAGTTGGGCTATGGTACAATGTTCCTGTCAGACGCACTCGTAAAGTGTATTCATAAATTTTTTTTTTTTCGTTACAAAAATGTCTTGCTTTCGTGAATTCAAAACTTGTCTTGTTATTGAATGTGTCCCCTTCAGGTTGCTACAAAAACAAAAAAACAGTTTACTAGCTTAGAAATAATTTAAAGGGCCCTGTTTTTTACACCTTCATCATATGCTACACAATTTTTTCCCCTTTGTGCGCACACACAATGGATAAAATGCATACTTTTTTTCTTTTTTTTTCCTGAACTGTTTTCATATGAAATTGCAGTTTGTATATATTTGTTAATAATCACTTGGTGGAATTTTTCTGGTTCATTTTAAAGATAGCTTTTAATAATCATTTGTGCTAAAATTTAGGATGTATTGGGTGCAGTACTTGTGCTATTGGGGGTTATTTTTGTGCCTTTTTTGTGCTATTTTTGCGTTATTTTTGTGCCTTTTTTGTGCTATTTTTGCGCTATTTTTGTGCTTTTTTCGTGCCTTTTTTTGTGCCTTTTTTTGTGCCTTTTTTGCGCTATTTTTGTGCTATTCTTGGCTATGTTAATGCTGTTTTTAGGCTGCGTTTCCCGTTATCTTCTTTGTGATACATTTTTGAGCAGATTTTTGTGCTATATTTTTTTTTTGCCATGTCTGAATATTTTAGCATAAAATTATGACCATGAATTGGCTAGCTGAAATGTAAGTATGTAAAAAAAAAAAAAAAAAAAAAAAATATTCACATTGCAGGCAAGAAATAAAACCCAGTTGTATGCTTAATTTTGGGATATTTTGTGAGCACAATAAAAATCATACACCTTTTTTCCTGAACTATTGTGAAAAAGTCCATTTTCATTTATGCACCCATGCGAACGCCAATATATCTTGCGCGCTAATAAACAGACTCAAAAGGGTAGAATAAGTCTCCATATCTTGTAATTAAATGATCACATGAACGATGAAAATAAATATACATCATAGGTCAAGGTGAGGAAATGAGTGTATGCAGGTAACTCAATTAGGGACATTTAAATTTTCTCATTATATAAGTTACGATACACTCCTTTCCCTACCTTCTCTAGGAAACGCCCTTTTTCCATTACAATTTTGCCAAATGATTAAGCAAAACAGTTTCTCTCCTGCTAAACCTACAACTACAGAAAAATAGAGAAAGATATTGAAAACTTTTGAAATAGAAAAAACAGGGTGCATGCGACATATGCACATTACTCATATTTATTTTTCCATTTAGAGTTTTTCAGAAAAATTACCAACTTGAAAATCAACGTATGCCAAAAAAAAAAAAAAAAAAAAAAAAAAAAATCGCTTAATTTTATACTATTATAAAAAAAAAGAAGTAGAAAAGGCAAGCTATACATTTTGCTAAGCCACACAAAGGAATGAATCTCCTAAGCGCACAGAGATCACATTTGGGTAAAGTAAAAAACAACATTTACATAACAAAAATGACTGCTTAAAAAAAATTGAAAAGCATGTTTTTTTCTGATACATATATTTGTTCATGACTTCTTTATGAAATGGAAGTATATCCATAAAATTGGAAGTTCTACAAAGTTATCCCTATTTGTTTTAACACCATGGAAATTGTTCATTTTGGTACTTTTACACTTGACACTTTTCCCCCTCCACATTATCCCCCCCCCCCATTTGACAGAACTCATTGAATTGTATTAAAACAAAAATTTTCTCAAAATAAATGTCATTTTTAAGGAAAAAAAAAAAAATAAGATTAAAACGTGAAATCCTACATGTCATGGAAACGAAATGAATACCCTTTATGTGTCTTGTTGTGTTTTATATAAAGGGATGTAAACAAATCGTGTTAATTACTAAAAAAAAAATAAAATAAAAGTGAAGTAGGAATAATGAAATGATATTAAAATAATAATATAGCAGAGCACGAGGGATAACACACAGTTGAGCAAAGGGGAATAAAAGTGGTAGACTGCTAAAAGAGGGGATCATTCGAAAATTGTATTATGCAAAAAAAAAAAAAGTTTGTTCTTTACATATGAATAGATAATGTTTATGCAAAAATATCTTTATATAAATACTTTAAGTGAATGAACTTGGAAATATGTATATAGAAAAAGGAAATTGTTGCATAAAGAGAATTTTTTATTTCTCTTTCTTTAGTGCGCGTAACATCACAATTCAGAAACAAAAAAAAAAAAAAAATGGCACAAAACGGTGACAAAAAATTATAAATGAAATCACATTAAGTGGTAGACATGTAGAATGTTGGGTTAAGTTAACAAACTGAGAGTTACAGTGAACATATAAGTTGGCAACCATACGCATACATATATACATATATATATATATATATATATATATATATATATAACCACTGTGTGCTATACCCATTCGTGTGCCGATTTGCACACATCCCACACTTTTGCATGTACAAAATGTGATCCTTATTATAATCTCCAAAGCTCCTAAGGCGAATCGTTATTCTCTGGCTCGTGATAACTTTCAAGACTTATGGAATCCATGAACTTGGACTGATGCTTGCTTTTCATGTATTTCCTAATTTGTTCATTTAGCCAAGTATAGAATTCTGAATTTTCTGTTAACCTATTAGCATAGATAGTGTCATAATTTTTGCAGGTCTTAATAATATTTTCATACATATTTTTAACAATTTTTTTAATAAAATAGATGACCATTTTAATTGGAGTATATTTAAACTCATTCTCAACATGTACAAAGAGTTCAAGAACTGTTGAATTTCCATTGTCCAAAGGATATATTAAAAAGCATAAATCAGCTGCCCTCTGTCGATCTATTTTGGGAGTGGGTTCAGGCAATTTACAATCAAAAAAAGTTACTTCATTTTTTTTTTTTCTGAATTTTTGGGGAATTTCCTTAACTTTTAATATTTCTTCATTTTTGTTTATGCTTATTTGATCACACATATTCTTGTAAAACTCGATGTCCTTCATCAATTCTGGTGGTGACTTGCAGCATAGAATTATGCACCCGAGTTCTTCTAGTGAGTTCGCACCTGTGTTTAAGGAAAAAAAAAGGAATAGCGGATAATAAAAATGGATGGGGAAATTATGACATGGAAAAACGAATTAACATTATGCATATCCATTTTTAATCCACAGGAGTTAGCACGGTCAGACGAAAGGTATGCACAAGCAAAACCGCATCTAAGTAGTGAGAGGTGAGAGGTAAGTGGTGAGCGGTGAGCGCAAAAGAATCCGAAACGCTGAACCCTAGACCCTGAGGCCACATAAACCGCTAGAAACCCCCATGTAATATATCCATTTGGTACTTACCCAAGCAGTACATCAAAGACTCCTTCTTTCCTATAATGGGATACTCATACAACTGTGCAATAAGGGCACTCGATTTTGACAAGTTTTTGATTTTTTCAGAAAAAGTTAAGAAAGGCACCCAATTTGTACTTAACTCTGTTTCACTGATAATGGACAATATTTTACTAACCTCATGAGGAATTTTTGCCCGAATATGTACAGAAATATTATTATCACTATCGACTCGATGCCACAAATCAAGATATTTATCATTTTCCTTTATCCATCCTTCTTTATTTTGTTTCGTTTTTCTAAATTTTTTAAATCTTCTTGAATATTTTTGTATAATTTTAACCATATGCCTATTACTTCCTTTTGTATGTGTTGTCGTTTCTTCTTTGGAATATTTTTTATTAACAGAGGTTTTACTGCTACTAAGTATGCTAGAACCGTTGCAATTCTTGTGGTACACTTTGTCTATTATAACTTGGTTATTGTCTTTTGTGTATCCTTCCTCCCTTCGTTTTTTGCTGTCGATCATTTGACCATTCTGTTGATTGCTCGTTTCGCAACATTCTTCACCTCTTTTCTGATTATGATGAACGTTTGCATCTTGCTGTTCCATACTTAATCCCATGGAGAATGGATTGTAGTGGAATCCTCCCACATCGGAATTCATTGTGGATTGGCGTCTAGATATTTTTCTGTTTATATTGTCATTATCTCCAAATGGAGGAGTAATATTATTGTCCAATCCATGAGTCATTATATCTGAAGCTATGCTGTTATGCTTCTCTAATGAAAAGTAATACGAATAATCACTAAGCACTGTAGACATTTCATGTAATCGAAAAAAATTTAAAATATGGAAAAGAATATGAACTTTCAAATTGTTAATATTATACTTTTCATTTTTTTCAGTACAATTTGCTTCATAATATTTTGTTAACCTGTCAACAGCCTCCTCATCATTTATTTCTTTAAAATATTCAATGTAATGTTCTATGTAATTTTTTACATGCTCAATTAGTTTCTGTGCTCTAAAAATTTTTTCATCAGATATGTATTCATCAATTTTTTGCGAAAAATTTTGAACTTGTATGAGAATGACATTTTTATCAATCTTGTCAGCAATGTTGGCATTATCACCATTTCCAACATGGTCCATAAGTGTTGTTTTTTCACTTGTTCCTTTCAAAAATAAGGATGGCGAACCAGTTTCGTTATGTACACTACTGCGGTATGATATTCTGTTCTTGTTACTCATGTTATATGAATCATTTTTTTTCTCTTCACTTTCATCGTTTGTACCCTCTTCTAAGGAATGTAAATTTATTGAATGACTTTGAATTCTAAGTGTATTATCTTCAAGCGAGTTCTCAAATGGGTTAGTTGCATCGATGTTATCACCTAGATCATCTTGTTTCTGCCCCCTTAGTGCATTATCACTATCAGGGTTATTATCATTATTATTATCATTATTATTGACATTATTATTGACATTATTATTGACATTATTATTGACATTATTATTGACATTATTATTGACATTATTATTACTGTTATTCACACTACGAGTGTTCGCGTTATTGGGCCCTGCTTCTTTGAATGATACTCCATCTTTTACTTGCACATCAGAGTTACATCTTTCATCTTCACTATTCTGACAATTATCACTCCAACAAAAAAGACTTCCCTTCTTGCTGTTATCTACCGAATTGGCAGTAGGACCTTCCTGCTGATTTCCATTACAAAAAAACTTATTTTTATTACAAAAAAAATTATCAGTAATAAAAAAATGATTTGAGTCAACTGTTAATTCTGAATTTTCCATATCATCGTTTATGTCATCCTTTTTCTGAGAACAGCTCAGATATCTACAAACTGTAAACCATAAGTCTTGCACGTCACAGTGCTGTTTGTTATCTCCTTCTATCATATTGTCATCATGTGTTGAAGCCGTTGTATCATTATTTTCATCTTGTAAATCCTCATGGTCTTCGGTTCCTTCTTGTGTTTCCTTTTTATTATTCTGACAGTTATGTTGTAACTCTCCAAATGTTAAACCTGCATGTGCGTAATCGTTTGGTGTGAAAAAGGTCTCTTAAGTTATTGTTGTTTTTGTAGGGGCGCGCTTATTTGGCGCTATTTTTTCCATTTTCCATATTTGCTATTTTTTTATTATTCATTTTTTTTTTCCCATTTGGTATAACCACATTAGGGGCATATGTCCTTTTTCTTTCCCCTTTCCTTTTGCGCATTTTTTTTTTTTTTTTTAAATTGTGTACCTGGATTTTGGATAACTTCGCTTTCAACTTCCATTTGGGAAAATTCGCTTTTCTCAATAAATTACAAAAATAAACCCTTAACATGTATTAGGATTTTTTTTTTTTTTTTTTTTTTTTTTTCTGTAATTCCCTCTGTGCAGGTTCTACTACTGAGATGTTGTTAGGCTGAGGTAAGGTGATGTAACAACATACGTTTTGATGATGTGTGAAATTATTTTTTTTTAAAAATTCCGTTCTTGTTCTGATTTTTGTATAGAATATATTTCTTTTTCTTGCTGTTGTGCATATGCAATGTTCGTAAGAATTAGTTCGATCTAGGTTAAAATAATCGAAACTGTTAATTATAGTTATATTTAAGTATTTTTTTTAAACTGTTATATTTTTTTTTTTTTTTTTTTTTTTTTTTTTTTTTTTGTTTAAAATTTGAAAAAAAAAAAAAAAATTAATAAATAAATAAAAAAATAATTTATTTTTTTGGTTTTTTTTTTTTTTTTTTTTTTTTTTTTTTAATTTTTTTTTTCTTTTTTTAAATTTTATTAATTTTTTTTTTTTATTTTTTTTTTTTTTTTTTTTAATTTTTTTTTTTTTTTTTTTTTTTTTTTTTTTTTTTTTCTTTTTACGTTAAAATATGAAAAAAAAAAAAAAAATTAATAAATAAATAAAAAAATAATTGACTTTTTTGGTTTTTTCTTTTTTTTTTTTTTTTTATTTGTAACTTTTTTTTTCACTTGCTGTTTACTACACTTGCATTTGGTTAACCAACCATTCTCGCATGTGTGCCTGTTTCCAATAAAGCGGGTGATTAAGGTTTACCATTCTTTTCTCTATCAGAATTTTTGGCACCACTTCTCTATCGTTCTTTCTTCAAAGATGCTTTCTTTTTGTTTCGCCTTTTTATTCTATGGGTCTCGCACCACGGTTACCCTAGTCCTGTTTTTTTTTTTTTTTTTTTTTTTTTTTTTTTTTTTTTTTTTTTTTTTTTTTTTTTTTTTTTTTTTTTTTTTTTTTTTTTTTTTTTTTTTTTTTTTTTTTTTTTTTTTTTTTTTTTTTTTTTTTTTTTTTTTTTTTTTTTTTTTTTTTTTTTTTTTTTTGTTCTGTTCTGTTCTGTTCTGTTCTGTGCGTGTTGTGAATTGATGTGTCGTTTCATTCAGTTTTACTCCGCTTTGTTTTGTGCTATTTCGTGCTAGATCATTTCACCAAAATCTTTTCCCTCTTCGCCTTTTTTTTTTCTTTTTTTGCTGCCTTCCCTATATTTTAACTTCTTTCTTTCTTTATTTATTTTTATTATTCCTCACAACCATATGTTGTTCTCGCGTACCGTATTATATGTGCCTCTATTTTTCATAAATACTTTGAACAAATATATATTCGTTAAGTAGTCCCCTTTTTTTCTTTTTTTCTTCTTTTTTTATATTATTTATTTTTTCCTTTATGTTTTTTATTCTAGTACATATATAACTGAATTTTTCCAATTCTGCTAAGTTGTCAAACTTGATAAAAATGCTAAATATACTAATTTTGTCAAACCTTCTAAAAATTGCTAAATATGTAAAAAAAAAAAAAAAATTTTCTTTTTGAGGAACTTAAATAATTTAGTGATGTTGCTTTTTTTTTTTTTTTTTGGGGAATTCCCTCTTTATTTTTAAGATTGAATTACACTCTTGAATTTCACTTTTGTTTTTACTTTGATTAACATTTTTTTTTTTTTTTTTTTTTACACACCTTTTACTTCTGTTTTTGACATCACGTATATAGGTAACAGTAAAGTAACATAATTTTTCAAAATTTTTTATTATGTTCATTTGTGCAAAGGGGAAAGAAGCCGGCAATTTTTAAAACTTTTCTGTATATCACACTTCCATTCCCCATTTAATTCATTCTTATTAATCTGTTGCACGATTAACACTTTTTTTTATCTTTCTTTTTTTTTTTTCTTAATTTGTGTAAGCAGAGTTGTGACAGTGTATGACAACTCCGGAAACCTTGTTGTCCTATTACGTTTTTTTTTCTTTTCCTTTTTTTTTTTTTTTGTCACAACTCCTCTTTTTCACTCCGTTTTATTCACATTCTGATGGCAGTACAAAATTATTTTAACGTCATGAACATTAAAATGAGAAATATCTTTATCATTCAATTTAAAGTTTTATTTGAAATCTTGAAAAATAGTCACACAATATTATTCTGTTGGATTGTACTTCGAACATGTAAATCTGCAAATATATGTAAATCATCCGATTGGAGAAGCACTAATATGAATACAACGATGAAAAAACCTATAAAATATCACATGTGTGGATTAGACACTTCTACGTATATTTATCATCACATAGTGTTTACTTAAATAAATTGCATCCAATTTTGAAGCACTCGGATAACTTTTAAAATTTTTGATTTTCATAAAGTTTTAACCCGCAAGGGAATTTTCTTTCTTGGTTCTGATTTGAAATTTGTTCGGTTTTCGTGAAATAAAGCGAATCAATTTGAACTTTTTATTCAAAATGATACTACATGGTTGCATAAGACAGGAATATCACATTTACAATCCTACAATCACATCACAAATGTCAAATTAGACTATTCCAGATCTCTTATTTTATTTTATTTTATTTTTATTTTTTTTTTTTTTCCTCATTACAAGAACAAATTCAGGCGTTAAAGCGAATTAAACATTAAATATCAGTGTTAAAAATAGCCAATAAAGAGAGAAAAAAAAATAAAATAAAAAATAAAAAAAAACATAATATATAGTGCATAATTATCAAAATTGGCAAACGTGCCCAACGTGATAAAAAAATAAAACCAGGGAAAAAAGACAATCTAATTAAATTCCCATATTTGCACATTTCCAAAAAAGAAAAAAAAAAAAAAAAAAAAAAAAACTATAAAAAAACAAATCTATAAAAAAGAAAAAGATAATGTCATTTTCTGATAATTGGAAAATTACCAAAACGATAAATAGATGTGCAAGCAGGTCTCTGTTGATGTGTGAATATCTGTGTATATATTCCAGTATGACCTTACGCATACGAGAATATTCTCACTTGCGAGGATACATTTTCAGGTGCACACGAGTGAAACACTGCTTAGACAGTTTTCTCCTTAGCTTAATCACCCGGTTAGGTGAGGCTCAAAAAATAAAATAAAACAAAATAAGAAGAAGAAAAAGAAAAAGAAGATGAGGAAACCGAAGGGTAGGACTGTCTATACACATAACAAATGTACAGAAGAAAAAACGAAAATTTCTTCGTTCCCTTAAAAGAAAAAAAAAAATAAAACACAGAACTCATAAATAAATGTTCAAAAAGAAATAATGCTATTTAAACAAAAAAATAAAATAAAATAAGATAAAAAGGAAAAGAATACGTAACATATTTTTTACGTCTCAAAATAGGTATTAAATTATTTTATTCATTTCCCTGTTCCGCAAATTATGAACGAATATTTATTCTATCTGTAAAAATATCTAATTGTTTTTTGTATTTTTATTTTATTTATTTTTTTTTTTTTTCCTCATAATCCACTCTTATATGTGTGGAGAAAATAGCATTTTATTTCGGTTCTTATACATAAAGGTTTCTCTTCATTGAAGTATAACAACTTCGTGTTTATCTGCGTATACACCTGTCTATCTATATATACATGCAAATAAATATACATACACATATAATACATGTTTTGTTCAGAATACACACCATTACTTGTTCACAATATGCAAATTGAAAAAGACCAACAAATGCAAATTTATTTCCTATTTGTGAATTGTGATACATGTAAAAAAGCAATTGTGGGGTACACAGAAAATTCGTTTGAGTAAATTTGCAAAACATATAGAGAAGTAAATAATAAATGTGGTTCACATTCTGGTTATGCATTCTCACTCTTATATATTTTTATTTTATGTTGATGGAATAGCACAAATATCCCATGGTCCTTCAAGTTTGCTAAAATAAGGGAGAAGTGTAGAAGTGATACATAAGTGAAGAAACTTGTGGATGTATCCTGTTACATACATTCTTACGCACTCTGTTACGAACGTTGTTACGCGTGTTGTATTCTCGTCGGAATGGAGATGAATTTCCTCTTATTACACACTTGTGTTTCAAGTGTATATGTTTTATCCTTCTTTTTCCTTCTTTTTCCTTCTTTTTCCTTCTTTTTCTTCCTTTTTTTTTTTTTTTTTTTTTTTTTCACTCTGCTATGCTTACGTTTTTAAATTGTGTTTTTTCACAAAAAAGGCAGGAACGACAAAAATGAGGAAAGTATGCCTACAAGGAGGGAAAAATATATAAAAGTTATCAAGCACATGTTTTTCTGATGAATATATGTTTTCATTGGAATACATCTGTATGTATATACCCGAACATACTTTCATGCAGATGAGCAATGAACTATCCACGTACACATTCACATGCAAGCATAAATATATTAACAAATGTGTAATCAAACATTAATACAAAATGTGAAAAAACAAAGTTGGCTAAACTCACCCGATGAGGTTTATGTAAAACAGCATGACAGAAATGCTTCTTATACAGAGGGATAAAATTAGGAACATCAGGGGGAATAAGACGTAGTTGTAATAATTAATGTTTTTTAACTGAATAGGGAAGGAAAAAAAATGAAACAAAGTAGTAAAATAAAGTAGTGAAACAAAATAGTGAAACAAAATAGTGAAACAAAATAGTGAAACAAAATAGTAAAATAAAAAAAAAAAAATGAACCAAAGTCGTAACAGTTCAATATAGCAATTTCGTTATTTCGTTTTATGGGATCAATAATTAGGTTGATTACGGCTATGGTTTGAACGATGAAGGGGGTATAAAAAAAAAGTCTGAATGAGAAAAGGGATAATTTGTGTGCTGTTTAAACAATTTTAAACTGGTCATTAAATAGGCAGACACTGCAACCGATGAACAGTAGTACAGTGATCACTTTGTCGTCTAATACTGACAAGACATATAATATTATGTGCCATTTCCTGATGTTTTCATTCTAAAAAATAATGAATAACCATGGTGACACATTTTTTAATGAGAAACAATCTCTTTTTTCTGGACTTACGTTGAGGAAAAAAAGAGGAAGGAAAATATCTAAAGTGCAAAAAGAGAAGAAATTTCTATCAGTACATATAATGTGTAATATGCAAGTTTCTTAGTGAACTATAGCAAGGGGAAAAATAAAATAAGGAAAAAAAAATAATATTTGCCTGTCTACTTTTTAAAGTGATGCTACCTGAACAATGGAGGAAAGACGAGACCCCAATATGACACTTGCGATAACGACACAGCTCAAAGACGTTGAATCGAATATATCTATATTTTCATTTTTCCTAAATAAGAGAAGTAGTAACAAAATATAAAAAAAAAAAAAAAAAAAAAAAATTTAAGAGGAGAATTTTTGGAAATCATTTAAAGGTGCAATGTTATAGACATGTTAACACATGTGTGAACAATTATATGCACATAGTTCTACAAGTCCAAATAGTGAATTGTGCTCTTACTCATATATAAATCCGTAATTATGAAACATAAGATGAATGAGCAGCAGCACTTGTATTTGAAAAAGGGAAAAGAAAAAAAAAAAAAATTGTCACAAATTTAATGCAATCTAGAAAAATATTAAAAATATATATAACAACAAAATAGATTAAAATAAAGTTTTGAAATTCAAAATAGTTAATTACATATGGAAACTAAATAAACCGTGTCGTCAGTGTGTGTTTGAGTTAGGCTAATTAGCACGGGGGATAATATCTTCAAAAGGGAAAGAATACATATTACGAGAATTTTGTGTACTTTAAAATATGTGAAAACAAATAAAAAGGGAAAATTCTTTAATTCTGTATCATTGTTTACCCATATAATTCCAATAATAATTACAGTGTCTAGAATGTTCTTAAAGGAACCTGAAAAAGGGTAAATGGAGAAATGTCAGTATAACTGTGTATACATAAGGTGAGGAAAGAGGGGGGAGGAGGGAAATGTGCTTATTCGATTATTTCTTCATTTTTTTGCCCACATACTCTTTTTTTTTTTTTACTTACAATTAATCGATTTATGAACTTCATAAATTAACACTTCCTTCAGTATTATTATGGTACTGCTGGCTGCGTATATTAACCTGTAGGAGTAAAATGAAGAAATTATTCAATCTATTTGTTAATGGACATTTGAAATGGTCCATTTCGTTTAATAGTTCAGTCGTTCAATCGTTCAATCGTTAGGTTGTTGTTTCGTCATTTCGTGAATTCATCATTTTGTCAATTCGTGAATTCGCTAATTCGTTCGCAAGTCCACTCTTTTTCTTTTTTTTTTATTTCTGCAAACAAGTCGTACCTATGAGACGCTATATTTTTATCAATGCAATGGTAAGCCAAGATAAGAAAGAGAACAAGAATTATTTGATGATTAACGCATAGCATGCTGTGGCAAACATGGGAATATTTGTACTTGATGCCAACTGAAGGAGCGCAGGAAGAAAATATGCAGTGAAACAATGTAACGTAGCGAACCAAGTTTACATGTGCTTATTATGTTTCATGATGTAGATATATGTCTGAATCATGCTTTTAAAGAAAAAAATTTAAATTTTATGTACAATTGGTTAGAAGAGAACTTAGAAAACTTTTGTGCACATAGTTGTCTGGGTACCCCTGGTCTTCATATAATATTTTTCTCCATTTCTTTTTCCTCTTAATAGAGAAGAATAATCATGCAAATATTGCATTCATGTGTGTATACAAATGAAGTGAATAAAATATATTGGGTATTTTATTGGTGTGTTTTTACACCTTAAGGGAAAATAAAAATGTAGAAACATCTTTGCCATTTAACTTTCTCCTAATATTGTAGCGCTCCATGTTTAAGTATATTTTCCATTTTTTTTTTTTTTTTTTAAATTTTGTTTCTTTGAAAAGAAGCCTTATTTACCATTCCACTTTTATCAGTACTATTCATTTTATGATCCATTCATAAAAGCTATGAACGGTTTTTTTATAAAATATTCCTAGTTCAGGTAAATAAGAAAAAAAAAAAAAAAAAAAAAAAAGCTAACGTGTTTATGTCCTTTTGTATATGCTTATATGTATCATCCCCCATATGCAATACATTTGGACATTCAAATATTGTGATATTTGCTTGTTGAGTTTAAACAAATACTGAAATATATTAAAACACAATTTGCAGTTGTGTGAATGTAACCTTAGTTATTAGATGAGAGTAAAAATATGTTCAGTTGAAATTTCTTAGCTGGGTTTAAAAAAAAGAATAAAAAAGAAAAAAAAAAGGGTAATATATGATTGTTCCTTGAATGTTTATTTTTTTATTTTTTTGCATGACCTGTTAATAATGTTCATTAAAATAACATTATTACAATTGTGTGTTAATTTGCACATGTATGCTTAAGCATATGTTCCCTCTTTTGTGCCTAAGTAGGGGTCTTATTTAATCTTTTTTTAATCTCTTTTTAATCTCTTTTTAATCTCTTTTTAATCTCTTTTTAATCTCTTTTTAATCTCTTTTTTTTTTTTTTTTTTTTTTTTTGCCAAATTTAGCAAAGAAAAAACTAAAATATTATAGTCTAAAAATGTTAATCCCTATTCACAAAAAGTTAGGAGAATAGATCAAGGAATGAAATACTATAATTCCCTGAAATAGACCATGCACATGGTGGGGATTTTTTTTTTTATTTTTTTTTTATTTTTTTTTTATTTTTTTTTTATTTTTTTTTTTTTTTTTTTTTTTTTTTTTGCCAAATTTAGCAAAGAAAAAACTAAAATATTATAGTCTAAAAATGTTAATCCCTATTCACAAAAAGTTAGGAGAATAGATCAAGGAATGAAATACTATAATTCCCTGAAATAGACCATGCACATGGTGGGGATTTTTTATTTTTTTTTTCTCTCTAAATGTACACATTTTAAGCTCACACATATTTGTTATTCAAAAAGGACAAACAAACCATCAAAATAACAAATTGGAAATGTTATGAGAAAGAAAAAAAAAGAAAATCAAGTGATAATTTTTTCTTTGAAAAGAATAGATTAATTTCTGCTTGTTAATTGGGGAGGTGTACACATAAAAATATATACATCTTTTTAAAAAAAAGAAAAAAAAAAAAGAAAAAACTACAATTAACTTTGACATATTAATTGTATACCTTTAAAAATAGTAACTTTAAAAATGGTTTAGTGATCATACATACAGTTTTTTTTTTTTTTTTTTTTTTCTTAATGCAGAGAAACTTTGGGGGGAAAAATAAAATTGGACCTTGTGGAAATTTGTTACATATTTCTTTTTTTTACAATATTTAAGTGTAATCTAATGGGCGAAGAGCTACAAATTTTAAAAAGGGGAATTTCTCATTCTTGATGGACATTTAAGGAACAACCAAGAGACGTTAGGGAGATTGGTTAAAAAGAAGGGGTTTTAATTGTTTTACCTAAACTTTGTCAAATGTTGATCTCATGAATATTGAGTGAAATGGGGGTTTTGGGTAAAAATGTGAACACCTGTTACTCGCAATTGCCTTTATTTGTATGCGAATTCCCTTTTCCTTTCTCCTTGCATAATAAACGCATTCCACTTTTCTTTTACATCTTAAAAATATGTTCACTTATTTCTCGTGTTTTTTTATTCCCGTACTATTTTCCTCACGTTTATTCCCATTCATCCATTTATTTTATTATATTATTTTTATTATTATTTTTTTTTTCATTTTTTACTTTATTTTTTTATCGGAGACAAATTTTCACCTTTTCCCACCACGCGTGTTAGATTCGTATGCATTTAATATTGTTTAAAAAAGTGTAGAAATTATATGTGCGCAAGCTTTTCAAAAAAAGGAGACAAACTTTTGTTCCAATTTTGCAGCAGTTCATGATAGCCCATTATGGAAAGGCATACGAAAAAAACAATATAGCAAAATAGCAATACAGAAAAATAGCAATACAGCAAAATAGCAAAACAGCAAAATAGCAAAACAGCAAAATAGCAAAACAGCGAAATACGAAAAGCTTGCCATAAAGTGTTATAAGGCACGATTGTACGACAATAGGGGAGAAAAGGAAGCAATTTTTTTTTTTATTTATAATAATTATCCCTAAAAGCATGCTTACTTGAAAGATGTGCCTTTTTACAAGAGCTTAAAAAATATCATTGCAACGTGACCTACTTTTTATTTTCCCTAATACATACATATATACACAAACACACACGAAAAACGCTTATTCACTTTTTTTTTTTTTTTTATGACAATTTGGAATACATTAGAAGCAGCGGTTTGGAGTGAGTATTTCGTCTTTTAAGCGAAAGAATCGAAAGAAGCGAAAGGAACACATTTAAGTGTAATTGCATGGATGGGATAATTTCCCCTTTGCACTTCCCACGGTAATGTACATAATGGAAAATGCATATAATAGCCATTATACTCTCGAATAACATAGGATTTAAATCACTTATTTTTCCAAGTACCGTGTGTCAAATCGACCATTCTTTGGACGCCGTACATGATGCTCATTAGGGAAGCCAACCAAGCGATTGTTAGGTACGAACTCATATAAGTGTATATATATATATATATATATGTATGTATGTGCATATATATATATCTACACTTATATGAGTTCGTACCCCACACACATACACACGTGGGGCACATCGGCCAATCTCGAAAAGACATTCTGTCAAAGAAACCATCATGATCGTCAGAAAAAGGTCCATAAACGGCACGCCAATCGAGAAGGGAAGGGAAAATGAGAAGAAACTCCAAAACATCACAATAAAAAATTACGAAATAAACAGTAATGATAAGAAAAGGAATTTTTTTGACTACTATGGGTGTATATACCCATTTAATATGCCCATAAGTTTGTACAAATATGCGCCTATTTTTGGATATTGTAGTTTAAGTGATTTTCAAGAAATAGGGGCAAAACGACTAGCTCTGTTACAATTTTTGGATACGTGTACAATCAGTGGGGAAGAGGAAAGAGATACTTTTAGCAATAAAGGAAGATTGGAAAAAAGTTTTCATGGGAATAATTATAATGAAAATAAAAGTAAGCAAATAAGACAAAAAATATATGAATATAAATTTGGAATTCAATCAATGAAAAATTATAGTAAAGAAGAAATGGAAAATATAATAATGACAGACTTACTGTCTCATTATATTTTAAGAATAGCTTTTTCCAAAGATAGAGAAAAACAACAATGGTTTTTGAAACAAGAATTAAAATTATTTACATTTCGATTAAATGAATTAAAAAATATTAATGTACTTAATACACAAAACCTTGCAGAAAGTGAAAGAGGTTTAATTCATTTGTTAAAAAGAGAAGATCTAAATTATGATTACATATCAAAACCAGCGGTATCATCCCTTGTTGCAAGAGATGAGGAATGGGAAAAATATACATCGTTTATACCAAATAAGGATACTATTGAAAAAGTATTTAAAATTCCATTTTTCCCTGATGCATATTTTTTAGTGAAAGATCATAAAGTATGTGTAGATAAAGCCATTGCCTATGTTCCGGATATATATCTAGATTCAATTTTGATTACTCAATTTAAAATAAACATAAAAGAATCTTTTAAATATTTGGATCAAAATGAAAAATTATTACTATCTGTTCAGAATGATAATAGAATATCATCGTTCCTTGCAGCATTACCAAAAGCATATGTTGCAAAAGATTATAGGCAAAATTATGAGCACACTCAGGAAACTAGATTAATGCCACAAAATATATATAATGTTTATAAACAATCTTTCCCTCCTTGTATGCGTAGAATATTTGTTAATTTTTTAAAAGAAAAACATTTAAAACATTGGGGAAGGCAACAATTGTGGTTATTTTTAAAAGGAGCCGGTATGACATTAGAAGAAAATATTCAAGTTAATAGATCCATATGGATGCAACCCGACAAATTCGACAAAGAACATAGATATACTATACGTTACATGTATGGAAAAGAAGGGAAAAAAACAGATTTTAGTCCCTATAATTGCTCCAAAATTATAAATAACTTCCCTGTTCCTTCTAGTGGTGATACACATGGTTGTCCTTTTAAAAATTTTGATGACTCTCATTTAAGAAGTCTTTTATTCTTCTTTGGACTAACCGATGATCAGATAAAAAATATCATGCCCTTAAAAAAAAACAATGAATATCAGTTGGCATGTGTGAAGTTTTTCATGGAAATGCACCCTGGGTCCACAGCCGACGGGGTTGGCAACCATCCAAATTCGTATTACATCGAAAGTAGAAAGTCCGTTATAAAAAAAAAAATAAGAAAAATAAGAAAAATAAGAAAAATAAGAAAAAATATGAAAAAATAAGAAAAATAAGAAAAATAAGAAAAATAAGAAAAATAAGAAAAATAAGAAAAATATGAAAAAATATGAAAAAATAAGAAGAAATATGAAAAAATAAGAAAAAATAAGAAGAAATATGAAAAAATAAGAAAAAATATGAAAAAATAAGAAAAAATATGAAAAAATAAGAAAAAATAAAAAAAAAAAAAAAAAAAAGGCTAAGATGATAAGTCCATCCGAATTATTACCCCACGGTTCTCAATTGTATGCTCATTCTCTCATGGGAAGGGCGTATCTAATCAGTTGACCAATTGCTCAACTGCTAATCTGGAAAAATATAAAAAAAAAAATTTCCCCTTTTCTTTTTTCCATAACAGGTACTACAAATCGAAGACAACAAACTCAGAAAAGGCTCCCGATACTTGAGCACTTCCCTGTGGACAATTGTGACGAAAAAAAAAAAAAAATAAAATAAAAAAATAAATTATAATAAAACAAAACAAAATAAAACAAAATAAAACAAAATAATAAAATAATAATAAAAGAAACGCGTGAAAAATGGGACCTCTCTCTCTATTGAGTTAAAAGAGAACATATGTTATCCTCGATGCACTACGGAGGGACCGTAGGAATGTGGCATAATTCACTCCCAGCAAGCAGAGTCATAGGCGTATATATTTATTCTGTGCAAACATATTTGTGCATCCACGCTTCCACGGGGTCACACTCGTTATATATTTCTTTCCTTTTCTTTTTTTTTTTTTTTTTTTTTTTTGTGTATATGTGTGTGCGTTTTTCTTTTTTAAGAAACGTTCCATAAATAAATAAACATCTTTTACGTAAACTTTTCACTATTCATAAACATTTTCTTCCACGCTATAAATAAGAAATGTATGCGGGAGGTATGTGTGCACCCAATAAATGAGATACAAGCGCACTTTGAACATTTTGATATATATATATATATATATATATATATATATATATATATATATATATATATATATATATATACATAACTATGCAGCATTCATTTGGGCTTTTCCTCAATGAGTTGGCTAATTTCATTCAATAATTTTTGAAGCGTTTGAACATGTGATGAATTAAATTCTTCTCCATCCCTGTTTTGTTGCCCTGTTGCATTGTCTTGCTCATCCATATGATTGGATAAATGGAGATAATTTTGATATATTTTTTGGATGAAAAATTTACATAATTGAAAAATTTCCCTAGATGATGAACTAGAAGGATCCAAATCACAACAACCAATACCCTGTTGACAAGCATCAATGAGATTTTGATTAAATGTTATTTTCCCGGCATAATTAACATTCATTTCTGCGCACATTTTTTCAACAGTGTAATTTGACACAAATATAGATTGGTGCATATTTTCAATTACTCCCAAAATAGGAATATTCGTTTTTTTACAAAATTCAATTTCTTTCTTAACATCACATATGGATAATATATGGGGAGTAGTAACTATTAAACAACCATCTAAATTATTTTTTAAATAAGAACAAATGGTTAAGTGTTCATCACTAGTTCCAGGGGGAGTGTCTATAATTAAAAAATCCTGATTCTTCCAGTATACGTCACATAAAAATTGTTTGATTAGTCCATTTTTTTTGGGACCTCTCCATATAACTGGGTCATCAAAATTAGGTAATAAATATCCAACAGACATAATTGATAAATTATTTTTATATATCGGAACCCATCCATTCATACTATAATTAACATCATGATTTAATGTTTGCGTTAAGACAGGGATAGATGGGCCACATATGTCAATGTCCAACAACCCTACATCATAATTTAAGTGAGATAATGAAAAAGCTAATTGAGATGCTACCGTTGATTTTCCTACTCCTCCTTTTCCAGATAAAATCAAAATTTTGTATTTTACATTTTTTAAATTCTCTTGGATTTGATTATAAATTTGATTTTTTTCCTGCTCTTTTTCTTTTCTCAGTTCTGGATTATTGCAAATTTTTCGGTTTGGGCAGCCTTCGCAAACTTTGGATTTCCCTGCCTTTTCGTTTTCCATGCCTGGGCATCCTTCAGGAATTTCCTCATCTTCATTTTCCTTATGTTCACTATTATATTTGTGTTCCTTATTATTTTTCTTTCTTCGGTACAATTTTCGCACTTCACATTTTCTGATGATTCTCTCCACTGTGCAAGTCAGACATCTGGTAAGTTTTCTCCTATTCAAAAATAAGTAGCTTATCGCTAGTCCTGTCAATGATCCTAGCAAAAGGGGCATGCAGTTTCTCTTCGCGTAGGAATACATGGAAAACGGCCTTTTGTTTTGTCTCTTTTTTTTTTTACTACATGCGCGTATATATATATATATATACATACATATACATACATATACATATACATATACATATACATATACTTTTTTGTGTCTGAGTAATCTCAGAATGTGTTACATAAGCTCGAAAAGGTGTAGATTATTCTGTCAACATTTATGATTCCATCCGTTCTGTGAGCATACGGAATTTGTGCAACAACGTGAATAAGCAACAGCAGAATTTCTTTCCGCGTTTTTTTTCTTTTTCACAAACACATGCTACTATGAAAATGTGGCTTAAAAAAGAAGAAAAAAAAAAAAAAAAAATTTTTTTCTTTTTTTTTCAATTTTGAACTCTCACGTTTTTGTATATTGGTTTTTTATTCTCATAATTTAGGCGATGTTCTACGGTGGGGGAAAAATAGCAAATGGGAAGAGTGAAATTTTTTTTTTTTTTTTCTTCATGTTTTCTTCTACCTTTCCTTTTCTTACTTTTTACTTTTTTTCTTCCTATTTTTTCACGTTACAGCGACACGCCCATACCTCAAATGCACTAAGTCTCAATTATGATGAAATTAAGGGCTGCTGCACTCGGATTGCTTATTTATTAAAAATATAAACCCAAAATGCTTTTCAAAAAATGAAAAAGAAGAAGGGTATATACAACTGTAATAGCTGGAAGGAAGTGAAAATGATGTAATTCTAAACTTTTATAGGAAAAATAATATTTTGGGCCACAGCAGAATTTTTTAAAGATTTTTCTCAAATGAGTGCAATTACACAGTAGTAATGAAGTGCCTTAAAAACCCAGAAAAGGGAATATTATCACCATGGTTATTATTTCCTAGTAAAGCAATTGACAGTAGAGAGGGTATTGATTAATAATATGTGCACACTTTTCCTTATCTTGGACGTATAGGACACTTATGCATATGTGTGTTGCATTGTATTCTTAAAAGAGGGTTATGACTTTCATGAGTGCATGTTTTTTAACGCTTGAACGTAGTAAAAGAATGAAGAACACATTGAGAGAATTTCCTTGCACGACAGGTAAAAGATTTATCACGGTTCTCTGCTTTGCCTCCGCTTAAGTATATTTTTTGCTTCTTTTTTTTCCCCCATTTGAATGCTAATAAAACGTTAAATTGTCTCTCTTTAATAGGCAAAAGAGAGAGGAAAAATTAAAAAATGAATGAATGAATGAATAAATATACGGGCGAATAAACGAACAAATAAACCAAGCTCTATTTATATGAACATGTTGTACCATATAAACATAGCTGAAAAAGGAACAAGACTTATGCGACATGGACAAATCAAGGGAGGCGCAAACCCAAATGAAAAAGTCAAATATGATATAATCCAATTTCGATAATCTTAGCGAAATAACATCAGCCTCCATCAGTCTTCATCACCTTTCCAATCATAGGAGAGAGGTTAGAACACAAAAAGGAGAGGGAAGACAAAAAAAAAAAAAAAAAAAAAAAAAGGCTAATAGAGAAGCTTTCCCTGTAAACTTAGACGTTCTAATATGTTTTCCCCATACTCTTCATAATCTGCCCTGGTAATATTATAATTGTAATAATCAAATAACTCCAAAAAATAGTGAGAACCTGAATAGATAGCATATTTTTGTAACATAGTCCATCGAACAACATGTACATTAATAGAAATATTAATATAAAAATTTTTATTTTTAACAAAATCATACAACTCATTTTGTAATCGTTCACGAAAGCCTCTAATAATGCTTGAGCCGCCTATCAAGTAGATGTTTTTAAATAGCTCCCTTCGAGTATCAATTGGACATTTTTGAATAGTATCATAAATTACACAAGGGAGTGTGTTTTGTGTGAATATGTAACTCAAACTTGAATTTAAGCTTGGAGTCGCCTCTGTGGAATAGTATGTAACGTTTATATCATATGTGTGCAATTTTTTGTATGATTCTGTTTTTAAATAATTTCCCAAATGATAAGGAGAAAAAAATATTTCAGTTGAGTTTACTGCTGAGGCAAATATTTTATTAAAATGTAATTCAAAAGAATTCACTAAATAATTTTTGGGAGCTTTATCATAAAGTAAAGATAAATAACCACATTCTTCCCTAGTTTTGGGAGTTAACACTCTTTTCTCTTTAGCAATTTTTGCAGATTCCAATGATACATCCTTCTGGTATTTTTCATTTCTTTTCATTTCATCAAAAATCTGATTATCTATGTCGTACCCTCCTATGTAGTAGATATTACTTAGGTCAGGCAATGGAATACCATTTATTACAGGTGTGCAAGTTGTTTTTGTGCTTCCAATATTTACCAATATTGCAGTGAAATTGAAAAAATTTAATTCTTTAAGTTTAGTTAAACATTCCATTGGATATTCTTCTTTTCCTGTTCTCTTTCTTTTTCGTTCTATTGTTTTTGTTTTTTTGCAAGGAGAAGAGGGGATATTGCTTTTTATTTGGAGCATGCTGAAGTCTTCTTTATCATTTTTACATCCTTCTTCACAATTGCTGAGGCTATGTCTCCTACCAGAAGTAGTATCACTTAGATTTTCATTACAAGCAACAGTATCTTTCTCACCATCCCTATAAAACATAACTTGGTATGTATGCTGCTTATTTTTCTGTTCTTGCAGGAGATGTTCCAAGATTATAAGCGAAGACACAAATGAAGGTTCCTTAAATGCTACACTCTGCACTTTAAAGGTGTCAAATAAAATATCCCCAAGGGTGGAAAAATCTTGCATACTATTTTTACTAGAAAAAGGAATAAACAAATCTTTATTTTTTAAATTTATTTTGTATATATTACTAAAACAGTGATAAATGGATTCTTCAATGATTTCATAGTTTTTATATGGTGGATACAAGTACCCTAGCTCTCTCCATGGTTCTATGATTTCCATTTGAGGTAGTCTTAAGCTTTGTAATTTACAATCATACTTATTCACTAATCCAACTTTGAAAGAATAGTTTCCCAATGTTAATAACACTATATTATTTTCTATCGGTAAATAATTGCTCAGCTTTATTATGTCGCTACAGGTTGTATTTGAAAAGCTGCTGAAGCTTATTCTTTTATGCAATTTTTTCTTTTTTTCGCTCGACGTGACAGAGTTGTTTAAATTCACATGGGGTCCTAGTGGGTCCCTCAGTTTGAGGTACAAACTCTCCGTTATGGGACTTTGAATCGGGGTGTTAATCCCCTCCTCTCTTTTATTCATTCTGCAGGTGCTGTAAGCGCTGGAGGTGTTTGAGATGTTACTGATGTTGACCAAATGTGTGATGATGACTGTGTAGATCGAGATCTACATACAGATTCCTTCTCAACTATTTCAACGTTTGTAAAACCCACTAAGTCTAATATACACCCTCTCCTCCTGTCGTATGTATATGTTGGAAATTTTTTCATCCCACTCCTATTGATACGTATGTTATCTCAACATGTATATATTTTTGTACGCATCTGTGTCATATCTTTTTCTACGTATAATATCTGCACATTTTAATTGGCGTCTCTCTAAACATGCATTTGACGAAGCAGCATTTTGTAAGCCATGCCTCTACATGTTTTCCTTTTCTTCTGATCTGTCTAATTTACCTATCTGTCTCTATGCCTTTCCTTCTGCTTATCTATCTATCTGCCTTTCTTTTTTTCTTTTATTCTTCCCCTATGACTTTCCAATATATTCACAGAAAGGATAATGCTACTTTTATAGAAGCAAAAAACTCTCTTTTGTTTTGCTTAAAAGACAGGAGTGGCAAGTAAAAACAAGTAACACCCAGCTACAATGGAATGTAATGTATACTTTGTAATTTCAAATTTTAAAATTTTCAAAGATATTTTTTTTTTTAAACAAAAAGAAAATTAAAATTGACCGGTCAGTGCGAGTAAAATTTTATTAAATGCAAATAATTCGGAATAAAACAAAATGACAAAAAAAAAAAAAAAAAAAAAAAAAAAAAAAAAAAAAAAAAAAAAAAAAAAAAAAAAAAAAAAAAAAAAAAAAAAAAAAAAAAAAAAAAAAAAAAAAAAAAAAAAAAAAAAAAAAAAAAAAAAAAAAAAAAAAAAAAAAAAAAAAAAAAAAAAAAAAGAAAAAAAAAAAAAAAAAAAAAAAAAAAAAAAAAAATATATGGCAAAAAAAAATTCAATTCAAAGAAAAAAGGCATCAAAAATCACATAATCCTGCAACACTGTTTCCTTTTAAGTTTCTTGCTTTGTTTAAATAACTGCTTAGTCGTAGCTGCACAAAGTGGGTGACGAATAGTAAAAAAGAATCTGTGTGTGTGTGTGTATGTAGATCAGAGAAGTAAATTATTTAAAAACTAATCTGCACGAAAGAGGTATATGGAGCAAAACTGTACAGGTGCTAGTGGGCTCCACGACATAGGCCATAAAAATGATGAAATGCTCTATGTAGCAAATTTACTCGAAAGATCCTTGCTCTTGTCTACGAGGACGTCTAAATTTTCCCTGTTCCTGATAAGTGCATCCATAGTTATTCTCACTTTTTCCTGCACAAGTAGGGAAAGGACGAGGCAGAGAGCCGATTTGATAAAGTGTTGAAAAAAAAATATAAATAAAACAGTATATTCCACTATGGATATTATTTATAACAGAAAAAAACGATGCACACACATTAGAAGAAAAAATTGACTCTTTTGTGCAATCCGTTGTGTATAAGAAGAGGGAAAAAAAAAAAAAACACAAAGGCATAATATATGCCCATTTAAGTGTCCTCAAAAGGACATCTAGCTATATGCACAAATTGTGTATATATTTTTCAATCTTACGATGTTCTCGCTAATTTTCATGTTCGTCTGGGCTATTGCATCACATGTCAGAGGGTCCTGATGAGGAATAGGGATCACACTCAAATGTCGGTTCAGAGCCCAATTCATACATTAGAAACATGAAATGAATTAATTATATACAATTTGAATGTTAATTTCTTGTTTCCTTTTTTTTTTTTTTTTTTTCTTTTATCCTTTTTTCTGTAACCTCAAGATAAGACTCACCTTATACTTGGACAAATATACATTTAAATTAAAGTTAATTTGGTTGTCTTGTTTCACTTCAGACCATACATTTTTCGGAATATCACGTAAGAAGTCCATATATATTTCATAAATCATATAAAAGGCCACCCTATAAAAATGGAAGGGAGAAATAGTAAGTATATTTTTTTATTTAAACGGAAAAAAAGGTAAAAAAAAAAAAAAAAAGAAAAAGAAACATGTAACTCTCATTTACCATTTAATGAACTGTAACACATAAAATATAATGGAAATTGTACCTCTCAGGATAATCATCTGTTGCTATTACAACAGGGCAAATATTATCTGAGAACTTAATTGCAAATACTATGTTTCCTTCATGTGTTATAATTTCCTTTGTGTTGTATTCGATCTGCATAAAAGGTAGGATGTGTTCATGTGCGCGCAATGGTGAGAAATAATGAAGGGAACATCATCATGAACAGATTGACAAAACATAAAATATAGGATGCACAGTTAATTCGTGTCCCTTGAGTGGTATAAAAAATATCGCCTTTTTTTTCGAACCCTTGAAGGAATGGTTCTCGCTACAAAAAACGCCGCTTCTTTGAAAGCCTTTTTTTTGATGAAAGAATATCTACAGGATACAAATTCATGAGAGAAATCATGTTTAAGTATAGGATGAATTATAAGCGTGTTTTTCAAAATGGGCATACATGGACAAGTACAACGAAATGAAGGGGGAGAAAGAGAGGCAAGATGCAAGTCTATGTGTGTGTAAATTGTGTAAGACAAGCTTATGCTTACACAAGCATACATATATATATGTACACATATAAGAGGGAAATGAGAGACATTTTTGAAATTCCATTTAGGGAACTATTTTACGTGCACATAAATGTGTCTACTGAAAAATGTTCCCTCATTTTTAAGGTATGTTCAGTTTTTCTTCTTTTCCTAACGCGTTTAAATCAGTGGCGGAGCAGAGGAAAATGATGTCATCTACATGTCTAGTTAAAATAATGGCCAGTAAATTCATCTTTATTTGGTAAAAATGAAAAAGACATATTTAAAAATGGATGGGGGGGGGGTAAGGCATTATATTAATTTAAAATCTATCTTCTTTTTATACACACAACATGCATATGGTAACACCACTAACACATGATCAAAGTTAAGTGATGTTAGGTACTTTCATATGAACGATTTGTTAAAAAAGAGAAATTAATTAATTTTATATATGTGTATACTTTGTTGCTAAATAAAAAGTTAAACATACAATTTTGTTGCTGATGATATGCATTAAGACATAAGGAGGCGTATACATTTAAAGAACAGGGGAATATGGGTGTATCGAAAAAAAAAAAAAAATATTTCTACAGGTCGAGGAATCCAACATATATATGTAAAAATGTCAAATGGTAAAAATTTTGTAAAAACAAGTTATCCTTTATAATGAAGTTAACACAAAGGAATATGAAAAGAAATTTATTCAATTTTTTTTTTTTTTTTTTTCTGATTAGTAAAATTTAAAACAAAAAAAAAAAAAAAAAAAGTTTAACTTGTGCGTACAAAATTTTTCTAACAAAAAAGTGAAGGTAATTCATAGCGTGGAAATTTCGGAAAAAAAAAAAAAAAAAAAAAAAAAAAAAAAGTGTAATCGAATGAACACATTTGATAAGGTAAACATATAAATAGATGAATCTTCATTATATGCATAATATGAAGACATGAATACCAGAAAAAATAAATACATCTCTGAAAACTTAACGAAGCAGAAAAAAAAAAAAAAAAAAATTAACCTTCCCCTCACTCGCATTCTTTTTTTTGAACAATATTATTACATCAATTTTGTTCCCCATTTTTTAGCAATTTATTTCCCAATAAATGTTAAACCCACCAACTATACATGATGAAATTTCTCTGATAATTTTACTTTGTGCCACAACTAATTCTTTTTTTTTTTTTTTTTTTTTTTTTGCCCTTTAGTCTTTTTTCAGTTGAATATTAATAGGTGCGGATGTAATTCTTTGCCCATTTTTTTTTTTTTTTTTTTTTTCCACATAAAAATAGGAAACAATTTCTCATGATTCTAAAACTGTTGTATATACAACATATGTATTAAATAAATATATATATAAGGTATAGGGGTGGTAACAAACTTGACAAAAATATATTTCGTGCAGATATTAAAATATATTTTTTTTTTTTTTTTTTTTTTTTTTTTTTTTTTTTTTGCCAGCGAGGAAAAGAAAACATTCTTATATATTCCTTTGCTATATTATTTTTCAGAAATTTTATGAATAATCTTTGAAATTATTTATTTTTTTATCCTGATACCTTAGCGTGATCTTGTGTATACTATGTATTTCTTAGAACACAATGTCGTATACATATTCATGGAAGTTAACATATTCATAAGAGCTTAAGATTCACATCTCAGTGTGAGGCCCTAGAATTTCCCTTTTTCATACATCGAAAGAGGGAGAAAGAACAATGTTGGCAACTTCGTTTTGTTCACTTGATTGAAGTCATTGTGAGCGCATGGCGTGACAAAACGAAGGAAGTTTTTAATGTCTTCAACAATCTTCTGGTTGGCCCTTTTTTTGTCATTTGGTCGTCTTGCCATTTGGGGAAGTCTATTTCTTTATTTATTCATTTTTTTTATTATATAATTTGTTTTTATTATTTTATTATTATTTTTATTATATTATTGTTTTTATTATATTATTTTTTTTATTATATTATTTTTTTTATTATATTATTATTTTTATTATATTATTTTTTTTATTATATTATTATTTTTATTATATTATTTTTTTTATTATATTATTTTTTTTTTTGTTCACATTTGGTACCTCGAATCATTCTCTCCCCCCCCACCCATTTTGCCGCTCTTCACTGCATTTCCTCCATGACTCAAAATGTGCATATAAAAAATGGATGTCGAATATGGTGGTTCAAGGAGCTTCAGCAAATACATGTGGAGAAAGGAAGAAAAGACGCCACTGAGTTATAAGAAAAAATATAGCGCAGAAATAGAAGAGAGCGGTAGCCATGGAAATTTGAACAATCGTTCATTATTTGCGGATTGCAATTTTTATATTGATGATTTTGTTAGTTTATTTTCACTTTACAATTCGTATGATAAGGACAGCAGAAACAAGAGTAGCAACACTAGGAATAGCAATAGTAACAATAATAACAACCAATATTGTAAGAATGACAATGAGAGTTATTCAAAAAGGACAACACTACACACGGATGACGAAAACAAATTAAAGTACCCTAACGAGTGGACTTGTTTCATGAACAACAGTGTGGATGATAAAACAGTATATAGGTACCACAATGACATGAACAGTCAAGCAAATTTCAGTACACCATATAATAACTACAGCGTGGGTGAGGATAATAACAAGCATGGCCACTTACCTTGCAACGATTTACCTTGTAACGATTTACCGGATTACAATAATGAGAAAGGGGAATATGGAAAACTACATAACCATGCAGTGGAAAATGAAGATGAATATATGATGCTAGATAAGACCCCGATAAAAAGTAGCAATTTTAATATAGTAGACCCCGTGTTTGATAAAAATGAAAATAGGAATGAGTTTGACACGTTCATGAAAAGATATGAAAGTGTATATTCTAGAAAACGAAATGTTCGTGCTTCTTACATCAACAAGAAAGAAGAATTAGAAATAATGATAATACAAAATGGAGGAATTATACATAATGCCTTAACTAGCAGGGTAACACATATAATTAGCAACAATATGGCATTAGGTTCAAAGAAATATATGGATTATAAAAAGGCAGTTAAAAAATCCAAAGTTTTTATAGTAGTAGACAAGTACATATCCGATTGCGTTAGTTTTCAGTGCAGGTTGCCTGAACAGTCATATTTACCTTCCTTACTACGTTACAATAGTCGTCCTATAACTGATTTTTTTTCCATTAAGAAGAGAAAATATAACAATGGACATTCTTCTTTAATTAAGAAAATAGAAACGAAAGAAAATGCGAATGTATCCAATGTGTTAAGGGAAAATTCAATCCCCATTTCATCTTACGAAGAGAGAAAAATCGACTTAAGTTTGGGAAATTTTCAGAAGAAGGATCTAATGAACTATTGTAATGAACAAAGGGAACATGCCAAGTGTGGAGAAATTACTATGAATGATCAACCTTTTTCTGTGGAAAGGGAAACGTGTATCTCGAATTATGAGTTACAAGATAGGAAGAATAACATTACTCAGAGAGACAAAAATTTGCTAATATTGAACATGCAAATGAGTTATGAAAATTTAAAAAAATACATATTATATAATTCTTTTGAATATTTTAAAAGGTTACGTAAGTTTTACCTGAACAAAGAATTAAAGGAAAATGCATTTCCAAATGTTTCCTCCAATTTGTATATAAATAGTGATACATTTGAAGAATTTTCAAGAAAATACAGAATATTAAATCATCTCAGTAAGCAAGAAATAGATTGGATTAAAAAGAAAAGTGAGTTAAATATAAATATAAGAAATGTGTGGGAAAATGATATAATTCATTTTTTTTTCGACATTGTGTTAAAAGCAAGGAGTCAATTCGAAGTTGTTTCAACCGCTGGGTCCACGATTAAGAATAATCATAATGATAACAATGGTGATAGTAATGGTGATAACAATGGTGATAGTAATGGTGATAACAATGGTGATAGTAATGGTGATAACAATGGTGATAGTAATGGTGATAGTAATGATGATAACAATGGTGATAATAATGGTGATAATAGTAATGAAACCGTTGCTATTGCAGCTTCTGCCTCTGATGGTAATCGCGTAATCGACAGGGAGAAAGCTTCTGACAAGTTAATCGAAAGCGTGAGCGCTTATTTACACAACTCCAGATTATACATACTAGGAAACTGGAACTACATAAGCCGTGAATTTTTTCAATTTGAAGATATAAAAGAAAATGATAAGCGTAAATTTGTTTATTTATATATCGACTTTGATAATTATTTCTTAAATGCAAGTGTAAAAAGTGCAAATAATCAATATAGTAAGAAGAACAAAATAAAAAATCATGAAATATTATGTGTATGCCATAGCTTAAAGAAAAGAGAAAGTTATGGAATTATAAGTGCTACCAATTATTGGGGGAAAAAAAATAAAATTGTAAAAGGGATGGTAAAAGGGGATGTAACAAAAATGCATAAAAATAACATCCATTTTGTAAAATATGATTTTTCCAACATACTAAGATGTAGTTATTTATTTCTGTTAGTTCTCATCAATTATTCGAAAAATGTAAGAGTATTATCAGTTGATGAATCTATACTTCAATTATTTTATGAAAATGAAGAAGATATTTTTTTAACAGCTAAACGAATTTCTGATGATATTTACAATTTAACCAATCTCAGTATATCCATAGGAATTTCTTCTGATTTGACAATGTCTAAAAAAGCGTTAAAATTTTGCAAAAAACGGTTTTTATTTTTTGATTATTATCATCATTTTTGTATATTTATCATGAAAAAATATATTCTTAATGAGAAGAAAAAAAATCAGAACAGTAATTCTATGAAATGGGTTCATAGCAGAAACTCAAATCACGATATGGTGAAGCAACATGCCACCTTAAAAAATGATAAACATCTGGATAAGCATAACGATAGTGGAGACACACATAATATCAACATTAAATATCCCTTTAAAATGGACAATAAAAAAGATGACATAATTAGAATCAATAATTGTTCCATGGAGGACGACAAACTTGAAAATATGGCATTGAATTATGAAGAATTGAAAAATTTGTTCAACGAATATATTATCTCTGAAGAGGAAAGGAAATTATCAAAGGAGAACGGACAAGATAAACGGAGTGTAAGCGATCTGAATGGTTCATACTGTGTTGATAAAGAGGATGGAAAGAAGCAGCTACAGGTGGAGGGGGAGAAGGATAATGCTGCTAATACATGTAATGTTAGTGCTGAATCAGATGCTGATATGTACTTCCTAAACGCCATGAAAGAAATAAGAGAAAAAAAGGTTGATTTAATTTTTAACAAGTTTATTGAAATGAACGAACATAATTTGGAATATATAATGGACACCTTTTTTGATAGGGTTATCCATCCAATAAGCAGATTTTTCTTTTTTTATAAAAAGAATGAACACTATTTGGACATTTTAAAAAAGTTAAATTATTTAAGTGGTGAATTTGTGCACTTTAATATTTATTATTTACCTCATGACAAAACGGTGCCTTTACAATTTGATAACCAACAGGAGGCAGCTTTGAAAAAACTGCAAAAAAAAAACATGCACAAAGTAGAAGAAGAAGAAGAAGAGGAAGGAGAAGGGGGGAAATGGAAAAAGAGCATAAATATCAGTGTCAATTATGGGGTCCGTTTTCAAAAAATTAATGATTTTTATTTTCTTATTTATTTCATGACCAAACAATTGTATATACGATTAAAAATAAAAAATTTGAAAGCCAAATCTATAAATGTCCATTTCTTTTTTAAAGAGCCAAACGAAAATGTTGATCCAATTAAATATCTAGGACGAGGAAAGGTCGTTAGAATAACTACCAAGATTAAGCTAAACCATTACACGGATTGCTTTTTTATATTCTTTTTTAAAATCATTTACAATTTTTATGATTTGACGGATAATTTGATTGATCTTAGGGGTGTTCAAATTGTCTGCTCTGATATCATGAGTGCCAACTTCTGCCATGCACAGGGCAAGAAAAGCATCTTGTATTACTTCTGCGTGGAGAAAAGTGGGGATTCAACGAAAAGGAAAAAAATGGACACGGTGCAAACACGAGAGACACAAGTGAATACTGTAATGGAGCAGAGCATCAAAGGGGTCGAAAAAATGGTGCCGGATAATAGCCACAACCGTGGTCACCAGCATCGTCGAGGTCGTGGCAGGAACTTGAATCCCAGAGGCTCTTCCAACCTGTACGCTGGCAGATGCATGAAAAGCATTTTGTGGTATTTTTTCAACGTGAAAAATGAAACAGGTGATAGGAAAAAAGCCGATACATCGAGTAACAAATGTGTTCCCTTTTCGCTTGAAAATGGTGCAAAAAAGGACGGAAAAAAGGGCGAAAAAAAAAGCGAAAAAAAACAAAATAACGGAAATATGATTGCAAAAAAAACTCATTTATCACGTGCTAGTAAGAGTATGGCGAAAAAAATAAATATTACAAAAAATTACAAAATTTTTGACTTTTTCCCAAGCATTTTGATAAAGAGGAAAAAGCGAAATAGTGATGCAGGTGTGTATAATGATGATATGAAAAAATGGATAAATGGAAATACAGTAATAACACAGAAAAACATATTCGATAGCATAATTAACAGAAAAATAAAGAAAGAAGTTCAGATTAAAGAGGAATTAAATTGTTGCTATATGTGTTATAAAGAAATTCTTGAACATGTAATGGAAAAACAGAAAAGTACTACTAACATTACCATGCATAGCAATCATTACATTTGTAAAGATGAATCTGTAAATGATAACATATTTTGTTATTCTTATATTATCCATTCTTTGTATTCAATGAATCAAGAGAATGAAAAATTTAATTTGTATGCTTATACAAAAGAAATGATTTCTTCCTATATATCATATTTCAAAATATTATTTTATAAGCATGAATGTTGTAACGATTCCCCTGATCAGTATTATCTCCTCAAGTTTCTTGCAACTGTTGTCGATAACTTATGTGAAGAGTTACACCGCACGAGACTCCTAGACGTGCTTCATAAATTTTTAAAAAATTTTAAGCATATTTGGTGTTTGAATGAAAGCGGCAGTCCCTTCCCCCCTCTGCTGCACAGAACGATGGTGAAGTACGACGTGCATTAAATGGGAAGAATATTAGATACGACACGCATTCTTCGTCTACCTCACTGGAAGATTTGCCATTCAATTTTTTAGTACTTGTTCCCTGTGTGTCTGTGAGCACATGTGCATTGACATATTTCCTTTGTGTGTATATGTGTCCTTGTAACTTGTGCCCATGCGCAGGATTATTCACCATTTTTGATTTCCTAGAACATGTTTTTTTTTTTTTTTTTTTTTTTTTTTCCCCATTTAAAACATTAATATTGACCATTTTATATTTGAGATTTTTCAAAAATGTAAAAGGATTCTTTATTGTAAAAATTTTTTTTCTCATTCAATGCATGTTAATTTTTTTTTTGTTTTTTCAAATTTATCACCACGAAGGAAGATTCGTTCGTTGGTCGGTTCGTTGGTCGATTTGCTGCTTGATTCGCTGCTTAAAGTACTGACCGACTAACTGTTTGCACCTATTAAAAAAAGTCGTCTTGCCTTAATCTAAATAGTTATGTGGGGGATAAAAGAAAAGCACATACGATGACATTTCGTTTATCTAAGGATAGAACAGGTGAATTAATTTTTGTTTGGGATGTTTTGCAAAAAGTTACGAATCCACATACGCTCATTTGAAAGCTTGTTTAATGAGAAAATTCAATGCCAATACACATACCCTATTTGCAGGGGTTAAGCATGTTGTCATACCTGCATAATATATAGGAGCATGCATATTATACATATACACGTAAACATAAACGCAAGGCTATATTTTTTAAGAAATTTAAAAAAGGGCCCACCTTTTTTTTTTTTATTCTCTGTTTTACTTTATTTTTTGAACATCCTTTTGGGCAATGTAGGAAGATCTTTTTACTGCGTACTATATTCACCATTCATTCAACAATTATCCGAATGTTCGATAGTTTAATTTTTTTACCATTCTGAACTTTTGAAGCTCTAATATTTTAACGTTTAAACGTTTTAGCCGTTACGCAAAATTTTCCCAATTGTGTGCTGAGCCATTTTTATTTTTATCCAAAAAGTCACTTCTCAACCTTTCCACATTTGCATACGTATATAGATATACATATTTCAAACACCTCCACACAGCGGTATAAAAAAAAGAAAAAATATATAATAAAAAAAAATATCTACACTATTTATGTAAAACCAGTTTGGTTCACACCTGTGATTGTGAGAGCGCACTTTTTTTTTTTTTTTTTTTTTTTTTTTTTTGCATTTTCCTTTTGTATGTGCTACCCTTTTCTAGTGCCTGTTGAAGAGGAGGAGAACAGCCCACCCCCACAACTACTACAACGAATGATAAAATCAAGAAAGACAGAATTACGCCAATTAAGCCAATGATGAGAATATGCAAACAAATCGACCCAGTGATCGACATCGTGATAATTGGATTCGGCTTGAGAAGCAAGCTTTTTGTAGAGAAATTCCTGAGAAAAAATGAGTTGAAAGGTATTAATATAATAGTAATATGTAAAGACAGTTTTGTATTTCTAGATAGGTACGTCCAATGTGAGGAAGTGTGCAGGGATAAGTACTTAGATATATACAATTATTGTAAGGAGAGAAATATACTTTTTATTAACGAAAAGGTTTATTCTGTGAATACAAAAATTAGGAATATAGTTTTTGCTTCTGATAGGAATAATTTAAATTATGATTTTTTATTATGTGATTTTGATTATAAAAGTTCTGACCTACTTAGCACTGACATGTCTCATATGAACATATATCCCTTCAGAAATAAAAATTTGTTTTTTTATTATGTGCATGTTATATATCTATCTCTAATAAAATCAACCAATAAAAAAGCAAAAAAAACAAGCATTCATTTATACTATCAGTGTAAAAATACCATTTTACAAAATATATGTGTGAAGAAATTTTTTAATTTCTTTTCTTATAATGATAAATATGTAGATGACATTTTTAATACATACAAAAATGTGTATTCAGATTGTTATAACACAAATGATGACGATCATCATGGTGATGGAATTGACTTAGATGAGGACGCATCAGAAATAGGAAAAACTGAACTTTTTACTTCCACCACTCATCCCTCATTTTTTCTGAATGCACATATGAAAGGAAAACACACTGACAAAGAAAGAACTCTTCAATTTTTGTTAATCACTGACAATAACGAAATTGGAAAATGCTTATATTCAGAGATGCAAAAACAGCTGATCAAAATAAATGCACATGTAAATTTTCTTTACGTTTATGTAACTTCTTCAAAAGGTGAAAAAATAGATTTTTTCTGGAAAGACTACTTAATAGTTAAGGAAGTGAAAGGGATAAAAGCAGAAGGAGAAAATAAAGAAATAAAGTTTACAGATATTTGTGATAAAGAAATTTCGATGATATATGATGAATGTATAAATATAACAAATTTAAGATTCCCGACATATATATCCTTACTTGGCCATAAATGTCCAAATGAAGAACTCGTAAATTCCTTTTGTCAATATGTATCAGATGATTACCTTTATTTACTCAATCAAGTAAATAACTACGATGACTATACAGTATGCGAAACTGTTTATTTAAATATATATAATCATATGTATAGGAAGAAATACATTAGCATAGAACAAGTCAATAAATATACACGACTCAATGATGCAAATGAAGTTAATGTATCTTATCTGTTACCTCCAACATCCAACCCATTTAACGTTATTCTAAATTATTCCTATCTGACAATATTATATATTATTAAAAAGAGCTATTCTTACATATCTAACAACAGATTTTTATACAATAAGATACTTCTCCTAATACATAAAAAAAGAGAAATTCAAAAATATAGGAATTCGTACAAGACGAACAGTGGTAAGGGAAATCCCTGCTCCACGACGAGAAACCTTTATCTGTCTATCTTCAGAGGAATCACAGCTTGTTTTGATGCCATAAAAAGTAGTTTTATTTCACAAGGTGAGACGAATAACACTTCAATTTGTACACAAAAGGAGACTCATAGAAATGATGCTGCATCTGCTTCCAATTGCAGCGAAAGTAGTAGCACGATAGCTAGCAGAAGCGGGAGTAACGACAAAAGCAGCATCATAAGTGGAAGGGGGAGAAACAGTGGGAAAGAGGAACTAGTCATTGATAAACATTGCGGATCAGGAATGAGTAGCGGAACGAAGACTAGAACCTCCATTCTACCAGAATACATGTACAATGCGTACCAGAAGGAATATGAAAACAGATTAATTGTTAAGAAAAAAACAACTTATCGAATAGTTGAAGAAACTGAGTCAAACGGAAGAAGGATGTCCATATATGTTAAACATAAGAGCAGAGAAAAAAAGGATTCTCAAAGATGTGCTAACCTGAAAAAGGTAAATTTATACATAAAAGAAAGCATAGATAAAATAATTAACAGAAATACATGTGGAGGGTGTGGATCAAAAGTTCCATCTAACGTTCTTTCAAATTCGTTAAAAGGATTAGATTTATACAATTCACCAAATGTATATTTAGGCGTTGAAGGCTGTGATGATTGTTGTGTATTTGTACATAGTAAATCGAAAAAGGGAGAAGAGAGTCCTGCACTTGTTCAGACAATTGACTTTTTTAAATCTTTCATTGACGATGAATATATATTAGGAGAAGTAATTGCTATTCATTCTTTATCAGATGTATACAGCATGGGAGGTACTGCTATTTGTGCACTATGTGTGCTAATTGTGAAGGATAATATTGAGAAGAAATTACAGCAGAGGCTGCAAAATATTTTAACGGGATGTTGTCAAAAATTGAAAGAGGAGAAATGTGTCTTGAGTGGGGGGCATACATGTGCAGGGAATGATAATTATGTCGGATTGGCTGTCACAGGCAAGGTGAAAAAAAGACATATGAAGCTGAGTGAGCCTGCCAAGATGGAGGAAAAAAGCGATAGCGAAAAAGGAGGAAGCGAAAAAGAAGGAAGCGAAAAAGGAAGCAGCCAAAAACTGTGTGCACAAGCAGAGGGAGCAGAGAATGACCAAACATATTACACATCCATGGATGAGGTACAAGTAAGCAAAGAACAGAAAGACTTATTTAAGCGACAAGAAATGCTGAGAGAGAACTACTTGTTACTACCGAAAGGAAGCAGAAATGTAAAAGCTGGTGATATAATAATTACTACTAAAATGTTTGGATTTGGTTTCATCATGGCTGCGCACATATGTAAAAAGGCCAAAGCTAGGTGGATTTACAGCTGCCTTGATGAAATGCTGATTTCAAATAGGAAAAGTGGATTATATTTTTTGAAGAATAATGCAAAAGCTTGTACGGATGTAACTGGGTTTGGAGTGTTAGGACATTTGAACGAAATGATAAAATGTTCGAGAAGAGAAATTTATTTTACAACTAAAATGAGGAACATGTCAATATATCGCCCATGTAACGAGCAGGATGTATTACACCCAGATGTGTTAGAAGTGAAAGACAATGTGTATACCCAACTTGACAAAGCAGAGGAAACCATGAATCTTATCGGAGCCAAGATAAATCTGAAGAACTTCAAAATTGCTGAAGGAGTTCAAGAGTGCATTGCAAATAATATATTTTCATCCATGTATAAGAAAAATCATTATTTGTGTAATAACATTATAAACTTAGAGGAAGTCTCATTAAATGAAAGGTATGGAATTATGTTCGACCCTCAGACAAGTGGGGGATTGATGGCCATTGTGGAAAGGGAAAAGGCAAATAAAATTTTAATGGATTTAAAAAATATGGGATATCCAAATTGTTCAGTAATAGGAGAAATAATAAATGTGCAGTACGATAAATTTAAAAATATGTCTATAAGTAACATTCCCTTGAATGATTATTTGGATACAACAGATTCGATATATGTCGAATACTAAGGGGAGGAGGGACTGAATGACTAAATATGTATTAATGAATTTGTAATTCATTCTACTTTGTGTTGCGGCTTAGTTTTTTTTTTTTTTGGACACATCCGCTTCCCCAAACTAGTGCACACCTTTTTATAAATTAACCTAATGGAATTCAGTTTTTTTTTTATCGTATCCATTTTGTACATACAAAAATATACGCATCAAGTTTTACTTCCAATGGAGTAGGTTTTTTTTTTTTTTTTTTTTTTTTTTTTTTACGTTTCGCTGCAAAATGTGTTACATTCGATTTGTTTAACCTTTGCGGGGTCTTTTTGCATAAAATGGAAGAAATAAAATCACTGCAGCAAAATTGAATAAATATAAAAAAAATAAAAATAATAAAAGTTAAAATAGCAAAAGCAGCAAAAACGGCAAAAAAAAAAATTCAAACCACATCAAACATATGGCGGATCATGCGAATGAAACGAAAAGAGGCATCTGTATTTTAAATGAATGGTATAAATTTTTAAAATGAAAAAAAAAAGCAAAAGAAGCAAAAGAAGCAAAAGAAGCAAAAGAAGCAAAAGAAGCAAAAGAAGCAAAAGAAGCAAAAGAAGCAAAAGATATATAGTAAAAAGACAGCCATGTGCTAAGGTCATTGCGATAGTATATAAAAAAAAGAAAAATTACAGCGCTAGGTGAAATTAAAAAAAAAGAGACATACTGATGTGCCCTATGCATGCACTAATTATACCACGTGCTGGTGTATAAAAAGACACATTCCAACTGACTATGATAAAATGGAGCGACAAGAGCGTTATAAGAATGCGGATAAACGGAGGCATTTGTTGAGACGCGCAGAGGTACGGAATAAACAAGCTTATATCCAGGGTTAAAAAAAAAAAAAAAAAAAAAAAAAAAAAAGGGGGGGGGGAGAGAATGAAAGATGGGATATTATTGTCCCATAGAGTACACAGTACATTCGGTAGAACAATGAATTCGGTATGATGACCTCGATTCAGTGGATGCAACCATATATCCCGTTTTTTCAATCGCATATTTAAATGCACTCGTACTGATCAAGGTTTAGCTCTTTTTTCAGCCTATCCTCAATTTCATCCTTCCTACTCAAAAGTTGGAGCTTCTGCATCTTAACCTTAAGTGCATTAATCTTGAATAGAACACACAAATATGTTAAGGAAAAGAGGAGTGGCAAAAAGACGACAACAAAAATGATTAGAAATATCAAAATCATCGAATCGGTTGTGTTAATATAAAAATGTACATTGGTAATTTCCATGCCGTGAAAATCATTTTCATCAGAATATAAACAAATAAGGTAGCTTTCATTTGTTTGTAAGTCATCACTTTTTATAAATGGAATATAGTAATGGGTTAAATTATCATCACTAGAAAAAAAATATTGTACGGTATTTTTTGTCAAATTAGATTTATCTGTTTTTTTAATTTTATTTAATGCACCTGCACCTAATATAGCATAATTCCAAAAAGGAGGACATTTTTTTTCCTTATCATCAACATTTCGTGGAAATCTTATAAAAACAACACGGTTGTATGGTGTTATGTATTCTCCTTTAATAATCATATGATATTCCCAATTTGACGTTAAAAATGATTTCGTGTAAATTACATCATAATCATTTATATTTCTTTGTACATTTAATGGGTAAGAATTGAAATTTAATTTTCCTAAATAATATGGATTTTCTTCATTAGACATGTAACATACATGTAAATCTAATAACGGTTTTTCATCATTCGATTTTTTTTTATTATTCGTAAAATAAACTAACGTGTTTTCTGTATTTACTACAACTGGGATGTTGAATGATAAAAAAAGTTTTTCCAAATAAGGTTGTGATAATTCTAAATATAAAAATAAATTCCTTATCGAATAATTATTTTCCTTATAGCAAACTTTATATATATTTTTTGATGAAAAAATATTACTGGGACATTTTTCTTTTTCATTTTTTATTAAATCCTTTTTAAGCACAAAAGCTAAACAGATGGTTTCATTTTTCTCTTTTGGGTATTCTGACCAATCCCCTGTTATTTTAAGATACGTTTTTTCCTTTGGGAAAAATAAAACATTATCCGGTTTTACATTTTTCTCAATTTTAACTGTTATTACAAGATCTTGTAATTCTGGCTTCGCAACATATTTATTCAAATAAGTTTTGTCAATATGGTTATACGAGTCATAGTACTTTATTTTTGTCAAATCTTGAGCATATTCTATTTTTTCGAATTCTTCACATAGACAATACGACCACAACAGAAGAAACAGACTAACATAAAATCGTAGGACTCGTGAACGAAAAATTGGGACAGAGATACACATACTCAGTTCTGGTTATCATTAGGTTTCAGGGAAGTTTAAAGGTGTATGTGTATGGGTGCGAAGGGCAAAGGGGAGAGGTTGTAATAAAATGAGGTCAGTACAGTAAGACATACCCAATGTGACTATCTTAAAAAGTTGTAACTATGCTTATCGTGACTAATATGTTGCTTGGATAATGTGGTAAGGATTGAGACCTTCCTGTAATAGCAAAAGGAGCATTATACAAAAAAAAAAACAAAAAAAGGGACTATATTTTTATGTTTTACAAGGTGCATGGATGTATATATCTTTGCTCTTATTTATCCAGCAAGGAAAATCGCAGCTAATAAGGAGAGGTAAAAAAAAAAAAAAAAAAAATATTTATGTGGATGTACAAACGAAAAAATAAATATACATATATATATGAATATACTATTATTCTTGGGGGTGAACAACTCATTCTGTGTATACGAAAATATTTTATCTCACGTTTCCCCAAATAATGAAATGAATATCGTTTTATATATCAATCATACAAATTCGGAACGCTGTTGAGATGATGGGATCATTCAAATTGTGCAGCCCTCATATTTTACTCCTTTTCAAAAAAAATCCATACTTACGTGGTCTTATCACAGCTTGGCTCAATGTGCCTCAAAACTTGGTTCAACACTTCCCATGCCTCGCTTTGTGGTGTATGCATGTTCACTTTTCACTTTTTCTCCCCCTTTTGCTATTTTTATATACTTTCCGTTTTTTTTTTTTTTTTTTTTTAAATGGGAAAATATAATTAAGTAAATAATATTTTTACCTCACTGAACAAGAGAACTGGTGGTTCTTCATTAATAATGGAATTATAATTTTACTAGTAATAAAAACAAAAAATGATAAAAAAAAATAAAAAAAAAAGCGATGTAGTGTTCATTTAGGATTTTATAGGTTTACCAATGGGAGTGTTTATAAATCCGTGCAACAGTCATGACAAATTTTTTTGAAATTTTATTTTTCTTTCAAAACAAGTGCTTTTTATTTTTCTTGGCGGGGTTAATAAAAAATAAGCAGAAAAGGAGATGAAAAAAAAACAGGAAAAGAAATGCCAAAAAAACACAAAACAGAAATGTGAAAAAAACACAAAACAGAAATGTGAAAAAAACACAAAAAAGAAATACAAAAAAAAACACAAAAAAGAAATACGAAAAAAAATATATATAACGTCAAATTTGCTACGCCAAAAATAGCAAAATATCGATAGGGGCACAATGTATGTCTGTGCCCTTATTGCATTGGGGGCAAGGAATTTTTTTAAGGGGAAAAGCAGTTGAGTTTTTATTCTATTTTATTTAGGGTGCAGCTTGGGAGCCTAGGAAAAAGGACATTACGCAGACATGATTTTTTCTGGTATGACGAAACCGTGCTCATGGTGTCACATATATACAAGGAAATAATGCAATTTGCATAATTTTTTTTCAGGACACTTTGTATGTTCCTTCGGTGCGTATGTAGAGAAATAGTATTATCGACACAAGAATAAATTCAATGGAGAGTGGCAAATTGTGCTTTTCAAAACAATTTATTTGTGTTCCCGGTTGTGTATTTATGTGTATATATAAAAATATTTAATGTCTTTATATATTCATGTTGTAATGTTAGTCATTTCTGTATATAACATGTGCGTGGATCTGTTTATACATATACATATATATATATATATATATATATATATATATATATATATATATGTACGCCCACGTAGATATACACTACGTGATTTTACTACACGTGTGTATATGGACAGAAATAATGAAGACACGAAAAAAAAAAAGAGTCATAATTTGAAAAAATAAAACAATGTCCAGGGAATTTTACATATGTTTTACGCACGGTAGGGAAAGAGGGGGGTTTTTCTTTCCTATGGCGTAATCATATTTCAAGGTATACATATATTGTATGTATATATATGAACATGTATATATGCATATGTATACGTGCATATATATAAAAGTATGCTGTGATACTTTTATTTAGTTGCAAAATGAGACATTGAAATGTGGTGTGGGTAAAATTCGGAAATTCATGCTAAAACCTTTCTTTCTTCTCATCTCCCTAGGATATTTATAGTATGCATTTTTTTGCTTTGTTTTGTTTGATTTTCTTTGTTTTTATCTTTTTTTTTTTTTTTTTTTTTTTTTTTTTTTTTTTTTTTTTTTTTTTTTTTTTTTTTATGTGCGGGATGTATTTATATGATACATTAAAAATTGGAAAATCCTTGATAAAAAAAAAAAAAAAAAAAAATATAAGACAGGTCATATTTGTGAAAGTTAGGCCTCCGGTCTTCGGTTGTGGCAAACAATTTGTAGCGGCATTTGAGGTTTCTATGTGACCTCTATTTTGCTGCTACTTGGTCTTTATTTATTTTTTTTTTGCCCCCCCCCCTCTCCCCTATATTTTAGTGCAACTTAGAATATGGCACATTGATAATACTAGGGGAAAAAAAGTGTACCGAAAGGAGCAAACCTTAGGAAATTGAAACGCGACAAATTTTTGTAAAACTAAAATGTGAATGAAATTGTAATGTTCTGCTTAATTCCCCTCTCCTATTGCAAATTATGCAACTTTTTTTTTTTTTTTTTTTTTTCTCATTCTTCATCAATTACTCTATGGTATAAATGTGCACGTGCAATTTGTATACAACATATACATGTATGTGTGTGTATACATATATGCGTAAGCATAATGAGGGAAAAAGGGGGGATGATGATATCTGATCGCATGCAAATACATCTTTTCCTCTTGTTGACCCTCTTTTACACGCATTTGCGTGTATGTTGCACGATAAGCACTTCCATTGTGTGATGAAATTGGGGTTAAGCATGAGAGAAATAATTCGTAAAGGATATCCAGCAAAATCGTTCTTCAATTGGTTCATTTTGGTGTTTTGTTTTATTTATTCATTTATTCATTCATTTATTCATTCATTCATTTATTCATTCATTCATTTATTCATTCATATATTCATTCATATATTCATTCATATATTCATTCATTTATTCATTCATTTATTCATTCATTTATTTAGTTATTCATTTTTATTCTTTTTTATTCTTTTTTATTCTTTTTTTATTTTATCCCATTTTTACATCATTTTACCTCATTTTACCTCATTTTATTTATTTATTTTTTTTTAATCCTCCAACTCTTGGTGCTTCATTGCTCCTCGTGAATCCAACATCTTAGGTGGGAAACACTTCGAATGGGCGTAAAATGGTCCATAAGATTTTTGTTTTCTTCTCAAAACTCGAGATATTTCTTCAGCTGAGAATTCCATTCCTAACCCTTACGATGCTCCTCCTACGTGCGTTGGTAACTTCGAAACAAATTTTGAAGACACCTCCGAATTTGTATGACCTCCAAGAAACATAATTTTGCATAGTGAAAATTTTGTACATTTGACATAAAACATATAATATTATGTAATATGTATGCTTTTTTTTTTTTTTTTTTTTTTTTTCCTTTTATGAAGAAAAACTCGAAATTAAAATGTCCTTCGTGTATTGATTTGTATAATGTACAACTGGGGGTGGTGTCGTGGTGGTGGGGTTTTATGGTTACGTGCGTACGTGGGAAACATCTTTTTTCCATTACATGAGTTCATTGTAATAGTTTGTTATCATTGAGCATTTGCATAATCAAAAATATTTATCTTCAAAAATAATTGAAACCACAATCCACGACACACGTATTTTGGACATGTATATATATATATATATACACATATATGTAAACATGTGGGCGCATGTGTGTAGCGTTCAACTGTTCACACAAACACAGGTACACATACTATACACGTTTGGAATTAAATACTGTTGAGTTTTTAACACTTTTGAGAACTCATGGCCATTCACCATCTATCAACACCAAAACTAAGGATAACATCTATAGTTATTACTCGTTATGATAATAGTGACACGTGGGTATATACAAAAATTATGAGTTCTGCTTCTGCTGCTCCTCCTCTTGCTCCTTCTTCTCATCCAAGAAGCACTTGAATACACAATTGTTATCATTTTTGGAATGTCGCAGTATGTATAAAATATTTTTGTCACCCATTATGTTTATATCTGGCATAAATAGTTGAAATTCATGTAAAAATTCCTTTTCATGCTCTGTTAGTCCTATGGTAAGACAATCACAGTCCATATTCAATACATCCTTCCTCAATTTATATTCTTCCAATTCGAGGATGTCAAAACAGTTTTTATAATTAACTTCATAATTACCTATTGCTCTAATTTCATTTAATAAAAATTTATGATGTAACAATTCTGATAATAGTTTGAAATCTTCTTTTGTTAACTTTTTATTTTTTTTTATTTTTTTTTTTATTTTTTCAATTTGATTTTTTTTAAGTATATCTAACGTTTTATATTTAATATTATCTTCCAAATCACAACAGTCATGTACATATTGATTATTTTCATGTAACATATCTTTTATAAAAAAAAACTTTCCATTCAAGTTGCTAATTGAGTTCCCTCCGCTTAGTGTACTCTTAATTAATTGTTTATTCTCTATGAATATATTGTTATCCCTTTCTTTTTCCCCCTCATTTTCTTCTTTTACATGATTACTATTATGACTATTAACGATAGTTTTTTCACATTGTTTATACTTGTTCGATTCCTCTATAGTATTATCACATTCTTCTTCCTTTTTGAAAAAATATTCATTCATAATTCCGTGATTATTGTGTTCTACAAAATTTTCATGTTCCTTTTTCACATTATTCGGATTGTCAAATGTGTAATAATTTTCATTACTGTTGTGTTTATTTCTGTATACGGTACAGCTTCTTTTTTCTATTACTTCTTCAAATTCGTCTTCATTTTTATCATTTTTTGTTATAATCTTTATGTGAGAACATTCCTTTTTTTGATTATGTTTCTCTTCAAAATTTTCAGTAAATTCTTTTACTTTGTTTCTTTTTCTCGTTTCTCCATTTATATCACACTGTTCATTATAATTCTTTTCACCTACCCCTTGGTCATAATCTAAACATGAGGAGGAAATACTTTTATCATTCTGAAAATTTTGTACTTCCTTTCTATGGTTCCCTATATCTTCGTTCTCTCCGTGGCACTCCCTCTTTACAGAGGCTTCCTGTTGTTCTTCTTCATTAACATCACAATTATTTTCTTTCATTTTTTCTACTTCTTCAGCTATTCGTGTTTCTTCCTTATTTTGCATCTGATGTTTCATAGGTTCCTGGATATTACTGTGAATTGACATTTTTTCCTCCTTAGCTTGAAAAATATCATCCTCCTTTACACTGTCATTGTTGTTGTCTATATTATTGCTATGATTATGATCATCGTTATTCTTCATGTTTGCATTGTTTAAATTGTCCTCTTCCTTCTTTACCTCCTCTTGTTCTTTCTTTTGCTCTTGCTCTTTTTCTTCTTCTTCTTCTTCCTCCTCTTCTTCATCTTCTTCATCTTCCTCTTCTTCCCCCTCCTCCTCATCATCGTCGTCGTTGTCATCATACTCATCCAAATAATCCTCCTCCTCATCTTCATCCCCAATTATGATTTGTGCACCTGGCATTTTCATGACACTATATAAATGTTCCTGTATGGAAAATTTCCCATATTTATTTTCCTCATTTTCTACCATTTCTTCATTTATTACACTATCGATACTATGTTCTCTTTCCCCTTTTTTCTTATCATCCCTGTTTTTGCTAATTCCTATAACCTGATCACTTAAGTTATCTCTTTCTACAAAATAATCTTCTATTTCATCTTCGTTGTGATGTCCATTCTCGATTTGCTCTCTTGGATGCTTTTCCTTCATCATATTTCCCGTCCCCGATGAATCTATTGTATTGGGTAGAAGATTTCCCTCATCAAGTATTTCTCCCGTTTCGATAATTTTCCTTTCATCATGAGGTTGCTCCTCCTCCTTAGCACCCTTTAGAATATTCACTTCTCCAATGTGATCTGTCTTGTTTTCTGAAGTGTCACTAACAAAATTTCCCACTGAAAACTCGAAATTTCTCTCCGACATTTCTATTTTTTGATTTTCATGTTTTTCTGAAGTCGGCTCTTTTGGCAGAAGTAGTTGTTGTTCTTCTTTTTCCTGCTTTTGCTGCTGCTGAATTTCCTGCTGTTGTTCTTCTTTTTTCATTTCGTCCTTCTCAAAACTATAAAATTTTCTTTTTATATAATTTAACTGGTAGCTGAAGTAATTCATTTTGTGTTCCTTCTTCAAATTCAGAGAATCGTCTCTGTATTTCTCCTCTTCTACGTCAGCCGCTTGCTTCACTGCATGGGTGGCCACTTCTCCAGTGACTTCACCACCCATTTGTTTTGAGAACTCTTGTACACATTCCTTTTCATCCTCTTCCATATCATACTTTTTCTCGTTTTTTTCCGCTACCACCTGATCTACCTTTTCCATGTAATTCGGTAAGTGTTGCATGTTTGGGGGTGAATATATGGGTTCTTCTCTCGATGTGGGTCCCAGACTTCCGATATCTTTACTCATTTGGACTTTTATCTCAACACCTGAGGAATGATTTCCATCGAGATAATTTTTCTTTTTCCTTTTCTTTTTCTTTTTAAATATCTGAACAAAATAAATATTTTTGGTATTTTTTTCAACAAAGAAATTTTTAATGAATTCCTTATTTTCAGGGGAATGCATTTTTTCCTCTAGGAAATAATTTACACACATTTTCGTGCTATAAATATTATAAGTGGTTTTATCAGAATATAAGTCACATATATTGGAGTTAATTTTATGCTTGAGCTCTTTTTCAATACCATTTAAACATTCGCAAGTATTTTCTCTCTTTCTCAATTTGTCCATTATACAATTGATAGTGTATTTTCTTCTTTCTAATTCTAGTATGTTATTAATAATATTTCCACCCTTATTGTCTAATTTTAGTGTGCCATCAAGAATATTTTCAATTTTAATTCTATCGAATTCGATATTGTTATACAAATCGCTCTCAGCATCCTCATCATTATTTAAGCAGCTATTATTACTACTGTTAATGTCATTTCCTCCACCTTCTCCTCCTTCCCCACAAATTCGTTTTTTCATTTTTTTGGAAATTATATTTTCAATTTGTGATATTTTTTCCAATTCATTTTCATTACAAAGACTATCTTCATTCAGTGTACGATGATGGTTGTAATTACGCCCACGACCACGACGGCTTTGTGCAAGGTGGCTTTTTTTTTTTTTTTTTTTTCTAAATCCATATTTATTGTAAATGTAATAATCGCTATCATCCTCTTCATCTGTGTGTTCAGATACAACTTTCCTTCTATGTAGAAAACTTGCATGTGGAAGTTTTCTAGAAGGAATTGCGTTGTTATTCCTACTAAATAAAATGTGTTGATCTCGGAATGCTTTACTTAACCTTCTCCTCCTGTTGCTTTTATTGTAATTTTCTAAATATTCACTTCTAGCATTTTCATCATCCGTGTAATTCTCATCACTATCATATTCCTCTTCATCCCCTCCCATTTCATTGGCACTTGCATTTTGTTCTCTACTAACAGGGTACTTGTTATAAAACATGCATCTTCTTCCTCTTCCTCTCCCCCTCATCCTTCTTCCAGTTCCATTTCCATTTCCACTTCGGGTTTGATCCTTGGGCACACAATTTCCAACTATGCTTCCCTTAGTCTTATTAATAATATATTCACTAGCACTTGGATATTTATTCGTCGAAGGAAAATCAAGTGTATTATTCATAAAACTGCTTTTATTGTATTTTTCTAGAATCATTTTGTAGTTATTACTACTGTTATATATTAAGTGATGTTGTTTTCCTCTCTCCCTGTCACAATCAAGTAAGAGATTTAATTTTCTCTCTCCTCTTGTGCTATCCAGTTTGGAATTATTCATTGAACCGCTCTTTTTTATTATACCCGTTATTGGTCCGGTTCTTGAACCTGTTCTAGATCCACTTTTAAAGACATTCGTTTCTTCCATCTTTGCACCACTTAGTTGACTTCTTTTTGTAGGATCGTATGACATCATGCACTTATCTTCATACACTTTGTCAACATCTATGATGTAATTGGTCAACTTATCTCGGTTCTGATTTAAAGAAAATAACGAATTTGTTCCTCTATCCTCCATATCATTGTAAAAATTCAATAGAGTACTTTTTTTATTCATCATTTTTTCTTTCCTCCAATCACAATCAACAACATTTCGTTTATAAAATTCACATTTTCTTTCATATACATCATCAAGATTGATAATATCATTAAAATTATTTTTACTCTTATTAGTCATACTTAATTGTTTGTGAATTATACATTTATTTTCTTGCACCTTTTCCAAATCTATGACGTTATTACATAAATTTCCATGTGTCTTTTCTAAGGATACTTTTGTGCATATATTTGAAAAGTTATTTTTATCAATTGGCATTAAACTATTAATTGGTGGAGAAATTTTTAAATTTCTATTGTTACTTCCTTTTTCTTCTAACCCATTAAATTTAGAATGAGAATCCATGTAATAACCATTTTTTAGCATGGAGATATTGTTATTACTATAATACTTCATATATTTATTTGAAATCATATTTCGTGATGAATCAATAATTCTTCTTTTACAGTTAATATCATTTTTTCTTATAATTTCAATTTTGTTATTACTTACACTTATTTTCTGTCTATTTACCCAATAATCCCCTACACCCACAGAGGAAGCACCACTTGTCATACAGCTCCCTGCTGTTGGAACTGTTCCTTTTGCTGACGATTGTGTCATAACAGTTGAGCTAGGAATTCCAACAGAAGTTGAATCGATAACTAATCGGCTCATCAAATTTCCTCCCCCTCCTCCCATTCCTCCAGCTCCTACAGATACTGCTACTGCTCCTGCCCCTAACCCACCATTCGTATAATCAATTTCATCATATGAATTTTTTTCATCAACTGTATCTTCCACTTCTTTTTTGTTATTATAACCATAAACATCAATTTTCGTAGAACAATTTTGTCCATTCAAATTGTTCATATTTGGTATGGAAATAAATGCCCCTTTAAAACTACTTACATTCTGTTCAGATGAATTTGTGGATTTTATTTCTCCATTATTATTTTCCTTCAATTTCATATCAAAATAATTTTTCACTATGTTACTATGATAATTTTCCTTCTCAATATGATCACAAGATTTTTTCAAAAAATAATTCCGATTACCTGTCCGGTAAAGGTTATAAGCAATATTTCTGCTTAAGTTGAATGGGTTGCTATACGATGTTTTTTTGTCGTTTCGTATATTTATCAAATTATTTTCAATGTTATTTTCTCCATCAGACATATTTCCACTTAAAATACGCTCTTTCCTGTTCATATAAATTTGTTCCTGGTTACTTCTCTGATTGTGATAACAATTATGTTCGCACTTCAATTGGTCCGTGTTTTGACAGAAAATTTCTCGGCTAAAATTCCCACATGTGCAATTTCCAAAACTACAATCCTGATTGCAATCAAATGTGTTCATTTTATTGATAACGTTAAAATCCATTCTGTGTGAAACTTCATATTTTTCGTTATTTGGGCGATCTTGTGGTGTCATGGGAAATAAAAAATCGTCGTTCTGGCCTTCATCCTCTTCATCATCTTCTTCATCGTCCTCTTCACGTTCATTTTCATGTTCATTTGCCACAAACTCCTCACCAGCATCCACATCGCTTTCTTCTTCTCGTTTATTCCATGCTGTGCATACATTCATTAAGTTTCCCTTATGTGATCCAGTACCATAATGCCCACACTTCTCATCGGAATTATTTTCTTTAATTATATTTTCCTTATTGGAATTTAGAACTTGTTTTTCTCCTTTAAAAAAATCAAAGGTAAACTTGTCATATTTGCTATTAATTCTACATACATCTTCGTACTGACTTTGGAGTATTTCTTTCTTTAAGGCACGTTGGTTTATGTAGGGATTACATGTTCCTTTCAATGATTCGCTAAAGCAAGGGCTAACATCACTGTGTTCACAATTAGCAGTTTTTACATGTCCAAACTGCTTAACACACATCGATACATCTTCGCCCCCATTGTCACTTTTATTTTTATCTACGCTGATTGATTCTTGGCTTAACGTGTTACTATTCAAAATGGGATTGTTGGTATTGTTTCCTTGTTGACTATTAACTCTGCTGTAACTATTCTTTTCGTAATTTATTTTATTCCAAGCACAATTTTGATTTGCATAATGAGGGTAAGAATTATCATTCGTTAATCCATCATCATCAGCACTTACTAGACCTTCCTTATCTGTGCAATTGTTTTCTACAGCTAAACTACTTTTGAATATCACTTCATTATTATCATCATTCTTGTCATCGTCTTTGTCATCCTTCTTACCATCGTTATTATCATCACTTATACAAATATCATTACTATTATTGTCTCTGTTTCCACTATTTTCGTTCCTTTCGTGGTTATCATTCATGTTAGAGTTGTTCACAGTACAATTCCCTTTAATATTGCTCGTGTTGTTATTTTCATCACTCTGATACACATTACTAACTGCGGATGAAGTTACATGGCCCTTTTTTGGAAGTTTCTGCAACATGGAATAATATTTGTGCAAATTTTCTTCCTTTTGAATAATTTCAGATTCCTCCTGATTCTTCGAATAATTAATACTTGAGAAATGTTTAGGGTCATCTAAAAACAAGTATTCATTATGTTGATGATCAATCATCTGATATCCCTCCTTTTTACTCATTGTATTATTCATTTCTTCCTTGATCTCTTTTTCACTACTTTTGTCATGACCCTTCATCATGTTCGTATGTGTCTCTTCATCTCCATTTGCTAAAGCATGACAAGTTCTTTGAGAAATAACATTTCCTTCTGATTCACTGATCAAATCTTCATTCGATTGATGCATATTCCTTATATAATGGTAGTATCTGGTAGAGTTATAATTACTACTCCTGTTTTCTTCTGACGCATTTTCCTTATTTTCATTTATCGTGTTTGCATATTGATTCATATAGGACATATATGATTGATCTACCCCTCTGTTGATATTATCATTTTTATGTGAACTGTTTTTATTTCCTTTATCAATAATTTCGTTCGTAATCTCATACATGTTTTTTTTTTCCTCAATGAATGGGAATTTTTCCAAAGTATCAAATTTATCCATAGCACTTTTATACATTTCTGTCGGACTTTTCATTTTTTTATTGTCTAGATATTCTTTTAATTCGTAAGGGGAATGGTATGATATTAAACTTCCACCACATTTTTTGTTAAAATTTGTAGACGATTGTTTGTCATCACTTCCAATTTCTTTCTTTTCATATTTTCCTCCCTCCTCTTCGCTCTTATTTGATATGCATTTTGAAATTTTCGAAAAAAAATTTTTCAATAAATATTTTTCACAATAAAATGTTTTTTCGTCATATATATGTTTATCCTCTTTATATATTTTGGAATTATTATGATTTCCCCCCCTCTCTGATTTTAATTTTTCTTCTCCCACCAAGTTACCTCCAGTTGAGCAGCTCGACTCGCACTCAAGCTCGTGGTGTATATTTCTCGTTTTACTGTTATCGCTACTTTTCAATTGTTCTTCTTCTTTTACCTCATGTTGATGCACCTCATCACGTTCTTCCACTATAACATCGTTATCTTCTTCTTCTTCATCTTGATTATTTTTCTCAAATTTTCGATTAGTACTAATGGATGTGTAACCCTTCTTGGGTTTCGGTTTGTTAATTCCAAATATGTCGAGGGTGTCGTAATCATCACTACCATCTATGTTTTGAAATGAATCTAGAAACTTTGGATTTTTATTTAGATTATTCTTGTAACCGTTATTGTCTATGTAACGATCTGTTTCATATATTTTTTCATTCTTTTTTTCTTTGACGCTATATAAATAACCCTCCTCCACTGGAAAGATAGATGAGTGTGCAATGGTGAAATAATTCTTGTCTAATAAATCTTTGTTATTTTTTGTATTCGTTTCAAATGATACATTACTATCATAAAATAATTTTGCCGATTTGTAAAAATTTTTATTGGAACTGCAACCTTGTTCTTTTTCCATGAATAACTCATGTTCGCCTTCAACGTTGTTATTGTTCGTGCTAATAACATTATTATTATTAATCGTAGTAGTGGTAGTACTAGGACTACTAGTAGTAGCATTAGTGTTACTATCCCTGCTGATCTGATTTCGATTATTCTTCTCGTCTGTATGATTTTCCTCTTTTGCCGTTTGCTCACTTGTTATTATTTCATCGTTGTTATCTTTTTTTGTATAATCTGAGTAAAATGATCCAAATAAATTAAAATTATTTTTTGATATTTCCGTTTTGTAAGAGTTACGCATACTTTTGAAAAGATGTTTCCTTCACTTCTTTGCAGTTATAATTTATTATAGTTATCTTTTTCTTCCTTTTCGATTCCTTTCCCGTTTAACTTTACGTCTTCTCTCCTCCCTCTTTAAAACAAAGGGAAACACGATTGTATGAAATGTCACAGTGTACTCATACGTCTGTTCATATTTGTTCGCAGGCAGCAGATTGTTTCTGCATGATTTAAATGAAATACGTATACTAGAGAACATGCATGCCTATGTAAGCATACATGTGTGTGCGCATATATATATATACATATATATATGTGTATACTACTATTTTAAACTTATTTGTTCACGCAAAAAAAAAAATAAAATAAAAAAAATTACAACCCTTATTTTGTCTAAATGAACTGGACATTATATGAAAATAAACAAGGGATAAAAAAAGGAAACAAAACAGGAAAAATGTGCAAAGTAAGCAAAATGGGCAAAATGAACGAAATAGGCAAAAAGAGTAAGGTAAACAAAGTAATAATGTGCAAATATCATGGAGCGCATGCTATGATATCTGTCTTTCCAAAAAAAAAAAAAAATAAATAAAAATAAAATAATAAATAAAACTTTACAAAATATTTTTGTAATTATATTACTGCGTGCATGCATACTTGCTCCATGTGTAATAATCCCCTTAGGGAGAGGGGTTATGTTCACTTAACGCATTCCTTCAAAATTTGTGTTTTTGCTATTATGACGCGTCCTTTTATTTCGATGGGAGACGCATTATAAAAATATAAAAAACAAAAAAAGAAAAAACAAAATAAAATAAAGTGCAAATGTTCAAACGCGTAGAAAATTCGACGACACACAAATTTCACATATACAAATACATGAACCTTATATGATATGCTGCGAGAATGGACACCACCAAATGTGTTTCATAAACTAACACGTTTCGCTATTTTCGCATAATTGCAATATTGAAACAAAATGAACATGTTTATTTTTAGCTTTATTCTAAAAGTAAATTGAAAAATAAAAAGTTAAAAAAAAAAAAAAAATGTTAAAAGTGCATCCAAAAGTTCAAAGGTTGGAGTTATTAATGGAAGGGTTGGGGTTGTTTAATAATTCCGTATGTATATATTTATATATATAATACTTGCGATAATATAAATTGCAGTAGTTCTGTTAATATGTACATATATCTATAAGAATAAAACGTGTGAGCGCTTAATATTTTAATAAAAGTCGCAAGGGATAATAATTTAATATGTACAATAAATTCATGTTACCATATTGTACTTGAATACGTCCTCACAAATATATAAATTATATATATATATGCGTATATACAACTTTTTCTTTTAAGGTATAACGTATATTAATAAATGCAAATAGTCATACGAATATGTACAATAATATATGTATATAAATATATACATAAAATAAATAAGGAAAGCGATAGCGAAGCTTAATAAAAATAATCTAAAAAAAAACTGAAATGAACCTCTATAAATTCTTCTTTTTTTAACATAATACAATACGGATATAAACCCTGACTTAAAAAATATAATAAATAATTAATAAGTAATTTTTTAAAGAAAAAGGTTTGTATTTTTAAAACTGACAAAAAAAAATATACTAAAAAGTTTTTTTTTTTTTTTTCGATATATATGTACAAATATGTTGTATTTTCTCACAAAAAAAAAAAGAAAAAGAAAAAAGGGAATTCTCTTGAACATGCGTGTGATGAATATATATATATATATAATATGTGGTGATTATTTTATACACTTTTATATATATTTCATGAAAGTTCAATATATATTCATGTGTGCTTGTAGTGGGTACATAACAAGAGTTATGTCACGATGGACTAATTGTGACTAGGGTTCAGTATTGTACAAGTCTGGTTTCATCTTAACGGATGGGTTTAGTATTTTTATTGTTCAGCAATTTTTTCGTCAAAATTGTTCTTTTTTTATATATTTTTATGGCATTTAAATGTGGTAAAAATGAAGCATATGTGTTATACTTATTTATTATAAAAAATTAACAAAAGCTTAACAGATTTTTATATGTGTTATTCTGATCAAATGTATATTTTTTTTTTTTTTTGCGCTAACAATACAAACTTTGAGATTGTCCACCCCACCCCTGCTATCATATATAACAATATTGTTATATATATCATAACCATATAATTTATTTACTTTTAGTCCATTATCCGCCAAAGGAGAAAAATTAATTATTTGAATATGAATTTTTACTTAAAAATTATTAAAAGAAAAAAAAAAAAAAAAAAAACATACTAAATTTTTTTTTTTTTTTCTCACATTTTATGTACCATAAAAAAAAAAAAAAAAAAAAAAGTTACGCACACAAAGGAATTATCATTTTACTCCTCTTTTTAATACTATCTTTTGTGAAATTTTTTATAAAAGCACGTTTTCATCTCAATTTATTGTTTCTTTTTTTTATTTTTTTTGCATTTCTTGGAAGCATACATATTTACTATTAATTCACGGCATATTTCACTAATCCCATAAAAACATGCACATTATAATTTCGGTAGTAATTCCCATCGTCCCATAACATTATTCACAGTGTGCTACGTATAGCTATGTATATATAACAAGCACCCCTATTTTCTGATCATCTCATCATAAATATCACCTTTATGCTATTTCCCTCTCTACGTAAAATTCACATTGTTTATTTAATGCATATTTTTCCTTATATCAGCGAACCAAACCCAACACAACTTATATATGAATGTGCTCATGTATTTATGTATATATAAATATGTTCATGTATGCATGTACATGTAGCTCCAATTATAAGGAGTCAAAATTTTTGCTTGCATATATATCAACCCCTTGTTAAGTATATTCCAAATTCAAGGCTAAGTGATTTGTTCATACTTTTTTTATTAAATGATGACACAATTTACGAGTAGCTTAATGAAATTTACGCATACAAAAAAAAAAAAAAAAAAAAAAAAAAAAAAAAAAGCTGTGTTCATTTGTGCATACATATAAATACGTTTACATATGCTAAAATGTAAAGATCAATTTTATTTTATTTTTTTAAATGAAAATACCAATTTTTATTAATTTATTTTTTAAAATCGTCCTTAATTAAAAAGATTTCGGTTGAAAATAGGTATTCATTGGAACATGTATATATGGAGTTCAAAAAATAAAGGGGGGGGTAAGTTAAGCGCAGAAGGATATTAATATATGTGCAATTGCACGTGTGCATGTATATGTATGTTTCAACAAATGAACGGAGAACAGATAATTTGTTTTGTTTATATTACACACAATAATATATAGTATTTACACTTATTTTCATTTGCTTTATAAGCATATTTTGCACAAGCCCGAGAAAATCAGAAAGAGATGTAAGCAACAGGAAAAAAAAAAAAAAAAAAAAAATCCTCATCAGAGCAGGTATTTTAACAAAACCTGTTTTTATGTTAGAACCCACACAAGGTGCATCAAAATGTTTACTAATCGAAAGATTTCTCATATTTTGAAATGCATATGCATAGATGAACAACTAATGCCATTTTCATGTCACATTTGAAGTTGATTCACAGAGTTAGTGTCCATTTTATTTTCCTTTTAATACAAACTCGTGCTAACCTTGTTCATTTTGTGCTGCATTTGTAATACGCATGTATTTTTCGTATATTCGAGTGCTTCTTTCGTTTTATCCTAGCGGATTCGGTACAAGGTTGGCTGAGGATCGATATAATAGTGACACGAATAAACTGTAAACTTATATTTTCCTACGCCTCAAAGTTAAAACATTGCATATATATCACATTTCCCGAAAATGAGCGAATCGGAGTTACAACAGCTACAAGTCCTGTGTGAGGCTATGTATTGGTAAGTAAAAAAAGAAGAAGAGGAAGAAAAAAAAAAAAAAAAAAAGAGAAAAAAAAATACACACATTAGCGAGTCCTGTACACAAAGAGGAGAAATGTTACGCAAACGATTTTAATAAATTGAGACCAGCGAATGCGTGAATCTTGTTGGTAGAAACTCAATTGGGAGATTTATCCATCCTATATATTTTTCGTATGCACTTATGTGAAATAATTCATCATTGCTTAAGATTATATGCATGCATTAAAGTTATTGTTTCCCTTTCCATCACCATCCTCATTTGCTTTTTCCATTTTTCGCAGCGGAAATAAGGAAGAACAGAATCAAGCGCACACAATATTATTGCCCTTAGTGAACAATGTGGGTAATGTAAGCAAATTAAAAAATATCTTGGGAAATACAAGTCATGTGCATACATTAATTTTCACAACGTCTGGTTTACTTCAATTAATTACAAATGAATGGAATAAAATAGAACAAAATGAAAAAGATGAATTAAAAGATTTCATTTTGACGTACTTATACAACAAAGGAGTAGATATCCTAAATTTATCATCCAACGTTTTGGGAAATTTGGTGAGGTTATATGTCCGTATAGTAAAATTATCATGGCTAGAGAATACAAATTATTCATTAATAATAAAACAAGTAGATTATTTTTTAAATTCAGTAACGAGCCATTGGATTATTGGGCTCTACATCTATGCAGCATTGATAGAAGACATGCACCCACAATGTGGAATAAATTCAGCAAAGAATAGAAGATGTGCAATATCATTTCGAGATTATGTATTAAAAGATATATTTAAAGTTGGGATAGAAACATTAGAAGAATTTGTAAAAGGAAGCATAAGAATAGAACTAAGAATGGATGAAAATAGACTATTAATTAAAATTTTAGAACTAATATATAATAGTTTATCCTTTGATTTTATGGGGACAATGATAAATGATGAAAGTTCGGATGAAAATGTATCACTTATGATACCTCAGTCATGGGATATATTTAATGAGAAAAATATTCCAAAATTATTTTTTGATATGTATGAAATTTGTATGTCCGATGAAGATGATTTGAGAAACTGTTGTGGGAAATATTGTTTACGATGTTTAATACTTTTGGGAGGTTTGAGAAAAACTTTTTTCTCAAGTGAAAAGCAAAAAATACATTATATGAATGAATTCTTAGGTGGCCTTAACAATATTATAGAGAAAAAAATAGGCTTACATGATGAGGATTGTTTTCATGAGTTATGTCGATTGATAGGGAAAATCGATACTAGCATTCGTTTGCAAGAATTAAGTACTTATCCCAATTTTCTTTCCTGGTGCCACAATATATATTTATTCACAATTGATGGTATGAAGAATTGGAAATACCTTTGTAATAGTAAACATTATCTGTTAGGTATTTGGAGTAATATGCTAAATATAATTCCAGCAAAAGTGATAAAAGAAATTAATAGTCGAACTGATGAAAACGAATTATTGAAAGACGTGTTAAGTAATAAAAATATTTTTTTAAAAAAAAATCCTATATCAAATAGTTTCAGTTCGCACGATATTGATAATAAATTCTTAATTATTTGTGATTATATTTACGACATAAGTATGGTTTTTATAAATACCAGATTAGAATTAGCCAAATATATTTGCGAACAAGGGGACAATTGTGAAATGGAAAATCCATTATACAATGATGTCCTACGAAGTGAACAATTAGAATTGATTTCAAATTTATCCAAATTACAATATCATTTTATTGGAGCTAAATTGCTATCTATTTTTTACGAATTAAGACATAATCATGAAAATAATCTTATCACAAAATCGGTATTTATTGAACAAACTACTTGGCTAGTTTTCATCATTGCATCTATCATATCCAGCAGTGCTGCTTTGAATATGAAAAGTGCATCTTTTGAAACTTTCAAGATAAACTCAGAACTTTGTTTTCTCGTTTTCTCCCTCATGGAGCAAACGAATAAATCTGCAGAAGTATTTGAATATCTCGAATTTGCCTATTTGAACTGTTTGGAATTGTTTAAGAAAGTGTACATTAGCGGGAAAAAAAATAATAACTTTTTGAAAGAAATGAAATCTGTTGCCATGAGAATCACCACTCCTTCTAGTAGTACGGGTGATAGTGGAGGTACAAGAACAGAAGGAACTAATTCAAGTGTAATAACCCCTGAAAATGATAACAACAAGAATTTTGCATTTGCATCCACGAGCGGTGCAAATAATGTGACGTCAAACTTTATGAATAACAATAACATTAATTTTTCTACCCCATCGTTAATTACGAACCAAGATGATGATGAGAATAACGATCCACTTATAGATCTGATCGTGAGTAAAATATTATTCAATCTGAACAATAGAACCGATTGTGAACAAATTGTGAAAAGAAGCTTGGATTTATTTCACGACCTGGTATCAGGAATGAACATTGTATGTTTAGAAGATAAAACACCAAAACTGATTGTCTTTGCAAGAATGTTATTAAAAAATGAAAAGGTATTAAATTTATTGCACAATAGAAATAATAAATTTTTAGAAATAGCAAAATATTATAAATATAGAACGAATTATTATTTAATATTGACAAAATTATTATTTATGGAACAGAATCTTGTTTCATCATCCTTTGAAAAGTATATTTTACCAATTAATAATTTACTAGAATGTATAAAGAGAGAAATAAATGTAAATGGAAAAGATATCATTTTAAAAAATAATGAAATTAAGTTATCCTTTATTGGGGCCTTAAGAGATTTAAGAGGGATTTGTATGGCTTGTAATAATGTAGAAACGTACACTATGTTTTTTAATTTTTTCATAAATAGTTATCCCTTAGAAGATAATCAAATGAACATATTAACTTCCCTAGTGGATGTCATATGGGATAGCTATGATATATGTATTCCTTTTCTCAAATTTATGTGTGAATTTGTTTACAACAAATCACAAAGAATTACTTTTCCCAAATCATCTCCAAATGGTATACTATTATTTAAAGTTGTTTCTAATATTTTAATTATCATATCAAATAATTTATTACAGAAAGAAAAATTTATGGATATTTACAAAGAGAAATATAAAATAATATCTCTTTTACTAAACATGTTTAATAATTGTTTAAATGGAGACTTTGTAAATTTTGCTATTTTCGATTTGTATAATGATGACATATTAAATAATTCTCTCAATTTGGCATTAAACATGTGTTTGGTGATTCCAACCAATGATTTATTATCCTACATCAAGCATTTGAAGCCATATTTTTCTTTTCTCGATTTGGTTACCAAGAACTTTTTTCAACGTATTCTGAGCTTGGAATTTCAGCTCATTGCTGATATTATTCATAATGTTAAGGAGGGTCTCTGTTCCTTTGATTATACAGTATCCATGACTTGTTGTTCCATTCTGGATAACATCGTTACGTACATATTTACCAATAGAAAAAATTCGAATGAGCAAGGACAGGTATATATACTCCTATGATTTGCTACTGACCCCTGTACTTTTGTGGCTGCTTTGTGTTTCAACTGTCCATTTTGGCGTTCCCCAATTAAGAGAACTATAATGGCCTAATTTCATATCTTGATTTTGTTTCACTCGCATTCTTCGTATTCTCCTTTCCCCTCCCCATTCCCTTCAGATAATAAAGAACTTTTTGGAAAGTCAACCACAAGCCCTCAAGGAAGTGCTGAACTTGATGTTCCACCTGATATTGGGAGGTTGGATTTTCTGACCGGATTTATCAACAATTGATCCATTTCTTATTTCATCCCCTTGCGTGTGCTCGTTCTTTTTCTTTTCTTTTTTTTTTTTTTTTTCCCCTTTTATTTTGTGTATTATTTATTGTTACTATTATTTTGTTTATTATTATTGTTACTATTATTTTGTGTATTATTTATTGTTACTATTATTTTGTGTATTATTATTGTTACTATTATTTTGTGTATTATTTATTGCTACTATTATTTTGTTTATTATTATTGTTACTATTATTTTGTGTATTATTTATTGTTACTATTATTTTGTGTATTATTTATTGCTACTATTATTTTGTTTATTATTATTGTTACTATTATTTTGTGTATTATTTATTGTTACTATTATTTTGTGTATTATTATTGTTACTATTATTTTGTTTATTATTGTGCTTTTATTTTGTTTATTATTATTTTTTTTTTCACGTGGCGTCTTGTCCGTTTTGAATCCACATTACCATTCTTTCCCCCCTTCTGGAAACTTGGTAGGCGATTTCGGAAGTACCTGGAGCATGTCTCAGCCATTATTAGGACTAATTTTACTTGACACACAGGGGTACTTTAAAATACAAGAACAGCTCATTTCTCAGCAGAGCGAAGAGAAAAAACAAAAGTAAGCAATGTAGACAGAGGAACAGGGGGAACAAAAGATATATTATTACAAGAAAAAAACACACATTCCTCCCACAACTGTTTTTTTTTTTTTTTTTTTTTTTTTTTTTTTCCTTTTTCATTTACACTTTTTATTGATTCATTCTTGTATCAAACTTTAATTTTACTATATTTTTTTTCCCTCCCATTTTTTTGTGTTTTTTTCAATTTTTTCCCCTTATTTAGGCTAAGGCACAGCTTTTGTAAATTAATGGATCACATTGAGTCAAATTTGGCCCCAAGCAACAGGGTAAAAATGAAATACAAAAAACGTCATTTATTCCTAATGTGTACATACTCACATGTGTGCATATATATATATATATACATTCATTAGCTGAACTCATGTCATCAGCCCATGCTAATACAAATATTCGCAATCGTAAAACAGAGGCTAACATTTATTTATATACCCCATTTCATCACTCACATTTGCATACTTATTAATATTTATTTATTTTTTTATATATTTAGGATAATTTCACGAGAAACCTATACACCTTTGCACAAGAAATAAGAAACATCCTTATTTGAAGAGGAAGACACAAACACTCGATTGAGACCTTTATGTTAACCAATTTGAATATAATATTTTTATTCGCTTCTGTTTCATTCTTTTTTTTTTTTTTTTTTTTTTTTTTATTATTACTATTTATTTACGTTCCTTTTTATTGTATAAAGCTTATAATTTACGAGAAACGTTTATTTTTGTTTTACAAACTAGACGTCGTCCCCTCTTTTTATTCATGCATTAATGGAAACATATATAGACAATATCCTTGGACCCTATTTATGCACACCATTTATGAACACTATTTATGAGTAATATTTACTTTATGTATATTTATTATAACTGTTTTTTTTTGACAAATGCATTTATAGATGTGTTCACTGCTCATTAAAATGAAACAAGTGTAAAAAAAAAAAAAAAAAGAAAAAAAGGATTTTATTTTTCTCGTATTTTTTTTTTTTTTTTCTTTTTTCATTTAAAATAGAAAAGAATAAATAACACTTGTTGTAAATTCTATGTGTTCCCATTAACATTTATATTTTTCTTATATCTTCCTTTTTATGTTTGACACATTTCATTGAGAACATAGTATAATGTATGGCGTCATTTTATGGAATAATTTTGAAAGAAATGTTTGTAATGAAGCACGTTCACAAATTGTATAGAGAATTTTTTTTTTTTTTTTTTGAAAATAGTCTGAAAGTATTTGAACTGTTGATATTACAGAATAATTCTATAAAATGGGAAAGGTAGGAGCGGAAAAAAAAAATAAAATAAAATAATAAAAAAATAAGGTAAAATAAGACGGGCTATCTTCAACAATTTGCATATTTTTAAATTAACCCCCAATTGATGGGGAAAGGTAAAAATGAAAGCGCACTTGAATTTTTATAAATATTCCTATCCCTGTCCCTATTGCCTTTCATTGATTATGTGGATACATCATAACGTAAGGCTCAGTTAATTCATGAGAAATAGTTTCCAAGATTTACTTTGGTCCCAACTTTTTCTGAATATAGTGTAAAATGTAAACGTTAAAAATGAGGCATCCTTTTGCGGCATTACTAAGAGGCTCTATAATTATTTTTTACGAAAAAAGAAGTAAATAAGGAATCAAACAAATGAAGCAAAAAAGGAAACGAAGGAAAAATCGAAAGAAAAAGCGAAAGAAAAAGCGAAAGAAAAAGTGAAAGAAAAACCCAAAGAAAAAACAAAAAGAAAAAGCAAAAAAAGAAGCAACAGTAAAAGACACCTCCCGCCACTTCAGCACTCTGCATGCATAATTGGTGATGTGCGAAACTACGTGCACGGGTCAACATACTGTATGTGTACCCCCTAACTTGCAACGTTCTGCATTAGTGTTATAACTCGAGTTATGTGTTTTTTTGTTTTCCTTTTTGTTTCTGTTTCTTTTTTTCTGTTTCTGTTTCTTTTTTTCTGTTTCTGTTTCTTTTTTTCTATTTTTGTTTTTGTTTTTTTAAAGAAAAAAAAAAAAAAAAAAAAAAAAAAAGGCGCTATAAAAAATGTCTAAATTAAACAAATAAATCTAGCAAAGCATGCAAAGTACCTAATGTGACTAAAAGATACTAAAACAAAATCAACAACAGTGATCGAATCCAACAGAGTCTAAAGAACCGTACAAAATGGCAGGAAATAAAAAAGAAAACCACCAAGTAGAATTTTATTCGAGCGTGATAAAATGGAAAGGGAAATGCGCAGAAAGAAAAAATGAAAAACCGAGTGATAAAAACCCTAAAGCTTGGCTTGACCACTTTAACGAGGTAGTAAAAGATGATCTAAAAGACTTAAAAGACAGCACATTATTTAACATAAAAAGAAGCCTACTACTTAATAAACTACAATCCAAGAATAAAAATTCTGATTTAGTGCTACATAATCCCTTCGATTTTAATTTGAAAAGAATTCAGCAAGGCAGTAAAAAAAATTATCATTCTTATGTGCGAAGGGGAATTTCATCTACCGATGAAGCAGCGCGAAAAGAAAAAATAAAAAAAAATTTCGATGATTTTGCATGGGATAACAATTTGAAAAAGTATGTTCAATTGACAAAATCAGGAGGAAAGAAGGGAAAGATGGAAAAGGAGAAAGAGAAAGAGGAGATGATGAAGGAAAAGAATACTTTGAAGGGAAAAGGGCTGATATATGGGAATAGCGCCCCCAGAAGTAATTCTTGCGTACGATTGCACGAACATAGAGGATGGATAAAGTCTCAAGTAAGAAATGAAACATTCCAGAAAAAATATACTACTTTTAGTGGAGAAGTTGCTTCATCGTCATATCACCCGAGGAATGCAGTTGAGTCATCCCCCCTTCTTTCAACAGAAGAGCCTAGAGCTCGATCGAATATGCACCCTCATAATCATCGAAACCATCACCCAAGTGTCTATTCAAGAGAGTACCAAAGAGACTACCAAACTGCTTACCCAGAAGTATACCCAACTTCCAATCCAAATGTTTATCCAAACATATCATCAAAATCTTACCCGAATGGGCCACTATACCCCAACCGAAGCATATCAACATATCCTAACCCTAATCCATACCCACATGCTTACCCAAATGTGTACAAAAATGAGTGTCCAAGAGTAGATTCTTATTCCCACCAAAGCGTAGATACACATACCTATCCAAACCACGACACATGTCAAAGAGTCCACCCTTGTGGTGTCCCAAATGCAGACTCCAATGACTCCCCTATGGATCCTACATGTACCGCCCAGAACCCATACACATCTACTAGTTTACCTTTCCTAAATAGAAACAGAACTCATAGCAGTAGAACTGAGGGTACAAAACAAATAACAAAACATCTAAAAACAATAATCTTAGAACACTCTCGCTTCATAAGAATGGAAACGATGAAAAAGGAACATGAAAAAAATATCATAATGATAGAAGATGAAAAAAGTGGAAAGGCTAAAATTGTTACTAATAAAAAAATAGAAATAGGTGAGGTAATTTTTATAGAAGAGTGCATAATAGAAACGTCCATTCTTTTAGAACAGTTATGGAATACATACTCTTCATTGAGTGATGAGCACAAAAGAAAGTTGGATAAAATTAGTGAATTTATGAATCTGGGTAGGCAAAAAGGAACGAGAAAAATGACAAGAGGGAAAACAGAAAAAACAACGACGACAATAAGAAAAATAAAAGAAAATGAACAAGATGCCAAAGAGGAAAGTCAGAATAATAGTCCACATCATATTATTTCTTACTGCCAAAGTGAAGAAAACATACGTAGTCATTTGACCGATGGAAATGTTATAGGTGCACAGGAAGCAGAGGAATCAGAGGAAGCGGTGCATATGTGGTCAAATAGTGGAAATTTCACAGCAGGAAAAGATAAGCTAAAAGGAAGGACATATTATTACTATAGGAAGGAAGAAGAAGAAGAAGAAGAAGAAGAAGAGAAAAAAGATCCAACGAGTGACAAACTTGTTTACGACTTAATGAAATTCGAAACTTTTACAAATATATTAAAAAAATCATTTATTTCTCCTAAAGATAAAACTAAAATTATGCTATTTGAATATTCGTCCTTTATAAAACATAGCTGTTTTCCCAATGCTAGTTATTCGTACATAGACAATCACAAAATTTGTTTCATTGCCATGAGGACAATAAACAGGTATGAGGAAATAACAATTTCGTTAATAAATGAATTGTATGCCCCTATCTCCTATAGAAGAAGTAAATTAAAAGAACTTAAAAAAATCATTTGCTTGTGTAATCGATGCTCGCAAATAATTGATGAAGGAAGAAGTATGTTGTGTTATGTGTGTAAATATTCCTATGTTAGAGATAGAGTCATTGGTGGGTATGTAGATGACAAGAATAACCAAGAGATTCAGAAAATGACACATGAAAGTAATTATCATCATCCTCCAACTCGCGTTGGAACCTTACAAGGAGACGTATACTCAAATGAGGAATCCTTTCTGGAAAGATATAATGATTTTAATGTCCTGGGGGACACAAATCTTGGAGAAAATTGCAGCGAAGCAAGTAATCCATTAGTCACTTGGACATACAGAAATTCCCCACTAGACATTATTAATAATAGGACGAAGAGTGTAAACATACACAACAAAGAGGAGGGGGATATGAAAATCAGAAATGATAAGATGACTGAAGGAATAAGAGATTTTTCCTCATTTCATTGCAACTCTAAAGGTGAAGTTGGTAGGGAAGAATACCAAAGTGAACTAAGAAATAAACATATTAATATGCATAATGAAGAAATTAAAATCCCCCATATAACACATCCCTCTGATTATTCTCCTTCTATGAATGAAGAAAAGATTTATTATGAACCAAGTTTACAAAGAGAAGATGTCAATAATTTGTCATATCTTTGCGGTTTAAATAGTAAAGGGTGTTTAAGATGGTATTATGCGGGTAGATCCGAGGAAATGGATGGACCTAGGGGTGTTCCATTTTCTATAAATAATAAAGGAAGTAAAACAAATGATAGTATTAAAAGGAATATAAGAAATGTAAGTAGTTTGGTAGATTCACACTTGGGAAATACTTCAAGCAATTCCATAAAGAAAACATTGTCTGGATGTAATAAAAACGAAATATCAAATGAATTATTATTAGCACCCATGACAGACACAAAAGATATGAATAAAGAACATCTGGAACGATTTAACATGCTAAATTTTGAAAAAGATATAAATATACCTAACATTTTAATAGATATTTTGGATATGCAAAATAAGAGAGAAAAAATTGGGTATTGTAAATTTTATAATAATGAAGGGGTATTTATTTGTGATACTTGCAATGAAATCATTTCTTCCCATACTTTGCCGTTAGAAAGTGAAAAATATTTTATAAATGAATATAAAATTATTAAAGACAATATTAGAAGGAACACATTCAATACTGATTATATTATAAATAAAATTGAAAAATCTCTTCTATATATTATTGCTATTTTAGGGGAAAGACATTGGTTATATGCAGCATTCAATTACTTAATAGCAGATTTATGTTTTTCCATTTATTGTTACAATTCGACTATGACAAAGAGAAAAATATATCTTTCAAAAGGATTTATTTCCTTTAAACAATTTTTACATTTTATTCAAACAAAATGTCCACACTCAATTCATACTGATTTAGTTCCCCTTGTCTTAAAATTTTTTATAGTGTGCATTTATACATATGATTATAAGACATTTTTTGAATTTTCAAAATCAGGATATCTGGAATTAATAAGACAAAAATATGGACCCTGGGATGTGACTTACATATGTATTTTCCTCTCATTTAAAATGTGTTATGCTCATGTTACAGGCATCCTTCCAGTTTGCAGAGAAATCCTCTTGGCTCTTGTTCACTTGGCCAAAGGCAACCTTCTTGAGGATCATTCTCTCTGAAGTTCATTTGGAGGAACTTCAATACAATGCGTTGGGGAGAAATATATACATTCATATGCATGTGCATGGGCATATACATATATATATACCTCAAGCGATTTTTTAAGATACCCCCAAAGTAAAACTTTTTTCGTGTCCTCTTGTGTTCCCAATTATGCCTTCAAAAACGCCTGAACATTTTTCCTATATATATATATATAATACGTATATGTCCGATAACACAGCAGACATTCCGACCAAGTATATCTGTATAACCCTTTTGGGAATTTTTTTTTTTTTTTTTTTTATAAAACATATTAAATGTTGGTATCTCACGTAGGGGATGAAAAACGGTGATGAAATATCATATTAAAAAAAGGAAAAACATGAAAACTATATGAGAATGTGTTACATGGATGTGAATTCACAAAAAGGTGTGGTGTTTCTGTTCATTGATTTTTATATGATATAAGACGAGCATAGAGTGATATCAAAACGTTTTTTCTTCTTTTTTACTGCAAATAAAGTGATGTAGTAAATATAATGTCCCTCCTGAGGAGGTTTGAGGTGGTTTCAAGTCTTTCGGCCAGGTCAGCATTTCCAAGATAGAGAAAAGCTATTTTGACTTTCCTGCATAGATCGTCCAGTCGTAGTATTGATCTGACTATTAGTCCTTCTTCCAATTCTGACTGCTCAAGCAATTCGGCAAAGGAGGTACCAAGGGCCCACTTATAAGCAATAAACATGATTTTAAAGCTGCACAATTTCCAGTGTTCTTCTGAACTGATTTTTAAATGAATAACTTTGTAGAATTCTTCAATTTGGCTATGAATATTGGTTAGGGACATTTTGACATCTTGCAGATTTGGAGTAAGATCAGGTGAATCTTCTATTTTTTTTTCTGGTGCAACAAAACAGGACAAAACAGCTGCAATTTCTGGAGGGTTTAAATTGTTCAGAACATTTTCAAAAATAACTTGTGTTAGGGTAATTTCATCTGTTAATGTAATGTAGCTAGCTATTTTTCCCTTTACAGTTAAATTATGATCATCAATAAAGGAAAAATGTCTAAGAACATTCAATCTTCCCTCCAAATCTTCATACAAATTTAACGATTTAGCATTAATATTCCTTTCTATATTTTCAATATCGTTTATGCAATTATTTCTTTTACAAACAAGTTCGTAATGTTTTTCTTTTAAATTACAATTATAGCATTTGGATTTTTTTAATGTTTCTAAATAATCTGCCTGATTAATAAGTACAGAATAAAATTCACATTTTAATGATTTGAGCATTTTGGTCAAAACAAATGGTTCAAAATTTTCTTTTTCAATTAACCTATCAAGTTCAAGAGTATACAAAAGCATATTTTTGGGGTTATTCAAAATAGCTGTTGTTTTTACATTTGGTATAACGATAACTGTATTTGTTATGATGGAAATATGTTCAATGGATACATTAGAACAAACGATGAAATGTTTTTTTCTCATATCTGTATCAAATGAATCATGGTGGATAAATTGTATTATATTTTGAGAACTTTTCTTGGAAAAAAAAGGGTTTCTATAATATTCATGCATATTTACATTTTCTGGGGATAAGCTGTTTTTCTGTTTTGAGCTACACTTTTGGGAGAATATCTCTATTTTTTCTAACGTATTTTCTGCATTTATACTAGCTCCAATAGTGTTGTTTTTTTTCTTATGTGCAATTCCCTTTCCGTTTTCTAACTTCTGATCAAATAAATGGGCATCAGTACCTAACTGCTCCAACAATTCCTCATATGTCATGAAATCAGGCAAGATGAACAAAAAAAAAAATTTTTCATTAGATTCTTCATTTGGTTCATTAGTGTGATGAAAAAATATACTATTCTGAGCAAAATCTACCTTTTCGTTTTTTTTATTACTACTTTTATCACACCCAAGGTATATAGCATAAATAGAACTGTGGAAAATACTAATATTGTTTAGTAGCATAACTCTACCGATAACAAAGGAGTTACTGCTTTTCATATTGAACAGTTTTTTATGTAAGTTCAAACCGATGTGTTTCAATTTGTAATCAATATGTACGTAATTTTCAATCGGAGAGACGTAATTTACATCATTTTCGTAAATGCATTGAACTTGCTTTATATTTTGTAAGAGTTTTTTTTTTCTTTTCAAATCTTTTTTAAACAGTGGAATTTGTACTGCTCTACAACTTTCTAAAAATGAGCTAAATAACATTTTTTCTATATTAATTTGTTTATTTATAAACAACTTTAAAATCATATTATATGTTACTTTAAATTTACTTTTCAAACTAACAGCTTTTTGCATAAGCATTTCAGTTAATTGTACTTGGTCTGGGATTTTATCAGCACAGTAGATGTATACATAACCATACTTATCAGATGATCTTCTTCCTGCTCTACCTGACATTTGTGTATATTCTGAAGATGTTAATATTCTCTTTTTTGATTGGTCATGTTTATAAATAGATGTAAAAACAACTGATTTTGTTGGCATGTTGATTCCCATAGCAAATGTTTCAGTTGCAAAAAGTGTTTTAATTAATCCTTTTGAAAAAAGAATTTCTACAATTTCTTTCAGAATTGGTAATAACCCACTGTGATGTATTCCTATTCCTTTTTCTAACAATTTTGTTAAAGTTTTTATTTGGTTAAGTTCTCTATCTTGCGTACACAATTTTGCTATAGATTCTTTAATGAATAAATGTACTTTTGACTTTTGCTTGTTGTCAAGAAAGTTTAAATGAGGCATACTCTTAGCGTAAGTTTCACATTTAATTCTTGAAAAGCAAAAAAGAACAACTGGAAGTTTATTATCTTGTTCTAATTTTTTTATAAGTGCTTGTAATTTCTGTATTTCTGTTTTCATATTTGTTTCATTAATGAAAAGTTTTTGTTTCCTTTTTTGTTTACAATATTCGTTGTATCCCATGGATTGGTTTCTATTTTGTTCACTATCTCCATTCTGTTTGTTCTTTACATCCTCAGAATTTTTTTTCACATTTGTTCCCTGCTTGCTGTTCCTACTACTGTTCGTGGGATGACCGCTCAAATGGCCTTTAGCATTGGAAGTAGCCTTTAACTGCTCCTTCTCCCTAACCTTTATGTATATCTCCTTAAACGCTGAGGAGTATATTTTATTTTTTTCATCCATAATTTGAAATATTGTATCGTACGCATAAATATAATGGAGCAAGGGTACAGGTCTCTTCTTAGTCGAGATAGATATAATTTCTTTTTTTTTTGTAAACCCTACCCAATCAGCGAATTCGAGATAATTTGGTACAGTAGCACTTAGAAGTAAAATTTGAACATGGGAGGGTAACATAATAATCGATTCTTCCCATATAAACCCTCTATCATTATCATTTACATAATGTACCTCATCAAATATTACACAATGGATATTATTAATTATGTTATCATTTATATATAGTAAATTTCTCAAAATTTCTGTTGTCATAATTAAACAATTTGCATGTACATTCATTTTTATATCTCCTGTTATTATTCCCACACTTTTAAAGATATTTTTAAATTCATGATATTTCTGATTGCTTAATGCTTTTATAGGACTTGTATAAATGGCTTTTTTATTTAATTTTATAGACATAGCTATTGCATGCTCTGCTATTAACGTTTTTCCTGCTGATGTGTGCGCAGCCACAAATACATGCTTAAAATTGTTCAGGTGCTTTATAGACCTTTTTTGAAAATCATCTAATTCGAAGCTATAACTTAGTAGTAGGTCCTTTTGGCTGAATTCTGAAACATCTGAATGGTTATCTTCTATTACCCATTTTTTTCTTATATACTTTACGTTCGTTTTTTCTACAGCTTCATCTGGATTCTCCTGATTTCCACTTGGTGGGGTACTCCTCTCTATTACAGAAGATTTTTCTGGATATTCATATATCCCCTTATTAGTTTTATCCATATGTTCATCTATTCTTTGATTCTCTTCGGATTTTCCCGATAGAATAGCATCCTTGTTACATAACTTTTTTTGTTCTGTTATATCTGCTTTCAATTGGAAGTCATCACATGAATCCATATTGTTCCTCTGGAAAATATGATCGGCACTTGGACCCTTTGCATCATAATTTGGGGGATGCACATATTCAACGGGTGTCTGAGAACTGAAGTGAAAATTCTCATTCAGGGAAGGTTTTTCTGTGGATGCTGATTCATCATTTATTAAAATTCCTGCTTCACAATATTTCAATAAATTATCATTGTACATAAAATCACTAATATCGTACTTTTCTATTATATTTTTGATTGAAAAATTGTCTACAAAATGATTTGTCAATCCATTCATCAATTCATTTATATTGAATCTATTCCCATTGTCCATTATATCTGTAAGCCCATTTCCTGTGTAGCATGTGATGTTTGGGTCAAAATCTTCTCTTTTTTCAAACGTACCTTCGTCATAATTTTCATGTGAGTAATTATATAACTCATTGTTTTCGTACATTGATCCATCGTTTGCTTGTTTCCACCTTCCACCAACCGCTTCTGCATTAGGAGTGGGTGCCTCTTCTGCATCTACCTCTCCCATATCTGCGTCTGACCCATCTACTTCCTCATCTTCATCGCTCGTCCAGAAGTCTGACAAGTTGGAGTATATGTATGCCATAGTATAGTGTATCTAAATATGTCTCCCCTCTGCAACTGTGTAGAATGGCCTTTTCTACCTGCTTATTTATCTATCGACCTGCCTATATATCTTTCTCTCCTCTTATTCTCTTTTTTTTTTTTTTTTTTTTTTTTTTCACACTTTCTTTCTTTTCCCCCTCCTTTTCTTGTTCGGTTAGTCACTGCTCATTGACAAGAATGGTAGCTCATTTACACGCTTTACCTAAAATATATACATAACTCCGATGTTCGTTATACACAGTATACGCGCATGGGGAACTTGTTTCTCAATGTACATATATGTATGTTCATTATGCTCTGTTTATTATATATATACTAAAGGACTGTTTAAAGAAAAAATAATGCAAAAATGAGATCAACTCAAAGTAAAATAGTGCTCAAAAGAAAAAAAAAAAAAAAAAAAAAAAAAAAAAGAGGCACGTTTGCAGGGGTGTACGTAAATACTAATATCTGCAGTAATGAATCGGAAGTTTATTCATATTTTATAAATAAACCCCCACCCAACCTTTGCAAAATGTCAATGCAAGCATGGTTTAATGGTTTTTTTTTTTTTTTTTTTTTTTTTCTTTTCTCATAGATATATGTGAAAGAAAAAATTAAAACAAAACAAAAATAATTCTGCTGCATATGAAGAAAATATCAACCTGAATGTTAGCAAAGTCGTACCAAAGGAACTTGGGAAAAAGTACGTCATTGGCTATCTAGGGGTATGCATATTATATACAAACATGCTTAAGTACATTTATGTGTACATATATATGCTCATATCTATGTTATCTATCTATCTATCTATCTATGTTTTTTTTTTTTTTTTTTTTTTTTTTTTTAAGGGCTTCTGCTGATATAGATTGATATATACTTGCAACACAGTTATTATATGGTTATATTTCTTTTTCCCACTTGTTAATATAATATAAAGGACAGCTAAATATGCTTCCCTTGTTTGACCACACTTGGTGCATCATACATGTGTTAACTTAAATTCGGAAAATTTAAGTAAAATCATATTGTTTTTAATAAAAAACAAGTTATACATTTCGAATAATCGTTAGTTTTATGTGGTATGTATGCTCTATTTCCACTGTACCCTGTTACGTACGTTTGTTAGGGGGAAGGGGAGGAGTGGGGGATGTCCCCATTTAAAGACAAGAGAAGGTGAAAATTCATTTAAGATATGGATTATCATACCTTAAATTTGTGGATGATCAAACGTTTATTTTGTTAACCATATTTATTACGATAATGCAAGGGCAAATTTTATTATTATTCTCTTATTATTGCTGCTACTATTGTTGCTGCTACTATTGTTGCTGCTACTATTGTTGCTGCTACTATTGTTGTTACTACTAGTGTTGTTACTTTTGTTTTATTTTTTTAATTCGTTAAAAACAAAAGTGTCGAATTTGTTTCCCCCCCCCCCGAACAATACTTATATGTCAAAAAAAAAAAAAAAAAAAAAGGAAGGGGTATAAAAAGGTCTTTTTTAAAAAACAACAAAAAATTGTGTGAATGATATCACATAGATAAGTTTCACGTAGTCGTAAAAAAAATAAAATAATAATAAATAAAAAATATATATAAATATATAACAATACAATAAGATAAACAATAAGGGGATGATAACAAATACATCATTTGATTTGTGGTTCATATAATACAATGTAAATCATTGTAAAAATAAGGAACATATGGGATATCAAAAATGAATCTCCTCATTTATGCTTTTGTTTCTCTATTCTTCGATGCCATTCTAGCATGCACTTCCATTGCCCTTCTAATTGTTGCAAAGTTTGTTTTTGTTTTCGCTTTGTTCACTTTAAATATTGGAGCATACCTTAACATATCTGGGAAAATCATAAAACAAATGCTTCCTCCTCGTATGTACACTTGCTGTAAAGGAAGGGGTAGGTGCATGTGTGTGTGTAAGGAATAAATTTCTGTTGCGTATTCGTGTGTATATATGAGCAGGCACATATATATATAAATGTGTGTGTGTGTGTGTATAAATATATGCACACAAAGGAGCGCGCTTGGAGGATGGAAAAATAATGTTTCGTGAGGACCCAATTTAAAAGTCTTTAAATTGTACACATTTTGGATCCTTTATTCTTCTTTTCTTACTTCTAGCAGAATTTGTTTCCCGTCCTTTTTAACTACGGTTACATTCTCAAGCATGCAGTTCATATTGTCTTCTACAAAAAGCTAAGGATAAGGGGGAAGAAGGAAAAATACAATGTGATGAAACATATGTTTTTGTGTATAGGCAGGGTTATATGCCTTAATACGCACACCTGGAGGGGGGCGTTGTTGTTACTATCACTGCTGTGACTGTTAGTACCACTGCTGTGACTGTTAGTACCACTTCTATGACTGCTAGTACCACTGCTGTGACTGCTAGTACCACTGCTGTGACTGCTAGTACCACTGCTGTGACTGCTAGTACCACTGCTGTGACTGCTACTACTCGTGTCGCAACTACTGGGTGTTATTATAAATGGGGGTTCTCCAATGAACCCAGTTAATCATCTCGTGATATGCCCTTACTAATGTGCCCCTGTAGAGAATTCCTGATTTCGTTTCAACGGAAACTGTGTGGCCTATTCCCTCATGCAACAATTTTATGGGTATTCCTACTGACATTCTGGATTGCTACTTCTTATTTATGTATATATATGTATACATATATTAATATGTATAGTGTAGTTATGGTGGGTATGCTAATTAATATATATCCATCCCCCCCTTTCGCTTTTTTCTTTGTTCCTTTTATTTTTTAACTCGTTTTTATTGCACTTTCCCACTGGTATATTTGGTTACATAGGTACTTGCAATCAAAAGTTTTTTTTTTTTTTTTTTTTTTTTTTTTTTTTTTTTTTTTTTTTTTTTTTTTTTTTTTTTTTTTTTTTTTTTTTTTTTTTTTTTTTTTTTTATTTTTTTTTTTTTTTTTTTTTTTTTTTTTTTTTTTTTTTCTTTTTCTTTTTCTTTTTCTTTTTCTAGGTGAGGATAGGAATAAACTTTAAGCTTTTATTTCATGTTTTTTTATAATTGTACTTTTTTTGTCATAACCAGTTGGAAATATTTTATAGCTAAGAGATGTAAAAAAGGATGGAGAAAAAAAAAAAAAAAAAAAAACGGGAAAAAAGCACTTGTCAAAAAAAAGAAAAAGAAATGTTATTTTATTTATACCAAAATTAAGCCCTCTGTGTAACGTTTTATTTTTTCTTGCTAAACACAAGAATGTTTGAAAAAGCGCACAGATGGAAAAAGGGGCTGCCATGGAATTTATCTTAAAATTGCGCAATTAGTATATATATAAATAATTCTGAAAAAAAAAAAAAAATGTATGTCATAAAATTGGTACCCACGCAGTTTTGGCATGTAATCATTTATGTAACTTTTTACAGTGTTTCACAAGGAAGAAGCGATGCCTGCATATTGTTTAATTTTGCCCATAACCTTTTGCGGCGTTGTTTTATATATACATATATATATATTTATACATACACAACTTAACTGTGTTACCTAAACAGTGAACTTCAAACAAATGGAAGGAAAAAAAAGGAGAACAAAACTGAAGGGGGTTCAAAAAAATACTAGGATTATATTTTTGCTTCGCATGACTGTAAAGCAATTTACATACATGTAAGATATACCACAAAGTTCGCCCTGATAGGTATAAAAGCACATAAAGTGTTGCTTGTGATATATAACAAAACTATAAGCACTTTTTTTTTTTTTTTCATGAGACATCATCGTTTCGTCGCAATATGTTGATAGTACTTACAACATATGGGTTTCCCTAGTTTCAATTTTTTTTTTTTTTTTTTTTTTTTTTTTTTGCTGTTAATGGGCAAGTGTACGTGAGGTTATTTGTGTGCAGTATACACGTAGGTTTTTTTTTTGTGGATGCTTATAAATATGAAAATGAGAGTATACATATATATGTTCATATAGATAAGGATGCGGAAAACGGTGCAAATATTACATGTATACAAAAACACGGCACGTAAGACATAAACATGTCAACGATACAATCCGAGAGTCACATTTGGATACTTTTTGTGACACCCGAATCGATGCTAAAACAAAAAAATACAAAAAAAAAAAAAAATAATAAAATAATAATAACATAATAATAACATAATAATAAAATAATAATAAAATAATAATAACATAAAAATAAAATAATAATAAAATAAACGGAAAGGTGAAAAGATGAAGTAGCGTAAATAATAAAAAAAAAGAAAACTGATCTCCTCCATTTAATAATAAATCGGGTCATTGGTTCCCCATTCATGATATTCCACGCGAACTTTCCTTATTCTCGTCATTCCTTTCATAAGTGTCTCCGTTATTTCCATTACCACGGGGGTTCACTGATATTCCTTTTGGTGCGTTCATAGGTATGATATTTTCCATGCTCCCTGTACTGTTCAGATTTAAATCATGCTCGCTGTTGTCGTCGTTGCTTCTACCATTGTCGTCGTTGCTTCTACCATTGTCGTCGTTGCTTCTACCATTGTCGTCGTTGCTTCTACCATTGTCGTCGTTGCTTCTACCATTGTCGTCGTTGCTTCTACCATTGTCGTCGTTGCTTCTACCATTGTCGTCGTTGCTTCTACCATTGTTATCATTGCTTCTACTGTTGTTATCATTGCTTCTACTGTTGTTCATAATGGATTCGTTCATGCCCTCGGAACCGAGGGCCACAGTGGTACCTTGAACTATGTTATCAGCTACGCCATCAGTTTCAGAATTAACTGCGTTGTAAATAATTTCTCTTCTACCACGGTCAATATTCGAGGGCTCCATCGCAACTACATCATCGTCTACTTGGTCATTGCCTGCATCGTGTACCACTATATTGTTCACATTATGTGCAAGGGGCTCATTAACATTTTCATAATTTGGGGGTTCATGTTCATTAACTCTGTTATAATCAAAATTGTTTTCCAGCTGCATATTATTATCAATTAACAATTTGGATGAAAAATTATCCAATGTGCTAACATCCTCATCTTTTGTTTTGGACAATTTTAAGCATATAGGCAAAAATATCCAATTTTTTCTCTTCATATATACATACATAACAGTTCTACCAATTTGTAAGGCTATAAATTTATTTCGTCTTATATTAAAAAAAACGGGTTTCCTAATTTGAATAAGAGTACCAAACTTACTTTTACAATCTTCTATATAAAAATTTCCATTATAAAATTTTATCATAGCATGAAATCTCGATACAGATATATCGTTCACACGTACATCTGTATCATGGCCTCTACCCATACGAACACATTTTGTGTTAGCTAAACTGACAATATAGAATCCCTTATTTCTGTCATTCATCAATTCAATAATTATATATGGTAACTCTGGTTTCGGTATTTCATATAATTCTAAATATCTATTCTGTGTATATATATAAGCTGGATATGGAAATTTACACAATTCACAATTCAGCTGTTTCCAAAAAAAGGAATACGATGAACACTCACTTTTAACATTTAATCTTCCTCTCATCCAGGTTCTCAAACAATTTAAATGCACATATTTCATTGACCCTTTGCATTTACATGGTGATATTAATGGATTGTTTTCATTTTCATATTCACATAGGCATATTCTACAGCTATACATGCTTGGGGTTCCTAGTTCATTTCTGTTTGTTTGGTTCATATTCTGGGACATAAAGGTCCTGTAATCCATTGTAGATGCAGATTTCCCTTTGCTTGATGTTGGAATGCTAATACAAGTAGCTCGCTTTCTCATATCTTTAGGTGGTTCATCAATGTTATTCCACATTCCACCAGTACCATGAATTTCATTGCCATTTGCACCATAACTGAAGTCTATATTCCCAGAATTATCATTGGGAGATTCCTTTCTATCGACATTGTCATAATCAGCAAAAATTACAACATTATTACTGTTAGGTGTACTACTACTATTACCACCACTTATGTCTCTCAGTACTTTTTCAGAATCATCGTTGATTTTATTGGTGTTACTACTTACGGAGTAATGTTCACTCACCCTTCCCGTTGTTACATTACCATATCCATTACAACATGGTGAACAATTTAAATAACAATCGTTTGCATTATTTGCAATTTTTAAATGTGTTTCTTTTAAATTTGTCGCTTCCATATTTGCGTTCGTCTGAATATTATTACATTCTTGATTTTCTTTCTTCCCAATTTTGTTACTTTTAAAATTTTCTCTATCTTCTCTTTTATTTGCATCACATTTATTCATTTGGCTAGCTAATTGATCATATTTATTATTGTCCTTCCGATCACATAAGAGGCTTATTGCGCTACTGTCATATTCTTTTACATATGACGATTTAATGATACCTTTGTCTAAATAGGAACTACTCTCACATTCTTTTCTATGTTTTGCATAACCATTACATATACAACTAAATGGGAGATCATCTATGACAGCTACGCCATTTTCATCTTGTTCATTCATATTATCTATCTTTTTTCTTCGCTCCTCAATCCTATTTATTATGTCATTACAATTGGGTGACTTTTTGTTCTTATCAGTCGATGGGATGTTCGACTTCAGGTCGTTATCCATGCTTCTTTCCATGGTCAACACATCTGCATCCTTACTGTTGATATCCTTCTTTTCTCCATTTTGTAATATTTCATATCTGTTAACATTGTCACTACATTGGGTCACATTTCTGCAAAAATCGTCAATGAATGGTACTAAACTTCCCATACCATTTGACATACCATTTCCAGTTCCATTGGTGAGAATATTTGCCGATACATCTATGCTCTTATTCTCAAATGCTTCCTCTACTATCTTAAGTTCATTCTCATCCCTATTATTGTTTGTACCTTGGGTATTACTCAGGTCTCTCCCCTTTTCCATACCATTCGTTGTGTTCCTTTTAAAATTATGAAAATCATCCAAATAGGAGTTGTTGCTTGTTAAATTGAAGATACTTTCGAGAGGTTCACTCGTGTTGTGATTTCTGATGTTTCTACTATTGGTGAACGCTTCCTCCTCATGGGGTAACTCCATACCTGCATCGTCAGCATTGGCTGCACCGACAGAATCGACCACGTTAGCTCCGTCGTCATCATCGTCAGCGTCATCATATAAATTGTAACTATCCTCCACATTGCTACTTACTCCCCCACAATTAAGACAAACATTTTCATCCCTTGACATTTGACTTCCGGGATGGGGAAAATGGAGGTTCATGTTTCCATTGGCATAATTATTCGAAATGGTACTTTTCTCATTTCTGTCATTTCTGTCATTTCTGTCATTTCTGTCATTTCTGCCATTTCTATCATTTCTATCATTTTTGTTATTGCTTGCTCCCCTTGGGTATTCCGTTTGGGGAGAAACCATTTCACATTCATCATCATCGTCATTAAAAGGTGACACTGATTTATTGTATTCTCTTTCTTGCTGCAAATTGGTAATAATCTTTTTTATTTTCAACTTTACCCTTCCCAACTTTATTATGTCATCTTCATGCAATATTGAACTTTTATTCTTTAAGTATTTCACTATGACCCAGAAGGTATCTAAATCGTTGTTATTGTCATTGTCGTTATGTTCACTGTCAGCCACGTTGTTTCCACTCACTTGGCCATTTCCACTCACTTGGCCATTTCCACTCACTTGGCCATTTCCTCTCACTTGGTCATTTCCTCTCACTTGGTCATTTCCACTGACTTGGTCATTTCCACTGACTTGATCATTTCCACTGACTTTTCCATCCCCCTCCTCCTCATCATCCCCTGCTTTACTCAACTCCTCGTACACATTTTCGATGCAGGGTACTAATTGGTAATTGTTATTTATGTATTTTATTTTACAAATAATTTTCATATTAGAATTATTTAACATCATTTTATTTATTTCTTCTTCATTTTTTATTTCCACATTTATATCATCCTTTAAAATGTAGTAATAATTGTATAGGCACTTAATCTTGAAACATTTTTTATAAAAATTCTCGCTCTCATAATCAAACAATCCATGGCTGTTATTGATCCAAGTGTAGCAGTTAACATTTATGATGTAGTTTTTTGTTTTCGCGTTTCTGTTTTTTGTACCATTTATCATTCTTCTTTAGTTCATGGAAATGATAAACTTCACGGGGTGCAGGGGTATGTATTGTGCGTTGTGTATTCATAAAGGAAGATTCATACACAGGGGACATGTATGTGAGTGAATATATTTTCAGATTTTCGAAGGAATAACGATATGATCTCGTATCTACCTCTAATGCATTCCGAAGCACAAACAAGGATAATATACAACATACGAACGTATGTACACACACACGGAGAGCACAAATATAAGCAAACACTCAGATTAGGCCTTGAAAAAAAATATATACATACGTATGTACGTTTGTATATATATATATATATATATATATTTGGTGAGAGACGAATTTGAAATTAAAGATATGACGCCGCTTGGAAACAAAAAAATTTATTAAAACTGTTTAATTCGTTTAGATCAATCGACGGCACATCACCTATGGTCAATAGGTGTACGTGCCATATATATAAGTATACATATATATATATATATATGTGCTCGTTAGGTTGCTATAGATGTGATAACAGAAAAAGGAATATTTCTTTGCCTCTCTTTCATGTAATGTTGATGTTATATGAATTCTACTTTTGCTTTATTTACTATCTGTTATTTCCAACTTTCCATCCTCCCCCCTTTTTTTTTGGGAATGCGCATCGATAATCCCTTTTTGGGGGGGGGGGTTTCAAATGAAAAAATTTAAAGGACACAAATGAATGGAAGAGTCCATAAATATACATATGTTCATTTGTTAAGGGACATATATATATATAAATCTATGCACACGTAATTTATACAATTTGTGCAGATGCAATAAAGTTCGTATAGGTACAAATATAAATATGTCTAGCTTGCCTGCTAGTCATGTATACATAACCCTACGTACATGTGCATGCACTTATTTGATTATGTCATGTTCTCTCTCGGGAGAACATCAGTGTATAACATTTAGACTTCCTACGTTTCTTATTTTGTAACTAATTTAGTTATTTAAACTATTCATTGCTTGGATATTTACTCGGGTATGAGTTTTCCTTTTGGATTATTTTCACAAATTCTATCACGTCAAAATGTGTGTGCACAATGTGTGTATAAACTAGTATTATATATATATACATATACATGAAAAAATTGTACCTGTGCATATATATAAGTTTTTTTTTTTTTTTTTTTTTTTTTTTATTTAAATTCACAATATGCAAATATTTAAAATTTTTTCCTTCTGTACTGAAACTTAATTAGCAAAATGTCTCTTTTATTAGGAGGAACAGAAAAAAAAAAAAAAAAAAAAAAAGAGCAAATAGAGTAAATGACGTAAGTAGCGTAAACGGAGTTAATGAAAAAAAAAAAAAAAAAAAAATGAATGAATAAATAAATAAAATAAAAAATAATAAACAAAATAAAATAAATAAATATTTAAAGTAAAATGGGGTGACGTGAATAGCGGTCAATTCAAATAAGTAAAACGAACAAAACTGTGGTCACGCACGATAAAACAAAATATGTGAAGGTAGACTAAATGGTAATATGGCCTAATGAGCCAAGCTATAACGTTATAAAATAAATATCATATAAACTTCACGGTGACACAATGGATGCAAATAAACTAGGTCGTAACGGGATGAATCATGAAAACGAATTGGGAGCTAAAGAGTGTGCAAATTTATGAGATTCAAATAACTGTAAAATTTTTATGAGGTATATATAACATGTGATCAACGGTATGACATACTAGTTGATGGTAAAATAGCTACTTAATTGTTTAGCATTAAAAATGGAATAGTACATAAAATTAAAAAAGAAAAAAAAAAAATTCCCAATGAAGTAAATTTAAAATTCAATTATGTTCTATTTTTAATATGCTTCATAAGAGGCAGTGGGGTTGCTGTTTTCATGTATAACTTGCTAATGTACATATGTACTGATAAGTACGCATGTTTTTTAAGTGTATTTGTTATAATATAACACGGTGTACGTTATGTTTAAGATTGGGGAACATATACTCATATGTAAATATGTGTGCCGAAACGGAATTAAAAAAAAAAAAAAAAAGGCATGAATTTTTTTTTTTCTTCTTATATATATACATATATACGTACAAAAATTACTTAATCTAAAAATGAAGCGGTTTACAGGATCACGTTATAAAAGAATCAATGTAGGGTAACGTAATAAGGAAAGGCTTATGTAATTGAGCATAATATGTATTTGTTGTTGCGTATGCTAATAAAAACGGATGTGCCTTGTGGGATCGGAGGGGAGGGGAAAAAAAAAAGACTTCATTTTTTACACACAAAAGTGCAGCTTCAAATTGCCATAAATAATTATAGAAACAAGTACATATACAAAGGTAAATAAGTTTGATTGAAAAAAATTAAATCATGAAAAAAACATTTCTCTATATTTCATTTTTTTTTCTTTTTCGCACTACTATGAGCAAAATTTTTGTTACAACGAGTGTATACACATGTACAATATATTACTATTCGCCAAAAAAAAAAAAAAAAAAAAAAAAAAAGCAAACAAGCAAAAAAAACAAGAAAACAAACAAATGAAGCTATTATAAATGGTACATATATACACAAGCACATGTGTGTGTACTTATGTGCGTCTGCATGAGAACATCGTTACGTAAGGTAAAATAGTTGTACAGGTATGAAAACTTAAAAGTACCTACATGTGCAATAGGATGTGATGGAAAAAAAAAAATACTGATGTGATTCACACATATTAGCAAATTGGTGTGAAAGGTCGGCCATGCATAGGTATGTATATATATATATATTTTTTTTTCATACGTTTACGTTCACGTATGGAAAATTTTTGCAAGTTTGGTAAATTTAAAAAAATTTAATTAAAAATATCGATTTAATCAGTTTTTTCTAGAAGAATGCAGCGTATCAAAAATGTTCATGCGGGGACATAAAAAAAAAGAAAAAAAAAAAAAAAAAGAGAGGTTACAGAAAATTTCAACAGTAAATATGTGGAGTGAATTAATTCTTTGCTGTGCGTGATTGAAAATATAATACTTATATACTCCATATATTTTATTCATATGTTTGTATATATGTGTGAAGGAAAGTGATAAAAAGCTATTCTTCAATTTTCTAACGTATATATAATTACATGTTGTTGTATAAATATTTATGCAGTATATATATGGAACATTCAAATGAGTAAGGTTTTTCTATACACTCGATGTAGCACAAAAAGTTAATATAAAGAGGAATAAAAATTTTCAAATTGTAAGAATAGATTAATGATATAAAACTGAATAAAAAATGGATCAGAAATGCGTACTATTTTCATTACCTTTTCTTCGTTTAAAAAGTTTTGGAGTAGGCGTAATAAAAAAAGTTTTTTACATTTGTATTAACATTGTTGTTTGTTAGATATATACCACAAATCTTTTATTTTTTTTTCATTTTTTTAACGATGTCACCACTTATGTTAAATTTTTTCGCTAATTATGTACATTTGTACATATGTATACATACATATATACATATATATGTATATATATTAAAAAAATAAAAAACAAAAAAATACCAAGAGTGCAAGTGAATTTATAATTAAGATGATATATCATGATATAGCTCAACCCAAAAAAATATAGAAACATTTTTATGCACGATTTTACTCGTACTTAGACACCTATTCATTGAAGTAAAAAAATAACATATATATTATAAATAATATATATTCATGTTTTTTTATTATATTTTTTTTTTTTTAAAAAAGAGAAAAACTCTGCATACCAAAAAAAAAAAAAAAAAAATGGTTTCACCACGTATATATATATTCATTCCTGTGAATGTTGCTTAATCATGACTACATGTAAATTTGGTTTGGAGAGATGATAAGTTATTTTACTGCTAGAAATGAGTTTTGAAACAAGGGACAATTGTTTTTTTTTTATTTTTTTTTATATACCCTTAAGTTTTCGTTTAAAGAATTTCCTAGGGAAATCGTCCATTGTTATAAGGTGTAAATAATAAATAAAAAAATAAATATGAATAGTAACTTAAACATTTATGAACAACTTATGTGCATGTAATGATATGTATGTGATACATCATTTTACACAATTAACCATTATCCTATATGCTGCATGGGATAATAAAGGAAAAGCTGATCACAAAGCTGGAAAGGAATGTTTTATAATATATATACACATACTACACATTGTTTACCCCGACTGTTAAATATATACTATTCCTTGAACATGCAAAGAATAACTTCCTCCATAGGAAATGAAATCTAAAAGGCAAACATTATTCTTAATACTTACATGGGATGGACAATAAGGATAAAAAAAAAAAAAAAAACTTATCTTAAACATATACCTTTTACGCGTAAATATTTACAGGTGTTATTTTTGTAGGGGATTTTACATATGAACCCTTTGTGTGAAGTAAAAGTACTTTTATCATCTTGAATTATCGAATTCGCACAGGGAAAAATAATAAGAAAAAAAAAAAAAAAAAAAAAAAAAAAAAAAAAAAAAAAAAAAAAAAAAAAAAAAAAAAAAAAAAAAAAAAAAAAAAAACCTACACCAAAATTGAGGCAGAAAGGGTGAATGATATTTTCATTTGTCCTTTTTTCTGCAAAAGTATTTATATTATAACGCCCTTTTCAAGTTAAATGTTGATCAAAATAACAGCGTGTGATAAAATATATCATAACCATGCATATAAAAAAAAAAAAAAAAAAAAAAAGAAAAGTGTGTGGATGTAAAAATATGTTTTTGTATGGATGTAAAAATGTGTTCGTGTGTGTACATATATATGTGAATAATATGTGTATTTTAAGAAAATCCCAATACCCTGCACCACTAATTTGATGAAAAAAATATAAAAAGAGAACTCTCCTTTTTGATAAAATTGTCAATGTGTGAGTCCTAGTTTTTATTTGCCTATTTTTTCATATTTTTTTTTTTTTTTACCTCCTTTTTTTTTTTTGCTGAAAGAACTAAAAAATATGTGAGAAAAGTCTTTGAAAAATAAATTGATATAAATCGTAAAGATGCATAAAATTCTTACTTTTTATTATGTTTTAATAACTCTTTTCTTCTTTCATAATGAAGCAAAAATTATTGAAGGGAATTTAAGCATTTCCCCAGAAAAACATGGTAATTTTTTTTTTCTGTGGAGGCAAAAGAAAAACAAAGATAAAAAAAAAAAAAAAAAAGGAAGAAGAATTTTAATCCAATATGGTTTAAATGTGCTTGGGTGATATTTTGCCTATATCCACGTGCGACATTATCGACATTTCGATGTGGGAAAAATCTGTCTACAAACGGATGACCAGAAAGAAAATAAAAAAAAAAAAAAAGTGGCCAAGCTAAAGGCAATAACAAAAAAACTTCTTCCCAGTATATAACTTTACACCAACTACCACCATATGCTTTCCCCCTTTTCTTAAGAAAATAGATATATTTCCTTGGATAAAAACAACATAAATGATTTCATCAAAGTGAGGGAGAACAAATATCTTTTTAACGTTACGTGTAGAACTTCAAAAATTTTAAATAACATAAAGGGTTTCTTCCTAACCAAGGTGAATTCCACTCTAGGTATGTTCACCTCATTTGTGTTCGTGCCACTTGTGTAATACCTTTTTTTTTTTTTTTTTTTTTCTTCTTCTTTTTTTCTCTCCTTTTTTTTTTGTGCACCATAATCCATGTAGATGTGCAAAATAGTTTAAACAGTTCTAACCCATCCTCTCGCTGTGCTAAAATTGCAGATGTGCTAGACATGTTCCGATCAGACAATGTAAACCCCGAAAATGTTGAAACAATTGAAAATATAATAGAAAGAACGTGGGATAGAGAGAACAAGGAATTTATAATTACAACAAAAAGGCTAATTGAGCAGTACACAGATAGCGACTTGTTCATTTTACAAATAGGATTGAATAGCATTGCATCAGTAATACTTGACAAACCAGAAAATGCAATATTTATAGAAGAAAATATGGAAGTGTGTAAAAATTTTTTTTTTCACAAAAATAATAGGTGTTTGTTACTTTTGAAAGGAATTGAATTTTATTGTAACAATTATGATGAAGCAGAGAATAAGAAAAACATATATGAAACCGTAGATTTAATAACAAAAATATATCAAAATAGAAACAACCAAGTGATAGATGTTCTCATTATAAGTCATAAATACCCAGTTGCAATATTATATTATGTGTATCCATATTTGGATTCTTCTACTCTTGTCATTTTAATGGACAATTTAAATCATAAAATGAAAGAGGCCATTTTTGAGTATTACAATTTTATTGGTGAAGCAGATTTTTCCAGAAGTTTTGAAAAGAATTTTTTTAAATCCTACGGGGAAGAAGTATACAATAATGGTGATACTAATGAACAACAATATGGAGATGAAGAGGTTAATCAGAAATATCAATACAACCAAGATGTGTATATTTATAGCAAAATGAAACAATCCCCCTTTTATGTAATCACTTTGAACCCCAAAATAATGATGAACCCAGCTGAAAATCGCTATAAATTTTTTATTTCAAAGGAATACACTTCTTCATACGAAACTAAAATTACAAATATGATAAAAGACATAGAAAAAATATTAAAATTAAATACAACTTTTTATAAACAGCATAAACTTGTAGTTACAAATTATTTTTCAGTTATAAATGAATTTGAATTTGATAATGATAAGGATGTGCAGGAAAATGTAACAGGAATTTTAACTTCTATTCTTAAGTCATTTGGAAGTACAGGAAACATAAATAAAAGGAATTATAACTACGCTTTAGAAAATTTAAAAAATATATTTGAAATGATGCTATATAATGTGTATAATAAGTCCAAATTTAAAAAATTATTTACACCCTTAATCGATTTTTTTAAATTATATTTAAATAAAAATGACAACAATTATATTAGCTATGAGTTTCTACTTTACGGTTTGATTAAAAATTCAGACCACGTTGCTTCATACGAACTAAAAGAATTGCTATTTCTAGATGTGCTAAGAGATGTTTCAAAAAAAGTGAATCAGTTATCCATAGGTGAAGTTTTGCAAATCGTTACAAAGTTAAATATATTGCTAAAAAAACTTAGATCAAGGGAGGATATTAGCCACGTCAAGGAATATGTCAAGAAACAATTTAGTATCGACTACATTAATTACGAGCTATAGGCAAAGGAATCTGTTTATGTGTTATAACAACATAATAGAGCATTTTTATTTATCTGTTCCGAATAATAGAATTATTTGTTCAATCAAAATTGCAAATTTATTTAATTTTTCTGCAACCTTTCTCTTCTTTCCCCCCTTCTTCTCCTGTCCCTAAAGCTTTTGCTACAATTTGATTACATTTTGTTGTCACGGGTTAACTCACAAGCAAGTGATATTTTCCTCACTTTAGTGGCTATTTTTGTGAACCTTTAACTTAATTGACTATAATATTTTTATCATTATTATTATTTTTTTTTTTTTTTTTTTTACTTTTACATACGTGTAGAAGGAAGTATGCTAGTATCAAATCACATTTTCACGTATTCACACGTCGGCATTCTCTTACGTCAACTCTATTATACTTACGTAACCTCTCCATTTTTTAGTGTACATTGTTTTGTTGTGTGTGAACATTCAAATTATAAACCTTATAGCATGACTGTATATATGATCCTTACTAGATTTATTTACATTTTTTATGGCCTATATATTCTTTTTCACACGAATTCATTAAACTTATACATGTTAACACCTTCCTTTACATGTTAATGTAATAATCAAAAAGGAATTAAATAATGTTTATAAAGAACATCACCATCAGTCTCATCTCTTCCTTTCCCTTTCCAGAGATTTACCAAGTGATGGCACATGCTCTAGTGCACACTCATATGAACGCCCGTGTAGCTATATAAATTATAAACACATCTATTGATCTATTGATCTATCCATCTGCCCATGTATCCACCAATCGATCTATCCATATATATATAGTGCAAACACAACTAGATATCTACTTATTTGAGAATAATTTGGTGAAGATATGTTGAAAATTGCTACACACAATTCTTATGGTCAACAGAGGTGAATCTGGTTTTTATAACTGGACGTACATCTTTTTCTTTTTTTTGCTTAAACAAGTGCTGTACTGATTTTAAAAGGTAACTTTTTGTCGATATGTAAATACATAAAGCAGATGGAAGTAGCGAAATTTTAAAAAGAAAAAATATATAAAAAAAAATTAAAAATACCAACCTATATTTTGAGGCATAAGACCATTGAAATGCTATTAATTCCTTTTTCTAATTTATTAATTGTGAAACTAAATAATTTATTTCTACATGTGGAATAACTAGGTGTACCAAAATTTTTGTTATTGAAAATTTTTAATGCAGAAATGGGGTAAAGGAATTACGAAATTATCTTTTTTTTACGTTCTACAAAATTTGTCGACGCGCACAAATTTCAAAAATTTATAATGCACTCTGCAGGATGCCTTTGCTTAAAAGGAAAATATTAATTTTGTCTTATAATTATTATGAAAATTACGGGAATTATGAGAATTGCGAAAATTATAAGAATTGTGAAAATTATAAGAATTATTAGAATTATAAGAAGACAAAAAAAAAAAAAAAAAAAAAAAAAAAAGTACTCTTTTTTGCTTTTTAAAGAGAAACAATTTTAATAGATTGATATGCCCGCTTTAACTCACAGTTAAAAATTTAGTTAGCTCATTTCATGCATTGTAACATAATTTATTTTGTCATTGTGTGTATATTAATCAATTGTATGTAATTCTTCATTTTTGAATGAATGTTAATCAGTTGCAAACAATTACTTCTTCCCTTTTTTAAATAGCATAGAAGTTAAAATTTATAACTAGAAATTAATACCATCTTCTGGATGTAGAGTCCCAAAATACATGCTCAGATGGGTATGTGGGTGCTGGATATTGAGGTAATAGATTAACTGGACATATTGGGATAGCTTTTCGTATGTATTCAGTTCTGTAGCTACTTTCTCCTTCAAATGGCAATGATTTTATAAACTTAGCTTTCTGAATAGGTAGTAATTCTGGCAGTTGCTTAGGTCCAAATTCGCTCCTATAGTTGCTCTCACCTTCGAAAGGTAACGATTTTGGGAGTTTCAACTCAGTCCTTGGTGGTAATGCAGGCAATGGTTTTGGTCCAAATTCACTTCTATAATTGCTCTCACCTTCGAAAGGTAACGATTTGGGGGGTTTCAATTCAATCCTTGGTGGTAATGCAGGCAATGGTTTTGGTCCAAATTCACTTCTATAATTGCTTTCACCTTCAAATGGCAATGATTTTACTAATTTTGTTTCTACCCTTGGCGGTAATGCAGGCAGTGGTTTAGGTCCAAATTCGCTCCTATAGTTACTTTCTCCTTCAAAAGGTAGAGACTTAGGCAGTTTTTGCTCAACCCTTGGGGGTAATGCAGGCAGTGGTTTAGGTCCAAATTCGCTTCTATAATTGCTTTCTCCTTCAAAGGGTAATGTTTTTACTAATTTGGTTTCTGCCCTTGGAGGTAATGGAGGTAGCGGTTTGGGCCCAAATTCGCTCCTATAGTTACTTTCACCTTCGAAAGGTAGAGACTTTGGTGGTTTTTGTTCAACTCGTGGGGGGAGATCAGGCAGAGGTTTAGGTCCAAATTCGCTCCTATAGTTACTTTCCCCTTCGAATGGTAGTGGTCTTACTATTTTAGGACATTTATGAAAACCGCACGTACAAATTTCATCTACACAGAAACCAGGTCGTCTACTGGGGGATTCTTTCCTTCTTTGTTCACTGTTTCTGTCCAAAGACAAAATTCTGTTTGAGTAAAAATAGTCATTATCATTTGATTTGTTATAATCTCCTACACTCCCTGAGTAATCAGAACTGACATTACTTTTGTAATCTTCAGGAGCAAAATTAAATTTCACTTTTGGCTTATCTGCAATTATTTCCATTTTGAGTATATTTTTTAATGGAAAATGATTGAGAAGGTTTGTATTAAAATGGGGAAGGTAATTAATGCTAGAATTTTTGTTTTTGTTCTTGTTTTTGTTCTTGTTTTTGTTTTTGTTTTTGTTTTTGTTCTTGTTCTTGTTCTTGTTTCTGTTTTTTTTTTTTTTTTTTTTTTTTACAAAATGGAGTGCACAGTCGTGTGCATAGATAGAATTGCAATAGTAAAAAAAAAAAAAAAAAAAAAAAAAAAAAATTTCCTTTTCTTTAGGGCTTTTAAAACAAAAAAAAGTTATATATTCTAATAAATAAAAATATTAAATGTTCAAGCAATTAATTAAGAACGCAAAACTAAACGTGCGCATAGGTCTATGAACATGAGGTGTTAGATCATTGATGTGTTATAACATTTCTACAAAATGGAACTGATATAATGGACATAGTTAAACATATTATGGATACAAAGAATCGATGGAAGTTGTATTCCTGAAAATACAATGGTGAGAACAGACAACTTGTATCTTGTATTTATAAGTATACCTTCATATGTCATGCAGTTACAAATGTGTGCTTATTAACAATGCGTGCACATATATTCTCAAAATGTTATTAACATTTTTTGTGTTTGCACATGATAAGTGTCAAAAAATAAAATATGGTCTTAGGAAAAAATGACCAAAACTGTAAGTCGTTAACAAGTATAGAAAACAAAAAAAAAAAAAAAGCAAAGCACGTTAAGGAAAATATTATTTTTACATTGGCTTTTTTTTTTTTTTTTTTTAATTGTATCTCGTATAAAATTCAACATTTTCTGTGTAAAAATTTGGTGAAATTTTATTAAAATGTGTAGATACATCAACTTGAAGGTTTTTTTCTTTTTCTTTAAACATGTAGTTTTAAAAAAATTTAGCTATTTTTTTTTTTTTTTTTTTTTGTTAAGGCATTTGCTAAAATGTTCATGCAAAGTAGTAGAATTATTGTTGTTTTTAAGGGTGTTTAGTGCAGGCGCAAAACGAAATCAGAATTTTTTATTGTCCAAAGCCGCTTGTCTAGACAAAAAACCACATTCCTTTTATTTATTTATTTATTTATTCATTTATTTATTCATTTATTTTATTAATTTTTTTTTTTATTATTTTACCAATGCCTGTTGAGTTTTAAAAACTAGCATGTCCATTTTTAATTTTTCTTTTTTTTCCTACAAAATATATAAAAATAAAATTTAACGTGACCAATAAATAAGTATACACTGCTAACACAACAAAAGCAGATTTGCACACTTCGAATTTTTTTTTTTTTTTTTGATGCATTATGAACGAAAATTTCAGGCCAAAGTACTCTTTATGGCAACAATTTAATAAACATTTTATGAAACAGTTTTTCGTAAAAAACATATTCATACAAGGAAACTTGTCATTTTTTGGAAATATGAAGCAAATAGATGGAGTGTTTATGTGCCATTTTTATATGCTCGTACATTGTTTTCCTTGTTTTTAAAACGTTAACAGGATAACAACAAGGTGTAAAAGCTATAATATGTATGATATAAGTAGGAAATTAAACAAATATATATTACATTTACAAAATTTGGGTGGTTTTATATTGAAATAGTTACTATTTATTTGGACCACTTTTGGTTTGCACTTCAAATTGAGAAAATTGTAAACATGTGAGGTTGAAGCTTGCTAAGTCGTATATATAAAAATATATATATTAGTTTACCTTTATGAAATAAATACAAACTTTCTATATTTTGCACATCATGGATAAAAGACGAAATATTGTCTTAAAGCATTTTTCGTACGAGGTTACGAATTAATGGATCTCATGCAAAACCTTTTAAACTTGTAAAAACATTTGAATTCTTTTGAATGGTGTCTTTAACACCTCATATATGTGAGTTGGTGGTGGGAGGGGATGAACAACACAAAACGAGGAACAAAGACTAAATTGTTATGTATTTCTATTTAAAAAATGACTAATCGTTATTTTTATGATGAATTTTTTTTTTTTTTTTATTAATATGTATGTACCATATGTATCTATATGTGTGCATATAGATGCATGCACCTAGAGGATGGAGTACCTATATTGGTGTACGTATCTCCACAAATACACACATGTAGATATATGCACATCTACAGCATTTGTAATACACAACAAAAATGAACAAAAAAAAAAAAAAAAAAAAAAAAAAAAAAAATAAAAAAAAAAAAAAAAAAAAAAAACATTTGTAAATACAAAAAAAAAAAAAAAAAAAAAAAAAAAAAAAAAAAAAAAAAGAAATTAGAAAATGAAGATGACACAGAAACCACTTGGCTTTACATAAAAATGTTCTAAATGGGGAACGACTAAATTGTGGTACATTATTCACACAAATAACTTTTATTAACAAATGCACACTTGGATATAATTTCTAAGAAATAGTAACTGAATGGATGCACTTTACATTAAACCCAAATATATGTAAAATATAAAAATATACATGTGTATATTAATATGAAAGTTAACTTGAATTTTATTATTATATATTTTTTGTTAATAAAAGAAAAAAAGAAAAAAAAAAAGTTACATAAAATTATTTCTGCTTCCTCAATAACAGATATATGTCTCAACGGGGATATATATATATATATATATATATATACATAAATATACATACGTATATAATAATTCTATTTGTATTAGTATTCCCTGTCCTTATAAGGCATGGATCTGCCATTATAATTCCCCTTTTTGTTCATCCCTGTTGCGTTGTTATGCCCGCTGTTTTGCATGTTGCTTTTAAAGGAGTCGCGTTTGTGTTGATTGGTTTCATTATAATAGCCATTGTTATGCTTACCATAATTGTTATACCCGCTGATGTTGTGACCACCACTATAATTTTTGTAACTGCTATGGTTCTGGATATTATGGCTACCGTGAGTATTGTAACTCCCATGATTACCATAACCCGTATAGTAATTTCTATTCGATCCGTGAGCACGATTCGAGGAATGGTTCTCATGTCTATATCTTCCATTGTAAGAAGTGTTGATGGGTGCATCATATTTAGAGTTTTCATTGCTGGAAGAATTTCTATGAGTTGTATAACTATTATTGTCGTAAGAATTATTATGATTGCTCTCCTTTTTGTTTTCATAGGTATGCGGAGGAGGTGCATTTTTAGATACCTTGTTCTGTATGGTCGAGTTTTTATGTGTCAGTGGGGGATAATTGTTCCCATAATTTGCGTTTTGATAATTTTGTCCATGATGATGGGATGAATGGTTTTTTGAACCATTCCAATATTCTCTATTATTTGTGTTATGAGGATTATTAGCGTAATTGGCACTTCCATAATTGCCACTGCCGTAATTGCCATACGCGTGGCTACTGCTACTCAATCTATGGTCATTCGCATAATTGGCAGAATTGTGATGGCTATAGTTTATAACTTGGGTCCTGGGCTGATTATGTTTTGAGTAAGAGTAAATGTGGGGATGGTTTGCACTTAAGCTATTTAAAATCATTCTTTTAGCAGCGGGTGCATTAAATCTAAGTTTTCTTTCTTCATTATTTATGTCTAGAACGGTGAGAACCTTTCGTGGTGTCCTATGATTTGGTAAAAGCGATGAACGATGTTTTTTGAATTCCGGTTGAATAAAGAATGCACTATTACACGTTGTTGCAAAATTTGACGAAAATTTGAAAATTTTTTTTAAAACATTCACATCACTGTCTTCATGTTTGCAATTGAGATATCCAAACAGATTAAAGTCTTTGCTGTTGCTTATTGGAATGGTTAAATTCATATTTTTAAAAAAATTGTTATACACATCGCTGCCTTTGCTGTTACTGCTTCCGTTGCTATTCGTGCTGTGTTTTACTTTCCCATTCTGCTCATTTATTTGCTTTTCGTTCGTTAGATCGTTTCCATCGCCATGTGACCCAGATGCCATCGGATCAACAGGATTACCTTCTCTGTTCTGTGCAGCATTGCTTTCACTTTTTTCCTTAAGCCCCTTAGAATAATTCTCCTTGCCTTCGAACTCGTCCTGGGGATATTCTTCATTATTGTTAATACTGCTACTGTTATGATCATCATTCTTCTTCACTGTAGCCTGTTTCATTTCTTTCACATAATCCTTTATAGATTTGGTAATTTGTTTCGAAAGGGAATGGGAACAATTCATGTATATTCTGTTCATCCCTCTGCGATTTCTCTTTTTCTCTTCCTCTGTCAAAGTGTCATCTAATTCTCTAGCATGCTTAATAATTCTCTCCTTGTCGACAAATGGTAGAAGAATAACCCACTGATATTTGTACTTTTTCCCATTTTCTTCCTCCTTAAAAGTTTTTGGGTAAAAATCGATAATTGGAGAATCATGACGAACCATTAATTCTCTATACATTTTCGGTAAACAATGACTAGAATTGGATGGTAAAACACATAGTAATTGTTCTAAAGGAAGAATTGGTTCATCTTTTTCAAAGATAAAATTGACATTGTCAATTATCAAGTCCGATGAAAGTGGTGCATAATAGTATGGGTAATACCACTGCCACATAGGACATGATTGAAAATAGTAAGATAATACCCAAGCTAATCCTTCAATATATTTATAAACCACTTCTTTCACAAAATCATCAACATAATCAGTTTCATCTAAATGGAACTTGGACTTATAGTATTTAATTCTCAGAACTTCTGGATTTTCATCACCTCCTAATTCAACATCTTCCTTTGGATTTTCGCATTCGTTCGCTTTTTTAATAGCCTCCTTCAGTAACATATTAAACTCATTGATATCGTTTGTTCTTTTGCATTCTTCATCTTCTATATCCCACTGAAGATTGCCTTCCAAACTGTTAGTCGTCTCATGTTGATGGGGCTCCTCTTTTGGAAATTCTCCTTCTTGATGCACCTCCACCCCGTTTATGCTTTGTGTAGTAGTTATATCGTTATTATTCGTGTGTTCCAAAATGGAAGACGATGTTGGACGAACAAGAAAGTTGATGCTCTTCTCACCCTTCTTTTCCTTGAATTTAAAATTTCTAATCGGTTGCATGCTTTGTATTTTTGATTCATACATCATTTTTTTGTTAACAGTGCTTGTTACCGATGGAGGAGACGTGAGAGATGTGGGACATCCTGTCGAAGAGTTTCCAGTTGATATGTTTGTTATTGCACTGCAAGCATTTCCTCCGCTTTTCTTGTCATTGAGGTTTGCAGCTTCATTGTCGTCGTGGTCAGAACCTCTCTTGTGAGAATCCATCATAGAATTAGCTATATTATTAAAACTATAATTTTGATCATCGGCGCATTTAACTCGCTTTAGGGAATCCTTTTGCTGATCTCTTTTTTCTCTTTTTTTTTTAAAGTCGTATTGAGAAATGAATGTTTCTCTTTCGACCTCAGCAATAAAGGAAACGTACTTTGAAAAAGACTTTAAATTAATTTTACCTTCATTAATTAAATAATCGCCTAACACAGGTAATACTTTTTGATATAATAAAACTAATTGATCTATACTTCCAGCAGCTATTGAAATAGATGGTAAATGTGGGAGAAAGTCATTACCACATAGAAAACATATAAATATAAAATCATCAATACATCTTTCTAAATTATAATTGGAATCAAAAAAGAAATCTTTGGATAAGTATTCCCTAAGGATCGTTAAATCCAAAATTTGTAATTCATTCCAGTTTTCACTATTGATAAAAGAGCTATGACTTTTGTTTATGTTCGCATAATTTGGATCGTTATATTTATTATTATTTTTTTTTTTCTTGTTTGTATAAGTTGTACACAGTGGTAGATCTTCCTTACTTTTTAACATACCTATAAATTCGTTTTTTTGTGTCTTTTCTTCTCCTTTCGAATCTAACACAATTATTTCTCTTAATATATAAAAATAAGGTTCATGGCTAGCCAACGAGAGCATAATTAAATCAGCATCCATCCCATGTATTACATGTCTAATATTAGGATCATATCCTGGTTGTGCTCTTTGTGATTTAATAAAATTAAAAATTTTATGTTCTCCTTCTCCACACACATTTGCATCAGAAAATATAACAATAATATTTTTCCATTTATCATCATTTGTGATTTTATGCTCAACAAAATATTTTAATGCTACTGATAATTCATACATAAATTGAGTACCTGGAGTTATAATGTTACTATCCCAATAAGTGTATTCATCTGGAACTACTCGATTTTCTGCTAAAAATTTTTCTCTTAATTCTATGTATGCATTTCTTTCAATTTCTGAACATAAAATAGATTTAAATCTTCTGCTCCTTTGTTGGTTCATTTTAGCCTTAGGAGCTACTCCATCAATGGCCATATACAGAAGTTTCTTTGGTTCAATAATATCAAACAATCTTTCAATGTATAAAAAAATGTTTAAAAATATTTCTTCATTACTTTTAGCTCTCTTACTATTATCACTATGGGAACATAAATGAATTATCCCATTCATATCTAAGTATAAATTATCAAAGTACCCATTTATGTTATCTGAGCAGTGAGTTTCATCTGTGTTATTAACATAGTCACTTAAATCAGGAACTCTAAAAATGTTATTACCATCTCTATCTTTAGCATGTCCATCCTTTATCTTAGTCCTCCTGGCGTAGACATCGCTATCTCTGGTTTCGTAAGTTGCTTTGGCTATTTTTGGATACCTTGTAACCAGCCATCTGTAGAAGGTGGGCACTCCCATGCTTTTAAGTTTTTCTGCTTCTTCGCTTTTTCGTATCTATCTGCTGTTTGTACTGCACGACAGCTACTTATTCAGATGTGATATTTGGAGCAGGTAGATAAAAACGTGTGTGTAGATCCAGTTATATTTGTGATGATGTGTGTGTGTTTTCTCAGTTAAGGTTCATACACCGTGCAAGTGTGCTAATCGTTAAAGAAGTTTTCTTTTATGTTCTACTCACAAAATGTGACAAGTTTTAAAAAAAAAAATACTTTTTTTTTTTTTTTTTCTTTTTACGTGATGAGAGATTACAATTACTGATAAATCTTTTGTGTTATGCACAAGTAAAGGGACATATAAGAGTTAATTATTCGGCCATGAAATGGTGGGATCAATGGTGATAATAGTGTCTGCTCTGTATATATTTTTTTGCTGTTCCATTTTTCGCATTGTAGGCGTTAATTTGGTGCATATGAGTGTGCATATATATACATATACATATATATATATATATATGTATGCATGCAAGTATGTATGAATATATTTGTTTTTCTGGCTACATGATTAGACAGGTAAGTACATTTTTGTTTTCATGCGGATCTATCACTTCGATGCTTGAATGAGTTAGAACTTGGGTAGTCAATGGTTCAGTTACTTCATTGCTTAGGTAACTGCTGCCTATGGGACGCTTAACAGGTTACTTATGAACTTCTTGGTTTCTACTAATAATGTGAAACAACAAACTGAAGACCTTGGACACAAGCATAAAAATAAAAAAAGTTGCAGAAATGTGAATAACTAAGATTTTACGTCTTCGTATATGCACTGACAAGTAATATATATGTTTAACGTTCATTTGGTTGTTCGTCCTTATTACATGTACTTTTCGTCATTCATAAATTTTTTTTTTTTTTTTTTTTTTTTTGGAATTGTTTTACAAAGAAATTTAATTTCCAATATAAAGCAAACTTAATTTTAGTTGGGCTTCGTATAATTTCGTATCACTTCACATAATTCCATGTCATTTTGTTTCATGTCGTACCACATTTCCTTTCGTTTAACTTCGTCGTTTTTATTTTATTTTTTTTTATGTCAATGAATTTTTTATTTTCATCCCACTTATTAATATGATGCTTACTTTATAGTCTTCGTCATAATGGATAAGGGATAAAGGTTCTTTATAAATGCACAAAAGGGAAGCATTAAGGGTATTCTCATATGACACAAGGGCGTAATGTATGTATAATATTATGTATGTACCTATGTATGTGTGTTATGTATATGGTATGTACATGGCATGTATACTGTATGTATACGTTATGTACATGTTATGCACGTTGATTGTTCAGTTGGCTTTCGTGTTAATACCTGTTTTTCATTTATTCCTTATTTTTAATATATCATGTATGATTTCATTTAATGAATGCAAACAAAAAATACATCTTCAAATAGGTGGATGTTATATATACATATATATTACTCCTTTTCCAAAAACAATTTTTCTTTTCAAAATAGCCCATTAAAAAATTGCTTAAACAAACATGGTTATTTTTACGTTAATATGGAACTAGCTTTTTCGAAAAAAAAATAAAAATTAAAAAATAATAATAGCAATAACCATTGAAATAAAAAAAAAAAAAAAAAAAAAAAAAAAAACATACATGTAAAAATATATACATAAAATATCCAAAAATCCGCTACAGTGAGGAATATCCATTTTTACATATATTTTTCAAAAATAAACCCCCAATTTTTTCCTTTTGTGAAAAATCCCCACTTGCTACCTACAATTTGTCCCTATGCAATATCATCGAGAATGCTACCATGCTTTTGTGCTTCCGAATGTTTGTAAATGATCTGTGTCCCATAAAAGTATGATAAACTATTAAGCGTGAGACTGAAACATTGCAGAAAACACACTCAAGGCGTGTGCGGGCAAAAAAAAAAAAAAAAATAAAAAAATAAATAAATAAATAAATAAAAAAAAGGGTAGAGAAATAGGAAAGTAGTGAAGAATACCACCTATAGATTTCTCTTCAGGGACATATAATGTGAATACATTTGAGTTTGGTGTATGAGAATATACATATTATGTATTATTTTTAAATATTTGTATTTAAAAAAAAAAAAAAAAAAAAAAAGGGAACAATTTGATACTAGGTTTTTTTTTTTTTTTTTTTTTCTTTTTTGTATACAAGTAAAAGAGAAAAAAAAAAAAAAGAAAAGAAAAAGAGAATGGGTAGAACATAGTTACATCTGATCCATTTATTTTGTTACATTTATATATATATATATTTTTTTTTTTTTTTGTAAAATAATACGAGATTCCTCTTTTGTTATTTAGGTAATAAATAAGAACCTATTTATAACATAACGCTTTCTTCATTGGCGTTTCTAAAAAAAAAAAAAAATGAACGCTGAACAGGCTGAAGCAAACTCAAGATATCTGGAACTTTCAAAGAGGAACCTGGAAAATGTAAGTCTTCAACTTGGACACTCATTTGACGTTAATTCGAGCAGATGCAAAAAATTTTATTGCCAAAAGTTTCTACAAACACATTCGCAATTCACGTACACATTGTTTATATCCGTATAACATTTTTGCACGCATGATGGTATCCCCCTTTTTTTTGCAGAAAACAAAGAAGGAATTGGAACAGAAGCAAAAACAGGAGTAAGAACATGTGGTTCATGTATTTAAACGAACCCCTAAAAAGCAATAATAAGAAGAACAACAAAAAAATATATTATATGTACCTTCGCATACATCCATATTTTTCGTGTGTAAAACAATTACTCTACCAAACTGAATCCGTCTGTCCATACATCCATCTATGCATGTACATATGGTACCATCTCTCAATGTTACCAATCGAACACAATATATACTTTCTAATCATTTTGGTAGGGAGTTATTGGAACAGAGGAGAATTATTATGAAGTCACTGTTAACCCCGGATGCGCATGCAAGATGTACGAAAGAAAATGTGTTTTAAGGGAGGGGGAAGATAAAAAAAAAAAAATAAAATAAAATAAAAAACACACACACACACACACACAGAGAGAATAGGATAATTTAGAAAGATGAATAGAGTACTGGAAGGATTAACAACAACAACTGTAATAAATCTGCAAATGTAGAAATACAAATTCATCTGGAACATATTCGAACTATATCTCAATTTTTCTTTTTAGTGTCCAGAATTGCTATCGTAAAGGAAGATAATGCTAAGCGAATTGAGGACATTATCATCAGGGTAAATCCAAGAGATAAAAAAAAAAAAAAAAAATTTTGAATGCAAAATTGGAGCACAAAAATGGAACATGTCAAAGAGCAACATTTCTGTAATGACCAAATGACATAATACATATGCCATTTTTTATCATCATTTTTCAGAATAGTCAAATGGGTCTTATACACCAAAAAATAGACGACGATCAATTAATTAAAATTATAGAGGTTTGTTCATAAGTAAATGAATAGAAAACAAGACAACATTGAGAAAATTTTCTTTTTGCACCCACCTATATTCTTACTGTATATATATATATATATATCATTGCTATGTCTTATTTATTTCTGTTTATTTTACATTGCAGCAAGTGAGTGAAAAAATTCACAAAAAAGAACCAGTGATAGAAGTAAGCAGTCAAAGATAATACAAAAATTGTGAATAAGCATGTGCACACAATCAGTTGGAAAAAAAAAAAAAAAAATCATTTTCTTATACTAAGACCATTTGTTCTGCCAATTAATACTACCACTAGTAGTCATAATTATGTGACAATTTCTTTTCACAAAAAAGGATAAAAAAAAAAGTGACATACATAATTTATTTTTTGCAGATTAGACGAAGAAAACAGTTTGATGATGATGATGACTTCAATGAAGAAGACTACATGTAAATAAGATAACTTGTGACACAGAGAAATTTTTTTTTTTTTTTTTTTTTTTTTTTATGACACGATGTGAAGAATAAATTCATCATATGTTACTTTCCCAAGTTAAACGTAAAAAAAGAAAAGGAAAAAGTACGAAATAGAATGCAAAAAGTAGCTTTTATAAAATTCCTTTTTTTTTTTTTTCCTAACGAATTACTTACCTCCCCTCTTTCAGTTTTTTTGTTAAATTTTGTTAGTATATAAACTAATTCATCCTAAGTATTTTTTTTTTTTTCTTTTTTTTTCGATTTCAAACATTTTATGTATTATATTATGTGTCCATCGTGTGTTCCCATTTTCCAGTCAAAGCTATTTTTTTTTTTTTTTTTTTTTTATCACCTCATTTTTAACATCAAATATTTTAATTAATACATGATAACTTTTTTTTTTGGGGTACATATTATTAATATCACACGTTTCCATGAAAAAACCTATTTCTTTTTCAAAGGAACATTTATAAGAAAGGGAAATTAATTTAATTGACTCATCCGTCATACGAATGGGATTTCAGGAATAAAGATTGGTAGTAGCAGTATATTCTTCTCAGCAGAATTTTCCTGAATTGTGCAATATCGTCAGTTTGGAATACCTGTAAGTAGTGACGTCGAAAAGACAGTACAGAATCCAGTAGAGAAGCCAGTATAGAAGCCAGTTTAGAAGCCAGTATAGAAGCCAGTTTAGAAGCCAGTATAGAAGCCAGTTTAGAAGCCAGTATAGAAGCCAATAGAGAAGCGTATCGAGGACTTCTCCGCCTCTCTGCTTCGTTGTTATTTCTTTTACTCCCTTCTCCTTCTTCCCTCTTTATCGGGATTATGTATTCATTATAAGGGGTACTCCGCAAGTAATTTAAGTATGGACCCATTTGGAGCATAGAAAAAATAAAATAAATAAACTAATAGAAGGAGAATGAAAATATGTTAACTTTAATATAGACAGCATAAAGTGAATATATTGGGGAAAGAATAAAACAAGGTCATTTTAGACAGGTGAGAGGAGAAAAAAAAAATATATTGCTTCATCTTAGGGATTTACAAAGATCCATTATTTCATGTCACAAAACTGAAAGAATTAATCACAAGATATTATAGCCGCTTCATTCAGCATTCTTCCTTTTTCTAAAGAACTTTTCAATTTTTCCTTTTTACATACCATGAAGTACAGAGTGAACATTTTTGTTATATTTTTTCTGGCTTGTTTAACAACGTGTGTTCAGAATTTAGAAAGGGGAGATTCATCTACCATTTGTAGAACCGATGATGTATATACAGGTGACAAATTTTACCATTTCAAAAAAAAAAAATACATTTTGTATGATGTGAACATAGGAGAAGGCTTTAATGTACGTAAGGATTAGAAAAAAAAAAAAAAAAATTAGAAAAATTAGGGATAGAAGGGAATTCTCTGACTAATTTTTTGTACAAGTGTTCTACTTGTTCAGAAATTTATTACTCCAAAGAGGTTACAAAACATTTCGCATGTTTCCCACAACCAATACACTGTTACATGTCTCACTGATTTGTTACAATTCATACGTCTTTTCTAATGACATATTCTCCACATACCATTTCCATAACACAGCTACAAAGGGAAGTCCTTTATAGAATTGCTTTAGTCGTGTATTACCTAAACCAAGAGAATCGAAACCAACTGCATTATCTTGTTCTCCCTCCATGGTGTTACTTAACTCATTGGGGAAGGAAGACTTATGATAAAATAAAATGGGAGTTTTTTTTCAATTTAAATATTCTTAAAAATGTAATACCAATAATGGAATACTCAGAATATGAAAAACTGTTCGGATCACATTCGGATTATATCCTTTCGTATAAACATATAATTGGGAAATTTACAAGAGGAAATGAAAAGAATAGTTTTCATATTTTGGATTTCGATAATTGTTACATAGAAGATTATAAACTGAAAAGAAATTTATGTAAATATTGTGATCATAAATATTCAGTAGTATATTCAGGAAATTGCACACATATGAAGGGGAAAAAAATCGAATGTATTGAATATTTTTTGATAACTAGCTTTTTTGTAAGCACAACCCTTGCTGATATATTTCATTATGATACAGAATCGATATTTATTAAACAAGGCAGTAACATATTAGTAGCATTCCCGAATGAATTGTTTGAAAATAATTTAGAAGACGTTCTACTATATAATGAAGATTTGATACATGAAGGAAATAATTTTATCAAAAAAAATTTCAAGTCGAGTTCGAAATATCTGAGTTGTCATTTGAGATATAACGATTTCAGGAAAATTCCCGCCTATGACATTCCGCCTATATCTATTTCAATTTTAAAATTACTTTACATTATGTTTGTGCACAACATGGACAAGATTTTTATATCTTCAGATGAGAAAACACAAATTAAAAAAATAATTAATAAAGAATTTCCTCAATTTAAGCATTTCTTTTTTTTTTATGAAAATGATAATTTACATACAGGACAGGTTGCCATCATTGACCAATGGATTTCTTCATTGTCAGAAATATTTGTTGGAACCATTTTTTCACGATTCAGTATGCACATAAAATGGGAACGATATTTAATTGGAAAGGGAGAAGAAAATTATAATTTGGATTTATGTGGATACAATATTAACACAAATCTAAATTTGCAAAAACAGTATTCCAACATTAAACATGTTCTTGTGGAAGAGGCACTACAAAAGTTACATACTTTATATAAAAAATTTGCAGAAAAAGATAGAAACTATCTCAGTACCATTTGCTACGACTCTTCGCATAACTACCCCCACAATTTAAGCATCTACCGGAGGAAGTACATCCCCTATTAGTATCTCCACCACTTGGCCACTCTGGATTGCACATCTATGAACGAGGAGAGAGATGGGTGTGAGGATGGTGAGTGCAGGAGACGAACGTACGGATGAAATGTCCATTGAAATCAGCCAACGCATCTACCTATTTCTGTCTGTGCCTTGACTTCTTTACATGGGAGAAAATCAAAATGGAAAAATCGAAAAATATGTGTGCCCTTTTGCATAAATGAGCAGAAAGGAGCTGAAACAGTTGCGTAGATGTAGAAATTTCATGTCATAATTTCTTTCTTCTTTTTTGTTTCAAAGATTTCCACAATATTGTTTCGCATGTGTGTGTGTGTAACGTGATGGCGTGGGAAAACGAGTAATCAAAAGATCAGACTTATTGGCAGATACATCAGTAAAAAAAAAAAAAATTAGCAATCATATTGTTGTACATAATATAGTAAGAAAAAAAAAAAAAAAAAAAAAAAAAAAACGGATGAGACTCTATCTTTCGGAACTATTCCCCGATGGAACAATATATGCTACAAATTTAACTTTTAATAACATTACTACTACCCTGTGTACACACTTAGAGATATATGAACTCTTTGAGTGACATTTAATGAACCTGTTTATTACCACTTTTGTTACGTTTTACACTGCGGTTAATTTTTTATACGATGTGTATATCATCGACATGGAGTGATGATAAGTACTTATTCACATCTCCTCGGGACATATTAATTCATTCTAAAATGCTTAATGGAGTGGTAGAAAGATCGTCGTACTTCCGCTGGGTTCACATAGGTTTGAAAATAAAATAAATAAACTTTCATTACACTTTTGCAAGTTAATATCACAAGGTGTGTGTTTATATATTCTCGCTTCCGTTTCTTACTATAGGTATTTTTGGTGGATTCATTTTTGTTAGCACTACCTTCATGATTTTTTCCATAGATATGAATGGTTTAGAAATTCCTTCAGGGATATTATTTTATATATATCTGTGTCACCCATTCTCCATATTTTCATATTTTTCCCTTAGCACCTTTTATCCAGCTCATTTGATTTGTCCAAGTGGGTTGTACATTTGACAATCTTCTGATCTAGTAAATCTGGCATTGAACTCACTAGGTTTGAACTGATAGTACATTTTTTGCTCAACAGGTTTTGTATAATATGGGAGAACATAAAATTTTCATAAATTTCATTCATAACATGTTCGCAATAGTATATAGATTCGTATTTGCAATTTTTATATATTTGTCGAAGGAATATATGAATAATATTGAGCTTTGAAAGGAATAGTGCATAGAGGAAAAAACAAAAATTGAGAAAGAATATGAATAGAATGTAGTAAATGCCCCTATAATGCAGTAAACTAAAAATGTGGAATTTTGCTAACTCGTAAGGAGGTGCCAACGGAACAACGTTGTTATAGTAATAAACGGAAAAAAGGATGTAAAAATTTATTAACAAATTAATAAATAAATTAATTACATATGGAATAAAATAAAAAAAATATTTAATACAATTTATTTTGTGTCTACATTTTTTTATCATTAAGGAATGAATATAGTTTTGTTTATATTTGAGGTATGTATTTATATCATAAATATTGGAGTAAATGGAATTTCCAAAAATGTTGTAAATATTCTTTCTGTTCATATGAATAATACAATGACAATTTTTGTCATGGTTATCTGTGGGAAAATTTAATTGTTCATACAGGTCTTCATTATTTATGTTTACAACAGATGCATGTTTCTTGTTATGAAATGCTACTTCTTTATCTGTCTGGTGATGATTATTAATTTTATTACTTCCTCTAATCGAATTTGGACAAATTTCTTGCATCTTATAATCATAGGGATTCTTCTCAATTCGTATGAACAAGTCATCACATTTTGAATGTATGTATTTTTTTTTTTCTTTTTCATCAAATTTATAGTTTTCCTTATTTATATATTTAAATATGTTTGTAAATTTGTTAAAAATTTCATCTGCATGTAGCAATATAGCATTATCAAAATTTTTATCCAAATGCTTAAAAATCTTTTTACAACCCTCAATCAACGTTTCTGTGTTTCTGTAAATTTCTTTATTCTTTTCACGAATGTACACATTATACAACATTTGCAAAATAATTAAGCACATAACATCAATGTTATATAGAAATATTTTATATGTAAAAAAAATAATGTATACGTTAAAAAAACAATATGCCAAAACAGAAAATGTAAAAAAAACATGAAAGTGTATTTCGTATGGATAATAATACGTATTATATCCCCTAGGAGTTAAAAATATTATCTGTAGGCGAAATAGGAGGAATATATTTAGGAATAAAAAAAATATATATAGAAAATAAAAAAGATATTTTTTCTTCCTACCAATCGGATTTAAAAAGCATTTCCCTTTTTCCTTCTCCTTTTCATACTTAACTATACGTTTTAAGTTGTTATATATTTCGTAGAAATGGATATAATTAGAAAAAGAGGAGTTATCAAATAGGTTGCTTTTAATGTTGTGTAGTTCCCTTAGCAGCTCATTTTTATCCTTCTCAGAACCCCTTTTCTCCACAACAACTAGGGGTTCTCCAGCTTGGCATTCGTTACATAATAGCTCGACGCTGCTGTGCCTCTTCTGCGAGCTTCTCTTTGATGTGGAACCCACGTGAGTGTCCATGTCGAGATGATTCCGTTGATCTTTTCGTTCCATTTGTTTCTTTACAGTATTTGTAAACATCAATTTTGACACGCAACAAGTTTGGCGCACAACAATATTGATAAAGATAAAATTGGACGAGACCAAGAAAAAGGCAAAATTGGACAAGAATAAGAAAAAGACAAAATTGGACGAGACTAAGAAAAAGGCAAAATTGAACAAGAATAAGAAAAAGACAAAATTGGATAAGAATAAGAAAAAGACAAAATTGGACAAGAATAAGAACAAAAGCGAAGCAGTTCCACCTTTTCCCCACTAAAGCATAACCACAGTTGAGAGTTCATTCCTAAACTGTGATTTCAAAAGAAAAGCATACCAAATTAGCATACAAGGTGTGTAATTATGAGTGTCCGTATTTGTGGTAGCTCCTTTTGCAAAACATGCTCACCTCTTCATGAAGCTTTTTATGTATATTACAGCAAAAAAAATAAAATAAAATAATAAAATAAAATAACATGCATAAATAAGCAACCAAAAGGCTTACTCAAAAAATTCAAAATGTATATATATATTTATATAAATTAAAATAATATAAACACCAAAGAAGTCTCAAAGAAACTGGAAAAGTTGCTATACATGAATCTTCCCTCTTATCACAATTATAAAACAAAAAAAAAAAAAAAAAAAAAAAAAACATTTAGACAATGAATATTTATAAAACTAAGGCATAATCCTTATATGAGTAAAAAATTAAGGTATTTGGAGAGGTATTTAAGGGAAGTACGAGAAGCTAAAAAAGAATGATATGCTTTAATTTTTTTTTTTTTTTTTTTTTTTTTTCTGCGATATGATGGGGATATACATAAAGACAATAGGAAAAAATATGGTCTATATAATTTTGCGCAACTTTGATCAGATGAAAATTTATAGTGTATTTGTTGCATTGAGATTCTTGTTAAAAGGATAAAGTGTGTGAAAGGTGCAATGAGCCTAGTGTTTGCAATTCTTTTCACTATTGTTTCAACCTTCAATAAAGTTTATATATTTGAATATGTTTTTTGTTCTTCCTTTGTGGAACTAGGAAAGTCATGAGGGAAGAATATGTTATTCATATAGTTTAGAATAAAATTTTCAACGGCGAGAATTGAGCCACTTCGAGCAATATTCTTTTTCTATTATCCCTTTAGTTTTCAAGCATGTAAATAAAACCTGCAAAGAAATCCTGCAAATAAAACCTACAAAAAAAAAACTGCAAAAAAAGCTGCAGAAAAAACATATATAAAAACAAAAATGTGGCCATTTGGAGTGGTCATTAAGAAGGTCATCAATGCGATAAAGTTAATTGACCGGCGGAAAAGGAGTAAATTGTGCAATGATTAATTCTCTTAATTTGTTGGAACACTAATAATTTTTTTTTTTTGACTTCATTCTATGGTTAACTCCGTATGACCTTACTCATCAAACAGTTCCCTTAACCTTTCTGTATGTACATAATTTCTTTTTTCCTTCCTTTTTATTTTTTTTTCCTACTTTTTTATTTTCCTATTTTCCTTTTTTTTTTTTTTTTTTTTTTTTTTGCCTGCATATGCTGCATTACCTAAGTTATGCAACAGAAGTAAAGCATAAAATGTGGCATAATCCAAGCATACTATCTAAGGGAGGAAAAAAAAAAAAAAAAAAAAAAAAGAAACTTGTGCACATGTGTAATGTACCTACGCAGGCACAGGAATTAACAAAAGCACATTTGCGATTACACAATGTAAAAGCTTCTAATAAAATATGTAGTAATTACATAAAATTGATATTTAAAATGGAATTTCACGAAAGAGCGCAAAATGGAAAAACAAAAAAAAAAAAAAATTTTAAATAACATATAAAATATAGCACAAAATATAACAAATAAGGAATAGCAATTGAATAAATGAAGTGTAAAAAAAATAAAAAACAAATGAATGAAATATAAAAAATAAAGAAATAAAACAGAATTAGAAATACGCTTTCATTTCAACAAGTGCTTTCTAATTGTCCTTCCCAATTTTCACTTAAAAGGAAGTTCCTCTTTTTTACTTTCTTCTTTATATATTTGTTATCACAAAATTTTTTAAATAGGATAACTTGCGAACAGCCTGAAGCATAAGATCGGACAAAATGATTTGACAGACTGGATTGACAGACTAGATTGACAGACTGGGTTGACAAATTGATGAGAATTCGAGCGCATTTTTTCCTTTACTATTATTCATACGACGCACACGTGTATTTGCATTCATGTGTATATTTTTTGGAGATAACATGCGTAAGTGAGTTCACGTGTGTTTTCTTGTTTATAATTGGACATAAGAAAGGACAGTGTTCAGATAGTTCACAGGTTGAGTTGTCATCACCTGAGAAGCTCGCAGTAATTTCCAACAATACTGGGCACTGCCTCCATGTCCTCCCAAAACATATTAAACAGGGCAAAATAAGGTACGGCAAAATAAAGCGAAGCCAAAAAAGCGCATAAAAATAAGGCACAGTAACATGCCCCGGTTGTCTTATTTTATAAGGAAATGCAAAGGGAAGGAAGGAGAAAAAATAAACGAGCATGAAGAAGTAGAAATTTTCAGTATTTTAAACGAAGACAATTGTTATTCATCTGACCAGTTCGATGTAGACAGCCACGTCGAAGAGAATTGGAACTATTCCATATTACAAGATAATCAAAAAAATAAAAATAGGCAAGTGAGTAATTTCAGTGAGAAAAATGGTAGTAATGTCAGAAATTATTTACATACTCTAAGCCATGACCAAAAGGAGGAATGTCCAAATGGAAATGGAGAGACATCTACTTTTGAGAAAGGATCATTTGAAAGGTTGAGTAAAATGTGTCCGTATGAAGAAGAGCCTCCGGATAAGAGACAGGACGGAATTTCAAATGAATCAAATAACAAATCGAACAAATGGATAAGCACGCAAAGGAATTGTAAACGTGAGAATTCTGCTGTAAGTGATGCAAAAGAACAACTGATTAAAAATACAAGGGAAGAAACCCTAAACAACATCCTCTTGTCCAAGAAGTCACACATTTTCCATAGCATTAAAATATTAACGCCAAAGACAAATGGAAAAAATGCTTATTGTAAAACAAAGGGGAAAAGTAGTGATGTAGCTGCGAATGGAGGAAAGAGAGAAACAATGATCGAAGGAAGAACCGTGTCGGAACTAAAAATAAGCGAGTGTGCATACGACGCAGATGGCAATGACAACCATATCAACGAGGAATTTATTCGTAAAAATAAGAAACGAAGGACATCTCTAAATAATATATACACAAATTTTACATTGTATGAAAATAAAGTAAAACAAATAGAAAAAAAGAAAAAGAAAATAAAAGGACAAAAAGGAGAAAAAGAAGGAAAAGAAGAAAAAGAAGAAAAAGGAGAAAAAGGAGAAAAAGGAGAAAAAGAAGAAAAATATGACATTTTGTTTACGAAACATAAGTTATTAACATATATAGAGTCATTAAAAAAACATGTACATGTATCAGAGTTGTATAATGACATTTTAGGAAGTATCAATTATTTCAACAAATTAAAAGTGAGAGAGGCATATCATTCCTTAAGGGATATATATATAAAAAAATATGCAAACAGTAAAGACGCAAAGATAAAAAAATTTCATGAAAATGTTTTTGTTAGTGAAATATTTTATCGATACAAAATTATGAAAAAAATTGAACATATATTTAATATATATGTTAAAGATACATGGGATGATTTTCTCAATTATTCAGTTATATCAAAGAGGGTATATAGAAATTTTATTTTTGATTATTTAATTGATCTAGACGATGTTAACGGTACCATGCCTTTTTCAAAATATACAAATCCTCTAAGTGGTAACAGTAATGAGTTTTTATCCTCCTTTACATCACAAATTTCAGAAGAATATAGGAATGACAACTCAGATGTAGAGGAATATGTTTCAGATGAAAAGTGCTCATCCTACTGCAGTAAGGAGAAAGTTGAAGCTAGTGGAGAAACCGAACAGGAAGATGAACTAAAAATTAATCACGATGGTGTAAAAGGTAAAAAGTTGAAAAAAAAGAAAAATACACAAAAAAGGGAAAACAAAAGAAAACACACAGAGACAAAGCGTATAACCAATAAGTATATCGATTATGGACATTTCCATCTAGCCTATGATGACGAGGATGACAATGAAGTATACTATTTTGTGACGAAAAAGGAATTTAATTTATTCAAGCAGATTTGTTCTAGGAAGTTTGGGGATGAACAACTCCTGAGTATGGAAGAGAAGGAAATAGACGACATGTTTGCTAAACATGAGGTGGAAGATAACTCCGATCAGTTTCAAACGGCTGAAGAGGATGATGAGGAGAAATTCGAAGAGATGTATGAAGAGAAACGTGAAATGACACGTGATATGAAATGCAAAGCGAAACGTGAAGCCAAGAAGAGATACACACGTAATAAGAAATGTAAAGACAAGTCGAAAAAATCATTGAGCAAAAGCAATCTAACATATGGGGATGCTAACGAAGTATATATTGGATTAGGAAGGAATGAAGAAAAAGAAAAAAGTGACATGAATACAGTAATATATTTCTACGTCAATTTATTGATCCCTTCCAATTTTATTTATGTTATTGCTGCCATGATTGAAAGCACTCTGTTCAAGTCTTGGATTCCCTTTTACTCCTTTCCCTTCAAGTATGTATTACATTTCGCTTGTAGAACCTCGATGAAGAGGTATTTTCACAAATACCGTAACTTTTCCTGTATCAGATATACATGTGAGATAATTTTCAACTAGGAGTTACACAATCCATCCCAGCAACACAGAGATAGCACATGGCGCTATAACATAATTTCAACTTTTCCAATTATGTTTCTTTTCACAAATGCAGATTCGGTATTAGTGAATGCAAAACTGTGAAGGAGCGAGGGATAATAGACAAAATAGTTTACACAAGAATTGCAATGCCTTGGATTATCAAGGATAGGTATGTTATATCACCTTTTTACGTTGAATGTTTTTTCTGAGTGATTATACACACACCATGTTGAGTTGCGCAGTTTTTTAGTTGTTCTGCATTGCTTTTCATTTTATTTTATTCTATTTTATTCTATTTTATTCTATTCTATTTTATTCTATTTTATTCTATTTTATTTGTTTTTTTTTTTTTTATTTGAATAACTTTTTAACAACTTTCTCGTTTCCGAATCAGGTTTCTCCTAATGGATATATGGATATGTGAAGATTTCAAATTCTCAAAAGGAATATTTTTATACGCTTCCAATTTCCCGAAGAGCTCCGAAAATATGGTATTTCTAAATGTCCATTAAATGTGGATGCACAAAAAAAAAAAATAAATAAAATAGACAAAACAAAATAAACAAAAATAAATAAAATAAACAAAAATAAATAAAATAAACAAAAATAAATAAAATAAACAAAAATAAAATAAAATAAAACACAAACAGCGCCCAAATTTCCTATACGCCCGTTCCTATGTCGTTCTTTTTCCCCTCTTTTTTAGAAGAACTTAGTGTTGGATACGGATGGCTGCATGGAAATTGATATGACGATCCATGCTTTTATCTCACCGAAGTCCATCGAGCAGACCTTCGTTAAGTGCTACGTCGAAATATCGCCCAACATAAATCTGAGTGAAATTTTCATATCCTTTTTGACAAAGTAAGACTGTTGTGTCGATTATCTAGAGACGCCTTTTCCCACACAAAACACCACAGCACACGGGTGCCACGTCACTCTCTACATCACATCATATAACACTATAGCCACATCTTTCCCTGTATTCCCCAACTAATAGGGTTTTCATCAAAAGCTGTATATCTCATTTCGTCAACGCATGCAAAAATTTCCAGTTCAACGAAGAATATGCTAATGAATTGCACAAGAGTGACTTATTTTATGACCGCTTACGAAAAGCGGCAGAAGAGTGTAATATATATCACACATAACGTAAGGAAATTGTTTTGATTATGTATTTCAATTGGTGAAGTTTACAACTGATTCAAAAAGTATACAGATGAATTCGCAGGTACATGTACATATCGATTGAATTTTAAGTATACACATATAATGGAAATATCCATTTATTATATGCAGCAATTTCGAATCGATGATAGAATTTTTTTTTTTTTTTTTTTTGTATTTTATATTCTGCAAAGAAAAATAAAAACAAAACGACACTTTTAAAATTATTTGATTATTTGTTTTCTCACCCTATGTACAACAACATCATGTAGATAATTTTTTTTTTCTTTTTTTTTTTTTATAAGCAAATATTAAAAATAATAAGGTATAAAATCCTATGAGTTTCACCCTTTATCTTTTTTTTTTTTTTTTTTTTTTTTTTTTTTTTTTTTTTTTTTTTTTTTTTTTTTTTTTTTTTACGTATAAATATGTTCACATATGTATATTTTGCATATAGGTATAACATATACATTATTAAACCCCTCCCCTTTTCCCTTCCTCACTCATTGTTAATTCATGGTTGTGCTGGTCACTAAATATAATTGCACTGAAAAATTTACATAATGCGAGTTGTGTGGAATAAGATGAAGCGTCATCATTTCAGCACCCCAAGTTTTGTACACTTGCACACCCACTTAACTGCCTAATTAGGTACCTAAGTGGCATACAAATATATACATACATATAATGCATGAATTTGTATATATGCACACAGACGACAAATTATTTTTAAAAATGAAAAATTAGTTGAATTCATCGAAGGCTGCAAAAGAATAAATTATACGTAGTATTAAACATGCTATGTTGAGGAAAAGATAAACATTTGAAAAGGAAAAAGGGAAAAGAAAAAAAAAAAAAAAAAAAAAAAAAAAAAGATTGAAGAAATTTATCTCAGTACATTTTTTACCCCATCTACACTGCACAGAAAATGCAGGGGGGGAATACACAGAATTTTTGTTCTGCATATAAGACAAATATTCGCGGATTATAAGAGTTATAACTGTATTTAATATATCACATAAATTATGTGCACACATACAAATATTTTTATCGAATCGTGTAATGATGGAAACAGTTTGAAAGCATAAAATCTTCAATGAGGTGTTGATGGGTCTTATAGATTAGTACGATTATTTGCGCTATTCACAATGCACTTGAAATTGTTTTTTACATTACGTCTATGAACTTTCAGTTCTGCAGATTTCCTTTTCTCACAGATGCCACTTCCTTAGAGGAACATGCTTAATGTTTCCACATACGTCCCTTATATATACAAATGCTCAAAGGGAAGCAATTTTTTCAAATTTTACAATCAAATAAAGACAAAAAGCTACTCCGATTTACTTAATTTTGCCAAGGGAGTGTATATATACTTGTGCAGAAATTCCCGCAAAAATGGTAAAAAAAAAAAAAAAAAGAAAGACGGGAAAAAATGACCCACTCAGGAGGCACTCTTTTAGATTATCATTGTCAACATAATACACGAAGATTTGCTCACAATTTTATCTAGACATATTTTTAAATGCATTTTTTTTTTTTTTTTTTTAAACATTTTCCATTTTTAGATGACATGTTTATAAATTTTTCCAAAAAATTATTTAGAGAAATTCATGTGAAAAAATATTCAGAGAAGGACAAGAAAGACCTATGCCTATTAATGTTGTTATATATGAGATGCAAAAAAAGGTGTAAAACGTTTATACTTGGGAAAGACATAATTAAAAGCATAAAGTACGCAATTGAAGAAAATTTAGATAACTTTGATGAGGATGACCTCTCAACAGTTTTGAGTTTTTTAAATTGCACAGCGAATAATAAATTATATGTACCATATGGTACAGTAAAAAGCAAAGTAAATGTAAAAATTACAACAAAAATTATTCATCGAAGTGCTAATTATTTGCACAATTTTAAGCAGACAAAAAATTTGTGTATATTGTACAGTTATTTATGTAGAGAGAATATAAGTGTCAAATTACATAATAGTATCTTAAAGCAAATTTTTAGCGATATAAATCGCTGTGAAGACACTGATTTAACGAATATAATTTTCAACTTTTATTACATTAACAGCTTTTTTTTTAAAAATTTTTTAAACAAAATATGTGAGTTCTTTGCACATGAGGAAGAAGAAAAAATCGGAAAAGGAGATGAACGAAGAGAAATATTTTTCTCATGGAAAACAAAAAATCAGAATGACAGCATAACTGAAATATGCAAAAGTAGAGATGGTAAAAAGTTGTTGAAAAAGAAATATGAAATTGTGCCTTCTCATGTAGAATGTTCAGAAGAAATCCATTCATACAATAATGAGTATGCACACATTTGTGCATCTATCCCGTCTTACAAGTGTGACATGTTAGGATATAAGAAGGTGGATATTAATATGGAATGTGCAAAACCATTCCATTATATGACTTGTGGCAAGATATTCAATATCTACAACTGCAATATATTTCTGTACGGATTTATAAACAATTATAACAAAATTTTTTTAAAGAGGAGACTACAAAAATTAATAGATCGATGTAATTTTATTGATAACATTTGGAAAAACTGCAGACTTATGTATGAGTTTTACTACTATTTTGAATATTATATTAGCAGAGGAGTGAGGTACGAAATAAATTTAGATAGAGTTAGATGCATTACAAGAAACAGACACATCTTTGATATGAATAACGCCAAGCTGTATAGCAATATTTTCTATTCAGACAATATACAAATTTTCATATATATATACAAAAATGGAGTTCACTATTACAAATATTACTTTGATGCGTGTAGGATGTTTTTGGATAATCACATACTGCATTTACTCCAAAGGGAAATAACTAGAAACGTTGAAGAGTTGCAAAAGGAAGGAGATATACGAAACAAATATGGAAAGAAAACGCGAATAAATAACAAACATATTTATCTTCTGCTGAACGTTTTAAACCAGATGAATGTACAAAACGAGAAAACATTTGACTTAATATTGAGAAATTTTAAGCGAAACGAAAGGGACTATTCGCTGAAGACCAGCCTACTGCTGTTGCAATTTTGTCATTCACATTGGAGAAAAAACGATGCATATCATGCTATATACACACACATAATGAAATCTCTAGATGATCATACATTTTATGATAGCACCTTCATACCAAATAATTATGGTATTTTATTTTTCCCTCCGTTTTTGGTTAAGGAAGAAATATATAGAATATACATTGTTGTATTTTTAAAAAGTGCCAAATATTATTTAAAGAGAAATAAAAAAACACAAACATATAAGTTAAGTGACGAATTACTATATTTTGGCATATGTTACAACGTATTATGGAGTAAAGAATATGAAAAGGAATATGAAAATAAACATGAAAATAAACATGAACATGAACATGAAAATGAACATGAAAATGAGCATGAAAATGAGCATGAAAATGAGCATGAAAATAAGCATGAAAATAAGCATGCAAATGAACATGGACAGTTTTTTTTAAAATATTTTAAATTAAAAGAATTAAGAAAGATTTATGAATTTCTTCACGAATTTGAAAAAATAACAAAAAAAAATTCCTTAAATTTAAATGGGACAACAAGAACAAAAAAAAAAATAGACATATTTTATTTTTATCTTAAAACGGATGACCTGCAAAATCTGGTAAATTATGTTGAAATTTCCCAGCGTCAAATTCAAAATGTGTGCATAAATTTTTTGAACTTTTTTAATATACACCGGGACTGTTCTCATGTATACAAGAATTATGGCGCGGACTATTATGCCCCATCTATTGCACCCCCTATAATAGTGCGCATATGATGTAGAGAAGGTGCGATTATGCCTTTGTGTGCATTTACCATTTTTCCTGTCAACCTAGCTAGCTATTCGATTAGCTAGCTAATTAATCAACAAAATTTTTTTTTTTTTTTTTTTTTTTTCTCACCCGTGTATTGTATCCATTTAGCTAGCTTGTAATTTCCTCATGGCATACTCGTAAGCAAACCACGTGATGGACGTTGCGGGTATAGTCTTCAATAAATTAACATAAATGCCTAAGAAGAAAAACGAAGAGAAAACATGTATAATGAACAAGATGATGGGTCAAACGTACAATCATTTTTCATGTAATTAAAAGTGGTAAATATGGTTTGTATTATACGAGAAAATATCGTTAGTACATATATAAACGAAATATTATACCTCGGTAGAGGGACTTAAATCCATAGACCTTGATGTTATACAGAATAAAGCTGCAAGACTTAATTTTCGTCCTTTCGTTATTCAAATAATTTGTAGTTATTTCATTATTAAGTGTTTGCATGCGCGTACGTAATACGAGAAAAGGATAACTAACAATTTGGGCAATAAACGAACTTGTTATACCAAAAAAAAGGAAAGATAAGCAATTAACATTTTTTATGCGATAACTGCAATAGGAGCATTCTGGTTTGTTCAGATTATTTTCTTTTTTATATTCATAATTTATGTTATTCCAATTATATGTAGAATTTTCTCTAAAATATGATAATATTTTTAGTGGGTTATACTTAAAAAGTGTATTATCGTTGTGATTATCATTATCCCTGCTGCTGTTGTATGCGATTTGAAAATTTTCATCCTTCGTGTTATTATACCCCTGTGTATCATTTTCATGTTCCGTACTATTTCCATTTCTGACGCAGTATGTGGAATGAATATAATCTTTGTATAATGAAAAAAATATATACTTTAAATAATCATATATACTCATATTACACCCTGAAAATAAGATAACACCATACATGTGCATAGAAAGACCATTGTAAAAATTTCTCCATCTTTCGTTTTTATATATATTGTAAAAACATTTCATAATTCCACTATGGTCATTTTTATTTGATACAATTAACCTCGTTTTGACTATTTCGAGGGGGTATATAAATAATGCTGCTATAACTCCACTTGAGCTTCCTATGATGAAACGAATGAAAAATGGGATGTCTATATTTTCATTATCGTTCATGTATTTTCCATTCTTACTATTTGCATCACCTTCGTCATTCTTACTGTTACTGTTACTATTGCTACCATTATTGTAATAATTATACACATTAACTTTCATGAAGTCGTAAGAATACATTTTTATAGATAACTCTGGAATTATCTTCACAATGTTTACACAATTTCCCCTGAAGAAGCCACATACTATTCCGTCTTTTTTAATGATTTTGAAAATTTCATAAATGGGTAAATTATTCGTTACTTGCATTATATATTTTACACGATCTAATGGTGCAGTAATTGTTCTTGACATAATACCAGCAAAAGTTGAGCTCAAAATGCTATTTATGGCATTTTGTTTATCTATAAAAATATTATATTTTTTTAAAATTTGCTTTTTATTTGGATTGATGCTATTAATAATATATTGCTCTTCTTTAGAGTCTTCTATGTCTTGTTTATTTTCTTTTTTTTCATATTTGCGTATGTTGTAGGTATTTCTCTTCATTACAGAATTATTATTTCCTGATATGCTCGTGTAATTTTCTTTATTTATTTTCTCTTTTTTATCATTATAATCATAGTTAAGGTTGTGTGGATCGTTTTCCTTTGTTATTATATTCCTTTGTTCAATGTGATCATGACAAAACTCGTCATTGTTTTTTCTTCCATTCATTTCTTTTCCTTTAGACATATTTTCATCTGTTTCTTCATGTGTGTTCGTCTTTTTCTTCCACATAAAATATAATCTATTTTTCTAAAATGCTTGTTTAAATTAAACCTTGTCCCTCAAAGAAGTCATGTTCAATTTCAGTTGGTAATTTTCCCCTTATTCATTTCTCTCTCTATATATATATTTATCTTCTTCCTTTTCTCTACCTATCTATCTCTCTTTCTTTCTCTCTCTTTTTTTTTTTTTTTTTTCCCCCGTTTTCTTAGCTATTCTGGTTAACCGAAATACATAGGTCATGGGCTTCGTGCCAATAAAAAGTGTGGAGTGACTAGTTGATGATCTTACATTGAGATGTATGTATATTTACATATGTACATATATGCACAAAGATAGCAAGCATATTAAAGGTGGGATGTGGATCTGCCAGAAATTTCCATTTACATTATGCTGTGTTGCATTGAGCCAGTTTTAAACTCGCATTTTTTTTTTTTTTTTTTTTATGAGCCTGCTTTTTGTACAAAAATGTTTAATTATTGAAACGTGTTATAATGCATATTGTATTGTGTATTTATTATTCATTTCTTTATTTTACTTTTTCTTTTTTTTTTCCCCCCCTTCCAAAAATTGACGCGTTTATTGTTTTGTGCTTTTTCAGGACGTAACATTATTATAGTTGAGAATTTAGCTTTTAAACCTATCCATTTTCTCGAGGTCTGTTGACTCTACCATTTGATTGGCGGGTTTATAGATATTTTTCTTTTTTTTTTCTCAACATTGAAGAATGTGAATTTATATAGTTACATAATAACACAACGTTTGTTTTGTTCATTAACACGCAATGGCGATGGTGCACATGCATGATTTGGTAACGCACGAAAAGTTAGGTGAGGGAAAAAAAAAAAAAAAATGACCTAAATGTGAGTTGTAGCGTTTCATAAAAGTGACATATTATGGAGTGAGAAATATTATAGAGTAAAATATTATAGTGTGACACATTTCCAGGCTCCCTTCAACGTGCCCAATGAAAAAAAAGAAAAAAAAGTTTATTTTCATGTGAAAAGTTGACCAGAACAGTTACTTTTATTATGGGTAGAAGAGGGCATAGCAACTATTCTGAAATTACAGGATTATTACTACCATTTTGCCCCAGAGCGTTAAGATGACCCAGTAATTACCAGGAATGTTAATAAAATGGAAGAAACACACAAATTCATAATTTTTTTCTCTTACATAGGAATTGGGTTTAACGTATAAATTTCTATTCGAATAAGAGTGCAGCAATTTCGCATGCATGTGTATGTATTTATGTATGCATGTATGTATATGTGTATATATGTATATATGTATATGTACGTATTTGTTCACACATGCGAAATATATGCATTCCTTGAGTGACCTTCTGTGTGGTCCTATTTTGTAAAATGAAACAATTTTTCATACTGCACATGCACAAATGCGTCTACAGGAGTATGTTCACACCTTTAAATATTAAAAGATGTGGACAGAGCAATCATGGCTATACATGTGACTTATTAATTTTAACCGTTTTTATCCTTTTTAACAGTTTTATCCATTTTAACAGTTTTATCCATTTTAACAGTTTTATCCATTTTGACAGTTTTATCCATTTTGACAGTTTTATCCATTTTGACAGTTTTATCCATTTTGACAGTTTTATCCATTTTGACAGTTTTAACTTTTTTTTTTTCTTTTTTTTTTTTTTTTGATATTCCCTACATTCGCTTCCTTGTCCATTTTGTTATTGTGTCATGTTGCCAAAGGGCAGTGCACTACAACTTTCGAGTGAACACCATATATAATAAACGCTCGTCTCATTTTTGTTGAAAAAAAAAAAAAAATTACAGGGATCCGCTTACCAAAAGGATAATAGTAATACTGTAGAAAACAAACTGATAGACAACTTATATGCATTAAATTTAATCCCCAGAATTGACTAGTATGATTTATTACCACTGCGCGAAGTTATGTGCAGAAGAGCATGTGTGTATGTATAAGTAAATCGTTATCATTTTTCATTTTTCAAAAAATTAATTTATTATATTTTTTCCAATTGTAACCCATTTCCACTTTAATCATCCATGTATTGTTGCCAAATTGTGTCACATCTTCTGGATATATATGCTCCCCTTTCCTTTTAGTCCATTTTCGAGAGTTTCAAGAACAGATAAGGGTGTTTCAGCACGCATAAACGCGCTGACTATAAGGCTGAGAATTAGACACTCACATTTGTCTATACATGACATTCAAAGAATATATGTTAAAGAGTTAAATAAAAAACTTAGGAACATACAAATCCTTGATATTCGCCATGTGCCCAACTTTTTTGATGCACGGTAGAAAAAAAGCAAAAAAAATAATAAAAAAAAATAATAAAAACAAATAAGATTAAATAAAAAAAAAAAAATTGTACACTGAAATTTCCTGCCTCTTCAAGAAATTTCTCATTCTAGAATCTTCCTATTTTATAACATTTCTCATAATCTAATATGTGTCTACCTACAACACATGGTCCCCCATTTAGGCTTAATTGCATACATAGAACATATGTATATTTTTTCATCAATAAAAATTACAATTTTGAACGAATGAATGAGGCCTCCAATTTGTTTGTACGACAAAAAAAAAATATATATATATATATATATATATATATATATATATATATATATGTACATATACACACATAATGACGAAATGTTTTACTTCTATTTTCCATTCCCACATCACACACATATTTTGCTTTGTAACAACTTTTCATGCGTTCTCAGATAGGAAAGCGCGATTTTTCAAATTTCTGCAAGAAGAGGAAAAATAACACATGCTTTAAGTAAGAGAACCTAATAAATAAATGTGTTTCCTTGATTTCCATAAAACCCTGAACAACATGACCACATCGCTACTCCATGTATATGCAATGGGCACATGGACGAACTTGTAAAAATAAATTTACATTTCCAAATCGTACTTTCCGTTTTTTTTCTATCGAATAGAAGGGTCATTTTAAAGTTCGAAATCAGGAGCATAGATAAAAATTTCTATTATTTTAAAATAAAAGGAACGTCCTTCCTATATAACCAAGTAAGAGTGGTTAATTCCTTAAAACAGTTTAGATCCACTTCAAAACGAATGTTTGCATGCACACACAGGAGTTTCATTTTTCTATTTGTTCACCTCGGACTCAGTTTCTCTTTGCTAGAACTTCATTTTATTATTTTTATTTTATTTTTTTTTTTTGTCATTCTCCCTTTGCCAGATTAGACATATGGTTGCTACTATTTTTCAAGTGGGGAAAGGGGAACTTGATCTGAAAGACCTAGCCGACATGCTCAACAATAATTATTGCAGGAATAAAAAGTAATAAAAATTAATATAACAAAGTGGATTAACATGTGTTTGTATGTGGGCTTATTCATATGCCTCAGTTCTCAAACCTTGTGTGGTGAAATAAAGAAGCATACAAAAGACATGTGTGTTTCATATGCATCCACAAATACATGTATAAGCAACCTTTTTTTTTTTTTTTTTTTTTTTTTTCACGTTGACTTAATATCACTAAAGCTACAAAATAGCAGATGAAAACGGATTGCTACTACATTCCTTCAAATTCAGTGATCTTAACTTTAACATAAAAATTGATAACGTTATATTTACAAATATTATGAACAAGTACATACAAAATGCTGTGCTTTTAGTTTCCCTTTGTTATCCTCTGAAGATCAAGAACCCAAGTGACAACTTTTTTCAAGATATAGATGATGGTCAAGAGGACTATCCTTCTTAGTTTGTTTCGTCTATATGGTTGTTAAAAGCTACAGTGATGTAAGACGGGAGAAGAACTTACAAATGTTCAAGTTTGTACCATATGAACTTACAGCCTTCCCCACCCCTCTGATATCTTTCCCTAATTAAGCCTTTTTATTTTTAAGTTTTTTTTTTTTTTTTTTTTTTTTAATTTATATTTGTTTCACTTTAACAACTGTATGTAGAATTTCATTTTACGATTGTTCTCCTCACAATGTGATAATAGTTGGGGAAAAAAAAAACTTTTCAAAATTATGACCTTTACGCTTTTGCATGGCATGGAAGAATAGGTTGGTTAAATTATTTCAATATATTATTACCACATCTATGCTTTATCATTACTGTATCTATTTTTTATAAATTTTTTTTTTCTTTTTTTGTACATTAAAAAGTAATGATGGCTACGCCAATATGTGCCGTAAACTTGTAACTATTTTGTAAGATTAAAGGATGAGTAATTTTAAATAAACATAATTAAAATTAATATTGATAATTTTCATGTTGTACAAAATATATAGATATATATATATATTTTTTTAAATTTTCTGTATATTTTTATTCATTGCAAGAGCAATATAACGAGGTAAGACGAAAAGTATGAATATTTTAAAGTTCGCAACAATAACTAAGCACAGGGGAAGAGGGTCACATTTTTACTTAATTACACAACTTATAGATGCATAACTTTGTAGTGTTCCCTTTTTTGTAATACATGACCCCGTCATTCAGGTAGTAGATACGTATGTATGTATGTTTGTATATACTTATATATTCATATATATATGTTTATATATTTACCTGCATACAGAGATGCACATTTCAGAAAATATACTACCTGAAACTAATTTTATGAGTGATTGTATGAAGTTCTCTCCCTCCTCGTCTCTCACGACAAAATTGAATTTTTTTTTTTCTTTTTTTTAATCTTTCACAAGCAATGTTAAACTCTCGTAGCTTGAAGTCGTAACTTTTTTAGAGTCAAAGAATTTCTCTTAATAAGGTTTCATTTTCCCCATTATTATCAGGTGAAAAGTTTTGGGGTGGGTACAGTAATATAAAAATTGCCCAAGAAGAGACGAGAACCACTATGAGAAGAAGCGGAGGGAATTGACTGAAAATGGGAAAACTAAGCAAAGATAGAAGAGATATTTACTACCGAAAGGCAAAGGAAAACGGATATCGGGCAAGGAGCTCTTACAAACTAATTCAGATAAATGAAAAATTTGAAATTTTCAAATTATTTGATCCAGAAAATTGTGATAAGAACTTGAACGAATTAATACATATGTACAATGAACAGTTTTGCTACAACATAGTCGATTTGTGTGCAGCCCCTGGTAGCTGGTCTCAGGTTCTTAAGAACATCTGCCTGTACAACTATTACCAGATTTTGCATTTTGTGAACAAAAATCATCAGAATCCAACTGAATATGTAGAACATGAAAATTTTATAAGCAATTTTTCTCTGTACGTTAATTTTAATGATACATTAGAAAAGAGAATAAACAACTTGAAGAAAAATGAAAAGATAAAAAAACCAAAAATAATAGCTGTAGATTTACAAGAAATTGGAAATATGAATTACATAAAAATTATACAAGGTGATATAACCAAAACATCAACTGTACAACAAATTTTAAAATGCATGAATGATGGAAATGATTTAAATGGGAAAAGAACTCAGGTGGGACATGGAGGAATCGACGCGAATAGTGATGACAGCAATGGTTTTAACAATAATCAGTTAAGCATTATGGGAAAGAAGGGTGATAAATTAAATATGCATAATAAAGAATATAAAGCTACCTCCACATATGCACATGCTGTTGTGAGCGATGGAGCCCCAGACATAACTGGTATGAATGACATAGATGAATTTATTCAGTCGCAACTAATTCTGTCAAGTCTGAAAGTATGCTGTTCTGTTTTAAAAATAGGAGGAAATTTTATTAGTAAAATATTTCGAGGTGAACATACAGGTTTATTGATTCTACATTTAAATAAATTCTTCAAAAGAGTTTATGTATGTAAACCTCAAAGTAGTAGATATAAAAGTCTCGAATCTTTTCTTGTTTGCTTAAACTTCTTCATGCCTCCGTCCAATATTACACCTCTGAGTAATCATACGGAAGAAAAAAAAATTATCAATCAAAATATAACACAAGAAAGACTTCGAAAATTGCATGTAAAGCTAATTAATGAAAAGGACGATGAAGGGAAAATTCGTAAAAATAACAAAACTTTGGGGAGACATACAAAAAGTGATGGAACAAGTGAGGAAGGAATTTGTGTCAAGGGAGAGAATTCAAATGATGAAAGTGGATATGATAACCAAACCGAATCTGACGGGTATAATATGTATGACGGAGAAAATGAAAACAATTTGGAGGATATAAATGAATATAATACGAGCAACGGGGATGAAATGAAAAACAAATTAGATTGTGATGAAAGGAAAAACAAATTAGAGAGTGATGAAGGAAAAAACAAATTAGAGATTGATGAAAGAAACAGTTGTGATACCTCATGTAGTCATAATGTAATAAAAAAAAAAACCTCAAACAACAGTTTAAAGAATAAAAACATTGATATATTTAATTTTTACTGTTCTGATAGCAGCGAAGAAATTAAGTATTTCAATTCCGATGAAGAAGATGCTGTAAATGATTATATTTCATCAGAAGTTTTTATGAATGAAAAACTATTTTCCTTTGTTGCAACGCAAAATTATTACGATTCAGATAAATCTTACTTGTTGCCACAAAATTATGTTAGGCATGAGCCTCAGCTGATGCCACTGCAACCCCCTTATATGTTATCTTTACAGAAGAAAAGACAAGAAAATAAGAAGGTATCATAATTATACTCAGTTTTCCTTGATCGTATAAATTGGAGGTGAGCGGATAGACGCCACAGATCTTCTTTTACATAACCTTCAAATATGCAAAGGATGTGAATACATATTAATCATGGGAAAATGTTTAAAAAGTAAACATTTACATATATTTGTATACATTTACCAACATTTCAGATGCCAATTTAACCTGTTTACTCGGATGTGTGTGTAGAGGTGAAAACATTTTTAATACGGTGAAAATAATAGCCTCTCCAAGTTTTGCTTTAAAGTGCTCCTTTATTTTTATTTTTTTTTTCAAAGTATATAATTGATGGAGGCTTTTTTATGCTTAAATAATAAATAGCTAGAAAAGGCCCACTGTATGTTATATATTTCCTTTAATTTCTTAACCCTGTGGCAATATGAAAAATGAAGTTACAATATAACAATTGTTCTTATGTCTGTTTAAAAAAAGTGTTGCATTAATTTGTAACCTTGCAACTGATAATTTGATATTACTCGAATTTTGCGCAGCATTTTATCATTTTCTTTTATTTCGTTCTTCGTTTTTTTTTTTTTTTTTTTTTTTTTTTTTTTTTTTTTTTTTTTTTTTTTTTTTTTTTTTTTTTTTTTTTTTTTTTTTTTTTTGTTGTTGTATCTAACTTCTTTTACCTTTATTGTCTAACTAGATTCAACATAACCCAACAATTTTAAAGGACACACAAAATTTGGCAAAATAATTATCTGTTAATCTGTTTCAGTATCACATTGTTCTTTATTCCCTTGTCTATGAGGCTAATAACATAACGTTGGCAACTCGTAGATAGTTTTACTTGAAAAAAAAAAAAAAAAAAAAATGCTCAACTCTAGCTATAAAAAAGAAAAAATACTGAAAAAGGAATACTTTTTTTTTTTTTTTTTTTTTTTTTATTTATTTCTGACATGTACATATTTTTTTATAAAAAAAAAATGAAGAATGTTGTGGCACATTCAGTTAACTTGTGCATTATCATGTAAAACATTTGTTTTATTTTATTTCGCATACATCTATAATATATTTTTAAGTGTTCCAAAAGAAAATGTGTATTTCTTTAACAGTGCAACTTAGCGCGAAAATGTATTAATGCACTTTCCCACATTTTTTACACTTTATAAAGGTGCATATAAGTGCAAAGATGTCATATTTATAAAATTTAATGTCATTGCAGATGAGGAGATAAGGGTGGGGAAACGTGTGCTGGAAAAGGAATTAGTATGGTTTTATAAATGTAGCACAATGGATAAAGAGAGGGGAAGTGAGAGAGGTTGTTTTTTTTAAAATGACCTAAAAAAATATAAAAAAAAAAAAAAAAAAAAAAAGCAACATCATTAATAAGAAGATTTTAACTATATTAACAATCACATAGAATACATGGCGTTAGCAAAATATATATTCACATACATTCATACATAGCAAGTGAAGTCACAAAAGGAATTGTCTTTCTTGTTTCGCTCCAACACACAGTTGGGTGTAGCAGTATGTAACATCATAAATCAAAACCTGTAAAAGAATGTTTCCCCTTTTTTTTCTTCCTTGAATGAGAAAAAATAATAAAAATGTCTATTAACAACTTTGAATTTAAAAGTCATTTTGCACTGAAAATAAAATTAAAATCGTTGAACCTTTACTGCGAAGATTTCAACAACGTGTTAAAGGTATTGAAAAATTATTGATACAAGAAAAATGATTTTTTTCAAACGATATATATATATATATATATATATATTTTTCTTTTTTTTTGAGTTTTAGGGATATATTTTTTATTATTTATCGCCTTTTGCCTCTTTTCCACTCTTAGTTAAAATTCAGAATTTATTATGATGGAGAAGACGAGAGAAAGACATACCTATCCCAGGAAAGGACTGGGATCATAGAGATACTCAATGGGGACTGTAACATGATGGTACTTTGTGTCCACAGAATAAGAGAATATGTCTAAAGAATTTCACACCAAAAAAAAAAAAAAAAAAAAAAATATATATATATATATATTTCCAACGCAATATTTATTATCATTTCTTCAATTGTATAAAACTTCTTCCTCCTTCCTCACTAATTGCAGCTCAAACATAATATAAACAAATCTTTCTACTTACCAATCGTGTGTCTGAAGGGAGAGAAATGTCCTCAATTCATAAATATTATTTGTAACATAGGAAAAAAAAGAAAAGACCTGGGATTAAAACTATATCTGAGTAAAAATTATTCTTTTTTAAAGCATTATGGCTCATATAAAGTGTATAATCTATATGACTGCAACAGCGGTATTGCAAAAGGTTGAAAATGAAGAATCAACAAATAATGACGCACATATATATATATATATATATATATATATATATATATATATATTATTTTTTATTTTTTATTTTTTTATTTTATTATTATTATTTTTTTTTTTTTATGTTCCCACTATTTGATAGGACACCTGGAATTGGCATTAGACATAGTCAACTACAATCACCCTTTACCCTACTTTGGGAAGAAACAAATTGAAATGGTAAAGTTTATCTCAAGTGCATTTGCATTCATGCGTCTAACACTATAGTCATGTATCATAAAAAATGTATGTATGTATGTATGTGTGTATATACATATATGTGTACATCTGCTTTTCATCTTGCTTATGTATAGGGGTTGGATGATCACTACTTGTTAGCTACTGAAATTTCGATTAGCAAGCTATGGAAGGAGATGCTGATACACAGCACGGATAGGGATACCGATGCTTATATAGAATCTTTTGTAATTTAATGAAAGAAAAACGATAAAAAGAAGAAGTTTGCATCATTTATGATCAAAACCATTTGTCTTCATTAAAATATTCCCCATTTAACGTCTTCTTGTAGAGAATAATTCCGGAAAATAACTTAAGCAGAGTTCAGGAGATGAGTAAAGAATGAAAAAAAAAAAAAAAAAATAAATACCAAATGGTGAACAACATCACAAAGTGGTAGAAAGATTTTAAAATGAAAAAATCTTCAAAATATTGCTACTATATATATATTTTTTTTTTTTTCTGGAACCGTTCAGGCAGGAATAATTTACTGAGTTTATTTCGTGGTTCCTCCAAGAATGCCTATGAAAAAGTACCATTGCCTCTAATATCATCCTCTAACTTGTTTAATTATTTTTACATGGAAGTTTGTCCACAGTATAAGAAAAGTAAGCGATGATATCTTCACAGTCAGAAAAAAAATATGTTTACACTTGTGTGCATGCAAGTATGTTTTTTTTTTTTTTTTCACTTGTTTGTATTATAGTATATCCCTTATCATAACATATTGTAACAATCTTATGATCTCTAAATTTTTGTTCCTCTTCAGACAAGCATTCTTGGTTAAGAATTTTTAATGACGTATACGACATGTACTTGTGTAGAAATATTCAAGTATGCAACATTGAGAGATTATACAAAAAATATAACCCAACAAAAAATTTCGCTTTATTTTTACTTATTTTCCTCCTCCAAAGAAAAAAAAAAAAAAAAAAAAAAAAAAAAAAAAATTACATGTCTATTATAAAACTGCATTAATTATTCACAGGGGAAAAGTATGTATGATGAGATAAGAGCATGTGCTTTATTTTTCTACTTGGAAAGCGCATTCATTAGGATGGCTGCAAACTTTGCAAAACACGTCATTATCCAAGAGTACACGTAAGGGAATAAATTCAAATGTGCTAATGTACTGGGAGTCATAAGATCAAGTGTGTATATATAATATTTTCTTAAATAGTAAAATATTATAATTTTTTTTTTTTGAACACGTTTCTAACCACATACAGGAAGTACACGTCTCCAAGATATGTTGACAAGCTACTTGTAGGTGAGTCCGAATAAAGACAAAAAAATAAAAAGAGATAATGAACTAAAATGATAAAATAAAGTAATGAAACAAAATAAAGAAACAAAATAATAGAATAATATAAATAAGGAAAAGAATTTATTTACCACTTGCAACTAACACTGTATATTCCCATTTCATTATCTAACACCTCAAAGGAAAATCACAGTATAAGGTAAACTTCGGTCACAACTTTAGATATAAAAAGATAACTGGAAAAAGCCCCTTGGATGTTTTTAAGTTCTTTGAAAGGGATGAGGTAAAATAGAAAAAAAAAAAAAAAAAAAAAAAAAAAAAGAAGAAGAAGAAGAAAAAGCAAAGAGATATAATTGTCTGCTCCATTGATCATGAATATATACAAGAGGTCTTTTTATGAGGATGAAATTTCGTTACGTATTTTTACTATATATTTTTATTTTATTTTTGGGAAAATATATAAATAAGAATGCGTGAAGACAGTTATTATATCTCTTTTGTCTCCAAACGTTCAGGTTTACGTAACAAATGATTCATATGTATTAGGGGAAGGTCTGATAGGAATTTTGATTTTTGGAGATGACAAAACGGATACAAGCCTTGCTTACAAGTAATAACCTATTGAAATTTTATTCGGAACGTTTTTAATGATGTAGGATAAAGAATCGATGTCTGTCATTTTGTGTGCTCTTGTTTTTATGAACATGTTTATAAGTCATTTCTTTATTCTCTTTTATTATTTTTATTTTATTTTGCTCTTCTTTCTCATTTAGGAAATATAATAGAGAACTGAAAGCTCATCAATGGATAAACAAAGGAATAGCCAAAGTTAAAAATCAAAATTTGAAAATATTATCGAATGCGTCACAAGGAGGCGAAGTGAATGAGACGGTTTCCTTGTCTTTGTTGTCCTTCAACTTGAGCACGCGTAAGGGGAGGCAAAAATGAGGAAAAAAAAAAAAAAAAAAAAAAAGAGAGAATGAGAGATACATATAAAAATAGAGATGTGTTAATTAAAGGGTCTAGCATAATTGAGATCTGTTCTTCTCTCCCATCTGACACCACTCCCAGGAAGGCTATACTTTCCAGTCTGATTTTATCACCCCTTCTATGCTATATTTCAAATGAAACAAACAGAAAACGAAGGAAAGATTAACTAGGAATCCTTTTCACGACACATAATACCCTGATTCTACTTTTTTTCTTATGTAGTGGTATCATATAAAGGGTTCAAAATGTATGTCATTCCATCTCCTGTTTTTCCTCTGGAGATAATGAGATTAGACCAAATCAATGTGGAACTCAAACACGTAAGTGTTCTGGAATTTGATTGCACCTCAAAAATTGGGGAAAAAAATAAGATAATTATAAATTTGCAAAAAAAAAAAAAAAAAAAAAAAATAATAATAATAATATAAGTAATAATTAAAAAAAAAGTAATAATAATAAAAGTAATAATAAAAAAAAAATAATAATAATACGTTATTATACTTCTGCATGAATCCACAAATGACACCTTGCCCATGTACAGGAACTGAATCTTTTGGAAAAGGCTATTCCCACGTATGGTCTACTGAAACTCGAAAACAGAAAGGATATATTCTTGACTCAATATCATTCGAAATATAATTACGTGTTTTACAATATCAATTCAATGTTAGCTCATTCGAATAAGAGACATTTCCCTCTTTTCGAAAATCCTGAGTCCGTAGCTTGCGATATGCAGGTATGAACCCACTGATCTTTATTATTACACACTGTATTTAAATGGAAAAATGAAAAATTATAGTTTTTATGGATTTACTTATTCACTTTTGTATATTTGTTGTTTATACATATATTTCTTATCTGATGCCTTGTCGCGGCAAACGTTGTTCATTCACAGGGGCAGAAGGACAGTGGGATATATAAAGAAAAGTATTTTTACTCAAATTACATAAAAGTGAGAAGAAATATTGATTTGTATCATGAAGATGTGTATGTAAATAGGAATGGAAAATCCATACATGAGAAGTATACAGATATACATATAAAAAATTGTGTAAGAGAAATTGAAAGCCTGTCTTTCAGTGTTCCATTTGATAGCATATCTCTAAAAATGCATTTACACAGTAGAGGAATAAAAATGAAACATCTTGGAAAAATGCTTAGTTTTGTATCCTTAAGATGGTTACATGATATGATCCTTAATGAAATTCTTATTCGTTGCATAAAAAGATATGTCTTTTCATGTATGCGTGAGATATGTATATTTTATAAAAAAAAAGTGAATCAATATTTGGCTAATAATTTGTTAAAAGGACAACGTAGAAATATGAAGAATACAGAAAAAAAAATTTCAGATTCGTATGAAAATTTTCACTTTTCTGTAGAATCAGAAAATTTGAGCGATGAGGTAGACGAATTTGAAGGACAAGGAATAAATCCTTGTTACTTCCCAAATGAGAAAAAAAATATGTACTCTTCAAAAACATTCTCTCAGGATAGTGAATATTATACGGGTTCTTCTGAATCTACCTATAGTTTATGCTCTCCAAATAATTGTGAGAAGAAACGGAAAATGTGCTCAAAGAAAAAAGCGATGAAGTCATTCATATGTATGAAGAGTATGCTTAGTAAGGAGGCCATATTGGAAAACCACATGTTTAGAGTTATTATGAGAGGAGAAGATGCAGATACCATCGACTCAACTGAAGATCGAAATATGAATAAAATTGAGCAGCATAATGATGCACTAAGTTGCGATTATGTGCTGAACAAGCTCCTAAATTTTGACGAATTCACAAAATACACCAACGCAAAAATGTACATATTAAAGAAGTCAAAATATATGAAGAAAGAACCACAAGAGAGTTTCCACATCATGCAAAAGAGATATAAAGGAAATGTCACCCTAATTGATATGTTCATAATTAACCTGTTCAATTTGATATTCACACAGAAGGATAGAAATGATTGCCGTCTCTTATCAGTGTTAAAAAATATATGTTCAAAATATTTTCATATTAGTTTGTGTAACACGATAGAAGAGTCATACAAGAATTACTTGTATGAAAATTTGCAAAAATCTTTGGGAATTTTTTTCTATCATTCATCCCTAGTAGAATATAGCAAGAAAAAAAATAAACTAAATAAAACTTTTTCTATGCACCATTTAAAATCATATAATTTGAAAATTAAAAGGTCATTAAATATTATGTACATAGATATACCCATGTATAGGTATATTCAGTATCCTGAAAGGATAAGTCTGAATATATCAAATGACAAGAAAAAAATTTTGTCCAATTTTATTTTTTTCACCTTAATGTATTATCATCATCATCTTAATGTAAATAACGAAGTGTACACAGAACAACTGCTCATGAATGAGTGGAAAATTAAGAAAAGTGGAAAAATGAAAAAGGAAGATCTACCAACTGAAAATGCTGGGATATATAAAACTCGATTAAACTCTCTTTTAGCATCAAAAGATAATATAACATTGTACAATAATTCAAATTACCTTACAATTTATGGTCTATTAAATATAATAGCATTGGGAATAAAGCTTGGTTTTTTCGAAGGTGCTCTTAAAATTTCTACTTCTTTTTTTCGATATATTCCAGAAAATAGTGTTATTTCTGTTCATGTTCGAATTATGTGGCTTTATATCTATGCGTTGAAGGAAAGTTATGACAAGATTGGAAATTTTCATAGAATCCAAAAATCAGATGAAAATATGATTAAGAAGTCATTTAGAACGGATAATTTGGACAATATACCCTACGAGGTGCAAAATAAACACAAGGTTGAAAAATTTACCAAAGGGTGTAGTAGATCTATACCAGGTAGGGGTATTTTCCTTTTTGATGATCAAGAAAGTGTGGACTGTGCAAATTACAGTGATTTTTCAACTGATATTTTTGAGGAAAAATCGATTTCTCATTTTAGTAAAATTTCAAGCGATTGTTTCGATCGCACTATTGATAAAAATCATTGTGAGAAAACTTTTCAGTGGTCTAATTTGGAGAAGGAGAATATTTCTTTTCGTTCTGGGGGCACGCTGGATTTGTACAAAAAGACGCATGAAATGTGTTCAACTATTTTGAAAAACTATTTTGTCTTTTTCCATCCTATATATTTGGATTTTTATCTCTCTCTGGCATGGTTAGACAAGGAGAAAAAATGAGGAAAAAAATGAGAAAAAAAAATGAGGAAAAAAAATGAGGAAAAAAAATGAGGAAAAACAGATGAACAGGTGAAATATGTGTTTTCTCTCTAGCAATTGCGCTAAGGGGCAGCTATTTTTGTTTTTCTCTTTGTATATTATACACTTGCACGTATGGACAGGGGGCCGTGATTTGCACTTCTCACACCTGCACGTATAGACAGAGAATCGTGATTTGCACTTTTCACACCTGCATGCGTGTGAACTTTTATTTTCTTTTTCATTTTTACAGGTACAACAAGAGTGTAAATAATTACTGTGAATTCTTGCTTCTCCTCAGAACTATAATTTTATTGCAACTGAATATGAGTTCAAAGAATTATGTTAGTGAAAAAGTAGAAAATGTAGTAAAACTAAGCGACAATTTTGAAAATTTAGTTTACTTTAATTTTGATATTTCTGCATATAATCATAGTAGTAAGAAGAATGAGAAAGAAGCAGGATCTAAATTCTTAGATAAGGTTAGAAACATATCAAGTTTTTTTCTGAATAATATATGTTACCCTCATGAGGATATATTTTTCTGCTGCAATATAGAAACAACAGCAAAGTATAGTACTGTTTTTAGCATCCGTTTGGGATGTACTGTACACTATTTTTTGAATTCTTTATTTTATTACTACAATAAAAATAGAGTAATTAGAATGTATAAGAATGAGAATTTTGTTATGAATGGATCACTTTGCTGCATAAATGTTTTGGAGTATGTACGAGACATTTTTAGATTCTTTGGTTCTGAAAATGTGTATGTTGCTAGAACTTCCCTTGATTTATCTCTCATGACTTTAAAGACATATTTTTACGAAATGATAGATTTTAGTGGTAATTGTTTGATTGCCTATGCACTGGCAAATGTACATCATGCGGAGAAGGTACGAGCAGAGTTATTCTTTCCTGGCTACATTTTTATTATGTGTATACTTTTGATGTGTTTTTTTATGAGTATACCCTTTTAGATGTAGAGGATAGAGGATAGGGGAGATGTCTCTGTGTTTGATATGTACATGTAAGTACACACGACAAGGACACTTTGGTTTCCCATTTTTTTTTTTTTTTTGCAGATTTTTCGTAAAATTTTCGGAATAAACCACATCGAAACATTGTACAGTCTGTATGTTCTGAGCATTATCTATTTGCATCTAAACAATGAAAGGAGCTTGTATATATTTGAAGAGATATGCTACTATTTGCTGAATTACAAGTACTCATATGATGAGGACAATGTAATTAATACAGTGTTTTGGTATATACCTGACTTGGTAGAAACACATGAAGGTGTTAATGGGAAGTTAGTTTTGAGGAAGAACAAAATAAAATGGTACCTTTTGCATATCTGGTTCAACATTTGTATAGGGGTAAAATATATACGGAAGATCCGAAAAATATTGTTTCTCTTATGTTGTGCTGAACGATGCAAGAGAAGAAAAAACAAATGTGGAAGAAGGAATCATGATAAGGATACTAAAGGAAATAATGAAAATAACATTTTTGGAAAAATTAATTCTTATTTTGACAAACGATGTGATAATATTCTTGGTGAAGGTGATACTCTTAGGGATTATTGTTTACAAAATTTCGATGAGGAACATTTATTTCCTTATGATCAACTTGTCTCATGCATACGTGGGTACAGATATATTTTTACAAAAGAAGAATTATTTATCCAGATGGATGAATATAACGATTTGTTGAAATATAACAAATGTGTGTTAAACGGAAATACAACCACAATAGTGGAAAATAATGAAAGAGCAACAAACACCATTCCAGGTATGCAAGATGTAGATAAAATTCGGTTATTGCCCTTACTATGGAGTCGAATCGATAAAAGACGTGTCAATACAAATGATATATTTTCAAACGGATTAGTAAAGAGTGATATGTGTTACAAAAATGAATTTGCGAATTATGAATATCATCCTCACTTTCGAAATGATGAGACTGTAGAAAATTATATAAAAAGTGAAAATTGGGACAATAATATAAATGGGAGGGGAAAAAAAAAAAAAAAAAAATCTGTCACAGATTATTATTTGAAAAAATTAATTAACATGGTAGAAAATCATGCTGAGTTGCTATATAAGGAAGAAAAATATGAACTCGATACTATGCTACATGTAACCAACAGGAAAAATAAAAATTATGAAAATGTATCACTAATCAAATTTTTAAAAATGCAAAAATTAAAAGTGAATAATAAAAGGGATGACAAAAAATTTTCTCTCCTTAAGCAGAATGACAAAATCATTTTTGATAATAGCGAAATCGATACTGTTTCTTTTTTAAATTCCAAAAACGGTGCTGACTATTCAGAAGATTCTTTGGAAAAGTCAATTAATACAGGAAGAGATTATCCAAATAGTGATAAAAGGGATAAGGGGAGGGTACATTATAAATGTGTTATGCAAAAAAAAAATCAGAATATACAGAAGGATGCCCTAATGGTGAGCAATGATGTGCATATCCTGATAAGCTTGATTTACCATTTTTTCAATTTTGAGAAGTTTCAGCAGTTTTATTCGAGAGAGACATATGGGGGGATAAAGCATTCAACAAAAGCAGAACAGCAGGTAAAGTACAGCGTGTAGATCGATCCAGTTGTGTGTGTCCATCCCTTTCCCATTCTGTATACTCAGCATTCCCATTCTGTATATACTGCATTGTCATCCTGTATACACAGCATTCCCATTCTGCATCCAGTGTGTGTTCACACGTGTACACCTTGTGTGCACTTTTTCTACGCCTGAACGTTGGAGTATTTTTTTTTTTTCCAGAAATCAAAATGAATGCCCATTTAGTAATGGACTGCATAGGGGTGATTCCCAAATTCTCTTATATGACCTAAGACGTATGAGGAAAATTTTAATGTCTAAAATTCAACCCGTACGCACAAAAATAAATTCATCCCCCAAATGGGAAGTGTGTACTTTTTTTTTTTTTTTTTTTTCTGTGCAATGTCAATTCCTGCTCCTTGGTCATTCTGGTGAGGAGCACTTTTCTGAAAAATTTTCTTGAAATATTGAAAGGGTCAAATATTGCAGGATGTGAAAACTGTGTACATTTTTTTTTTTTTTTTTTTTTTTTTTTTCATTTAAGTAGTTTCATTTTGAAATTGTCTCTTGTTTGCTTTTCTAACAAAGTTTATTTCATATGATCCGAAAAAAGAAAAAAAAAAAAAAAAAAAATCGAAATGGATTTTATAAAAACAGGAAATAAAAAAAGAAAAAATTACAACTGAGGTATGTATGGAAGTATGTAGTAGTATGTGTAGGGATTAAAAAGTTTTTGTTTTTCGCCCTTAGTTTCTTCCGGTTTTCACTTCTTAACTTCTTAACTTCCTCACTTCTGCACACATCATGTGAAAACCTTGAAAAATTTGGTGGCCTTGAAAATATCGCAATATCTGAAGTAAAAGTACTGATAAATGGCCTCCAAACACTGAAAGAAGTAAAAATTCAAAAGGCGGAAAAGGAAGAGTAAGATGTTTTTCAGTTCCTTGTATATTTTCTTCTTTTCTCGTAAGACAAATAATACAGAAGCGTGTAGGATGTCTTTATACATATTAATCAATTTGACTCCATAAATGTAATTTTTCTTCATGATCACTTTTGCGTTGTATATATATGGAAATGGGTTATTATAAAAGCATTTTGCATTTTTTATACACACTTTCAATAAGTTGTAAAAAAAATCAAATGTGATAAAACATAATAGTAATATGTTGTTTAGTGTGGTTATGTATTTATGTATATTATATTTTTCCGCAACTCGTTTTTTTCTATTTTCATATGACTTTAGAAACGATTCATACTTTTCTTGTATATTCACCATTTTATTTTTTTCAACTTTGCTATAAAACCATTTCCTTGCATTTTCATTAAATTTCAAGTAATTTTCGTTATTCTCTTTTAATTCTTCCTTTATTTTATCCTTTTTCATTTTACAATTTCGTATTCTGAAGATATGTGTAGATATGTTTCGTGTTGCTGTTGTGTGTGGGAAGTGTATGGCTAAATTGGGGGTATCTTTTCCTTTTGTTTATATATACATGTATATATATATTTTTCTACGTTCTTCCCTGGTGGGTTATCTACAGCATATGTATGAACGTAAGAATGGGGAAAACTGCGCACGGGTATAAGGAGCTGAATCCGTACACACAAGCGGACATGCACTTATCTGAACAAGCTAGCCCATTAGCATAGTTCTTCATAAGCAGGAATGAAAAAATAACACAAAATGAAGTTTTACTTGTAATTACAACGAAAAAAATGATAATAATAATATAAATGAATAAATAAATGAAAAAATAAATAAAATAAAGGAATAAAAATCAAAGGGTAGCAATGCAAAAGTAAACAAAACAAAAGAACAATCTTAAAATGCAACAAAAGTTTAACTGCAAATAGAGATATGAAAATTCCCAAGGAATTTCAAATTGTAGTTTTTCGTTATTTTTGTTCATAAGTAAAAAAAAAAAAAAAAAAAAAAAAAAATATCCAAATGGTTATGTCGTTGCAAATTATGCAGTTGTTTACTTTACGGATGGCGTTAAAGGGAAAAAAGTTTAACTAAAAAATGATACAAAAAAAAAAAAA